CAGCGCCCCGCACTTGCCGTCAGCTGAGCCCGCGTTCGGTGTCAAGCCTATGGTGTCAACAGTGCCCCGCCCTCACCGTCAGCCGCACCCCGCCCGTTGCCAGCCGCGCCCCGCCCGTCGTCAATCGCCCCCCGCCCTCACCGTCAAACGTGCCCCGTCCTCTTCGTCAGTCGCGTCTGCACTCGGCATCAACCGCGCCCTGTCTTCGACAGTCACGCCTGCACTCGTAGCTGCGCACACCTTAGTTGATGCAGGGTGCGGTCATAAAGTATCGTACACTGCTTCCATCCCCCATGCCCTCTTTCGCCCAACGCCAAGCGCGAGCCGCCAATGCGCTCGCGCTCGGCACAGCTTCCATCCCCCGTGCCAGCATGGAGCCACCGGTGAGGACGCCAGATGCACGCTTGTGCCGCGTCGCACAAGTTTGCCCAACACCGGAGAACGTGAGGCCTCCGGGATGCGCATGCACGATACGACCTTCGCAGCTTCCACTCCCCCGCCCTTGCCGTCTGACGCACGACACGACATTCGATTGGTACCCGCTGGCTGGCAGCACCAGCATGGAGTCACCGACCAAGACGCGAGGGGCACGCTGGTGCCGCATCGTATAACTTTGCCCACCACCCAAGACGCAGGCCTCTATGATGGGCACACACGACACGAGATTTGATCGGCACCCTCGACCGGAATCTATTGTACACAGTAATTATGATACTACGTATACTCTTCATTGTCCTCATCTGAGCGTCCTACAAATACTGCACGAGCAAGAGCGCCACTGCGATCAATGATCGCCCATTCGTTGGTAGTGGGCACGGGGATGCGTCCAACCAAACATTGGATAGCGGTAATATCGACGACCTCAAGACGTCCAGTGCGTTCATAGTAGTGAATATCAAGCCGCGGATGCTTACGGGTAACATCACAAGACCGAATGACTGCGAATAACACTGTTTCATCTTTCTTGGTCTTGAGGGTCTGCGATTTGGGCAGTCGCAACACAAAGATATGCTGCAACTGCCCGAAGAAAGTATGATCTTCATATTCGGGCACCCGATTACGCTGGCGTGCATATTTGTCAACAAGGAGTTGATACTGAAGTAATAGGTTTATGAGTTGTACGGATGGACATTCGGGAGAAGTTTACTAACGCGGACGTGAGAGGCATCTCTGCGATCATCGCCAGATGTTGGACAAAGGTGTATAGCAGATATGGTGTCACCGTCGTTCAGGATCCGCAAGCGTCCAAATTCTTCGAGGCTATGGGGAACAAACTTGCGGGCGGCCGTGATTGTAATGCCGTAGCGTGTAGCCAGAGCTAGGAGAATCTTCCCATGAACATCGGCGGGGACTTCAGATACAGAGCGGAATGGCGGGATGAGTACACAAGTGGGATCTCAACAAATGCAACACTCATTAGTGGGCTGGAGAGAGAGATAGCTATATAGAATCAAGCTTACATTCGTTAAATAGGATAGCACCTCGTGGCGTCTTTGGCTTGCGCAGAGATAGCTCATCATGGAGGTTGTACTTAAGCATGATATGCGATAATCGTGCGTTGTTGAGCACGTAACGATTAATGCTTGCATAGGGGAAACGGCGGCTTGTGATGGCTGGCTGAAGCGACCCGCAGTATCGTTCCATTGGGAACGCCCATGAACCCCACACTGGACCGGTCGCTCGGATGCTGGCTGCAATGTGCAGGAGACCATGAATGGTCACCGGACATGCAGATAAGCGTGACGGATTGTCTTGATAATATATCCTTTGAAAGATGATTAGACTTGAAGCGCACATGGTTCTGAAAGATCCTCACCTCTCGTACATCTGCACCCAAGCAATAAAGCCATCATCGATAGCCTTGATATCCTCGTCAGAATACTCGAACGAGAGGCACAGGTCAAGGAGAGAAACCAAGTCGATAAAATGTCGGTAATATTTCTCATGCTTGAAGCGCCGATTGAGAAGAACGGGCCCTATATATAGCGTCCAGAAAGACCAGGAATCAGCCGTGCACCCTGACCTGTCTTGCGCAATGTTCGGTTGACGTGGACCATATGCAGAAGGTATAGTACTGCCGGATGCTGCAGTAGCTTCCCCGATCGCATCCCAGATTTTCTTGTCGAGCTTATAGTCCTCGGAGCCCGTGTCAAGGTCCTTGTACTCGCCGGTCCATAGGAGAATAAGATTCTTGATGACATTCTCCCAGATCAGATGCATGAAATCATAGGGAAAAGATGCTGGAAAGGAGAGCGAGGCGAGGCAGCTTAGGAGTGGAACACCTTTGATACCCGAGGTCTTCGCCAGTCGCTCGCGTTCTGCTTCGGTTGATGCTCTCTCAACTGCTTCCTCCTGGTTCAAAAACTCGTCATGCGAGCGCAGTGGAAGGTCCTCCGGCTGGTATACTTTGATGGCGTCTGGATCCGATATAACATCGGGGTGCCGCTTCCGTGACAGCGGGACGTAGTTCGTTGTGGCACGCGAGCCTGGTATCCTGAGGCCATGGATATGACAGAATCGACATGGCGAAAGTCCATTATGGCCTTTCATCCGCATGATCATAGAAATGGCTGGAATATCGCCGAACACGATGATGAGGTACGCGCGGAGAGGGAAGTAATTGCCAGAGAGTACGTCGTAAGCATGGACCCCAATCTCTAGTCGTAACAGTTCCTCGACCAATGGCCATAAAAAGGAGTCGAAGTCGACAGGCTTTTTCGGTCCAGGAATGACCCCGACGGGAATGATGTTCTTGGTGTGAAAGCGGACCTCGGGTGGTAAGTTGTAGTTGAAAAGAATGAGCGGCCACGCCGTTTTCTTCCGCCGCTTGTGAGGTGCGAAACCATCGGACGAGAGTCCAAGAGCAACATCCCGTGGGTCGGAGAAGAAGTTATGGCCAAGATCTCGACCGTGAATTGAGACACGGGTACGACAGAGTTGTTGGTAGAGATTTCCATCGAAAATGTCAGTCATCGTGCCAGGAGTATGCGAGTGCTCATGTGCACGATATCGCATCTGTTCTGCTGTGGCTGGGAATTCCATGAATGCCTTGAGGCGTGGAGTAAGCGGTAGGTAAGGGAATTGTGATCGTGGACGGCCGGCGACATCATATCTCGGTTGTTTGCAATAAGGACAGGCATCGAGGGATGAATGAGGTCCAACAAAACAGCAGCAGGAGTTGGTACAGCAGTCATACAATACCGGGTCTAGTGCGGAGAGAACGGCAGCTCGCGACTGAGTAGCCTTCCACGACGGTACATCCTGGGTTGGAAATGCATATGGAAGTTTCTCGAATGCACCCGTCTTCATATGTGTCTTGACTTTGAGGGCAAACAGCCGGAGAATAGCTATATCTTCCTCATCAAGCTGAGTGCCTACAGTACTGGTAAGCGAATGTTGTGATTATGCTCTGCGATAAACTGACCTGCAGCACGTGCAGCGTCCTCGAAACCCTCCTTGAGGGCTTCATATGCTGTGATGGGATTGAAATACGTGTCCTCATCTTCATCCTCTTCGTTGATGTTGTAGTCCGACCTCCCGTCTTCGTCATCATCCTCGTTATCTTCATCATCGGTGGCATCCTCAACCCAAGGCTGTCGACATCTCCAGACATTGTGTTGCTCCGCAACTGCATCGTAAGCATCGTATGTTGAGACTGATTCGTCAAGATCCATAGCGCATGGGTCCTGAACATGAACATCTTCGCATTGATCCGGCATGGTAGTAGCATCAATCTCAGTAGATATAGACGGTGATTTGGATGAGCAGCTGAGCGTCCGTTGCAGTGTATTAATGGCATTGCTCGTAGTATGCTGTACAGTTGACCAGATGTTCTGAGCCCGTGCTGATGGCTGTGGTACGATTTTCGCCTTCCGATGCCGTAGATCTTCACGGTCCCCCACGAGTTTACCACATCCACAGGAGCAGACGTGCTTTTTAGGTCGTGCAGCTGTAGGCTTCCGCCCACCTCGGCGGCCAATCATTCCGTATGAATGGTCTAAGGGCAGAGGTGAGAGACGCCGAGGACATTGACAAAGGGACAAACCTGCAAAATGCGGCGTTGGCGATAGATGGATGACCTAGTGCACCGGCAGTTCAGGTCGGAGGTGGCGTGTTGCCGATGAAGCGGGGACCACGAGTAGTGACACGGACTGAGGGCGGAGGTGAGAGATGCCGTACAGAGATTTTGCGGCGTTGGCGGTTGACCTGGTGCGCCGGTGGTTTGGGTTGGAGGCGGAGTGTTGCCAATGAAGCGAGAACGACGAGTAGTGACACGGGCTGAGGGCGGAGGTGAGAGAAGCCGTACAGAGGTTCTGCGGCGTTGGCGGTGAAGCGTTCATCCAGGGAGCTTGGAGGGTGCCGATAAGAGGCGCAGTGACGTGGAAGGATAGATGTATCCGTGTTTCGTGTTTCCAGTGGTAGGATGTGTAATGACGGATCTGCTGGACATCAGCGGGTGATGCCGCAGGATTCGGGAGGTGCATACCTGGGTTTTGCAGCGTTGGCAGTGAAGCGTTCGTCCAGGGAGCTTGGAGGGCACCGATAAGAAGTGCAGCGACGTGGAGGGATAGATGTATCCGTGTTTCGCGTTGCCGGTGGTAGAGTGCGGGATGATGGATCTGCTGGACATCAGTGGGTGACGCCGCAGGATTCGAGAGGTGCATACCTGGGTTTTGCGGTGTTGGTGATGAAGGATTGGTCCCAAGGAGTGTGGAGAGCACCGATAAGAGGCACAGCGACGTGGAATCAGGATAAATGTATCCACGTTTCGCGTTGCCGGTGGTAGAATGTGGACTAACAGATCTGCTGTACATCAGCGGATGCCACCGCAGGATTCAGGAGGTGCGTACCTTGGCTTTGCGGCTCTGGTGGTGAAGCGCCGGGCTGGTAAGAGGTTGAGTTTTGATCTAGCGAGCTGGATCAGAAACAGGACAAGTCGGCGCGGGCACTTACCCTGAGGTAAAAACGGCCAGGAGCCAATGAAAACCTGGGGATTGCCAATCAGTTTCCTTTTTCTGCGTCGCCATGTCACTACTCAGGCTTTGTAACCTTCTCCCTCCCTCACACGGCATCTTCAACTTCTCATGCCTGCTACGGATGTCAACCAAGAGGTCAGCGATGCCAGGTATGGAAACTCGAGCCCCGAAAGCAGAAATACGCACCTGACGTTAGCCGATGTTCCGCCAGTGATGACGACAGCATCGACGAGAATGGAATGAGCTATAAGGAGCTCTTCCTCCAGGCAAAGGGTGAGTCACACCTGAGCAGAGTAGACCTTACGCTAACCTAGGACCCGACAGAGCGCGCGGAGAAAGAGAGAGATCGACGCCGCTTACTTGAGAAAAAGATGAACGGTGAGGTTGGCCCCACCGGCCGTAACAAAGCCACACCGGAGAAGATTCCCCGACCGCAAGGGACCGCTGGCAATAAGGGTTATAATCTTCAGACAAAAATGCGGCTTGATAGTTGTGACGCTGACAAGAATGAATTGTATCTTGCTATCTGCGTCAGTAGTTTGCTGCCATCATTTGCTTTTCCGGCTCACAAAGATGACTAGCGGCATGTGCGAGACTTGACTATTGCTGCCCAGCTTGATTGGCGTGTCCCGTTCCGGCGTCAACCTAAGGATGACCTGGCCAAGATATACCGGCTTGTCAGTGTCGTATCACATCAGTCTTGACCAACCACTCACGTCGCATCTTCAGGCAATGGAGTCATTCGATTATCTCAAACAATTTGAGTGTTGTTGGCCCGTTGATGAGATTATATCGCAGCATTTTCGCAATAAGCGAAAGTACAACGCGAAGATGGGCCGGTTTTCCAATCCTCGTGGCAAGAACAGGGCTTTGTGAGAGGATTATCAGTTATAGCACCCTCTGTTCCAGCCTGAGTCTGGATATCACAGTGGGCGCGGCTCGGACCAGCCTCCCCAAAATGACGAAGACCACGAAAATCGTCCACCAATCGAACCGTCGGGCTCGCGCACTTCGTCATCTGCTGCAACGGCAGTGGAGCAGCGACCAAAGCCACGTCCGAGAAAGCGCCAGAAGACGCAGCCAGCACACCCCGAAACCTCCGACAATCAGGCGCCATCTAGAGCTGCTCCACGCCGCGAAAAACCAACGACGAGGGCCGCAGGCCAGCAGCCCACAACCCGCGCGCAGCCTGAGGGAGCCGCCTGAATGCCAAGCATGCCTAAAGCACAAGTGTCCAATGTAGCATTTGAGCATATAGTCTTCGGAGTCGTCAATACAATCATTTGGATTCCGTCCGTGGCCATGTACAATTGCAACAGTCCTAAGCGTAAAAGGGAGAGCGAGCGCGACGGCAGCGCTGGCGCGATCGATCAGTTCCCGATTAGGCGGGCGGGAGCAAACCGTGGGACGACGGGAGTCAGTGTACAGTGTTTGAATGCGAGCTGTATATATAACCAACAAAATGGATGATAGAGATGGGTGAGGGCCCATGATTGCCTGTGGTTTAAATCAGACATGGAATGGGTGACAACCATCCACTGACATTCGTCCACACACTGGGGTACACCTCCCAAAATGTGAGTGAAACCAATCCACACGACTGGTGGGTAAACCCCATTCTGTGGGTAATTCTGTGGTTAAATCTCACCCATTCCGAGTAGCACAGTGGTGGAGCCGAGATGGGGAGGAGAGGGCGAAGGAGCTCGGGCTCACATTGGAAGGAGATCGAACGACAGCCCCATGCATGTGCGCGCGTTGCTCGCACGACGTTGAGGACACGGCTCCGCCTTGCTCATGTTGGCGATGCCAGCTCAGCAAGATGCCTCGTGGCAGAAAAAAACGGGCTAAGCGCACTTAGTTCGTCGACAACTCTCCAAACGTTCTAAGTCCAGTTGACGGCGATCACCAGATGTCCTGGCTGCTCCTGGCGCGAAGTGCGGGTGGACCCTTGCCGAGTTGCCAGAAAATGTCAGATGCTGGCGCTCTTCCGTCCAAGGCGTCTCAACTGCTGGTGTATATCTAAACGCCTTCTTGGCTGATTTGATCGCGTTGCTGTTGTTTGTCGTAGGAGATCGACATCATCCTTAGAGTACACCTTCCTCCGTGGATTCCCCATAACCACCGATATACATAGACACGTGCAAGTCAATCATTCGTTTCACCATGTTCACTCTGCCCTCATCGGCTTCCAGCAACTGAACCCGCATGCAATTTCTCTGTCACACGCAACCTGAGCACTATTGTAGCGAGATGCGTCTGCGGCACTCACCGCAGCGAAGGACACCCCTCGATAGACATGGTTGAAAAGCTCCTTGAACTCCGGATGGTCCTTAACATTAGACGGTCCGTCCTTTCCCTCAGCAATCGCCGCGCTGTCCACGTGCAAAACCCCTTTCAGTGCGGCGACCGTAAGTCGCTTGAGGAACGCTTTGTTGGAAGGTTCATGGTCTTCGCGACTAGCAACTGCCGCCACCGTACCGAAGACATCCTCGTCTGGTTCTGCAACCAGAGCCTTCCCCTTCCCCTTCACACTTGTAGTCGAAGGGGCGGACTTCGTTCGCGACAGTGGAACAGAGGGCACCCGGAACAACGCGTCGCTGCTCTTCTCCGATTTACCCTTTGTTTTGGCAGTGGGCGGACGGGCCGACGCAGCTCGCGTGGTGCTCGGCCCCGCAAGGGAGGCCGACGAAGAAGAGCGCTTAAACTCGACGCCTGTCATTACCTCCCGGGCCCGCCGTAGCGTATCCTCCGCCTTTTCCTTCTGCGACATCTTCGAGGGACCCCCACCATTAGAGTCAGCCCGACGGCGCTTTAAGGTACCACGAGCGTTGCCGTCGCCAGTGACTTTCTCCCCGAAGAAGGTGAGAGGTATCTTGCGCGGCGTGGGATCGTCAGGACGCGGCAGGCGCATGCGCTTCTCCGCAGATGATGTTCCGAGTGATAACGCTTGTACTGGAGGTTGTGGTAGGACGCGAGCGACCCGGAGATGCATTATAGCAGACTCATCAGGCTGGCCGAAGATGACAAATTCAGGGATTTCTATCGATACGCAGCGTGGCGTCAGCATACATCTCTCCGAGAAGCGACAGTGCTAGGGTACGGGCTCACCATCGCCACCAAGACCAACCCGGACACCGTATTTGGTCCTCAAGTTCTTCGCACCCTGGTCTGCGTCCACCTTCTCCAAGCAGAAGACGTTCTCGAAGTAAATGACGGATAACGTAGCGTCGGGGTGAACATGCCTTCAGTAGAGCAACGTTAGATCGTGAGAGGCAGGTACGGAGACTCTCAACTGACATGGAAACACCGGCTTGATCGTCGCAGTCGTCCGGATGAAGGTATATGTCGTCTAACTTCACTGTGCCCAGAAAGTTAAGCGTAGGTCTTCCGCGCATCACCTCTAGAGCCAATGCTAGAGGGTTGTCCAGAAGAGCGGCCGACGAGCCTGCCCTGTTTGGCGTCAAAGAGGTCGTAACAGTCGGTATGCTGAACATGATGCCATCCAATGTGAGATGCGAGTCCGGTAACGCCAACGCTCCACGATAGAGCAATCGATGGCGAGCGGGACCGGAAGGGCTGTTCTGCGGGTGGGACGTAGAGCCAGCGCCATTGGCAGAGGTAGAAGGAGTAGAACTTCGCTGTGGTGGGTTTACAACGGTTGCCGCGGACATCGGTTGGCGGAAACGCAAGCTGAGACGGGTGTTCGCGCCAAGCCAACACCCAGTGAATCGGTCACATGAGATGCACGTGGGCGCGTTTAGGCGTGCACCCTGCAGCGAAAGGCGACAGATTGACAGAAGCTCGCATGCACACAGGCGTTGATCAGCATCGTAAAAAGCATGTTTAGATTACATTTCTCATCTATTGTACATGTGCGTTTCCGGGTTTCAATCGATAGGACAGGCTTTGCGAGTCAATGGCATGCTGCCACTGCATGGCAAACACAAATGATGCAGGCCATAAACCGTTCGAAGAGCAAGAAAACCTCCATCGACACGAGATAGAGCCGGCTATAAAGACGGCGTAGTGGAGCCATCGGAAACAGTTTGAGGTAAACCGGCGTTTGCAGGAGACACAGGCGATGATTGCGCAGGTGTTTTGGCTGGGACGGAGACGATCCTTGCCTCGGCTCGTGTGATGTGTACCCTCGTCGCCGTTTGCACGATGTAGTCCAACGCGTCTTCTAAGTCCAGACGATCACCTGGCACCCATCTTATGGTTGTCCGCTGCAGGTTTAGTGCGCGTCGTCTTATCTGAACCTGTCGAGTAGCACGTCAGCTAAACCCGTCTCACAGCGTATATGCGCGGTGAGATAATCTATGAGACTCACGCGGGGCATGGTGATGCTAAGGGTATGGTGAGAGGCTCAAGATGGGTGGCTCCACGGTTTGCAGCCTCCATTTAATTGGCCGCGCGGCGCGAAGTCGACCACAATTGATTGAGCAGCTGAAGGGCGTTTCGTGACTCATTTGTGGATCTATCATGATGGAGCGGTGCCACACGCCTCAAGGGCCGTGGCCCTGGATGGCAAAACGTTTTCGGGTCGCATTGTTACTGGGGAGGCGTGGCGTCCGGAGGCGGCGGTCTTTTGTCAACCACGAGGCCACGCGCCTCCAGGCTCATAAAGGCGGTTGATTGAGCCCACGCCTTCGTCTTTCTCCCCGTCACCCCACTTCCTGTGGAAGCAGCGATGAAACCAATGGCGAAGACCATGCAACAACACCGCAACAGGAACGCCTGCATCGTGCAGTAGACGCAACGTCGACTCCTGGTAGCTGATCAAACTGTTTCTGTTAACAAACAAGATGGACGGTTGGACGCCACGCTGCTCACCATGGAGGACCTCGCCCATGATTCGGGAGATGAGATCCGTGCTGGTCAACAGGAACCAATAATCGACCTCAATATTCGGCGATTCATACGTGTATAAGGCACCATTCAGCAGCAGCGACGAGAGGGGTTAGGATGGGGAGCCTCTCGTTGGGCAGATATCGTTGGAGGATGCAATTCGGATGCGGTCTCTCAAGTGATGCACCGAAGGACGACGTAACACCCGTCATCGCCTCGTGCTGACTCGATTGGCCCGCGTTTTAGATGTGATTCCAGTCGTTCAAGCATCGGCATACGGATATAATGAGCCTGCAGTGCTTGCGCATTGCGTGCGAGGCGGGGTGAGGTTCAGGTGCAAGGTGCGTGCGCACGACGCGCGCATCCACGCGGTGTCACGACGCGCGCATCCACGCGGTGTCACGACGCGCGCATCCACGCGGTGTCACGACGCGCGCATCCACGCGGTGTCACGGTGCCGCCCAGGCACTCCGACCTCACTGCTATTACAACGTCTTGCGAGTACGCGTTGAACCAAAAGATCTACTGACATCATCACATTGGCAGACTGACGTTTTACACCATTGGCAGACTGATGTTTTATAGGAAGCAGCTACGCAGATTACAGGTTTGAGGTAACACGGGATAGTACATTAATATTTGTCTTACAGACAATACGGGAACCAAGACTCTTGGAGAACACTGCCAGCACACGACAGGATGGTTGAAGATAAGTGCGATGTTCGCAGCAGGATTATAAGGGAGAAGAAGGAGCATGGGCAGGGGGGATTGGAAATATGCAATAAAAAGACATCGTGGTTCACTGGCGGGGGCCGGGCTTGAGACCGAGGCAGGGACTGCACAATTTGGGGTGATGGACGTTCAAGGGCGACTATAGGTCGCGTTATTGGCGGTGCCGGGACCTACAGTGAGAATAACGCGCTCAAAGAGTCAGTGCGGATCGCGTACAGGCGCACAGCGAGCTCACGGATGCTTGCTACTCTCTTCAGCATGTTCATCATCTTCTGGCTAACACGCCTATGCTTGGGAAGATCTTCATCCTTGTGAGTGAGTTCACGTCGATCATTTTCTTTGGCCACGAGCGTTCCATTTGTTTCCGCATCTGAGACACGCGGCTCGCGGAGGGTGTCATCATCCGTGAATATGTCCATTTCGTCGGTAAGGTCTACGATACCAGGAGCGGATCCAAGATCAACATCCGTAACCCAGCTGCGAAGCCGCGAAAGCCCCGTAGAAACGTGTTCTCCACCCAGATCATGAGGTCCGGATGGCCTGTGCAGAGTTCCACGATCGATAGATATTGGATTAGCGTGGCCGTCGTTCGAGGTAGGATAGCCAGTGGCCGCCATCCGACGATGTGAGTGCGTTCGTAGCATGGGGTCACTGCTTTTTTCGTCCCGAGACCCTTGTTCTGCAACCCCAGAATCGAAGGCATGTGGAACAGATGCAGCTCCATATCCAACAAAGACGTCCACCTGCTCGTCAAGTAGGAATGCCAGCATAGGCAGATCAATCGGATGAATGTCTAAGATTACACCTCGACGCCATTCCTGTCTGTAACGACCGTTACTCAAGCCTTGCTCTTCACTTCCGTTGGCAGATGTAGAAGGTTCTGGCGAGGATCCACGTCCCAGGTACGCGTCCGCTGATTCGTCAGTCAACTCCGCGAAAAGCCACAGGTCTTCGGATTCGATATAAAGCATCCGACCTCGACGCCGCCATTGCTCCGTAATTTTCTTCTGCGTGGCCTTATTCTCGGGTGGAGACTTGGCTGACGCGACGTGGTGACCTTTGGACGCGTTTCGCATGTAGTTACCGGTGATCTGGGGGTGTGCCCGCGAACATCACGACAAGGTGAGGACTGTGTATTTCCGACTTGCTGGATCGGAATGCCACTTACGGATGCTATCTTGACGCGTAGGTCCCAAGGCACCTGACTGAGCCGGGCAGGATCTGGCATCACTACGCGTCCTGCAGATCCTGCCGCTGCGTAGCCATCTTGGCCACCATCCGAGTATGTGACCAAGTCATGTTCTCCAGATTGCACAGATTCATTCACTTGGAGGTGTGTCTGCTGCATGACTGCCTTGCACTGTGATATGGTTCGTGGAGCAGAGATATCTGGAGGTCGCAGTCCGGGCTTGTTCGTGGTTGATTGATTTGGTTGGAAAGAGAGATGCCAGAGCATCCAGATGTTGCCATATGCACCAAGGAGACATGGTTCGCCATTGTTCCATACAGCATCGAGGGCCACAGAGTAACGTCGGTGGCCTCCAATGAGATCCGCGCAGGCGAGTCTCAGTCAAACGCGTGCCGCGCGCGCGCACGTGGTGATCACGCATTTCCCACACCCCGCAGCTGGTGGACCAGGGCATGCGTGCAGTGTCCCTAACAACGAGTTCTTACATGTCCTTACTCTCTTCACCCTCATGCTCAAGTGTTATGAGTGTATGCATGGACGCCGATCTCACCAATTACCCCGATTAACTACTTATACATGCAAAACTATTTGTACCCGAACAGCTTGGCGATCTCCTGGTCGATCAAGTCGATGGCGGGCCAGTTCTCCTCGAACTTGAATTGATCTTGCGGGTGCACCCAAACATCTGATCTGTTAATTGATACCGCCTGGCCGTTGGCCTTGCTGTCTCCGAGAAGGCTCTAAAGAAAGACGAAGGTAGTTAAGCACCCCAGTGTAGAAAGCAAGAGCGAACGTCACGTACGATGAACTGTTTGACCACGAGATCAATCGGGGTGAGCAACTTTTGCTCGCGGAAGGGCACGAAGAGAACGTCCGGGGCAATCTGGGTGTCTGTATATTACGTTAGGCGTGATTGGCGCCGCTGTCCAGGTGGTCAGTACTAACCGACCAAGTTGGGGGCAACTGCAAATAACGGTGAGTCGTCAATTATGCTCGCTGTAGCAGTCACGACTTACTGCAGTTGATAGTGACGTCCTTGTCTGCGTAGAAAGCAGCTGACGCCCTCATAAAGTTGACGATTGCTGCCTTCGCAGCCGAATACATCGGCATCGTCGTACTCGGATAAAAGCCGATCACGCTGGACGTCAAGATGAGCTTGCCACGGAAGCCGTTCACACCCTTCTCCTGACGCTCGAAGTATTGCAACGCCAACGCCGCCGTGTTGAGCTGTCCAGTGCAATCGATGTTCAGCGTCGCGAAGTTGGGTTTCGAGATCGGACGGTTTGCCGCGGTAGCGGGATCGAACGCGGGTAGCCACGGAAGTTCCGCAATTCCCGCGTTGGCAAACACTGTTTCGGGAAGACGTTGAGTTTCATGAACGGATTTCGTCGGTCGGAGACATAAAGACGCACCATAGTCGATGCGACCGAAGGTAGCTTTACCCTTCTCGAAAGCAGCCGCCTGATCGTCCCAGTTGGTCGTGTCGACCTTGTAGGCAACTGCAACACTGGCAAAAACCGTATCTTAGGAGATGATCTTTACTTGGTGTCGATGAACAAGCTGCAAACCTTGATCCAGCCTTCTCATTCAGTTCCGCAGCGAACTTGCTTCCGGCCTCCTCATTGAGATCGGCGATGATCACCTTGCCTCTGAACCATCCAAGAGTCAAGGCGAGTCTCCCAATGTGCATTCGACTCACTCACCCTTGCGCAACGAGGCTCTCCGCCAGACCACGACCGAGACCTGTCGGGGTACATATGAACGATCTCCTCCCGCATCGATAAAGAGGATGTCTCACCTGAAGCGGCACCGGTAATGAGGGAGACTTCGTCCTTGGAAATGGCCATGGCGCGTGCAGTGAAGGATAGGAATAGGAAGGCCCGATGAGTGCGGTACCCTCTTCGGACGGGGGTTGAAATAGGAAAGGCGCAAGAGGAGTTTTGCACTGTTTTGCATTGCTAGATTGATGCTAGATCAAACTCAGGGCCAATTTAACCGGCTTCCTCCGCACGAAGTTCGTTGGGGCGCCGCGGCTCTGTCCTTTTCCATGGACCAGACCAGGACGATGGATGCCGACATAAGCGTTCCGGGACATCGAAGATGGACAGGATCCGGCCTCATACCGCGCAGAATATGACCTCGCAGAGCGTATCCGGCCTCATACCGCGCAGAATATGGCCTCGCAGAGCGTATATCGCCCCGTCCCCCCTCGGATGCAGACCTGACTGTCGGACAGCATTGGACGTAAAAGGTAGGTTCTTTGGCACTATCGACGAGCTTCCTCCCGGCACGTAACCACCTTAAGGCTATCACGTGATACAGACGCGGCCAGGCGGAGGAGGACGCGCTTGGGTGAATGTTGAGACGTTAACCGTGTCTCAGCCTATACATTCATCAAAGACCTTCCAAGCGATTTGCGCGTTTCGAGGACGGCCTGATTTGTCCTGAATATTATGCCCTGGTTACTGAGACATCCGCGCCATTAGCCTCCGAACCGCAACGGCAATGCCAACAAATATATGCCGCCTGTAGGAGGGAAAGACGCAGTTGCATTTTTTTCTCCCCCTCTCACCATGAGCGCCGCCGAAGTTGAGAGACTCAACCAAATTGTTCACGTTGCCCAGGTAGCCAACATCCATCGAAAGCATGTTGCATTAATTGCTCACAGATTAACAGACTTATGTTGCTAGTGCGTACTCCATAACCCTTTTGCTACAGCGTGACCGACGAATCGATGCATTGCAGGCACTACCTCCGTGTTGGTCTGGGTGCGTTATCTGCTCTGATGATTTAACAATTCCGACTCACATAGCCTTCTGTAGGACTGGTTAGCATGCCTTCCACAAGAGGTACGGGAGTACCACGTCTTTGACGAAGAGACTATCTTAGACCACGTATCAGTATAAATACATATGGAAGGTGTCATGGAGTCCCATCAAAGTTTTGTACCTCATGGTACGGTACTACACCTTCGTCGTTCTTGTCGGTGAGTGACCCTTCGCCTTCTCTTCCATCGCTCGAAGAAGCCACTGACACCCGTGTGTTCCCAGTGACCGATGTTTGTGTGTCATATTCTGACTCTCCATGAACCACAACGTATTCACTGCCTTCACAGGGTTCTTCGCTGATTGGCAAGAGCAGTGAGTGCAATTGCAAGAGCCAATGGCAATACGAATGCTCACCTACTGCAGGACATGTGCCAAGTCACTACGCATTCTTCCTGGTCTAGCCGTCGCGATTGACTTATGTGTTGAGATGGGTATGTTCAGTCTTCCGCGTCGAGGAATTATCGTACTGAACATATATACAGTGTTGGCGCTACGGTGAGGGCCAAGCGATGTAAATATCCGTAACACGCTCAATTTGCGTTCCAGAGTTTACGCTCTGTACGCACGTGATTGGAGAATAGGTTGCCTCCTTGTAGCCGTCTTGGCTGGCTTTTTAGGTGTCATGATCGCGGTCCCCATCCTCGCGTTTGACTACACGAGGTTGCCATCTTGGCCAGGTCCTTGTTTAGGTTTGTACTCCCATCAGATTCACGATAGAGCGCGTTGAATGACTGTACGTTATGCACTCAGTGACGGGTAAGGCATCTGTCGCGGGTCCTCGGTTCATCATCGCTTTCTACGCCTCTCCTATGTAAGAGTTTCCACTCGTACGGCTTGCTTCGTCGTGCCTAACGATGCTATAGGACACTCGACCTCCTCTTCACCGGGCTAACTACGTGGCGCGCGCTCAAACATCGCCGTAGCGGCACCGCCAGTGGGCTCATCAAGGTCTTTCTGCGAGACGGCATCCTTTACTTCCTGTCCATATCGGCTTTGAACTTGTAAGCGAATCTCATTTCTCCTGAAAGCAACTGCTTGAATTATCTACGCTGTATCACAGGGTCAACGTGATATTCTTCATGTAAGTTCTGGCCGCATTCGTGGCGAAATGCCCTAACGTCAAATATCGACAGCAAAGCGGATGCATCGATACAGTCAATCAACGCCCCTATGAGTATTCAGCTGTCCTCTGTTTTATGCTGTCGCCTGTGAGTCCGCGTTGCCAAGCTGCAATCTTTCGGGAGCGCTAAGAACGCCATCTGTTATCTATAGCATTCTCAATCTCCGTGCCGAGCATAAACGTCAGCCGGCGGTGAAGCGCTTCGCTACGACCGTCGGCCGCTGGATAGACGATTTCCGCGTCACGGACGACAGTCAGAGCGACGGACACACCGTATCGCTCCAGAGCCGTACCCCGCGGCCGGCCGCATCCGCCATGCGCAGAGAACCCGCTGGCGATGGAGAGCCTGCGAATGGTAAAACACGCTCCTAGCATATGGTGATCGGCGAGCACTGACCCCATTGTTGTAGGTATCGTAGTGCATTGGGAACGCGAGGTCTACGACGACACCGCTGCATGGGACTCCAAGCAGGTGATATCCAGGAGTAACAGCGACATCGAAGCTGGCAAAGACGACTTGGACTTGCCAACCACAAACAAGGCTTAGATAGAAACGCACCAACAAATTCCTATGAGGAAACTTGCATACACGCTTTCACATATCATTGTACATTGTTGCATTCATTTTCCTATGAGGGACTCGCATACACGCTTTCACATATCATTGTACATTGTTGCATTCATTTGGTTTGGCAGCAGGGCAACAGAGACGTGCGGATTGTCCTCCTTTCTTCTCGTGGTAATCGTCTCACAAGTGCTCGCAAAATGCATGAAACCGACTCTTTTTGCAAGGTATATGTCATCCATGAATTTAGATAGTGCATCTCTTACAGCGTGATCGTGACAGCCCAGTCGTTCGCGATAGGCACCCGCGGATCCTTGACGGTCAGCACGCTGGCCTGGCCTTCCTTCTTCTCAGTAGCCCCAACACCTGCCGTCCACTCCCAGTCAAGTTCTTGACCGCCCTCTAACTTGACGCTCTTGGGCTTGCACCCGAGCCCAAGGACGACAATCCTCTCGACGCGCACGTCCTCCACGCTCTGCGCATACGCGTTCTGCGGGTTCCATTGGACGAGTGCGACGCCATCCACAGTCTCATCCGGCCTTTTGTTCACCAGGTCGCGGCTCGAGATCCGCACCGTCTTCTTCTCCGTCACCGCGCTGAACTCGCGCCAGACGAGGTCGCCCTTCTCGTGGTTAAAGGACTCGCCGTCGTCGAGGTAGAGCTCGCCCTTCGCTGCGCCCTGTTTGGAGAGCGCGACGCGGAGGGTGAAGGGGTCGTACTTCATGAGCGGGGACGAGCGGCGTGGGCGCTCGCGCGTGGGGATGATGGATCCGCCGCGGATGAGGATGGGTGTCTGATGGAGCGCGGCGGGGACCGTGACCTCTTTGCCCTTGGCGGCGCCGCGGTACGTGTGGTAGGTCTTATAGTCGTAGTAAATCTGTCCGAGAGTGTCAGCTGCGTTGCGAGGCGTTGATTTTTGTATCAATATCTACCTGGTCCTCTGGAATGTACACGCTCTGCTCTGTGACACCCTTCTTGGTCACAGGTTTCACCAAGAGGCCCGAGCCACCGATCCAGTACTGCTCGTCGAGCTCGAAGCCGGCCTCGTCCTGGGGGAACTCGACGTAGTGCGGGCGCACCACGGGCATGCCCGTGACGCTCGCCTCGTGGAACGCGGTGTACCACACCGGCAGCATCTTGTACCGCAACCGGAGGAGGTCGCGGATGATGGATTTGTACGGTTCGTCGAGGAGGTATGGCTCGCGCCGCTTGGTATCGATGTGCGCGTGCGCACGGAAGAAGGGGTTCCAGACACCGACTTGGTACCACCGCACCAGCATCTCTGACTCGGGGTTGCCGAAAAACCCACCGACGTCAGCTGGAGGGCAACGCGGTGAGCCATAAATCTCAGAACGGCTTTGAAGGGGAACGTACAGCCGGCAAAGGTCATTCCCGCGATGTTGTTGGCGAGCACCATCTTGATGCCGACAGCCATGTGCTCCCAGGTCCCGAGGTTATCGCCGGTCCACATTGCGCCGAAGCGCTGCGAGCCCGCGTAGAAGGAGCGAGTGAGGACGAACGGCCTCTTAGGAGGGTTCGAACGGGCGATAAGGCCTTGCGCCGTCTGATTCGTCTGTGAGATGGACGTTGAAGTCAAGATCTGCACAATCATATTGCGTAGGGAGGCCGTACAAATAACATGCCGTTGATGTTGTGAAGGTCGCGGTGTTCCCATCCGCCGTAGTGAATGTTGTCGCGGGGCATGCTAATTTCAGGCCCGTTGAAGACGGACGGCTATACATCGATGAGGTCAGAGAATACAACCAAAGCAAAGCAATGGCGCCCATTACCTCGTTCATGTCGTTCCAAATAAAGATATCCTCCGTGCTCTGTTCCCAAACCCAGTCGTCTCCCGTCTTCTTGGTCTGGAAGAGCGATTTCCACCACGCCCAGCTGGCGGGGTGGAAGTAGTCGACCCATGAGCTGCTTCCGGGCCAGCACCAACCCTCGTACTCGCCCTGCCCGCTAGGCGGCTTGACAAGGATGTCAAGCTCTGACGCCTTCTTGTACACGGGGAAATCGTTGGCGCGCTTCAAGTGCGGATCAATGATGACCACCATCTGCAACAGAACGACGTTATTAGGATGATCTCGCGCACTCACGGTGGGGCACATACCTTGCGACCATACTGCGCAACGTCGTTGGTCATCTCGACGGGATCAGGGAACTCGCGTTCCTTCCATATGAAGTACTTGTGGTCCGGCGCGTACTCGATGTCAAGCCAGATCACGTCCAACGGCATATCCTCCTCGTCGAACCGCTTCTGCACGCCCCTCACATCGTCCGAGCTGACGTAGTTCCACCGGCACTGGTGGTAGCCGAGTGACCATTGCGCTGGCAGCGCAGTCGTGCCCGTCAATCCGGCGTATTGCTTGAACACGTCACGGGGCGTCGGGCCAGGCAAGATGAAGATGTCCAGAATGCCCGACTCGGAGATCCAGTGCGTATTCGTCGACTTCGGGGTCGGGTGCTCGATGTCGATCCAGGTTTCGGAGCCGATGGCGTTGAAGACGGCCACGGTCGAGTCAGCGGAGTGCGCGTGCATGACGGGGATGGAGCCGTAAAGAGAGGTGATGCTGTCCGCATTGTACTCGAAAACATCCGAGTTCCAGAGGCGGAAGGGGTCGTTGTATTTGGCCTCATCACCGGTGGTCGAGGGGAGAGCAAGGTTCGTGGCATGTTGCGGGATGCCGTAGACGACACCATGGTTCGGGAACTCGATGTCGATAGAGAGCGACTCGGGGCCTAGTCAGGTTGACAACTTAGCTCGTAGACTGCGTGATTAATGGCGCGTGCACATACCCTTGGGCTTCGAGTCGGTCCATGTGCTCCATTTCTCCTCCCAGTATCCGTCTTCCGAATCGCCCTCGAACCATGCCCGGGGGTTGGTCTTGATCACCTTCTGCGCACCCTCCTGCACTTCCTCTTCAGGTTTCTCCTCCTCCTTCTTCCTGAAGTGTTCCATATGCAGCAGCCCCCGTCCGTTCAGCACGACCTGCTCCTTGCCGTTCCGCAGTAGCGTCACCGTTAACGGTGCTAACGTCACCACGACCTCAAACTCGCCCTTCTCGCCGTACTTGGCACGCACGTCGCGCTTCCCAACCATCCACTTGACGCTCGGGCTGACCGTCGGCTCCGCAATGAGCGCCCAGCTCGCAGCCTCGTTATAGCGCTGCCGCAGGCCGTCGATCTCATCCATCCGGACGCGCACCACGCCGTCGTCGTGAATTCGCAGGTCGAGGCCGAATTTGATGTCCGGGTAGAGCTCCGACTTGACGGCGGCGGTGAACGACGCCTGGTCCGCGGCGAGCGCGACGGACGCGGCGTCGATTGAGTACGGCGAGTACCATCCCTCGGGGTCGTCGGCGGCGCGGTCTGCGAGTGCGCGTCCGCGGCGGCAGAAGGCGGCTTGGTTGCAGAGCTTGAAGTCCTGTTGCTTGAAGGCAAGCGCGGAGGAGGCCAGCAGCAGCAGCCAGACGCCGATCGAGCTCGGCGTCCGCATTTTGTGGCGTATATCCGTTCCGCTTCTAGCTGTCGCTAAGTAGAATATATTATGGGAGGCGACCGAAGGTCAGGGTGCGACGGAGTTGGAGGTAGGAGAGGAAGCCGTGGTACGTGGCGGGGCCAAGCTTGACTCTCACCCGTACCATCATCACCTCGGAATACATATCGGAGATATCTGCCATGACCAACGATTTCGTAGACCTGTCGCACAAGCTGAACGATTCCGTTCAAATATATCCAGGCGACCCCGCCTTCTGCTGCAAACAAGCCTGCACGGTGCCCAAAGACGGCTACAGCGTCCACGCGCTCTCCATGGGCTCCCATACCGGCACGCAACCCACCCTAGGGACTGATATCGTCTACCACGGGCTGCGATCTGACGGAAACGGGCAGGCACCCACGTTGACGCGCCGTCTCACTTTGTCCTCGACGGCGCGGCCATCGACGAACTGCCGCTATCGCTGTTCGTCGGCCCCGCTCTGGTCATCGACGTTTCAAAGGCGGGTACCCTTGCCCCAAAGGCCCGCATAACGTGGGATGACCTGCAGGCATACGAGGCGCGCATGCGGCCAGGCGTCGTCGTGCTCGTGCACACCGGCTGGGCGCGGCACTGGGGCTCTCCCGTCTACTTCGACCACCCGTTCCTAACGCGCGACGCGGCGCAGGGGATTATGCGCGCCGGTGTCAAGACAGTGGGCATCGACACCCTGAGCCCCGACGAGACACACACGGGGGACGTGCCTGCGGATGCTGATTGGGGCGTTCACGAGACGGTGCTTGGGGCTGAAGGCGTCATCGCCGAAAATCTGAAGGGCTTGGAGCAGCTTCTGGCAGGAGAGTGGACGGTACATGTGGCGCCGCTGAACTTGACCGGGGTAGACGGATCGCCTGTCAGGGCGTATGCGACGAGAAACTGGATAGCCTGAGTCAGGCTGTTTCTGATCGTTCACTGGTGCTAGTGTTCAGATTTCGTGGTCGGTGACGGTATATCAAATATATATGCGTATCGCATGGTCATTAAAGAACGTCTCAAAATGAAAACTGAGTAGAAGAGTGCGTGAGATATAACATGCAACAGTTAGAGTGGAAAGCGTCCAAGCGCATGTATGGCGTATGGTAATCATTACGTAGGGGTATATACGTCGTTGAGACTTTTATGCTCAATCTATCTTCACAATCGTCTCCTGATGCACCATGATCTTCGAGATAGGGTTCTCGTCCACAATGATATCGCCAAAGTCGTCATCGTCGTCGTCTACACCCTCCATCGCACGCGCGCGCTCGCGAAGCCGTTCCGCAACCGCTGCGTAGTCGACCGCCGAGTCGACCTCGAAGCAGCTCTCGGCGTCCGCGCCGACCGTCTCCCGCATCTCCGTCAGGATCCGCTCCAAGATGCTGATTCGCTTCACGTCCGCCCCACGACCAGCGCCAGCGCTGGGTTCTTCGTCGACCTCGTCGGCTGCATCCGTGAGGTCAGGCAGAAACGAGATGCCTGAGTCCGATGGGCTGCTGGTTGCGACGGGGTCGACCATTGGCACATTACCGGCATCGTCGTCGTGGACCAGCGTCTCTGCATCCTCCTTCGCATCGGCCAGAACCCCGTCCGCCTCCGGAGAGCCTGCCCACGCGAGGGCAGCGCGTATCGCGCTCGGGCTCGGGCTCCTAGGCACCGTCGGTTCAGCGAGGCCATCTACCGAGCTGCGCCCTTCCGCGCCGTCCTGAACATGCACGGAATCGCTCGATGCTGACGCCGACGCCAATGCCGACGTCGTGGCCGGGGAGGAACGCGATTGCGGATATATGATCACATCGTTCTCCGCGTCGTAGATGGGCACGGGCTTTCGCTTGATCTTTCTCTCCACTGCGGGCTGCGGTCGCGCATATATAGGAGCCGGGATCGGGTCAGGCACAGGGAGCTCCTGTTTCTCGGCCAAGGCGGCGCTAAGCACTTGAGGACTGGGGCAGGGGCTGTTTCGCGGACTATGGCACGGCCCGAGCGCGGCGAGCATGCCCTCAACGCGCGTGCGGTCCAGGTCCCGAGGCGGAGTCGGAAGCGGGCGCGGGCCCGAGAGGGACGGGGAGGGAGGAGACTTCGAATCCACCTCCTTGCTGATCGCTAGCATGGGCGATGGCGGCGCTTTGACGGGGCGGGGCATCTCGATGCTCCCTGGACCAAGGAACACGCCATGTTGGACGTTGGATGGGCCGCTGATAACCGGGCGGCCGCGCGAGCGCGAGCGCGTCTTGGACGGCGGGCGGGATGGCGTAAAGCAGCGGAAGATCGATCGGCTCGATCGCTCGCCCGTCGTAGGCGGCGGGGAGGGAGGCGGCACCGATTGGCAGGCTCGCACCCGGGCAGTCTCGTCTTGGCGCTGCTGCTCCATCGCGAGGAGTGCATCGACGCCGCTGGCGACGTGGCAGAACCCGGTCGGGGCGCGGATCTCGTCGATGGTCGTTGATCGCCACATCTTGGGCGGTGGGCGCGATAAGTCCATCGGGGGCAACGGCATCGACATCGACATCGGTGTTGTGACGGAGCGGTGAGGGGTCAAGGGCTCTGCGGACGTCTGGAGGATTGGGCTCCTGCGAATCTGTTCGGTGGGGACCGAGGCGCCACCGTCCCACGTCGGTGGTGGCTTCCTCCTCGGTGGCACCGGCATCGGCATTGTCGAGGAGCGCGTCGCAGTCGGAGGTTCGTGTATCGTCGAAAGTGTCGGGCTCTTGCGAGATGTCTCCAGTGAAGCAGGGACGGCGCCGTCCCACGTCGGCGGAGGCCTCCTCCTGGGTGGCACCGGCACCGGCCTTGTCAAACTTCGTGGGGTCCCTGGTTCGGCGAATGCCACTGGCGTCGGGCTGCCGGGCATAGGCATCTGCAGGTCGTAGAAGACCGGTAGCTCGAGCTCGGGACTATGCATAGCATCCCCGTTTTCCTTCTCATATACCTGCGAATGCCGATTCCTTGCTTTGCGGATCTGCTGCTTAGCGCGCCACGCTTGTTTGATTTGTTCGGCTTCCGAGGGTGGTTCGTCATCGGAGGAGCCTGTGAGTGTGGCCGAGGACGACAAAGACGGTTCGGGGCTCTTTCGCTCTGGCTCTCCTTCCTCAGACTCGACGAGGACAGGGAACGCGCCGTCGTTATCTGCACGCATACACTCGGCTACGCCCGCGGAGCGAGATCGAGTCTGTATCAACGAACGAGGGTCAGCGAGCTATACGCAAATGTGGCATACAAGGGTGCACGCACCCAGTCCTGGATGTTGGAGATACGCGGAGTGGGAGGAGCAGCATACATCCCGTGCATGTTTTGGTGCCTTGAGAACGGATAGAATGGCAGGTGGATGGATAGACCGAGTCCCTGAAAGGGAGTACTGTCGGGTTAGGGGGCAGCAAGTAGCATGCTTATATATTGCAGCACACAAAGACGATCAGCGTGGCGCAAGTGTGGTCGGTTGAGTCGCTAGGTGATGGTGGCCCTGTCCATGGCTAGGCAATTTCAGAGGTTCATCGTGGGCATGGCACATGCGTTCTTGCATGGTCTTTGTGGCTTTGTCGTCGTCTTTCATTACTAGTATTCTGTTCGATTCGCGGTAAGTATAGGCGATTGTCAGCGCACTATGCGAGACTTGCGCGCTATGATAGGCATTGCTCACCAGCAACAGCAACCTGTTTGCCGAGTCATGGGCCACAGACACCTTCTGTTCCCTAGAGCGTTGCAACTCGCAAGGCAACAACTGTAGACACGAGTCTTGCCATAACAGACAGCTCGGCTACGACTATTGCCGTGAAGTTCTGCAAAATCATCTCATTGACCAACGTAGTCCGTTACACCGTACGATACTGGGGCAACACATTATGACGGAATGTACGAACCACCGGCCCGGCTCCGGCCTCATCGTTACCGACAAGGGCAGCTCAACGCCGGAGACATGACCAAAGAGTCGAGCACTGAGATGTCCGAGGTTGGTGTACGCTCTGCTTTGGCACAGACCAGCCGAAGGAGGTTGTGTGGGCGATGGCCTGCAATTTGACTCGAGAGCGATGAAAGGCGGGAGGGGGGCGTGGGAGGGCTGGGTATACTCAAAGATCACGTGAAGCGTGGCAAATGGGATTACTGTATCGGGGTTGTGGCGTTTATTTAGACACGGAATGCAAGTTGCAATCGTGGCTCGCGTACGCTGCAAAGTAACGAAGATTAAGAACTTTCGGGGGATGTTCGATGTGCCGGATTCTCAGCGGTTAAACACCGGATGGAGTCTATGGAGCAAGGCGTTATCGCCTCCCGAGCGCCGTGCGACACGAGTCCGATAGTCGTCATCTCTCTATTTTCAAAAGCTCTGTGGGATCAGGGAACACTGACGTGGCACAAGGGTGTAGGGCTCATGTATCGGGATGATGCTTGCTCGGATTCAGATCCATCATAGAGCCCGAACTAGTACCATCAGCATGGGTAATGCTCGGTGGCGGCCGGACGTCCGAACGTCAGTAGATGAAACACTGACTCGCCCTTATGAGCAAAGTAGTTCGTCGCGAGGGGAACCTCAGGCCTGCGCTTCATCTCCTCCTCTTCAAGAGGTGGAACTCCCCCAACCACCCAGCGACACCTTTCCTATACGCCCAAACCACAATTCGTTATGATGAACGCGACGATGACCATGATACCCATGCCTGAGATGATCGACGTGGCGAGTGCATCCACGTTGCAGCCTCGCAGCATGATTCTGAGATCGGAGCAGACAAGTTACAGAAGTGCGCGCGCGGCACCGCCGCCCATCCCGCCTCGCGGCGGCGAGGTCACCTACGGAACGGTTTACGTAGCGCGGCGCCGGCCCGCAACACACGTATTCGTAGCCAGAAGGGTGCGTCTGTCGAGCATGTCGGGGAGGATCGTGCCGGTGCCCGACGGTATTGGGGTGCGTCCTCATTCATCCGTGGTTACGAGACGGCGTTGGGCATTAATCCCGAGCTGCGGTGTAGCTGACGCTGGCGCGAGTATGATGATGACCCCGACTGCACGGCGGTTGCCTTGAGCCTGTAGAGGAGGGCCAGTAGCTGACCAGATTGCAGATGTACCATGAGCTGATAAATCTGTGCAAATATTTTTTTGCCTTGAGTCAGGAGAGAGTTCGTTCAGGAGAGTCTCGGAGGTCTCGGATTTCAGACATAAAAGGAGTGCACGTGACCGCCATTGCTCTGTTCCCTGCCACCGTCGCCGCCGCAGCCCTCGCTCTGCTAGCTTCCGCCTTTGATGTCCCCTTCCCGAGCCTGAACCCCTCCTCATCGTCCTCAACAGCGAGCGCATGCACATTCTCCTCCCGCTCACTGCACCCTCCATCCTGCCCACACCCGCCACCCAGCCGCCCACCTCCGACGCTCGCCACTGCCACCACTTTCCGGGCCTCCTAGCTCTTAGGCTCCTTCTCTCCCCTACTATCTTATCCAACGCACGCATATGAGCACATCAGATCTACATCTGGATGCTCTCGATAATGATTTATGGAAGGAGTGGGAGCTCGTGGCACCCAACACTTGGTGGCGCACGCTCCCCGAGCTTGCGCACTGGGGCTTCCCCGGCACCCCGTACGAGCGCGCGTCGGCCACGTTCATCGCGCAAGCCGCCAAGCCGCCTCACCGACGTGAAGAGCTGCTTTGCTGGTGTGGACATGGACAAGCGTCGCCCGAAGGCCTGCCACCTCCGCCGGATGTCACGGAGGCCGAAATTTGCCTGAAAGAGGGACTGCCGGGCACCCGGTCCGTGGAGAGCGCGGTGCAGCTGTACGAAGAGCGCGTCGGGATTGTGGGTAGGGCGGAGGATCCGGAGTCGCAGCAAACGTCGTCGTCGTCCGCGAGCTCCGCGCCCGCGCTGCACCTAGACGACGCACCGAAGTCCGTCGATCTCGATCCTTCCTCTTCGTGCTGGCGAGCGCAGGTCGAAGCGCTCTTCGACGGCATAGCAGCAGACCGTGAGCGTGAGCATCAGCGCCGCTTCTCGTTGAGTCACCATCCCTCAACTTCACCCTTTATAGCTCCGAGCACCAGCACCAGCCGTATCACCCTCACCGACCTCTTCAGCCCTCATCCTCGCGACGCCTCCACGCCACGCCCACAACGCATACGGTCATACGCCCGTGTCGTCTCCCCCGAGCTCCCTCGCCGCAAGCCAAGCGGCAGTAGCTCTCCCTCGTCCTCCCCTTCTCCCGGCTCGATCTTCTCTCCCACTGCTCTCGATCTCTCACCGGCGACAACGACGACTTCGCTTTTTGGCTCGGACGACGTATCCTCCCGCACGAGCGCGTTCAGCGCCTCACGCTCGCCGTCACCCAAGCCCAAGTCTCTTAGCCCACTCCCATCGCGACCGGCCTCACCAGCGCCGACGCCCGTCACGCCCTCCATCAAGACCCGTCTCCGCCGCGACGCAGAGGGATTTTACGCCCCTGCCTCTCGTTCGCCGTCCGTGCGCAACGCCTCGCTCACGCGGCGCAGCAAATCCCGCGGACGCGGCGGTCGTGCAACGACGCGTGATATGGTGGAGTCGATGCAGCGGGAGCGTGCGCGTCAGAGTGAGCTCGAGGCGCTCTCGCGCAAGCTGGACCGCTTCCCGGATCTGAGCATGGTCCTGCTTGACCCAGACCGCCTGTCGACAACAACGGCCCACAGAGAGGACAACGCTGCGGAGAACGAGGGAGACAAGGACGCAGAGAACACCGAGAAGACACAGACTAAGGCTAAGGGAAAGGCGAAGGAGGAGGGCGGTCAGGACGGGGAGTACAGGAGCTGGCGCGAGCTTTCGGCGAACATGAAGGACGTATTTGGCGATGCGATGCCTGGTCCAGGATTCGATGACGATGGGGACGAGCTCGAGGGAGACGAGGCGAAGGCGCACCACATGACAACGCAAGAGCTTGTGTCGTCGCTGTTCCAGACGCCGCGCAGTTCGACTATGCCTCTTCCGCCGATGGACGATACCAGCCCGAGCAGCGTGTCCTCTCGTCCGCGCGGCATGTCGATTCAGAGCGCCGCGTGCCCGCTAGCGTCATCGCGCGGCCCTCGTCGCCTCCCGGATCTGCAACAGGCGTCGAGCTCAACGTCAACCGCGCGCGGTGAGGGATGGATCGAAGGCCCACGAGAGGGTTGGCTGCTCGAGACCCAAGCCCGCCCTCACCAGCCATCCGGTGCCCGCACGCACACTCCCCAGCCCACCGCCAACCCCTGCATGCCGCATCACCTTCCACAGCCGTCGCACGCGGTCGGACCGCGACACCATCGTGCCAAAAGCAGCGGGGGCGGCTCCGTACTCAGCGGGCGCGTGCCGCTCAGCACGAAGACGCCCGTGCAGGCGGTCCCGACCCTGCCCCTCCCTCTGCCCGGGATGGCGTATCAATCTTCGCCGCCGGCACCATTCACCCCCGGACCTCAGTACGGATACATGCCCCCGCCACGATACCCCTATCCGCCGCCGCAACAACCTCACTTGGGGTATCAGATGCCGCCTCCGCCTCCTCCGGGGTATCCGGTGATGTATCAGTACGCGCCGACAGGCATTATCGCGATACCGGTTGGGCCGCATGGGGGGCCATCGCCAATGATGGCTATACCGGTACCAGTACCGCCCATTACCGGGGCCACTGGTATCCGACATGCGTCGTGATATCTCCGCTCCTTTGCTCGTTCATGACTGTCTCTTGCTCCGGCTGCTTTCTCTGATCCTCTTCTCTTTCGTAGCGACGTAGTCTTTTCTTGCTCCTCATCAAACAATAAGCTCATAGCATCATCAATCATGACGTCTCTCTCTGTCGCTTTCCCTTTGGCATACTAAAAACGTCACATACACATGCGTTCTTACTCTCTCGACCCTCTGCTGTTGTAGCCTCCCCTCTCTCTCCCTCGTCTCTCCTCTCTTCGTCTTCGCTCTCTTTCCGACGTAATTATTGGTTCGTTCCCTTGCGAAGTATCGTCTCTTCCTCGATTGGTTCTGGGGCACTCGTCCCGGTGAAATTGCGTGCATAACTCTTTTCCGTGGCTGCTCATTGGACGCTGGCGATGCCACGTTACATACATATTTTTCAATACATACATAGCCCGCCAGTCCCACTGCAAATGAAACGTATGTTCGAAACTGTCGGGTTGCGTACGTGTCGTGTATTGTACAACGTTTGATCAGGAGTGCGTACTTACGCGACGTGGTATAAGGATTGGTCCTCAGAGAGGATGTCGATCGGTTCGACACCCAGAACTAAAAGGCCGAGTTTAGGCTGCGGCGAGCAGGTTGCCGACCAGACTGTTGTTCTGTGCGCGGTATGGTGTGTCAGTCTCTTGAGTCATGGCTACAACAGTTGACAAAATCCTCACATTAGCGTCACCCAGCTGGACGAGAACGAAGACGTTTCCGATGGTAACGTTCTTGATTGTTACGTCTCCGAGGGTGACGTTGATGTTACCAACCTACGTGTAGCGTAATGAGTACATAAACACGCTCACGCGTTGCAGTAGAGAAAACATACGGAGACGGAGATGTTGCCGACGCTGACTCCGACGTCTCCCGTACCGACGGAGACGCTCCCACCCGACACCGTCGGTGCGGGTAGCGAGACAGACGGGACGCTCGCGGAGGGCGTGATGGTCGTCACGGGGGAGGTATCAGAAGGAGGTGTCGCCTACGGGTATTGAACCCTGTCAGTCGATACTTCACTGAAACAAACGGCAAGGACGGCGACTTGCCTAGCGTTTGTACTCCACACCGGCTGCAGCGTCGCCAAAGTGGCGTTTACGCGCCGTTGCGGTTCCGGTTGCGGCCGAGTCAGAAGCAGTTTGCTATGGTAAAAGATGACGAATAACTATGCGGGGGTTTGGAACGCGATACGGGTGTAATGGCACTTACGCCTGGGGTCACTGTAGTGTCTGTTCCCGCTGCGCTCGTGCTCGTGGTAGATCCGGACGAAGAGCTTGCGATGGATGAAGCGGTGCTCTGTGTGTATCACATCAACTCGGACTGCCGCGTATGAGCTCGTATATATGAGGCTCAATTCACCGAAATAGGTGTCGTGACGGTTCCAGCTCCGGAGAAGGCCACCGATACGATCAGGGAGATATTCCCTATGACAAAATTCTCAACGTTGATGTTCCCGGCTTGGACACTAACGGGTAGCTCAGACAACGCACGGCCAATATGCAGCTGGGAGTACCCACGTAACATTTCCGATTGATACGTTCACCTGCGAGAGGAGGGTACGACCAAGTCAGTAGACTACCAACGTACTGCTTACAACACGGGCTTACATTGCCTACTCCAGCCTTGATGGGCCGATACCCGCTGTAACATTTGGTGTCTAGGAAAGCGGCTACTTCAGCTCTAGCCACGACCTTCATTGTCGATATCTGACTAACCGATATAACGGGATCATCCCGCCTACGAAGCTGCCACTCGGATGATGGATGTAAATCTTTGTCGTCTTCTGGTGCCGCGTCTCGCTTGCACATGTTCTGATCCTCGCTGACGAAAAGACGGCGGAGCTGGAAGGATTGCACCAGAGTCGAGACTACCAAGAGAGGGAACAGTTGTCTAGAAATTGAGGGCACAAGCATCTCGTTGTCGTAGAGGACGGTATGCTAGCGGGAGAGATTCTGAACACGAAATTGGCCACATAACCTACGCCATTCCGAGGCGAGCAGTTCAGGAACGCGCTCCTGCGCCAGGATACTGCTGCAGTCCAGGGTAGCAACGGATAAGCCAAGGAAGTCTGATTCCCATGGTGTAACTGAATGGCGTGTACTGTAGTTTTACGACCTTAGGTTCCCCTGGCAGCCCGAACTGAACCTAATTTCCCGTGTGGTCCCCTGTCCCCCGCCTGAACTGATCGTGAGAATATAATTTCTTACTGTGTGAATAATCTTAACTGACTCTGGTCAGTTTGCGAACTTCCCACGGCCCCGAACTTGCAGCTGTCCCCTGTCCCCCGGGAGCGGACCGAACCTAAGGTCGTAAAACTACAGTATTTCATGGCTTTTTATGAGCCGAGCGAAGTACGATGACGCCAGCGGGGTGGTCTGGGATACGACCGTTGTACTTATGGGCTCCCGACGAGCGCATCTTTGATCGAGTACCATAGCGTATGGGATTTTTTCCCCCAGGAGTTGTGTGATGTACGTGATGTACGCTCGATGAGGAGCGTTACGGTTCAAGGTCAAGCATCGTGAGAAGCTCATCCAAGCGCCTCATATATGCGCTCATGTTTCTTCGGCAGGGTTCGATCATGCACGTAGAAATATGCCGGCACGCTATACACCAGCTAATAGACTACCAATCAGGCTGTTGTTCTGTCAAACACGCTTGCTATCAGCATGTTTTGCAAACGAGGGTAGAAACTCCTACATTTGCATCCCCTAGTTGTACAAGGACGAGGATGTTCCCAATTGTTACATTGGTCAAGTTGACGTTTCCAAGGGAGATATTGATATTCCCAACCTGACAGCGGTTCAGCCAGACGAATTAGCAGAATATTCAAGAATGCATACTGAAACCGTTATGTTCCCTACGCTCGCGCCTATTGAGCCGGTGCCGACGGATACATCCCCCCCTGATACGGTGGGGGAAGGAGCAGATCCAGAGGACGTGGATGTAGCAGGCGTGATAGTTGTCAAGGCTTCCGATGTAGAAGATGGCGTGTCCGATGACGAAGCCTGGGGCAAAAGAACGTTCATCTGGAATTCTTTTGGTTAACTGGGCATTCAAATCAAACCTGACGCTTGTATCCAACATGAGCAGCCACATCAGAGCCTGAGCGACGTCTCCTCGGTGTCGGAGTTGCGGTCACAATGGAAGTGTCCGATGCCGACAACTGGGGTGATACAATTAGCATACGTCGCATCATCGAGCGACCTCCTTCGCTCACATCTGAAGCTACAGACGATGTTGTAGTGCTAGTAAGCGAGCTGCCAGTAATAGTGGTGGGACCAGAGGTCGAGCTAGCAATAGAGGTTGCAGGGCTCTGAATGTTTCGCCTAAGCATGTCACGAATCGCGCGAGCAAAGAAGAGCGAACCGATATGCCAGTCACAGACGTGCCAACACCAGAGAAGGCGACGGATACAATGACCGAAATGTTGCCGATCTTGATGTTCTCGATGTCGATGTTACCAGCGGAGACGCTGAAGTCAAACACTACGTCAGGAGCCGACTCGCTGGGCATGCTAATTCTTACGTGACGTTGCCTATGGTCACATTCACCTGGCAGAGATGTCAGCATCGAGAGTGTGTTAGGAGATATAAACGTACATTTCCAACTCCGGCGTTAACAGGGCCAACCGCAACCGTCGCGTTCGGAGTCTGCGCGAAGGTTAGTACAAGGAGCACTGGCCAAGCAACGGAGTGGATGGGCATACCGAGACTGCAGGGTCATCCCTTGCGTGTAAATTCCATACAGGTGCGATATCCTTGTGTTCCTCGACCTCTGACTCGCGTTCGCAGATATTCCTCTCTTCCGTCGCAAATGGGTTGCGCAGCTGGAAAGAACTCGCAAGGGTAGGGAGTACGATGAAGAGGACAGAAAGTGTTGGATAGATCGACTTCGCTAGCATACTCAGGCTACACGAGGAAGGCGGCGGGCTCGGAACCGCGAGAGTGAAATTGTCGGGCACCAGTTGAAGAACATCGTGGCCAACATTCGTGCCAAAGACGTTATACAGTCCGACCGAATGGCGGCGATGGGCTAGCAACCGAGGAAGCAGGTCCTGATGGATGCACTGAATTCAAAGAAGACTGTCCGGTCGTTCGTGCGAGGATCTGGGTGCAAAGGAGTAAGGATGTCCCGAAGACCTCTGGCCTGCAACCCCGGCGCCGGCGCGTATCCCGCAGAGTGAGAGCAGAGTTGCGGCTTTCTCGCCCGTTCGAGCGCAAACAACGCTGGGCAAGACCCAAGACTTGTATGCGCGAAACGGGCAGTCGAAGCATTCGAATCTGATACGAGCCACCAAGATACATCGATTCTTCGTGAGAAATATTGCGCGGTGCCTGGTTGACGGTCTCTCAGAATTTAATGGTTTTTCAAAAAGTCTGCTTGCGGCTATGACGTCAAGGTCGCGATCGTAGGCAACATCCCCGCAACCTGGTTACAGCTCAGTTGGGTCTCACCACGTTCCGGGACTCGCTTGGATTGCGTGAAGCATTATGGGCATATGAACACCATGAGGATGCAACGCATCTCTACTGGTAGTCATAGAACCCCTTGCCATTCTTCTTACCGTACCATTGCGCGTCGACCATCCGTTCCAATAGCACAGAGGGACGATACCTTGGAAGCGTCACATATATATCAGCTTCGGGTACTGAGCGTCACACGAGAGTTCAACGCACTTTGAGTCTCCAGTACCATGGTACAGAGTTTGTTGGATGGCAAGGCAGGTGTCCAAACCGATGCTAGGAAGGCGTGAAGTGTGAGTGTCATTTGCAGCAGGAAAGGAGACGTCAGTGTACTCACAAGTCAGCTGGACATCAGTATACGTGGGTAAGTGCCAAAACCTATATGCGATGCAGCGAAGCGGAAAAGTCGGACATACCAAGCTGTAGCGGTCCCATTGGATGGTTCATGCCAAGCTTCAAAGTCTTGTCGATGTCGTCGCGGGTGGCGACGCCCTAGGATTATCCATGAGTCGAGGTGAAACATAGTAACAGGTGTTGCACTGACCTTCTCTAAGCACATGATGGCCTGCAAGGGAAGTTATCAAGTGCTCAATCAAATAGAACACTATGCGAGAGGCGCACCTCGTTAATGAAGGGCATAAGCAAGGCGTTTGCAACAAAACCAGGCTCGTCTCGCGACGTCGTCACCTCTGATGTGCAGCCTGGTCACGCGCCGAAACCAGGACATGTACGAGATACTCACCTTTACCACACGCAACGGCAAATGCGCGTGCACGTTCGAGAGTATCGGGAGAAGTTTGAAGTCCGGGGATAAGCTCTACGAGTTTCTGCACAGGGATCACTGTCCGCGCGACTGATCATGTTCACAACGGACGTACCATCACGGGGACAGGGTTGAAGAAGTGTATGCCTTGGGCAATGCGTGAGGCGCAGATCATTGAGACAACGTCAGTCTCTGACACGTACCAACTACGCGACCGGTGACTTGGCGTCCTTCGTCGCTCGCAGCACTAACCCCTTCAGGAAGCGTGGCAGCTGCGATCTTCGTAATGCTAGGGATACATTAGTATATTTCAATGAGTTGTCTTTGACGTCCGCATGCCTAATGCTGCTCGTGTTACTGGCGAGGATGGCGTTCGGTTGTATCTCGCGACCTAGCGCTGAGAATATATCTTGTTTCAACTTGGGGTTCTCCGAAGCTGCCTGGGAGTAAATCGTGAGCATATAGCCCACATAGGGACTGAACAAAGCTCGCCTCGATGACCATGTCCACATCTCGAAGTCGATTTATATCGCCTTCAACGACGCTAACGCGGTCCTTCGCGTCCTTCGCGTCCTCGGACGAGATCTTCCCTTTGGCCGTATCCTTCTCGAGCAGTTTAGAGAACAGTGAAAGACCTAATCAGCGTGGTCAGTTCTCTTCATGACGTTCAAGCGGAGAAGCTGTTTGTATGAAAGGTTGTATGGCTTGTTACGGACCAAGTTATGCACCTTTCTCAATTTGTGTCTTGCTCCTGTCCATCAACAAGACCGGGACTTTGGCACGTAGCGCCGCGACGTATGCAATTCCCAAGCCCATCTGCCCGGCGCCGATAACGGCCAGAGAGGATGTGGGCTTAGACGCTGAGCCGGTGCTCATGCTTCGAGCAATCACGAAGGTAGAAGCTCCGAGACGGGGTAAGGGCCTTGAGCACGCTTGGAACGCCATTATATCGGCTGGGACCTTCAGATTACCAGAAGAAACAAGGAGAGGGGAATAGCGAGAGATATGCCTTGGTCGAGAGCGTCGCGTCGAACGAGGCAAACGCGAAATGCGGGGTACGTGCCATGTGAAAATGGCCGGATCATCCCTTGCTTTCGCTCCGCGTCTGGCTCAGCGTCTGACATTGCGGACGCAGTCTAACGCCGTTGTAGGCTTGTTGGCAGTACATCCAGTGGTTGCGGACGTGCATGGCGGATAGTCAGCACAAAGGGGACGCCGAGCAGTTATCTCAAGAAGGATGGCAGACATGCCTCCATGAGATGCGCAAACATGACCAGCGAATGATCAAAGACTGGAACGAAGAAATAGATGCGTTACTCCTTTTCGTTGAGTGATTTATGTCAAGGGTGCGTATATTTGGGTGCTATCCTGACCGCGAGATTCCTTTGTAGGCCGCGCTTTTCTCCGCAGTTGTCACGACATTCGTCGTGCAGTCATATCCAGGGTTGCAGCCCGACCCGACCCAAACGTCGACAGAGATCCTGACACGTATCTCAATGCAGCTCTCGAGTCTGACCGTCAATCAGGGTTTCATCAACTCGACGATACCAGCCGCGAATCTCCAGAAGGTGGAGCAGTTCACGCCCTCGACGTCGTCCGTCGTCGTGAACCTTCTCTGGTTCACGAGCCTCGTCTTTAGCCTGGTATCGGCCCTCTGCGGGATCTTCACCCGCCAGTGGTTAAGGCAGTACGCCGGATGGGAAGTTTCCTCTGCAAGGCAGAGCGTTCGTCTTCGGCAGTTTCGGTACAACGGGCTTCAGCGTTGGGGCGTTCCCCATATCATGACGTTCCTTCCCATTTTACTTCAGCTTTCCCTCGTGCTGTTCTTCGCAGGACTCATAGAAATTCTGTGGAGCCTTCACCGGACGATCGCCATCGTGCTCACCGTTATCGTCTCCGTGTCGCTGGCGCTGGTTCTGGCATCGGCAATGGCACCTATCTTGGATAGAGAATGCCCGTACAGGTCGCCGCTGTCGTGGGTTTTATATCGGTTATACGTGCCGTTCGCCTGGATATCGGCATATGTGAATCGGATATGGACCATGCTGCTCCTCTCAGGTCGTTCCGTTCGTCTCGGATGGCGCCTCTACCTCAGCGTTGTATTCGACTCCGAGGACATCACTCAGACGCTTGCGAAGGAGATGCCGTCGGAATGGACCACACGCGATCTCTACACCATTTCCGCGGGGCTCGTAGACTCGCACGCGACCCGCTGCGATAAAGACGCGCTGGCATGGATCCACGGCTGCCGGTTCGATACGCGGTCCCGGGAGCAGGTCCTTCTGCTCTGTCTCAAGGATCTTCATCCCCTGGACCAACCCCGTCTAGTCTTCGAATTGGCAGCTGCGGCGAGCGGCAACCACCTGTCTCCATTCCTGCGGCGCCTCCGCAGCGGGGCATGGAACCCGTCCGGACCCGACCGCGGCTCGGTATCAGACATGTACCTGCGTATGGCCATCCTCGCTTACAGTGAAGCGCCGAAGGATAGAGAAACGCCTGGGCAAGGTCCCATAAGCCGTCTGGACGTGATGCTGCTCCTGGACTATCTGCAGTGGCGATGTTCTCCGGGCGTCATTCAGGCGGAGTACTGGCCTTTCCTCGTGGATCGCCTCCAGGACCGTGTGATTTCCGAAGAGCAGTCCTACAGAATTCAATCGGCCATTCTCGACCTGGCGACGCGATACCCACATATTGCCCGTTTTTCTGGTATGCTTTCACTCGCCCTCGTATATTCTACGACACGCTCCCGTTGACGATGGGCCTTACAGACGCACATGTGCTGCTCCGCTGGGCTGCTGTCATGCTTCCGGGTCGAGGCAACACGAGGCAAACAGCGGTGCCGCTGGTTCAATACGATCGAGAGGAAAACCTGCCATTGGTTTCAGGACCTCCTCCTACTATTCGATACGAAGACATCGTAGACGCCGTGTTGCGTCTGATCGCTTCGATGAGCTCGCGATCGGTACCGTTGACAGAGGAGTCACAGAATGTGCTCAATGAACTCCTCCGCGGGGCGGGCGACCACGTTCTCCGAAGCGGCAAACCGAACGCGCACCTCTGGTGTCGCTCGCTGCTAGAACCGATCTACGAGATATCCACCGCAAACCCCGGCGTGGTTCCAGGGCAGATGGTGCATGCACTGAATATGTCGTGCTTGTCTTCGAAGACCGCGATACCCGACAAGGAACACGCCCTGATAGAGCGGTTACGGAAGTCAGTGGGTTTGCCTTCGATGGCGGATAGCTTAGGCCGAGGAACTTTGGCCGGTCGCACTTTGACGACGCCGTAGACTGCAGCATTCGCCATGGTTGCTCGAATTGTAAGTGCCTAATGAGATGCTTTCTATGTACAATTTCCTGACCGTCAACGGCAGGGTCGGATGTACATTCTTCAACCGATTGTGCACGCGTCCAGGTTGCATGGTCGTCATACTCCACATTGCTCTGTGGATGCCGAACCACACGCGTAAGGCGTCGGTCGACTGACTACGGACGACGACGTCCTCGGTCGAAAGCATTCTACGCTGCTCCCTCTGGGTTGAACACGCCTATCGCTGTCAGGATGGGATTGAGGAGCCCGGTCGGCCAATTTAGGCGATGCATCTTCCATGACAATCGAGGGAACCCGTCATAGCTTGCACCTCGGCGCGTTCTTCGGTTCGGGCTGGACCTTTGAATGTACCGCGGTTGCCAGAAGCTTTCCCTTTTCCTTATCCCAAATCTGCGTGAAGTTAGTTCAGGTTATGCGCTCGCTAGATCCGGCAGAATGCAGCGTACTTCACATTGACACGTCAATATATTCTTGCCGACGCTCAGGCTCTTACCAACGATCGATAGCGTGGTACCACTGCCAATCCATGAGCGAACCAGGTCCAGCCAGTGAGCGACCAACGAACCCTTTGGCAGGTGCATGCCATATTATGTTCATCGCCTGAGAGAAACCAACCCCGGCGCTGCCTGATACGAGCGCAATCGCCACGATGGGTACAGACGAACACCTGAAGGACAAATGAGCCAAACGGTACACCGTCGTGATTGCAGGGTATATGCGCACAAATCGACCAAATACGCCATACAGCCGCCGTGCAAAACTCCGTGTGGATTCAGCATGTCTGTTTCGGTATTCGCGAGTCTGAGCTTGGCATGACCGACGGGATTACACTGCTGAGAAGCAACGTACGGTTTTCGACGAGGATCTCGCAGACGCTCTCGGATTGCCAGGTCGGTTCATCGCTCGCAGTCTTTCGAACGTCTACCTCGGTTATTCGAATCTTCTTCCCTACATCGTTCGAATACACCTCTCCCGCGCCGACATAGTACGCGAGGAGGTTGACCAGCGTCTGCTTGTCGTCGGGGGAGAGGTTGCCTTTGATGGTGGAGACGTCGTGTCCCGAGGCTCGAGGTAGCGTCCTAAATATCCGTGCGTCCATTGAGCGTCGAGTAGGGGATTTGCAGTAGCAGTGTATGTAGTAGTGTACGCACCAGGATGGTCGCGCTGAAATAATCCCACTCGGATGCTGTTCGCGCACAGGTTTCTGATCGCCCGCACCGACTTCAACGGCGACCTCGGTCTCTTTGTTCCTCTCAACTACGCACCACGAGGCGTCGTAGGCAGCGGATTTCACGGACGTAGACCGTACACCGCTGTTTGGACTGTATTCCTGGATCGAGTCGACCGACTTGCAAGGACATGATGAAGAGATAAGAGAAACCCTTGAACGGTCCGAAGGTCCAAGACGACAATCCTCATAGGGAGCCACGCCGGCCGGATTGTCTTGTTAGGTTGTCTGACTCTCAGCATCGCTTCGTGTCCTACTCAACATCGCCCCCTAGTCTTCGGTTATCCGGCTTGATTAGGTTCCGTCAGCCTCACCTTCTTGTGATTCTAATGAACTGACGTCATTCCCAGTAACGTTATGAGACCCTTCTCAGCGTTCTGAGCTCCTGCTGTCTGCTTGAGCACGCCCGTTTCTGTCCAAGTCCTGTTGAACGTCTATGGCCACCCCAAGCCTTCCACCGCTGGTACAAGCGACATCCGGCGCCATAGGAAGCGCGACCGCGAACGCGCTGGTGTACCCGCTGGACCTCATTGCTACGCGAGTGCAAACGGACGATAGTTCGGGCTTGTCTTTCGACGGCCGTCGACGAAGGAAACTTGGAAGGCTACGAGGTATGTCGTCATTCGGACTGTGCTAGCAGCACCAGGACGCTGATCACTCTGCAGAGATTCGGGTTATACCGCAAATCGCACGCGAAGTTATACGGGAAGAAGGTTGGAAGGGCCTCTATGATGGACTTGCGACGGATACCGCGGCGACTATTGTGTCAAAGTGCGTATCCAACTGATGATCGCAACACACCCGAATACTAAAAGAGCAGATTTGTTCCACAGTTTTTTCTACTTTTATATATACGCCTTCCTACGAAGATCCGTCGTTCAACGCAAGGCATTCTCTGCTCCTCCGTCTAGAGCGAAACAACGGCTCGCCGTTCTGAGCGTCCCCGAGGAACTCGGACTCGGCTTTCTATCCGGTGTCCTCTCGCGGGCTATCTCCACTCCGCTAAGCATGGTCACCGTGCGTATGCAGACGCAGTCCAACAACAATAGAAAACCTGGGCTCGTTGAAATCATACGAAGCATTTACCGCGAGCATGGCCTCCTTGGCTTTTGGAAAGGTACCGTTGGTATCCGAATGTGTCCCATACAGTATCGCTAAACTTGGTGACTACCTTCAGGTTTCGAAACGACCATCGCGCTGTCCCTCAATCCAGCCCTCACATTCTCGTTGATACAGCTCTTCCAGAGGATACTCCATCGTCTCAGCACGAAGCGCTTCTCGGTTAGTAACCATTGCTCGGACTGTTCGCATCGTCTAACATTACACACAAAGAGCCCCGCTCAAGTTGCTAAGAGTGCAACGGCATCATTCCTTACCGGGGCGCTCGCGAACTCTATCGCGGTAGCCATCCTATACCCTCTCATCCTAGCGAAGACACGGCTGCAATCCTCAAACTCGGATCGGAGAGAGACATTCTCCACTCGTGGATCGGCGCCGACACATCAGGATCATTCAGCGCTGTTATTTACGGATGGACCCCGCCCTACAGAACGCGTGGCGAGCCCGCTAGAGATGGGCGACAACGATGCCGATCGCATCAAGGCTGTTATCGAAGATACAGAATCCTTGCTCAAGGAAGCCGTACACGACGTAGCGAACACGGCTGCGAACGCGGCAAGCGACGTCAAGGAGAAGCTCGTGGAGGTTCACGAAGGCGTGCGCGACAAGGGATATGAGGTTCTCGATATTTGGCGAGATGCGTACCGGGCGAATGGCACGTTTTTTTTCCAGCTCGCTCCTTCTCCTGGAAGCTCAATTACAGTTCGTGCAGGAGCTCGCGGCCTATATCAGGGCCTGGAGGTGCAGATCGTCAAAGGATTCTTGAATCAGGGAGTGACTATGGTGGTCAAACAACGGCACGCATTTTTTCCCCTGTGCAGACGGCCGGCGTACTAATTATTCGACCAGTATGGAGCAATTGGTCGTTGCGATCGTCCGACAGCGCTTGCGGAATCCGTGATGTCTGAAGGCGGGACGGGTGACATGTATCAATATCCTTCACTTACATCGCTGAACACGATCCAGTGTATATGTAGTTGTGTTCAGTGTTAGAGACTATTATCTGAGCACATCCATGTCCGGATCCATGTCATTCGCTTCGGTCTGTATGTATTGGGTAGCGTGTCTCATGCGCAGCAACATACGATGACGCGGCATTGCCCGACAACTGTCGCAGCATCGGACTCTTTGATCGCAGTCCTTCACAGCATGTCTCGACCATAATTGCATAGATGGATGCACGCACGGGCAATCCACCATCTACAACTTGCACCCGTCCGCCATGTCCACCGTACAAACGCCCGTGAGGGCGGTCTACGTCTCCCTCGGCCTCACCGCGGCCGTCGCGGTCCTGGCGAGCCTTTCGAGCTCGATGCACTGGTTCAGCACGCTGCGCGTCGCCTACCCGCTGCTCACCTGCCTCTGGGTCGCTGTCGTCGTCCACCACGTCGCCACCCTCGCGTTCCGCTACGCCGCCGGCGACTGCGTCTCACCCCGCGCCTCGCACCAGTTCGACTGCGATCGCGCCCCGTTCTCCCTCCCCAAACGCCACGCGATCTTCCTCCGCGTCGTCCTCATCCTCTTCGCCCTCGCGACGCTGCTCACGTTCTTCGGCACGGCCCACATATGGATGTTCCGCTCGTGCCCCCTGACGCGCATCGACTGCGTGCGGTGGGTGTGGGTCCGGGTGCTGCTCGTGCTGCTCGACGCAGCGGCGCTGGCGGAAACGGCGATGCTGTTCCTGATATTGCGGTCGATGTCGGCGGATGTAGGGCCGCTGGGCGTTCTGGGCCTCAGGGGGGAAGACGACGCGCTGCTGGGATGAGTTGGCACGGAGGATATCTTGGTGCGTCGTCTGAAATGTCTTGTCTCGTTTACCAGTCTGTTCATTCTGGATTTCATTTAGGAGGCTCAACGGGAAATGAGAAGTCTCATGATGCCATTATATTGTATTCTTCAGGGCTGCTGCTTGCTACGAACTCTGAAAGTCATGTGGGCCGTGTCCGTGACCAAAGCACTGAAAATGTCGGCCATTCGAGGCTCAGCATAATCTGCCGTATCCCTTGGATGAGCCAGCTTCCGTCTATGAGCGTCGAGCGGCCGGCGTTGTCGGTAGAACGGATGTGCCTGTTCGGCGCACCCGCCAGACCCCTGTTTCCGTGCATGACCGTCGATCTACGGGCCGCAACCCAGCAGCCTAGGTGCGGGTAATCATGTATCATTCAGGGCGGATATACTGTCTTGCGGCGTTTCTGAGACGAATCGAGTCGTGCTACGTCGGGCACGCTCGCCACTCCTATCTTCGACCAGGGCGATCCAACAGAGACGGCGTTACCATGGGGTCGCCCTGCCGTGAGCCCGACGGTTCATGCGGCGAATCATCCATCTTGGTCTACGCCTTGCGCGGGCCGCCTATAAGGCCTCGCTCGTCAGCAAGAGGGACTACCCAAGCTCGCTTATTTCATTTCCTTCCTCGCGCAAGATAATGCCGTCTACCAACCTTCGCGCTCTCGGCATCGCGCTGTTGACGGCCCTGCCCTTAGCGTCGGCATACACATGTTCGGCGGGGACGTACAGTCCCACCGGCAGCTCGCCCTGTTCGTTCTGCCCACAGGGCACTTATACCAGCAGTGCGCATTCTCGTCGTTCGTTCCTGCGATACGTATGATTGACACGACTTTCTTTCCAGCCTCGGGGTCGAAATCATGCACGAAGTGCCCCAGCGGATACTACCAGGACCGTGAGTTGAGGCTTTTATACGAGTCATGCATCGTCTTCTCACCCGGCGTTTCATCAGAGACCGGCGCGACGTCTTGCAAGGCCGCCCAGGCTGGTTGGTTCGCAGCTGGGCCTGGGGCCACATCGCAGACCATCTGCCCGTCGGGGTACTACAGCGCCACGTCTGCCAGCGCCTCTTGCACCATCTGCCCGGCAGGGTGAGTGAGCTTACCACAAATCCATCACATAAATCGTAGCGCTTATCTGAATCGTTTCAGAACGTACTGTAATGGACAGGGCCGTACCTCTCCGCAGTCGTGCCAACCCGGGCGATACTCCGCTTCGCCCGGGGCTACGCAGGATTGCGCCAACTGCCCGAAGGTATGCCGCATACTCTGGAGCATGCCCGATTTTTCCGTGTCCTAATGCCTTGGTTCGCGTATAGGGTACCTTCAATAACGTGTATGGTGCGACATCGTGCTGCACGTGCTGCGCCGGGTGGTACACGGACCAGACGGGGCAGACGCACTGCTTCAACTGCCCGAACGAAGGCAGTTTCCAGCAGGGTTACTCCTCGCCCGGTGCGACGGACAAGTCGCAGTGTTCCGCCAAGAGCGGCGCGCTCTCGAGCTGCACGCAGGACTCGACCACCGGCGCGTGCCGTAAGTTTCGGTCGTCAAGTGAAGCCTGAAGGCGTTGTGCTGACTTCCGGGGACAGCGACGACAACGGCGGGGAGCTCGAGCCCGTCGGGCAACGCTCAGAGGCGCCACGTCGTGCCGCGGCATTGCCCCCCCGGGACGAAGGCGTGTCCGACCTACGCGAAGGGCGCGCTGGGCGGGTACGAGTGCGTGAACACTCATACGAGTCTTGAGCAGTGTGGCGGGTGCGTCGCGGCGGGCGAAAGCCTCGACGGCGTGCGGTCCGCGGATGGCGGGAGAGACTGCAGCACGATACCACAAGCGGAGGACGTGAGCTGTTACCGCGGCGAGTGCCATATCAGTGCGTCGCATCCACTGCTTTACGATGTGTTCAAGGCGGGGTAGAATGCTGACGGCGGTCGTTGCAGAGACGTGCAAAGAAGGATATACTGTGTCGAGCGACGGAGAGCGCTGTGTCGCGGTCACGGTCGTCGGCAACCGTGGGCGGGATGGACACCGTCGGCACAGGAAGTCGCACGGGTTGTAAATCGGTGGTTTCGATCTTTTCCCTTTCATCTCATGGTTGGACGGGTGGTTCACATCGGTAATCGCGGTGTCGCGGAGATATCCATGACTGTGCGCATACTCAGGCAGCATAAATACTACAAGTACCATAAGTAATCCGAATTTGTACAGAGCAATCGTTATCCATGAAACGCCGTTCACGTCGATCGATCATGGCGGTACAGTAAGCACAGTCAGAGCCGATGAAGTGTCGCTAACAAGGGGGATAGTATTGCCCGCACCACGGTATGATGAAGCGATGATGAGATAGAGCGCAAGAGGCGTTGTATTACGCTGCAAACAGATACGCAGGCCTAGATGGGATCAGAAAGATAGAGATGTCCGGTCGATTGGGCCCCTCTCGCCGCCGTGGTCGTCAAGGACATCGCCGGCGTGTGCATCAGTAGTGCTGCAGTCCCAGCGTCAATACCGCCCTGTGTTCGCGCTCCCTGGCCTGCTCCTCTCGTCCGTCGTCCTCCTTCGTCTTTCTCGTCCTTCGTTTGTTTATTTCCGCTCCGTAGAGTTTCTCTTCGTATTCGGCCTCGAGGGCAAGAGATCCGATTGATTGACTTCTTGCGCAAACCTCTGATCTCGCTCGGCGCGGCACAGGCTTGTTCCAACTCGGTCGACCCTCCGTTGTCTATTCCCATCGACTCGCTCGCGGCTCCCGGCCGTCCTTACCTTCAATACACCCTTAGTAGTATTAACGACGACTCTGCGTCTGGCACGCCACCGCACCCTCGCCCTTCCAGCTCTCACCATCGCTTCACGACCGACGACGCACGAACCGATCACATATTAGACACGAGGCAGAAAGCGCAGCGACCGGATGTCTCTCAAGGCTGAACTCGAGACGTGGGCCGCGGCCCTCAAGGCGTACGACGAGGAGGATTTCGAGAAGGCCCTCGATCTATTCTCGGTGAGCGTCCCTGCCAGCCTCGTTTCTGCCTCGCGATAAGATGTTGCGGATATCCGTCGTGTTCCCTCCTTCGCCGATCTCGTCGTAACCACCTTCTCCCGTACGAAATGCACGCTCACGTCCATCTCCGATGTAGCGCATCGCAGACTCGTCCAAGATTCTCACAAACATGGGTCTGATCTACGCGACGCTGGGCGAGCACGAAGCCGCCGTCGAGCAGTTCCAAGGCGCTGTTTCGCTCGACCAGTACCTCGCCGTCGCGTACTTTCAATGCGGCGTTTCCAACTTCCTTCTCGGCCGCTACGAGCTCGCGTTGAAGGACTTCGATGAGGCCCTCCTCTACCTTCGCGGCAACCAGGCGATCAACTATGAGCAGCTCGGGCTCAAGTTCAAGCTCTTCTCGGCCGAGGTTCTCTTCAACAAAGGCCTCTCGCAGATATACATGGGCCAGGTCCAGGAGGGCCTCGCGGACATGGAAGAAGCTCGGAGGGAGAAAGCAACGGACGAGCACAATGTGATTGACGACGCGATCCAGGATCGCGGCGAGGGCTACACCGTGTTTTCCATCCCGGTCGGTGTGCTGTACCGCCCGTCGGAGAACAAATTGAAGAACGTCAAGACGAAGGATTATCTTGGCAAGGCCGTATGTCATTTCCTTCACCACAGTACCGGGCCCAATCTGACATTTATTGAACTCGCAGAAACTCGTTGCAGCATCCGACAGCTCCGAAGCCTACACAACCTTCTCAGGAGTCACCAGGCTCAAACAAGGCGTTACCCCGACCGGTATCTTCATCGAGGGCGGCCCAGCCGCCGATAGCGGCGCCTCCCTCGGCCGCTCCGCCACCGCACTCCCCAAACCATCCGAGCCCATGCTCGGCGGCGGCGGCGGCGCGGGCCTCGCACGCGCCAAGACGACGCTCAACGTACCCGCCAACGCGCGCGAACGCATTCAGGGACTGTCCCCCGGCGGCCCTCCCCCGCCCGACGCGAACGGCGCGGGCAACGGACCGAGCTCACCCAATGGCGCCGGCGTCGGCCGCGCCAACACGATGACCAACGCGCGGCCGCCCCCAGGCGGCGGCCTCGGCGGACCCGTGCGCGGGCTCTCCGTGCGCAAACCCGGCGGGCCTCCTCCAGCCGACGACGCTCCGGCACCCGCGCCGCCCGCGAAGGCGCCGGGAAACTCGCGCCTGACCGAGTTTTACGACGACTACATCGACTCGTACACGACGGACGACGACCCACCGCCGCTTCCCAACGGCGTGCCCGCGGCCGCGGCACCTGCTGCGGGGTCGGACCGGGTCGGCGCGTGGGCGCGCGCGAACGCGCAGCCGCAGCGGGGAATGTCGACGCGCGCGCCGCCGAGCGCGTATGCCCCGAGCAGCGTCGGCGGCGGGAGCATGCGGCGTAAGCTCACGCGGAGGGGGACGCGGAGCGCGCCGAGCTCGCGTGGTATGAGCTCATATGGCGGGCCATACGGCGAGGAGGACGAGGAGCCGTTCGAGGACGATTACGAGGACATGCCGTTCGAGCTCGTGAAAATCCGGGTGAAGGTATGTGGCTACCTCCACAATGCGCCAGCCAGAACAGATGCTTAGCGACGTTTTTCTAGCTCCATTATCAGGACGACGTCCGGGGCATGGCGCTCACGCCGGAAACGCCCTTTGAAGAGTTCATAGAGCGAGTGACGTCGAAGTTCGGTAAACCACTTGGCGGCCTCGCCCTCAAATTCAAGGACGAGGACGGCGGCAAGGTCTCTCTCCGGGACGAGTCAGACTACGAACTCGCGATTGAGACTGCGCGAGAGAGCGCCAAGGGCAAACCGGAAGGCAAGCTCGAGGTGTGGTGCATGGATATATGAATCGACCTCCTCCGTTACCTATCATCTCAGTATCGTATACCTCATCCGGCTTGCTTTGCCCGGGTCCATGCATTTTCACATCACGCTCGAGCAATGTCCTCTGATGCAATACACTTCTGCAGCAGCTTCCTTCCTCCTCTGTTCAACTTTCAATAACACTTGGGTTACACTTGACGATGCCTTCCGGCGTGTTGTTTATCGCTTACTGTCCTGTCTTCTCTCGTGTATTGTCTACTCGGATCGAATTAATTAAACGGTGAGCTGGATAAGAAGCAGGATTGTCATATTCTCCTGCGTTCTCCGTAGGTGACGAAGGGGGCTTTGTTATTGATACAGACTTGTACAGAAAAGAGACGAAGGACTAAATAACAACAGCCTGAAAACGCAGGCGACGCAATATCTGACACGGACCTTCTACTCAAAACCCAAAGACGATGAAAGTGAATCGAGAGACACCAACTCAAAGGGGGCTCAGCATTAGTCGCACCACACCTCCAGCTTACCCTCCGGCCTTCCGTTCGCGTGCTCCCTGGCGGTCTCAATGGCGAGCTCGTAATCTGATGAATCGAGGAGGGACACTATGCTTCCGTCTTCGTCCTTGAACTTCAGCGACAATGTCAAGGATGACACATCGAACTTCTTGGCGACGCGGTCGACGAATTCTTCGTACGGCGTTTCCGGGGTGAGCGTCATTCCGCGCAGATCGTCTTGATAGTGCATCTGGACATATACCATCAGTCCCCTTTGCCTACCTCTTCGCGGTAGGTACTGAACTACGTACCTTGACGCGGATCTTGACGAGCTCGAACGGACCCTCGTCCGAGCCGTAGTCACTACCAGCGCGGAACGAGCCCGCGGACGGCATCAAGGCGGTGCGCTGCGACATCTTGCGCGCGAGTGAGGCCCCTCCGATACTCGGCGGGTAGTAGCTGCTAGGCGGCGGGCCACCGGTGCGCGCAACCCTGGTGCGGGGCGGCCCATCCATTCTCCACGAGTCGATCAGCGATCTGGGAGTCTCCTTTATCGGCGAAGGAGCCGCGGGCTTATCCTCGTACGCGCCGACGACGTCCTCGTAGTAGCTGAACGACTTCCTCTCGGTTGCGATCGGGTTTGGCGAAGCTCGGGCGGGAGATGTCGAGTCATCCACCGGAATGGGCGGCATATCTCCAGAAGGCGCGGCGTATGGCCTTCGCAACGAACCTTGTCGAAGAGGTTGCAGCGGTGGGCGGTTGCTCTGAGTGCCCAGACCGAGAGCCGTATTTGAACGTGCGAGCGGACTGATAGGTGTAGTCTCCCGCGGTTTCGGTTGGTCTGAATCGTGAACAATGAGCGGCTGACGATTGGAATTCTGACGGAAGATGGCTTACCAGCACCAGTACTTCGACTCCTCCCCAGACCAGCGGCGCCGTCGGTGATGACTTCTTGTTGGATCCAGACTCTGCTCGGTGATATACCCTTCTTCAATAACGAGACGCCGGAGAACTCCACGCTCGTGTCGAGCGAGTCGTCAGAGGCGATGAGTTTCTTGGAAACGTTCAGCATCAGTGGTGCATTGTGGCTGCGAGCTCGTGGAACTCTTACCGCTCTTCCTAGATAATCCTTCGCTGCGGTGTTCCGTACCTTCTTCTCCGGTGGTCGGAAGAGGACACCGACAGGCTGACAAACGCCACACGCCATTAGTATCATGAACTAGTACGAAATACGCGAGAGGGCGTACACACCATGGAGAATACGGTGTAGCCTGATCCGCGATCGCGAATGGCTTCGTTGATGACGTCGTGCTCACTGGTCACCTTCGCTCGATATGCTTCTTCTAAATCTCGCATGCCCTCCTGAGGTCGTAGTCAGCCCAAGCTTAATGTGATCTTGGATGAAGGATATTACCTCCACACGTCCCATATAGATCATGGTCAACCCCCTGTTGAACAGAACTTCTGCACTGTAAAGCTTGAAGTTCAGACCAAGCTGTTCATAGAAGCTGCAGAGCCCCGTCAGCATGATGTATTGTTGTTCAGACTGAGACTAACATCGTGTTGTTCCCCCTGAGGTAGAGGTAGGATTCATCGAAATCTTTGATGGCGTCCTCCCACTGGCCAAGAAGGAAATTCGAGACCCCGGCCTGGAAATAACTGGGTGGCCCAGTTTTCGCATCAAAAGTCATTAGCAACATGGTAAGATAGGAGGCTTACGCTATCGCAAGGTACTTGTCCGCCCTCGTCGCCTCAACGAAGCAACGAACAGCGGCGTCATGATCGCCGACCGTGGCATGTATTAGGCCCATGTTCATAAATATCCTCGATGTCTCCGCGATGGTCTGCAGCGGATGACAATCAGCGGCATGTGGAAGGTGAGGTGTGTATGCGATGACTGACGCCGAAGATGTCTAGAGCCTCCTGATATCTGCCCGCATCGTATGCTTCCAGCGCGGAACACCATGTCTCCAATTCCGCTTTGAGCGACATTATGACGGTAGTGCGGTTTATATGAGCAAAAAATATATGGTGTTGAAGAGAGAATAGGATAGGGAGCCTGCGTTCTATACGAATCTCTAAGAGCCCAGCTCTGCGAGTAGACGACCAGAAACGAGAGAAGGGACTGAGCAATGAGAGGACTGAAACCCAGAGAGTTATGGCAAAAGAGGACCCTGCCTGGGGGGTATTTACGGAAGCGGGGAACTACGGCCCCTCCGCACGTCATATATTCGTCGTCCGTTACCGCGCACATCAGCCCCATTCCGGAACCCGAGCTCAGACAGAGAGACATGACGAAGTGAGGACGAATCTCATTGACGACAAGTTTCCCAGAAAGGCAAGTGCAGCATCGCAACGGAAAGTCTCGCGGGGCCTCGGACGCAGGAAGGCGGGCCGAGAACGGGTCTTCGAGCTCTCTGGCCACTGTCGAGCCATGCCGCCTGCCGGCGCGGGCGTTCCAAGACGTTCCAGAGGAGATTCCAAGCGACAGCGGCACCCACTCCATCTCGGCGGCGCGGTCAACGCCTTCTCACCATCATGAGATTGTTGCGGTCCTCAGAGCCTCCAGCGGATAGCCCGTCATGAAATCTATATGGCGCAGGGCTGATCAAAGTTGTTCTTTCAGCTTCGATATGGTTCTGCAGGATGAGCGGGTTGCGTGAACGAGGCAGGGAAGGGACGGAGATGCGCGCGAGATGGCGCAACGCAAGCTCAGCTTCTGCCACCACGGTGCCGCATTCGGCATCGTCCGGTCATCCGGTCGTCTTCCTTTCACTGCGACGCCGCTCGCAAGTAAGTAATCCATGGGCGTTGTTCCTATGCAACTATTCCTCTTGTACACACCATATACATTGTCCGCTAGGGTATCGCTGGTCTATTGGGTCTTCATATTACCGTAACCTTCACGCTGTCGTTCCCAACTTATCTACGCCGTTGCTCAACCCGTCCAACCTCTCCGGGTTTTCACAATACCGCTTCAACGCCTCCAACACCTCCGGTATCACGTCTACGTGGACGTCCTTTCCCCACAGGACGTCCAGATGCTCGTATGAATGTAACCTCTTCTCAACGGTGTGCGCCGGCAGCTCGCGCATCATCACGTCGATGTGCACCAGGCTGTCGCTGTCGCCCCAGAGGAGGACGATGGGCGTGACGATGTTCTTCGTCGGGAACTTGGCCGGCACGTACGACGGGCTCGACCCGCCCCGAAGCGGGATGGCGGACATCACGTCGTCGTCGAACATCTGGAACGTGCCCGTGCGCATGATCTGGAACCAGTGCACGACCGACTTGACGGATGCGAACGAGTACAGGTGTGCGTACGCCGCGATCTTCTGTGACATGGCAATGTTGCGGCCGTGCCAATTGAACAGAAACCCGAGCGACGAGTCGATGAGCCGCGTAAAGATGGGTGGGTAGAGGATTTGCTGCCACATCGTAGCAGAGGGGAGGATGGTCTTACGGCCGAAGAATAGAAAGAGGGTGGTCGGGCTGCGCATATGAATCTATCAGCGCTCGCGAAAAACAAGACCTGGAAGGATTAGGGGATGCTCACGAGGCTTTCATGAGGCCGTCTACGATAGGTGCGGCAAGACCAGGAGGGCTCATCGCAGGCGCAAGCGCAATGAACACATTGATCTTCTGGTTCAACTGAGGATGTATACTCAAGGCTGCGAACGCCTGCGCGGTTCCCTGACTGAAGCCGATGTAACTGAGGCTGTTCGCTTTAGTCACGTCCAAGATGTAGTGGATAGAGTCCGGTATGTCATGCCACGCGAAATCGTCACTGTAGATACCAAAGGATAGATAAGTCACACTCAAGAGGCTGATTGTGGACAACTGACATGCTATAGTCCCAGAACTTCGTGCTGTTCGGACTAGAATGGGTAGACTTCTTCGAGTACTTGTTGCCTCTGTTATTCCCTAGCCAGACATCGAATCCTTGTTCCACCAGAACCAGGGGAAGGCACCGTTCCTCGCTGTTGAGACACATCCAGACGTCCGAATTCATCAGCAGACCGTGGTGAAGGTAGACAACCTGAGACAGAGTCGGTCAGCGAGAGCTTCCAGGTATAAATATGCATGTTGCGATGCTCACTGGTCTCCCGGTGCTAGTGCCGGGATGGCTCTTCTTCTGACCCTTCTTGGAGGGAAGCCGATGCAACCCCAACAGGTATCCGTCCTTGGTCATCACGACGTGCTCTTCAAAAGAGTATCCAAAGATCTCGCAAAGCTGTCCGAAATCTTGCGCCATCCGGATGCGGTCGTTGAACTCGCGGGCCTTCGTCTTCGACCGCGGTGGAGCGACGAAGGTGTTGAAGAGCTCTCGCGAGCGGTCGTGAAACCACTGAATGAGCGCATTGGGAAGAAAAAGAATGACGATTCGGAGCAGGCTCTCGGCGACGATGAAGACGAAGCCCAGGAGGACGGCGAGGTACTCGCGGGGCGAGAGCCTCCCGATCACGGGCAGATGCATCGTGGATTATGGCTTGACTATCGAAGCTCGCGTCGTTCTAAAGGCTCAGTGCGACCACGCGCGACTCACTCTAGCCTACAGAAGAAATGGCAAGGATAGAAAATCTAGAGCATGAACCCACAGAAACAGATGGTGGTCGACGAACAAGACGGTGAATGCAGTGACACTTGAACGTGATTGCGGTCATTCGAAAAGCTGTGCCCGAATTTGACGTTTTGTATGAATCGAGCATCCCGATGTTCATGTCCGCTGTGGGGCAAGAAGAACAAACGCTAAAACGGCAACTTCATTCATATCCCACCTACCTACTTACAACTATGCATCGTACAGTCTGGTAAAGACAGTGTTCAAGGCGCGTTCGTGACGTAATGTTACAAAGAAAGCAACGACGGCGAGGATTGGAGTTGACCACTTCACTGATAGCTCAAGCCCACGCGAAGAACGAGGCGCCCGCGCTGTACATAATCGAGTCAGCCCAGCTCTGCAGATGCCACGTCATCTCCGAGTTGGTGACCGACGACGTGCTCAGCCGCACCCGCAAATTCTTGGCGGCGCCGTAATCCAACGAGTCGAGCGCCATGATGACCTTTGGCGTCTTCTCGAACGCGGTGGCGGGAGAAAAAGGGAAGACCCCCCAGGTGTCATCGCGGGGTTCGTCCCAAGGGCGCACGTCCTGGGTGTTGAAAGAGCCGCTAGTAACACCGGGCTGGTCGGCGGGGTAGGCGAGCCAGGTGACGCCGGCCGAGTAGAGGATGGAATCGGCCCAAGAATCGACGTGGATGGTGAAACCGCGGGCGTCGATGTCGCTCGGGTAGACTTTGATGCGCCAGTTCTTTTTGTTGCCCATGTCGAGGGCTTGGAGCCAAGTGATCACCTTGGGCGGAGCCGCGAAGGGCACGGCGAAGTCAATGCGCTTCGACTGCGTTAGCTGAGGCTGGTTCCAGGGACGCGTCTCCTGAGTGTTGTAGACACCCGTCTGGATGTGGCTGAAGCGGGCGCTCTTCTCGAGATAGGTCATGGAGGCGGAGTAGAGCGTGGTGTCCGCCCAACTCTGAAGGGAGGCCTTGAACGACTCGGTTGTGGCCTCACTGGTCAAAGCGCGGATGCGAATGTTGGCGCCCTTGTCGGCGTCGAGCGAGGTGAGCCCAACCGGGAGCTGAGGAACCGAATCGTACTTCTTGTGGTAGTATATGACCTTGTCGTTGTCGTGCTGCGGCTTGTCCCATGGACGGAGCTCCATAGTGTTGAACTGGCCAGCATCGAGGGCATCTGGCGGATTGTAGACGACCGTGTCAAGTGACATGTAGACAGGAGCAGTAGCCGATCGAGACTTATTGCAGATTGCAGTCAGGAGCGAAGGAGAAAGACGCGCATCGACATGAGCGATGTTTCGTCTCTTGCAACTCGCTGACTCGGCCCACTGGTCGGGCTTGGACGGCCCTCGCACCTCTGCGTTCATAATCGCCGGGCTATAACGTCTCGTAGCATTACATCCGTTGCTCCCAAACCTTCAGTTAGACCATCATGTCGACTTCAACCCTTCCGCCCAATCTACAGGGCCCCCTGGATGTACTCATGATCGACAACTTCGATTCCTTCACCTGGAATCTGTACCAACAACTCTGCCTACTTGGCGCCAAAGTGACCGTCATCCGTAACGATGCTATACCCGTCGAAGCTCTCCCTGAACTCCAAATCTCGCATCTCATCATCTCCCCCGGACCAGGACACCCGAAAACTGACTCTGGCATCTCCCGTGAAGCAATTAAACACTTTACGGGCAAGGTTCCCGTACTTGGCGTCTGCATGGGCTTAGAGTGCATAGTAGACGTCTTCGGTGGCGAAATAGGGTATGTCCTTCTCCAGGCGCCTTACCACAAAGCCTACTGACCGAAGAACAGGTATGCTGGAGAAATCATGCACGGAAAACTCTCTCGTATCTCGCACGATAACCGAGGTTGCTTCAAGAACGTCCGGCAAGGAATACAATCCACTCGATATCATTCCCTCTCGGCAGCGGTCAAAACGCTCCCTGACGACCTCCAAGTTACTGCCATCACTGAAGGCAGGGGAGTCATCATGGGCGTAAGGCACCGGAAGTACACACTCGAAGCCGTGCAGTATCACCCGGAGAGTATTCTGAGCGAAGGAGGGGACGACCTTGTCAAGAACTTCCTTACCATGACAGGCGGCACCTGGGAGGAAAACCCCCAACTGGGAGTCTTGGACCCTGAACTGCCAGCTTTCGACCCGAAACCCTCTGCAAACGGCACTGCATTACCGACCAACTCGAAGGTACCGTCCATCCTTGACAAAATCTACGCCCAGCGCTTGCGCGATGTCGAAATTGCCAAAGCCACCCCTGGGACGACACCGGCAGACCTCGCGACCCTACTCTCTATGCACCTCGCTCCTCCCCTCGTCCCGGTAGTAAACCGACTCAAGTCCCGCACGCCGGCGCTGATGGCCGAAATAAAGCGCGCGTCCCCGTCTAAAGGCGCGATTGCGATGAACACCAACGCAGCCCAGCAAGCGCTCACGTATGCCCTTGCTGGAGCATCGGTCATCTCAGTGCTCACGGAACCTACGTGGTTCAAAGGTACTCTCCTCGACATGCGGCTTGTGCGCGAAGTCATCTCCACATTACCGAACAGGCCCGCGGTCCTGCGGAAAGACTTTATCCTCGACGAGTACCAAATCGCCGAAGCGCGTCTCAACGGAGCGGATACCATTCTATTGATCGTAGCGATGCTATCCCCTGAACGTCTTGCGGCGCTTTACGCGTACTCTCTCTCATTGGGTATGGAACCCCTCGTTGAGGTGAACAGCGCTGCAGAGATGGAGCGTGCACTCGAGCTTGGCGCCCGTATTATCGGCGTCAACAACAGGAACCTACACGACTTCAACGTTGATATGGGGACGACCTCCCGCCTCGCTGACATGACCAAGGGCAAGGACGTCGTTCTCTGTGCGCTGTCCGGAATCTCCGCGCCCGAAGATGTGCGGCAGTATGTCTCTCAAGGCGTCGGCGCCGTCTTAGTAGGAGAGAGCCTCATGAGGGCAAACGATACGAGAGCGTTCATTCGGGAATTGCTGGATTGGCCGGAGGTGCATACGGACGTGAACAAGGTACCCCTTGTGAAGATATGCGGGATCAGGCAGCCAGAGGAGGCGCTGGCCGCCGCAGAAGCTGGCGCGGACATGCTCGGGCTCATGCTCGTTCCTTCAAGCAAAAGGGCGATATCGCTCGAGCAGGCCCAGAAGATATCTTCCGCGGTTCGTGCGACTCGCGCCAGTCAGCCATTGCCGCCACCGCCTGACACTGCCGACGATATCGAAAACGAGCCCTGGTTTACCTCACATGCTCGCACCCTCTCAAAGACCATAGCCTCAAGGACTTCGCGACCGTTGCTCGTGGGCGTCTTCCAGAATCAGCCGCTATCATATATTCAGCACGTCGTATCTGTTGCCCAATTGGACATGGTGCAGCTCCATGGATCCGAGCCTTCGGAATGGGTGAAGCATTTACCCGTTCCGGTAGTAAAGGTCTTTCACGTTGACAGACATGGGCGAGGCTTGGAGGGTATCACCCGCGCGGGCTTACATCAGTTCGTCTTGCTGGACTCCGTACGCGAAGACGCGAGCGGACTAAGCGGCGGGAGCGGCAAAATCGTCGACTTGGACCTGGCCAAGACGATCGTGCAAGTGGGCGAGATAACAGTGGACACAGCACATCCTTCTTCTCACCCTATCCCAGGTCCAGTCCAAAATAACGTTCTGCCCACCGTAGGCGTGGAGACGGATGTGAAGAAACCCGGACGGCCCATGCCCATAATCCTCGCTGGCGGCCTCACGCCCGATAACGTGCGCGAGGCTGTGGAACGTGTCGGACCTTGGGCGGTCGATGTCAGTGGTGGCGTGGAAACTGCGGATGGTAATGGCAAGGACGTAGAAAAGATCAGGACGTTCGTCAAGGCAGCGAAAGGGGAGGGTTTTTTAAGCTGAACACCAGGAATGACTACGGTACTGGAAGTGGACGCAGTCCTATCAGTCCCCTTGAGGAGGATAGCTGGAGGTGGGCAGTCATTTCTGGATTCGTGAGGAGGCTATGAATGCGCGCGCTTAGGTTGCATGATCTTGTATGATGTCCATAGGCTTGGTTCCGCCAGCAAGGACAGGAACATGACAACTGATATGGGCTGCATATAGTCGGCCCCTTGAGCGAGAGCCCCGAGAGCCCCATTCGCTGCTATCCCGGACTGCTTCAATCCCACGCCCATCTAGACGCTTTGCTCTTGGTCGACCCTTATCTGGATACATATGATATCACTCTCGGTTTCGTGCATCCAAGATCGTGCTTGCTGAATGAATTATCGATTACTCGCGTGCCAACTCGACCGTCTTGCAGGAATCGAGCAGCAATCGGTCGACGTTACGTGATTGGATCGTGCGTGCCCCTCTCGTGGATCATGATTGGCTCATCATTCCAGCCGCATTGGGTTGTTGGTGCCAACTGGTTCCCGGCGCTCGGATGCGAAGAACGTCCACGAATAGCTCTTACCTGCATTGAAGTCAACGACTCATGATGATCATGTGGCGCATACAATTCGCTGATCAAGCACTCGCGCAACGGCATACATATGATACATATATTTCTTCGCCGAACAACCGCTCCCCTGCTCTTTTCCCTTCGGAGATTCTCTCGCTCTCTGGAGAGCATTGCGCTTCGGCGGCATTCTTCGTATCTTCATCCCTCGTAGATCGAGACATCAGTTTCCTTCGCCGGACCCACGGCATCTCATTCCTTCATAGCCCCTTCATTTGTTAGGCACAAATGGCGTTGACGCACGCCCAGCTGGAAGGCGTCCAAGAAGAAATGATGGCAATTTGGATGTCCTTGCTCATCACTCTCTGCACTGAACTGGTGCTTTGGGGAGTGCTGCTGTCAACATTTTTCCATGTTATCCGAGTGCTGCTTTCGGTCGGTAATGCTTGGACATCCAGACTTCTCTTCGTGGTCATTTCCAGCGTGATGTTCATAATCGGCACATGCGACGTCGCCTTCACCTTGTGGATTAGCCTCCACATCGCGGACAAAATCCATCCATTCGCAATGGTGCATATGATATCGTTCTCAGACGGCCTGAACAAGATATATACTCCCGCCCATGTGAGTGGATCTGTCGACTGTGTTGGTAACACATGGTTGACCACTTTCGACGCTAGCAAGTTCTAACCTTCCTCCAAATATTGCTAGGGGATGCGATGCTCGTACGTGTACAATTCTTACACGTGCACTTTGTCCATAGCAATTAAGATTGAAAATCGTCTTATAGATTTACCGCTCCTTCATTGTATATGACCATAGCTGGCGTATCATCCTTCTGCCGTGTTTCCTTTGGCTGGTCAACGCAGTTCTCTGGTTTGTGACAGTCATCGGTGCTCAGGTCATCCTCGCAATGGGCCCATCCAATTCCGGGGATATCCCATGGCTTGGTGCACTTTCCGTGACCTTTTATTTTCTGATTCTCGTGACGAATCTTCTCCCCACTGGTGATTATATGTCTGTTTTCGGCGTGCTGTGTGCTCAAAATGCATCCATAGGCCTCCTGGCTTTCCGCCTGCATAGGACATCCAAGGCTGCCGGAGCCCTCAATATTAACGACAAGAGCGCACGCCGAGATCCTGCACACTATGCTGCTCGCATCGTGTTAGAGTCCGGGATGGCATATACCGCTCTTATAACTGCGGTAATCGCTGTCACTCTAACCCCTTCGAGCTCACAAGCGAGCGATCTAGTAATGCCTCTTGGCGCTGCTGTAAGTTCTTTGTTCTATAGTCATTACAATCATTCTCATGCGGTAATCCCGACACTACAGTTGCAGCCTGATACAAGCCGCACCTCCGCCGAAGGCTCAATTTTTCATTTTGAGCGAGCCGGCGCGACTTTAGGCGTGAAACATGGTGTTTGCTGCCAAATCTGCGGTTTTCGATTTTTCGGCTCTTGTTTCAATTTCGGGAGCATGAATCGGATAGTATGTTGGTCATAAACGGTATGGAGTCGGACAGCACTTGACGCACTACGCCAACGGCAGCGCAGATCACGTATATATAGTAATGGGTTGCGCCAAAATAGCCGTACACGATACAGACTTCGTCAGACGTCGTGGCTCGCCTCCTGCGCTGAGAGTGTACATGTCCGGGGTCTTATTCGTATCTAAAACCACTCTCCGACACTACTGAACCCCTGGAGAGTTCCGGACACGAAATCACTGAGCTCTGTTCGTGTTGAGGTTCTACCAGAGAGCACGCATTATGGCCCGTCCCACCAAAAAGCAGAGAATTGCTCGAGCGAAGCCACGTACCAAGGACCTTTTTGCCAACAAGGTCACTGCTGGCTCGGACTCGGTCATGATGAATACCGAGGACGACTCAGAATGGACTGAGGACAGTGATGATATATCAGACGACGACGAAGACGATGCCACGTTGCTTGCGGCACTGAAGACCCGCTTTCAGACCCGTTTAACGCAGTATTTGACCGTAGAGGTCATTGGTTCTGGTGAACAAGAGGTGATAAGCAACGTGTATGCATCGGTTAAGTGTGCTCACTGGTTATGGTTAGATGTCCAACCGAAATCCGATATACCGAGGAGACTCCCGCACGACACAATGGCGCCAGCACGTAAAATGGGAGAAAGCGGCAAGGGGATGTAAGAAAATTGATGGGTTCTTCAGCTTGGTGAGTCCACACATTCCCGATATCCTGTGCTATCGTGTTGAAACAGACCTGTAGGGGAAGAGAAGGCGCTCACGTTCACCCAGTCCTGAGCCGGCACACCCAAGTGATGAATCATTGAATCAAGCTGAGGACGGAGACGTAACGGAGCTTCGACTTCAGCTCGAGAGACTTGCAATTGAGCACCTTGAAGTAATTGTGGCAGGTGTGGATGAGCGTGATGACGGAAGTGAAGTAGAGATCGATGAGCTGGCGGTGGAGGTCAGTGATGACCGCGGTATGCTACAGAACATGACTGCTCACCTGACGGACCGACCAGGAGTCTACGGATGAGCAAGACCAGCCCGATGACGACGAGACCGAGCCATTCGTGCAGGAACACGTTGAGCTGCTGTCGGACGATGTTGATGATGAGACCTGTGAAGAGGAATCTGAGTCGAATCTTCAAAGTCTGAGCAAGATCATCGAAAAATGCCTGAAGCGGATCAAGAACCTTCGCACATCCCGCTCTATGAAGACACTTGTTGATCTTACAGCTGTAACGGAATATGTGAAGTTGCGCGAGCGATATCGAGCACATCCAAAATGCAAGAGACCGTGCTTGCAAGCGAGTCTGGCCATCGCGAAGTCCATGGGCAAGAAACCTCATTTTGCCCGCCGCATACGTCGTAATGAGCATTACCTGCTCCGTCATCATCATCTCCCTTTGCCCCGGTGCCGTACTCGTCATGGTGGACAACATTCACTACTTGACAATGAGGATGTCATGCAGAAGGTCCGCGTGTATCTTGCTGCAAAGAATCTCGGCGATATCACACCGCGTTCACTCATGCGCGAAGTGAACAATGTGATCGCACCTGCACTGGGGTACACTGGGAAAGAAAGCAGCATTTGTGAGCGTACAGCGCAGAATTGGCTTCGGAAACTGGGGTATACATGCAAAGATGTCAAAAAGGGACTTTACTTCGATGGCCACGAACGTCCAGATGTCGTCGCAGCTCGCACTGAATTCTTGGCAGAGATGGAAAGATACGAGAGGTACGAGCACTGTCAGTACTGGGCTGGCATAACGAATTGACAACCACGGTGGTTCATAGGCTCATGACTCGATACGATGGCCCGGACCTTGAGAGTATTCCACCAAAGTTGAATCCTGGAGAGAAGGAGCACGTATGGATTGCACAAGATGAGACCATCTTCCATACAAACGAGTACAGGAGGCGCATGTGGTTGAAGGCTGACCAGCAGCCCATCAAAAAGAAGGGCAATGGCCGTGCGATACACGTCTCCGACTTCATCTGCGAGCCATCAGGTCGCCTTGCACTGAATGGCGTGCAGCGGGCAGAACAAGAGGCGTTGCCGGCAGAGCAACGTCTTCAAGTCACTGATGCACGGAAAATAATCTACCCCGGCAAAAACCATGATTCGTGGTGGGACTTGCCCCAGCTGATCACACAGCTCCGACATGCAATCAAAATATTCAAGGTCATGTTCCCAGACAAGATTGGTGTCTGGGTCTTTGACTGCTCGGCATCTCATGAAGGCTTCGCTGTGGATGCACTGAATGTAAACAACATGAATGTCGGCCCCGGTGGAAAGCAAACATGTCTCCGGGATACAATCATACCCAAAAGTAATCCGGCTCCGAGGCCAGGCCGAGCAGACACCCGTGGTCAGAAGCAGGTCATGGTGTTTCCTGCCGATTACCACGACAAAGAGCTCCAAGGAAAGGCAAAAGGCATGGTACAGGTTTTGAAGGAGCGTGTTTCAGTTTGGGACATCTATCAGGAGAAAGCGGAGACACGGAAGCCGACGAAGAAAGGCAAAGAATTCAAACCCCTGGGGAAGTGTCAGATGTGCACAAAATCACAGGCTAAACTTGATGCTGAACGCCGGATCGCAATCGCCGAAGCAACTGGGCAGGACACATCAGTGACTGATGATGATGTCGCAGCAGCAAACGGGCCTGACTTGGACACGGCACGTGAAGATTGGTGTTGTGTATACCGAGTGCTCTCTCTGCAAGAAGACTTTGCAAATGAAAAGCCATTAATCCGACAGGTGCTCGAGCAGGAAGGACAGGTATGTATGTTTCTGCCGAAATTTCATTGCGAAATGGATCCTATCGAAATGGTTTGGGGTTATGCAAAGTACCGTGAGTGTCAAAATTGTGATGCTACATATTTGTTCATATGTTGCATGTGCAGGCTATAGGGATGCTGCGGATGGTAAATTCAAGACCGCAAAGGATCTTGTTCCCCATTGTCTTGATTCTTGTGATCTCGCCACAATACGACGGTTTTTTCGCAAATCGTGGCGATATGTTGACGCCTATCGGTGAGTGCTTTCTCCGATCTCCATGTTTACATTCACCAACACCTTAGTGACACCAGCAAGGGTCTCAATGTGGAACAGGCTGCATTTGCAAACAGAAAGTATAAGCAGCATCGCCGCGTAGGTGTTCCAGCGGAGGTCATTGCTGCAATGCAGCTGGAGAACCGCAGATGACGGGCGAAGTGACGAGACTACCATATATGGCATATAGCCTTCCTAATTAGGCAGTACAGCCCCTGTTTCAATTTTTGGTGACGAGATTTTCAGAAACAAAAATGATCGTATATTGATCAACAAGCTTTCAAGTGCACATGGACAGCAATGCATTGACGAGGTTTGGAGAAGTTATGAGCTGTGGTGAGGCTACAATAACCTGAGCAAGGATGCACGTAGCGAGAGGCTGAAAATGACGCGCCACAACTGTAGCTACTGCAGTTCACCGGCATATCGTTCAACATCATTTTCATTCGTGTTGCAGCACGGCGTGATGATAACGCTGTCCCCTCGGCACATCCCAGCAGCACTTGGGGAACAACCGGTCCTGTGGACATCTCTGCGACCAGAAAACACATGCGTAGGTTCTCATACAGCGATGAATTTTATGGAGATAAGGACCGTGCTTAAAGGGCATTGATTCATGCATCTTGTAGAAATATGATATGGGTTTGATACTATCATCGAACCAGTGTTCCTATCGGTACCCCGCGTCCTATTCTGACCATTTTGACTATCAACGCGTCCACACCCCACCTTAAATCACCAGAAAATGCTCCTGTAGTAGCTATTTGTACCATACATAACTCTGTGTCGCTAGTAGAGGGAAGTATATAGGTGGAGCGACGTCAAGCAGGAAAGAGCCCGAAGATCCCATTTTCTCACGGGTGTTGACTTGGCAGAGCATCCTTACGAGGAGGCATTTCTGGCTGACAAGGCTACAATAGGGAACTGATAGGCATAAAAGGGACCCCTTTTATCTGGTTTTAATTGACCTATGTGCTGTGGTGGACGCAGATAATGTGCAACATGAACAGAGGCTTCGTCACAAAGTGTCACAAATAGCCCCTATTCTCCCGCCAATTGCGACGTTACCGAGCTGTGACAGCGATAGGATCTCCATCCTCTTCGTGCAGGAAGATATTCGTAGCAGCCTTGCTCCCTCACATAAAAATCAGTAGAGTACATGTCATTATGCCCCATGTGAGAACACATCATGACCACCTACAAAATCCGAGATTACTTGGCACACTTTTGAATCCCACGCAAAATACTGTTTTCGATAGGAACACTGGTTCGATGATAGTAGGGCACTGTGACGAGGTTTGCGGTCTATATTATCACTATATGCATACTATGCATATGTGCAGGCCGTATAATGATTGTTCTCGTATCATTTATTGTTTTCTGAGCCTGAACCCGGTGATGCTCTGCGTTACTGATTTGAATGTCACGTGGAAAATCGGAGGTAAGCCCAGAACGGTGATCCATATGGCAGGATAAGACTGTCTCTATCTAATTCCGTTCTTGCTGGCATGTTTGGGTGATTGGCTATCTCAAAGTTTGTCAGTTTGTCAGGTGTTGTAGTCAGGTGTCAAAAAACATCACCGTGGTTTATACCCTGAGGTAGCCACGACAAGATCGGGCGCCGCACATGCATTCCTTGGAACCAGGCGGCAGCTTTTCTTTACCCTTCATACCCTTCCCGGCGTCTTGCGGGCTGTAATCAATCGTGATCTCAGTGTGCGGTAGTATAGCTTTCTTGGCGACAAACACCAGATAGTATATGCGGTTCTGTATGCATGAAGCATCAAATTGAGACACTTGATAGTTTGCGTTCACTAACTTCCGGGATGGTGTCGAATATGACGGAGTATACCATGGCGTTGGGCTCGCAAGAGTGGCTATTGAATGTGGGTTCAGCAAGACTTGCTTGTTGTCTATGCTTATTGCCACATACTTAACGAATCGTGTCCAGTTACCTGCAAAGGGAGTCAGTCAGTCACTCTTGTTAGTGATGGGGTTGAATCAGGTAACACATACCATACTCATATGCACTGACTGAGTATCTGTCAGGGTCCTGGTCGCCTTCGTCACTGTCCTGATTCTCTTGTGCATCCAAATCAAACATGTATGATTTGTGCAGCTTGCTCATTTGCGGGATGGATGAACGACGGCTGCACACTGTCATCAGCAAAGTGGCTATTATTCTCCATAACCAGATAAGCTTCTTACATGACCTCCCTGAAGACGAGAGGTCCTTCATGATCAGTCCCCAAACCGGCAGCAAGACACGAAAAGAGGTAACACACCCCGTGTACAAGCCAAGGACCTTTCCCTCCGGGATGGTCGTGACTCTGTCAGTCCTCGCGCCCCATCCACGCCCATTAGCCGTTTTGAAGACTTCTATTGGTATGCTTCGTGGACGTTGAGAGACGCGGTTCAGGCAGGACGACCTGGTGCTTGCGCAGTGGCATTTCTAGGATATACTATCAGCTTCGGCAGGGAGTAATCAACTATCAATCCAGGCCCTTTACCTTATTGCATTCAACGACTAGAGTAGGCCTCCAAGCCGTAACTTTGAACAAACCCTGTATATAGCATGGTTAGGAAATGTATATGATCGACCCATGCCCCGAAGTGGTACCTGAGGGGTGTAAGCGATCTGCCTCCTTCCATCGTCCTCGGGATGTTGGGCAAGTTCCTGGCATCCACATTGGTTGGCATCACCACATAGGTTTTGCCTTCTGTGGCTCTTCGGGTTGGGCGCACATTCACACGAGACGAAGAATGCTTCGTCACTTGGGTTAGGTACGGCGGCGCTGCTGCATAACGGACAGGAGCGCCACGTCAGGATACCGCGATCAGCGCCAAGGATGAAGAGGAACGCGTACAACTTGTACCGAAATTCGGTGTATTTGAAATTCTCCAGGCCGGGAGGGATCTCTTCGTCGTCAACATCGTTGACAATCATGACCCGTTCAGCGTGATGAAGATTACACAGTTCATCCCAATCAGCTTGGATCTTTTGACGTCGACTTCTATATACCATCAGTCCATTGATTGGGCCCGTTTTGTGGCATTTGTACAAGATTCGGTAGCTCACAATTGTGTCGAGCGCGGGGTGCTACTTGAGGCCCTACTGAAAGACGTTTTTGATGGACGATTTGGCGCCGTCGACCGTGACGCCAAAGGCGCCATTTTCCCTTGAACCTCCGACAAACGGCTGGGCAGCGCGCGGAGTCGTCTACGGGCCTCTTGGACACCGTCGGACTCGTCGTCGGCGTTGGAGTCGCCACCGTGATCAGAGTTGCTACCAAACATGTAGTCGCTGCCGTCGTCATTTTCCAAGGGCAGCGCGGAGAGGATAGAATTGTAGTCCGGAGAGGGTCGGCGTCGCAGAGAAGGCTGGGATTTCCTGGCGGGCTGTGCATACCAATGTTAGTTAGGCAGAACAAGAACGCAGCGACCGCGACGTACTGACATGCGTGCAAGATCACCAGTTGAGCTCGACGCAGAGCTTGTAGCTTGCAGAGTTCGAGAACTGATAGACGTTGCGTCCTGGGAGGTCCACGAAGGGCAAATGGCACTGTGAGGTGCGATCCACTGTAGTGGCCTGAATGCATACCTGTGCCGAGGAATGGACCAGCGTTCTCGAGGATCTTGAGGTCAAGGATGAAGGGCCAGGTGCCGACGAGCCTCCACGCGATGACGATGGCACGGAGTTTGGCTGCGACCGAGATGAGAATCAAACCAAAAAAAAAACGTGCATATGTAATCAGTACTGGCCTTGCTTGACGCCGGAGTCGATCCCTGGGCAGACTTCCTGGAAAACGCGCTCGCGGGGCCAAACCGGTAACGAGCGGGCGCCTCGTCCATGCTCTCGTCGTCGGTTGCCGCTGGAGACGGGGCCGCTGAGGTCCTGCGCTTTTTCGGAGGCCCGATCCTGATAGATGAAGCGGGAATTTCAACAGCAAGCCTTTTCCGCGTGTTTGTTGGCTGACTAGGCTGACGAGAAGAGGCCACTGGCGCCGTCCGAGGTCCTGCGGATGTCCCATCGCTCGGCGCGTGGCTCAGACGCGGTCTCTGAGACGGCCGTCGGATATCTTGCTCCCTCGGCCGCGAATCCGATCTTTCGCGTTCTGACGACAAGCTCCGTCTGCGCCTGCGTCCACGAGTCGCTCGGTCCTCGTCACTCAGGTCACCGGGAACGAAATTGCCCCAATTTCTGGCATCGTACTCCCCTCTCGCGATTCTCCTTTCCTTCCTCTCCTCCCAATCCTCCAAGCGCTCTTCCAGGCCCAAAGCGCGCCACGCCGTTGGAAGCATATGGAAATCGCTTCGGACCAGCGTGTCGATGGGAATGACGGTGCTTTTTGCGGCCCTCCGTCGTTTGTCGTCTTGTTGAGATTCCCAAGCATCAACGAGGTCCGGACGGTCTGAAAGGTCCGCGCCGCCGGCCGTGATCCAAGTGGTATCGGTGTCGTCCGCATCTACCCAGTTCGCCCACCTGACCTGAACATAGGAGGTCAAGCCTTTCTGACGAGTCCATCCCGGGATACTGTAAACCTACTTCGTAATACCTGTTGGAGGTCAGGTCGCGTAGTGTATATTTTAAAGACTAAAACGCGTACCTTGTGCGATTGCATGGATATGCAGCGTGCGTCTCCTCGCCTACGATTTCACGCGTCGGCCGCAGACTCATCAGATACGGACATGAAGGGAGTAAGCGTACCAACAATGCCGTGAATAGGCCATTCTTGCATATCATCGTCATCCGGAGTTTGTCGCTGAGTAGAGTGCTTCCCCTTGCGCCTGGTCATCGATTCGTGTGGGCCGGGACGACAACGTGTTTGAGCGAGTCGTGCGCGTCAGGTGGCGTCGCGTCTCGCGTGGCTCCGAACCAAGTGTCTGCGCATTAAATACCGTACACAGTGGCTAGGCTTTTAGTTCAAGTTATGGATATCTCGGTGAAAAACGCTGCCAGTCCTCTGTAGGAATGGAGATTAGGGATGGTAAAACTCAATGCCGCTTGGCTGGATCGAACAACCGACCTTGTCATGAACTCGCAAATACGAGTGACACGCACTACCACTGTGCTAAAGCGGCCTTGACCTTCTTCCCCTCACAGCATATATAGACTTCCTCATCTCCTCAAATACTAAGGCGCTGTACGGTACACGGGTGATTTGAGAGAATCACCCGTCTTTGCGATTTGACCTTCCGTGAAAGGCAATAGATGGCTCTAGAAATTTCCGGTTAAGGCAACGACGTGAGAAGTAGCTACCTATAATGGTAACCCTGAATCGCAAAGACGGGTGATTCTTCTGAGTCACCCGTGGACCGTGTTACCGAGTGCGGCTGTGCTGAAACGCAGGCTTGTCTCGTCCACTCTCGTCCACTGCCCGCGTCTTGTACACCGAATCCCGAGCGCCTCTGGCACGGACTTGCTGCTAACATTGCAACCAATACCTCCTACCCTCGGAGCGTGCAAGGCTAGATCTGACTCCTGTTCTTTGCTTATAATTGGCCGGTCCGTCGCTGGACAATAACTTAACACACACCCATGATCTCCCGGTTCAGCAAGGCATTCCTCGCCATCGTACTTGGCCTCGTAAGCACCTCCAAGCCAGCGCGCGAACCGACTTTGCACGCCTGACTCCAAAAGGACTAGTTTCTCATCACCTCCCTCACTTTCCTCCACGCGCCCTCGCGAGCCTACCTAGACCCATGGACGGGTGACCTCTTCGGCGAGGGCGGCGTCGAGAAGAGCCTGCATAACGCCGCTCCGGGCCCGGCGCTGGCTGCAGTGCAGGGAGACGTGATCATGTCGAAGTTGGGGAATGCCACCGCAAAGTAACACCAAGAATCTTGGCGCTCATTGCGTTTCCGGTATTGATCCTGGTTTGTTCTCAGGGCGGCGCTGGGCCAGGCGACGTGGAAACTGCTGTGCGTTCCCTTACTTCACCTCGGGCGAGCCATCGTAGTGACCATGAAGCAGACACACCATGACCCTCCGCTTTCCAGAGGTACGCATACGCTATTCCTTATCCTGAGGAGGCGGCCGATGCAGTATCGATCAGGAACCTACGCCCGACGAACGCGAAGCTCTCGAGTCGTACTTCTATCTGCTATCCCGCCTGTATCCGTGCGGCGAATGTGCGGCCGAGTTCCAACAATTACTGAAGAAGTTCCCTCCCCAGGCAAGTACATCCGGGGCCTGCCTAACGTGCACATGGTGACATGCAGATATCTAGACTTCATCAAGACGGTCGGCAGCGCTCTGGTATGCCTTATCCCATTGTTGTCGGGCGTTTCCCAGTCGTGATTTGGACATTGCGCACAGGCTCTGCCATGTACATAACCAGGTGAACGAACGCTTGGGAAAGCCGGAGTTCGACTGCGCGCATCTTGACGAGACGTACGATTGTGGTTGTGGCGACGAACCCGTCGGTGGTCCTACGACTGCTCGCGACACCACGGATGCGGCACACGACGATCTGACGGGCGTCGACCTAATCAAGGGCGGGTGACCACGGGGTCGTGATCTTCCTTCATCGTTACAATGCAGGGTAATCGTTCTCGTGGTGCGGATGGGTAATGACGGTGTAACAGTATGAACACTAGGTATGCAGTCATGTAGATTGTATCGCAGCAAGCCATCGGAGCGTGCCGAGCCCTTTAATGCTTCCGGTAACTGGATATCGCCGAGAGAGACCATTTTGGCATAGCACGGCGTTTCGACACATCGCGGCGGAGACTTCTATTTCGAACAGGCGCCACAAGGGCGCTCATTCGAACCCTGCTCGAACGACGCGTCAGTCAAAAGCGTGCCAAGTGTGCCATCGGTCGACGAGGAGACGACGTATGCATACATACGCCAGGTTATCGAGCGTGCAAATATGGACGCGCTCGCCACGTCCGTGATCCAACGCACAACGAGCGGCTTGAACGCCAACCTATGCAATGCATGCGATCACCAAGAGACGACGTGCCAGAACGGTCCCTCGTATGCGTGTGTTGACTGTCCAGAACAGGATCTCGAAAATTATGCACACGTTCTCTTCTTGAGCGCTCCCGGTGAAGAGCCGGTATCTTCATTACCACTTCCGAGTCGTCTTCTGCTCCGGTCAGGCACTAGTGCGCCAGCCATGAGCTACCCGGCGTAGGAATCGCAACCCTGTGATGGACGAGCAACGAAGCCGACGGTAAAGGTGTCTCGGACCCGAACAGCACGCCTTTTCCATTTCATTCGCAAGGTCAGCTTACGTCGCTTCCTTGATGCAGTCGAGAAGGATTATTGTAAGTGATACAGATGCGACGATATTCGAAGAGACAAACGACGGTTGACAGAACGATTGGCGTTTATAGGGTCCGTAGCAGCAGCACACAGACGGGGATCGCAATGGGAATCTACATCCCCCGACCTCGTCCACGGCCGCCCCGCATAGGTCCTCCACGTGGCCCACCACGACCTGCAAACACATGGAGTGTCAGTCGATGATGACCTTATTTATACATAATCGAGTAAGCTTTTACCTCTTTGCGGCGCGCCGCGGCCTGCAGGCAGATAGCAGAGAAAAAAACACATGAGCGGCGAGATAATGAGAGAAGCGAAGACGCAGGGTAAGACGAGAGAAGAAGGGTGGAGGAATGGAGGGGTGAGAGAGGAAGGATCTGGACAACGTACCTCCGCGTCCTCCGCTGACATGCGAGCCGCGCGCGCTACGGCCTGCCTCCCGTGCGCGGGTCTGCTCCTCCTTAACGGCGTCGAGAAGGGTATCAGGTACACGTAAGTATTTGATCTAGATAAAAACGTAGGGTGGAACGCGGCACGCCGGAGTCGGTCAGCGATCTGCCCAGTTCGGACCAGAATTGGGGTGGGTGGGGGGGGGGCGACCGACCGTGCTCCCGCGGATGTAACATTCTTTCAACTTCCAAAAGCGCTCGCCGTCGGCCGAGGTCTGGTAAACCTCGCGGAGGGTGATGTTCATAAAGTTGTCGCAGTTGATCAGGTGGCCGTTGAACGTTTCGCCATTTTTGAGTTCGACAAGCTAGTATGCCGCGACGAAAGGATTTTGGAGTGCGTTGTGCGGTCGGACATCGGAGAGTGAGCGAGGCGTAGCGCGTAGAGAAAGGAAAAGGATGTACATCAGTCTCTGGCGGCCGCGGTTGAGGAAGGACGGCGCGAGCGCACCATGGGCTTGTTCTGCGCCGCGTTAAGCAGAGAGAGAGGCAACTACACCGGGCGCGTCAGTTCCCACAAACCGCACAGACTGAGAGCATCGCGCTTACCATGGGCGCGAATGAGAGCGCGACCGGCCAGTTCCAACCGAGGATGTGCGATGGAGAGGCAAAACCCTAACCTGAGCTCGAAGGACGGGCGCGGTTGATTGGCCTGCAGGCGCCCTCGTGTTGCGATTGGCTGCGATGAGGCGGAGTGCAAGTAACATCCACGCTAAGCTGAGCCGGTCTGGGCTCGAGATCGTCCAGCCGAGTGCGCGGCCTTCTTAAGAGGAGTGCACGGCCGAGGCACGGTCGCCCGCCGCCACGACTCGCCCGACCCCGCGTCGCGTGCCATCACCGGACCTGACAATAACCACCTCCATAACGCGCCGAGCTATTATATATACCACCGACGCCCGGTCCTTCTCGTCTGACTCCTGCACCTCTATCTCTCACTCGGAAGGCCCTACATAACACCTCGTTGATTGCCGGAAACACTCCCGCCCAATCGACCTCGCTCCCACCATGCCCCTCCGCCCGCGCCCCGTCCCGCTCGAGCCAGACTCGCTCTACGTTGTCACCCAGCCCCTTCTGCACGGGTAAGCCCATTCCCTCATATCCCACCCGGCACCGAGATCTCATCTTCGACGATTAACGTGCCCACACAGCGCCTTCCACTGGTCCCTCCTCCACATCTCCTCCACCGGCCAGGCAACCCGACACCACTGGGCCCGCGCCGCGTTCCCCGCGTCCGCACTCTCGCCGTCTCGCTTCCCACAGTGCGCGCCGCCCCGGAACCACCACCGGCACCACCACCCCTCCTCCTCCTCCTCCTCCCACTTCTCGGCGCCGAAATCGACGCCGACCGAGTGCTACAGCTCGCAGACGATCGCGTGCCCCATGACCGCGACGCCCTCGACCGTCGTCCTCGCGTATTTCAAGGTGCGCGGGTACGCTCCCGTGCCCGTGCCCGTGCTCGCCGACATCTGCGCGCACGCCTTCCCGCGCACCTACGGCTCGACGGAGGCCAACCGCGCAAAGGGGCTGACGTGCCGCACGTGGGTCACGAAAGTGCTGAAGGGCCTCAGGGAGGCGGGCTATCTCCGCCGGGATCCCTCGGGGATCACAAGCTTAAGAGGGCCGCAAGCCGGTGGTGGTGGTGGTGGTGGCGCAATCGAGGACGCCGAGCTGGAAGAGGAAGAGCGGATCGAGCGCGAGGTGACGCAGAAGAGCCGGCAATGCGACGCCGAGTACGCGACCGCGTTCTTATGGTGTCGCGGGTACGACACGCTTGTGACGGTCGTATGATGCAGGCCGGCGAACGACACATAATGACCCTGGCACTGTACCACACATCGTCAGTGCGGGTTTTCCAGAGGAATGGCGTAGGAACAGAAACCACATACCCACTCGCCACGGACCATGTAACACTTTACTACGTGTATGTACTTCTATCGGGGTGGAATAATGGTGATATACAGTGCGAGGATCTTCCCTTCAAATCAAGGTTCATTACCGTCGGATCTTCCTATCCGCCCATCGCCGTAGAGTAGATCCGCCCAAGCCCAAAGAAAGAGAATAGATGGAAGCAAATATGCACGCTGAAAAGCAGGCTTCTATGTCCGCTTCACAGTGGGTAAACCAGCAAGCGCTTCGACACCTCGTACGCGCGCTCCGTCGCTTCGTCAAACCGACCAATAGCAGCGACCGAAGTGTCCGACTCTACTTCAGAGTCCGCTTCCACGCCCGACTCTATCCACCCCGCGCCTAGCCAGATTCGCAGCCACGCTCCGCGGCAGCCCCAGTGGGGCCGGCGGAGGACGTGAAGCTGCCAATGGCGCGGGAGCCAGCCCGAGTCCTGCCAGTCGACGATGCCGGACAGGCGCCATGCGCCGCCGCTGGAAGGATCACGTCGGACGAGGATGTTTTGTAGGCGGAGGTCGGTGTGCACCCAGACGACGGGGTCGGCGGCGAGGACGGCGAGCGCCGCTTCTGGCGCGAGGTCGTCCGCGGTTTCAGCCGGTTTTGTCGTCGTGCAGTTTGGTGGTGAGGGGGCGGGGCGGTAGGTGGGCGGGTGCGCGAGGAGGTCGGGGAGCGCGGCCGGGTCCGAGGTGCCGGCCATGTAGGCATAGCAGGCGAGCGTGGAGGGAAAGGGCCCCGCGAGCGACTCCTCGGCGGCGGCGTGAAACTTGAGGGGGTCAGGAAGGCCGTGGCCGCTGGCGCTGAGCATCACGGCATGGACGTGTCCGCCGTCGTCATGGGGTCCTGTCGGAGGAAGCCCAATAATATGACCGGATGAAGCCGAAGTCCCCGCTTCGGAGTGCGGCGCGGGGGAGCGGTCGGGGGAGAGGCTCCAGAGGCGGTCGATGACGCCGCGAACGTCGCGCACGATGCGGGCGGTGTCGGCGTCTGTTAGAGCGTCCGGGGACGCGTCCATGAGCTCCGACATGCGTACGCCGGGAAGACGCGTGAGCAGCGTGTACGTGAAGGTGCGGGTGGCCGGTTCCGGGTCGCCGCCGTCTTCAGTCTCGTCACCATCGATAACGTCTTCGATGGGACGGTCGGACGGATAGACGACGGGCTCCGAGACGGTCACCACGTCGAGCAGTCGCGGGATGGGCAGGTCGGGCAGGCGCGCGTTGAGGAAGCGGAGCGCGTCGGCCTCGGTGCTCACGCCGCGCGGCGTGCGCTTGAGTACGAGCGGTATACCGAATCGGAAGTAGCGCACGTTCGCGTCGGTCTGCACGGGGGCGAGGTAGTTGGTGCTCGCGGCCACGCCGGACGCGAGCGAGAAAGGCGGCTCGCCGGCCGGCCGGCTGAGGGCGAGGTAGAGCCGCAGGCGGAGGTGCGCGAGCGCCCGACGGACGTAAATTTCGAAGGACGCAAGGGGGGGTGCGGACTCGGAGGCGTGCGGAAGCCACATCCGACGTACGCAACCGTCGGGTCCGTCGCGCTGGCAATTTGGGGGTTTCTGTCGGAGGAGGGTATGTTAGCGGATGAAGACAGGGGTAAGAGAGAGGGGAGCCAAGCGCTGGGCACGGGGGGCGGACCGAGGAGTGGTTGGAACGGAAGCAAAAGTTTATTTGGATATATGATGATGATATGACAGCCTGAGGAAGCGCAAATTGCCACAGCGTGCACTTACCGGGCGGCGGGCGATGCTTCCACGGTGACCCTGCAATCTGCAAGACCCGGGCTCAGTTGGAGCGCTATCGGGAGGGAGACGCTACGACGTGGCCGGCGAGCGTGAAATTGTGCGGTCGCCAGAGACGCGGAGGAAGCCCCTATCCTCTTATGTGACGTCGGAGAGGGCGAGCAGCGGACGATATAATAGTCTCACCGTGGGAATAAAGCACGTGAATGGGCAGTATCCGGCGGCTTATCGGATCAGAGTGGGCCCAGATAAGATCGTGCCGCGAACCTCGAAGCGTCGCTGGCAACTGGCCCAGTCCAAGTCACTTGAGTTTCTGACTCGGGCAAGTCACTTATCTACCGGGCGCTACTATACCTCTCCCGCTCACTTGTATCGATTGTTCTATCTCCCAAAATGTCGGACTCGACGATAGTCTACTACGTGGACGAGGCCGCAGGTTCCGACACCGCCGGCACTGGTGCGCAGGATGCACCTTATCAAACGCTGGCATACGCCCTCTTTGCACATGGCCAGGACAGCAAAATCCAATACAGGAAAGACTCAACCGCGGCGTATGACGAACCCACGAAATCCGCGCTGAAGAAGGCGAAAAAGGACGCCGATGGAATCGAGAAAAAGAGGAAGAAGGCCGAGGAGCTGGCTGCACGCGCCGCCGCCGCTGGGAAGGAGGAGACGGAGCGCCGGGAACGGCTGCTCGAGGAAAGCAAGAAGATCGTGCTGACGGAGGATACGTCCCTTCCGCAGGCTGCCCGAGTGCGTAGACCCGTCCGTGCTCGTGTGCACAGGAGGCTTGCGTGACTGACTGCGGCGATCACGACACAGGCGAAGCTCGACTCCCTGACGCCTCTGCGTGGACAGCGCGTACGGGTGTTCGGATGGGTGCACCGTGTGCGCGACCAGAAGGGGATTATCTTCCTCATCCTCCGCGACGGCACCGGATATCTTCAGACCGTTCTCTCGGGAAAAGTGGTGCGTCCGTCTGATCCCAACCCCCTTGCCCTCTGCTTCCAATACAATCTCCCCTCGCATGGTCCGTCCTTGCACCGCGCATCGATCCGGAAAATCTGCGGGTGATCGCTTTTTTGCCACTGATCATCCCACCATTCACACGTAAAGATTATCGGCCCGGAGCAGCGCATACCGATTCCAGTGGGGTGCACCTCCGCGCGGGATGCTCCGCCGCCGGCTCCCCATCTTCTCTGTCCCTTCTGTCCTATCCATCGCTCCATCTGCATGCACGAACTCGAGTCCGCTGACCTGGCGTTCGCTTTTCATCTCCGCAGGCACAAACCTACGATGCCCTCACCCTCACACTCGAGTCTTCGGTGGAGCTTGTGGGTACACTACAGGCGGTGCCTGAGGGCAAGACAGCGCCAGGAGGCCATGAACTTGTCGTCGATTTCTGGCGTGTACTCGGCGCCGCACCCGGAGCTGAAGATGCCTTCACCAACCGCCTCAACGAGGTCAGTCCCGGAGATCATTCTTCCGACGCGTTCCCGTCTGAACTGTGCTACGTAGAAATCGGATCCGTCTATCCTCGCGGACCTCCGACATCTCGTCCTCCGCGGCGAGACCGCGTCCTCCGTCCTTCGCCTCCGCGCACACCTCCTCACAGCCTTCCGCGCCTCCCTCCGGAGCCACTCTCTGCTCGAAGTCACCCCGCCATGTCTGGTGCAGACGCAGGTAGAAGGTGGCGCGACACTCTTCAAGCTCGACTACTACGGCCAACCCGCGTTCTTGACTCAATCCAGTCAGCTGTACCTCGAGACGTGCCTCCCGAGTCTCGGGGACGTGTTCTGCGTCCAGGAGAGCTTCCGAGCGGAGAACAGCCATACGCGCCGACATCTGAGCGAGTACACGCATTTAGAGGCCGAGCTCGCGTTCATCACGTTCGACGACCTGATGGCTCACATTGAGGCGATCGTGCGTTTGATCCTTACGGGAATCATCCTCGATGCTCACTCCTACCCTTCCTTTCGCAGATTTGCGAAACTGTAGACAGGCTTCTGCAAGATCCTGTGTCGGCCGCGTTGATCAAGCAGCTCAACCCCAAATTCGCGGCCCCCTCCCGCCCCTTCCTGCGCATGCCCTACGTCGACGCCATCAAATGGTTGAACGAACACGGGATACAGCACCCCGAGGAAGATGCGGACGGCAATGTCGTGCTGAAGGAAGACGGCACGCCGAAGATGGTCGACCATGCCGTTGGCGACGACATCGCCGAGGCGGCCGAGCGGCAGATGACGGACATACTCGGCGTGCCGATGTTCCTGTACGGGTTCCCGAAGGAGCTCAAGGCGTTCTACATGAAGAAGATGTCAAAGAAGGAAGGAGAGGACGGCCCTGTGTTCACAGAGAGCTGTGACTTGTTGATGCCGGGCGTCGGAGAGATCGTTGGTACGTTATCAATTTCGCGGATGAGACGGTCTTCTTCTGACGAGAATCCGTCTTTTAGGTGGGTCCATGAGGATAGCGGATGCAGAAGAGCTTCTTGCGGCATACAAGCACGAAGGTATAGACCCCGAGCCGTACTACTGGTTCACCGACCAGCGCAAGTACGGCACCTGCGAACACGGCGGTTACGGTCTGGGTGTTGAGGTGAGATCTGTTCTCCCCCGAAGCAGCTTGCGATTTCTGACGTTGGTATGCTTCCATCATCAGCGTTTCCTCGCGTGGCTCGCCGACAGGTACACCGTCCGCGAATGCAGTCTGTACCCCAGGTGGCCAGGCCGTGCGACGCCTTAAATTCCGTATGCCGATCGGGTGCGGGCTGATCATCGCCTGTGTGCGAGCGTCGTAGTGTGTGATCTAGATTCCGACCGTTGTTTTGGGAGTATTTGGGTCGAGGTCGTCATGTCCAAAGCCGCTACTTATGTCGCGGTGTGCCTTTGTGTTTGTGCCTTCTACATACCGTTATACTCCGCATCCATATTATTTATTTGCCCTGTCCGACCGAACTACAGTACTTACTGCAAGTTCTAACCTCGCTGCGGTCGACAATGACGTCGCCGACCCGTCTCGCTCACGTGGTCTTGAACTATACTTCTGTCCTTGGTCGCCGCCATCGTCCCCGCACATGCCGTTACATTGATCAATGCTATGAATACCACATATCAAGGGTTCCCGTCAATTGGGCGCGCTCTCTCTGCCTTTCGTTATACCCACCGCTTCCCAGCTCAAGGAGGAAGGAAACGCATTGTTCGTCGAGCAGGAGTGGGCAGCAGCACATGCCAAATTCACCGAAGCCATCGCTCTCGATGGACAGAACGCGATCTTGAGAGCGAACCGCGCCGCATGCGGTATGAAGCTGAGACGGCAAGTGTTATCTCCGCTAGTGTCTTTCTGTGTCATTCACAGCGCGAGCGTTCTCAGGTACCATGACGCTCTGAAAGACGCCCGGAAAGCGACAGATCTTGACCCGAGATATGCCAAGGCTTGGGCTCGTTTAGCAACTGCTCAAGAGGTTCGCCTTCGCTGAGCAATGCTCATGATCGCGGATTCATTGTACTTCTTGCATGCACAATTCAGCGGCTGCAATATCCCAGTATCGGCTCTTGGGAACGCGCTTTGGCTTGTCTGCCAACCCAAGGTCTATCTCTCGTGGAGCGGAAACAGAAGGAGCAATACACGGCCGGATTGAGGGCTGCGGAGGCGTATGCGAAAGCAAAGCTCGAGCCGATCAGGGCCGGGCCTTTGCAGTTTGGCGCGATGCCGTGGGACCGGGCGGCGGAGCTGAAGGTCGAGCTACAAAAGAGGGCTGAAAACGGTGACGCGAGCGCGAATCGTAGCAGTGCCTGGGTGATATGCGGTGCCTATCGGGTATATTCGTCTCAGCTTCATGTCATCGTGATTGTGATGACCTTTCGCCTCAGGATTTTGAGGACGGCATGACGTGTATGCGAAGCATCAAGAGTGTTCTTGTTCCGGGAACTCAACAGTTCGCTGTGAGCGGTCCCGTTAGGGTACAGTTTTTTTACCCTGCTCTTGGAGTCCTGTAGATGCGTAGCATAGTCACAGGGGTTGGAGTTCTTGTCAAATGCCGTGCTACGGGACAGCCGAGTCTTTCACTTCAAGCTTGGAGACAGAAAGTGAGTCAATGTTGCTTCTGTCCTCCGTTTCCGGTCATGACGAGCATATTGTACAGATTCGACGAGATGTACAACGATCAGGTACTCTGTCTTCGATTTCTAGACACACACCACTGCTCGCTGACAATCACCAGGATGCGCTCGTTACTGCACTTTTCCGTAGTTGGCAAAGGCAGAGTGCCGAACAGGTCATCGAATCGGCCCAAAAGCGCCTGAAGAATGAGGGCTGGACACCTACCCGGACTGCTCTGTCCGCCACCGTCCGGTACATTTAGCCAATCCTTCGATACCTGATCGTACATTTACGGCTGGTCAACAGCTCGTGGATCCTCCGTGGATACATCACGGGATGTGCGAACACCGATACCAAAGCGTCAGCGTATTGGTATGGCGAGGCTCTCCACGTTCTGGAATGGGGACAGCAAACGTGGAAGAAAGAACAGAAAGCCGTTCGGGGAGCGATTTTCGAACATACGTTTGTGCGCGGTGTCCGAGGTCTACACCTGGACGCATACATGCAGGTTCGACGATTTGACAAAATTGGGTGCCTTTGCAAGTGGCCCTGACGCATCAGACAGTCGTGTGCATGGGATGCAACGGACGACCCGGAATACAGTTGGGAGAGGGTGTTGGAAGAAGCACAAGAACAACTGCGCGATATCCGGGGGCACCCTATCGTCGATCCGGACGATCCTGGATTCTCGAGGTTCCCCCTCTGCCCTGTGCCAAGCGTCTAACCTAATGGTTGTATGTTAGTTCCTTCTGTGACTATCCTCGGGGTCAGGCATTCGCGTTCGTATAAAATTCTAACGTATTTGGCGCGATATTCATGTTCAAAACCCCAGGGCGATTGGCCTCTACTTCAAGCATCTCGCCCGATTTGGCCCAGATAAAGATCAAGCGACAGTGAACAAGCATCTCGACGAGAGTGCGTCCATGTACCTCGCTGCCGCTCATGCTTTCCCGGCGGATGACGAACATCACGCTTGGTGCGCGACTTGCACACACCATGTCTTGCCAGCACTAACGCCTATCAGGTTCTTGTACTGCGGGGTGGAGATTATGTTCGAGGCTGGAAGGCCCCTTTCTCGGACGCTTCCTATTATCTCCGACATTCGGGAGGTCATGCCCAAGTACAAACCCATATGGGAGAATTCGCTGATGGGTCGCAAGGGCATGGAACAAAAGCTACAAATGGTCAGGTTCATTTTCATCGCTTCCTGTTCAAGTACTAGTTTTCATGAATATCTCTATAGTATATCGACTTCGCGTCTACCACCCAAAAGTCTGTGGATGAAGGCACCCACATATTGGAGTCCGTAGTTTGGCCTGACTGGTTTCTCAGCGGATGAGATGCCAGAACCTTGCAACTGCATCGTCTGAGAGATCGTATCGCAGCGATTGAGTCTAGACAAATTTCCTTGGCGTTTTGGGTGACTCAGTCAATGTCAATATGATCTTGGTCAATATCAAAATAAACTATCTTCATTGCAATCCCTCCTTGGTCCCTCCAATATACCACGTGAAAGCAGCCGCATACTGGTACGGCGAGGCTCTTCATGTTTTGGAGTGGGGGCAAGAAGCCTGGAAGAAGGTGCCGAGATCTCAGCGGGGCGCGATCTTTGAGTATACCTTCGTCCGTGGTGTACGTGTGCTGCACCTCGAGGCATCCACGGGATTGGTGCGCCTTGTTGCACCTGTATCGAGATTTTGAGCCAGGCAGCGGAAGGGGACGACTTGGAGTACAGCTGGGACAAGGTGTTGGAAGAAGCCCAAGATATTCTACGTGAAATCGAAGAGCATCCGTACATCCCGACGGAACCGGTCGATCCCGGGTTTGTGAGGTTCGATCCTCCCTTATCATATTCATGCAAGAGAGCCAACATTACCTATCCTATAGCCCCTTTTACATTTGCCGAAGCGACAGCGTCAGTAAGCTCTCCCGTCTTATCATATGCATAAAGACGACAAATGCATGATTCAGGGCAATTGTCCTCGTCTATGAGAAGCTTGCGCAAAGCGGACCGGACAACGATATAGATTCTATCAACAAGCATCATGATAGATGCGCTTCTATATATCTCGCAGCTGCCCTTCAACTTCCCCCCTGATGACGAGAAGCATCCCTGGTAGGTGTCGCGAAGACGCATTGCTGCAAGTTCTATTGATTGTTTCAAGGTACCTCTGCTGTGCTTTGGAGGCCATGTTTAGGCGTGCTCGGCCCCTCGTCAATATATTGCCTATCATCGATAGGATTCGTGATGCAATACCTAAGTATAAGCGCATCTGGGAGCACTCGGCGATGGGACACGAGGGTATGGAAGACAAGTCGAACATGGTCAAATCGACGCTACCTTGTTGCTCCCGAGACTCATTGTTATTTCTGTAGTTCGTCAAATTCGAAGACGAGGTGAAGAAGGCGATGAAGGTGTCCTCACGTTGGACTCCGCAGTCAAATCGAAGTGGGTTTACGACGAGAGAATCTGACCGGAGATGTGTGGTACACGTGTACATCGTACACAAAGCTTTCCTGCACCTCCAGAACGGTGGACATGCATTCTCTTTTCACGTGCTGGTGCCAATTGAAATTCTGAGATTCAATGTTTCCGCCCATGGAAACCATTTGCGAGCGAAGAGACGGTTCATCGCCATGTCCTCACCAAATCCATTCTCAGCCGTCGTTGAAGCGGCCCATGACGATCCTGCAGAGATACAGAAGGTGTACACCGCACACCGCACTCAAAGGTTTGCGAAACAACGCAGCCTCTTCCTATCCGAGGCTTTCAAGCCCGAGGTCGATACCATTCTCCAACGCACGCTCGACCCGTCCATAGAGCCTGGCTATGTCGATCCCCGACATTCCATCGTCCTCTGGGCGCGCCCCCCTGCCCCCGTCCGCGCGCTGGTGGCCGAAATACAGCGGAAGTTGCTCGTCGCGGCACCACACCTTTGGGCGATGCCCCCGGCCAACCTGCACACGACCGCACTCGAGATGGTGTACTCCGTGACCGAAAAGGAAATTTCCGCAATCATGGCTATCATCGGGCCGGCTATCGGACAGATGACCGACTACACGCTCACGCACCGGACCAGGCTGGCCAAGCCGATGCTCGCATACGACGTGGGCGGAGTCGCACTCACCTTGGTGCCTGCAGCGGGCGAAGGCCGTGAGGAGCGCTCCGAGGATACAGAGGCGGAGGATGATGACGCCTACACGTATCACCACCTCCGCCGCGATCTGTTCGATTTGTGTTGTTCAACTGGACACATCATCACGAGTCGATACGTGGTTCCATCGGCACATATAACGATCGGGCGATTCATCACCGACATCGATTTCGTTCTTTCGAGCGAAGATCGCAAACCAGATACAGTGAAGGTGAAGAGGTGGGTGGATACGGTAGACGAGATCAATGACTGGCTGCAAAGCGAGTACTGGCCCGCAAATAGTGATATCAGAGCTGGGGGAGAATGGATCGTCGGGGAGGGCGTTCCGCTGGAGTTAGGGGCAGGGCGTGTGTGGTATGGTGTAGTACAGTAGAGAATCGAGTACGCGTAGGCGAAGATTTTCATCGCGAGCTCGACAGATGTAAAGAGTTCAGTATGTGTGGGGTAGCAGTAGTACGATACGTAGAACGTGGCGAATTCGAAAGGTCGAGGCGAACGCGCAAACGGGACGACACGGTCAGATGACCTAATTCGTCTAACGCTGCTTGGCCTTGCCCACCATCTGATCGTGCCGTTCCAGACAAAGAACCGAACACTGCTTACGCTCGTCAATGATGAATTACGCCGCACAGAAGTGCACTTCTGCTTCGGCTTCATTGACGCAATGATCCGTCAGAGCAAGCCGTCGTTCTCGTGACTGCCAGTGCCGCCAATTTGCCTCCGCTTTACGACGGTGTCTTTCCCCCCAAACCTAGGTCTTGCACAGACGGCCTGGTCTACGCTTCCTTGTCTACAGTGGATTGATCCCGGAGGTTTCTCCTGACTGATCCTCCTTGTACTTCGTAACCCGTATCGCTTGCTCACGAGTTTCGACGCAGTAGCAGCACACCTTGCACTGTAGAATGGCATGCGCGACAATGGATTGCGTGACTCATGATCAACTCTTCGAGAAGTCTCGCTGCTTGGAATGGATCATCGTTGTCCTGATTTCCCCTACCACTACTTCACTTCAGTGCGTATGCCATATGATGGACGACTCTTTCTGGAACCGGGTCGCCGTTGGATCCTCTGACGCAACGACGGTGCATCCAAGCGGCTGTCGGAATGGTGCCGCGTTCCTGCTGACCATCTTGCGGCAAATCCCCGGTTCGGCGAGGGTCAGCAAGATCGTTGACATTTCTCCGAGTTGATTCCACCCGACATAACGACGCCCTGTTCTACAGCGTCCCTTATAAGGGTCTGAAAGCATGAACTACTCAGCGTTGAACATTTGTTAACAAGGTCTCAAGATGTACCGGAAGCTCGCTCTCGCTGCTGTGCCCGCTTTTGTGGCATTGCCCCACGTTCTCGCCCAGCAGAGCGCATGGGGACAATGTGCCTACCTGCATTTTCTTTTGGCAAGCGTACGCTGAAACAAATTTCAAGGTGACGGAATTGGCTGGTCTGGAGCAACGACTTGTGTTTCGGGGTAAGAAGATGCTGTATATCAGGTAGCTAGCACTGGACACTGACTCGCACAAGTTACGTCTGCACCTACCAGAACGACTGTATGCTTTACTTTGAATCTTCCTCCTTCTTCTTGGGCTGAAAGTGGATCAAGACTACTCGCAGTGCATTCCCGGGGCCGCCAGCTCGAGCAGCAGCACGATGTCGGGTGCTACGTCCAAATCGTCAACTGTCTCATCGACCTCATCCGCTCCGACGTCAACATCCACCACAGCCGTCAATTATTGGTTCAGCTTGTCCGTACCAGGATGATGCCATGACTCCACACCGCATGAATCTTACTCTAATCATAGCGGGGATTCGTACACCCAGACTGGGTTCGTGACAACGGACACTCTTCCTGCGGTTGGAAACCCCCTCGGAAACCCCGATTACCCGGTGAGCACATACGCACGAACACTCCTATATCTTGGCACTGATGATGATGATGATGTCAAGGGTTACACCGCAGTGGGTGGCGAGAATTGGATAGACGTTGCTACCACCGTCTACAACCACTCGACCGTTCTCACTTGGAACTACGCTTATGGCGGCGCGACCATTGACGCATCGCTGGTGGCACCTTACGAACCGACCGTTCTGTCCCTCACTGACCAAGTTAACGAATTCCTTGACGGTGCCGCCAGCAAACCCGCGTCTGCGCCGTGGACCAGCTCCGACGCACTGTTTTCCGTCTGGATCGGAATTAACGATATCGGCAATTCGTACTACCAGAGTGGCAGCCGTAGCGCGTGAGCTTTCGCTGTATTCAACCCACTTTAGGGCTCATTGCGAAAATGGGCGTCAGGTTTGATTCGACGCTGCTGAATGCATACTTTGCCCTGGTTCAGAAACTCGTGAGCCTTTCCTACATACAACCATCCATACGTTCTTGACATTGTACCCTCTGCAGTAGTAAGCCGACCTGATTCATGTATGATACTGGTTGAACATAGCGCAGCGATGTCGGTGCTCGCAACTTTTTGTTGGTATCCGAGATTCTCCTCTTTGATCTGAAGTTGAAGCCCTCGCACCTCTAGGTTCATCAACGTTCCCCCAATCGACCGTTCTCCCCTTGTGCGTTGTTCTTCTTGTTCTGTCTTCGTCGATCTGGCCCTGACCCAACTACACAGATGCTCGCGCAATCGACCGACGCGCAAGCTCTTGAAAAAACTGTGATCGCCGACTTCAACTCGCAGTTGGTGACCTACGTCAATCAGTTCAAGGCCAACAACACCGGGGTACGGGAAAGCCATCTACGTTACACCCAGCGCTTAATAGTTCTTCAGGTCACAACATGGATCTACGATGCCAACACTGCGTTTACCACCATCTTGGACTCGCCCACTACATACGGGTTTGTCGATGCCACATCCTACGGAAACACCGGTGATTTCTGGGGGTGAGCGTACTCCACCTCTTGACTGGTGGTGATTGTGCTGATTCAGTGTTCATCAAGCAACAACTATCACCCATCCAGTGCGTTGCGACTCTCTGAATATACAGACCGAGATCCTAACCTTCACTTTAGGCGCTGCTCAAGTCATGTTCGGCGAGCAGGTCGGGAAGTTGCTCTCGGGTACTGTTTGGTGAAAGCCGGAGATCACTGGAATAACAAAGCAGAATGTACTGTGCTGTCTCGAATCCATCCCTTAGCGCTGAGACACGTCGCAATATCACTTTGAATGTGCACAACACTTTTTCAGATGAGGAAGCTGGGAAATACACCACTCTTTGGCCGGTTGAACGACAGGCGTGCTACGGACTACGCAAGCGAAAAGGGACCGGGACTGTTGAACCCGTGACAGCAGGTCATCTACCAGATCCTGGTCTCCATCAGGAGGTCGCTACTTCCCTCAACACCGATGCAAGCCTTCAGGAACGCTTCCAATGCGTTGCGCTGGCGATTAAGGCTGTTGACGACGTCGGTACCAGGCTTCACAAGGGGCGCCTTCAGCATGTAGGACAGTAACGACAGGACAGAGTAGAGCGGCTTGAATTCGGCGTCGGGTGACGCGGAAAGGTCGCGGTACTTCACGCGCGTGAGCAGCTCCGTCAGGATCGAAAGGTCGAGGATGAGCGGAGTAGCCAGGAGAGAATCCTGGAAGAGCATTCAATACAGTATGCAGGATGGATCGTAAACATCACTCGCCTCGCACTCGTTGAAGATGTTGATGGTCGAGCGACCACCGCAAAAGATCTCCGAATAGTACTCGTCGATCGCGCGCTTGGAGTCGCCGACGGCAGGAACGTACTTGATGACAACAATGTGGTCGGGGTGCTCGCCCTTCTTACCCGCCTTGGCGTCGGCTTCGGTGGGGCGATTGTACAGAAGGTGGTTGGCGTTGACCATGTCGTCCACGACGCTGCTCTTGCTGATCTCCTTGCTCTTGAACTGCGGCTCCGCGGAGAGGTTGTGGCCGTCGTTGTTGCCGAGGTGGTTGTATGAGGCGATGGAAAGCGGCTTGATGCCAGCGTTGACGAGGAATTCGGCGAAAACGGACTTGAGTTTCGTCTGGCCGGACTTGAGGTCGTCGCCGCCGATGAAGCCGCGCTCACGCTCGGCGAGCTCGATGACGCCGGGGACAAAGGTGTTCTGCGGCGCGCCGTTTACAAAGGGCTCACCCTCTAAGATTGAGGCAACGGCGAAGAGCGTAGAGGGCGACACCTCGGAGTGCGAGCTTTTGATGGCCGCGAGCAGGTTGTCCGCTGTATCGTTCACGCCAGGGATGAGGTCACTGTAGCGCTCCGTGTTAGCGGTCCAGAACACCACAACACGGTCGAGCTGGTTGTCTGCCTTGAATTTGCGAATGTCGGCGCGAATATGCTCGAGGTGGGCGTGCTTGTCGGAACCGGGGATAACGTTGTCTGCGCGAGCCTCCTGGTTGGCGGCAATGAAGTCGGGGTAATAGATAGACGGGAGCGGTGCGCTCAGCTCGGCCATGAAAGGAGCGACCTGGCGCTGAAGATCCCAGTCGAGGACCTGAGCGCGGGACATGGCCTTGTCCATCGGGAGCCCGGAGATATCCCAACCACCGAGGACGAGGTCGTTGGGATGAACCATGGGCAAAACGTCGCACACCGGGACGTGGATCTCCTTGCCCGTTGCAGGATCAGTACCGAGCTGCACAGTTGACGCGCGCAGCATGGATCCGATGTAGTTCGGCTGCTGGAGACCACCCTTCGTGTGCCAGGTGATGTTGTGTCGGTTGGCGAGGACGGTAGCGCAGAGCGTAGTGCCGTTGTTCCCGCCCATGCCGACCATCATCAGACTGCGAGGTATAGTGAGCACGCAGGACGCGAAGCAAAGGGGATACGGTGCGTACCCTGTCTTAGCGACCTTCCTAGCCGTTTGGAGCTCGTACGGTTTGGCTGTCGGCTTGACCACGAACTGACCATCGGTAACGGTCACGTCCGCGCCACGATTGAGGAACTTGGATGTGATATAGTCGTCCGAGTACGACGTGTGCTCGGACTGGACGACTATGGGGTACGGACGACGCGCTGCCGTAGGGTGCACAGGCAGGAAGCCGTCCGCGTCGGTAGGGGTAGTGTATCCAGAAGAGTTAGATGCGGTGTTGGGAGCCATGTTGTACGAGATCTTAATGAGCTATAAGGAAGCCGGCGGACGTGTGCTTGGAACCCCGGTGAGGATTATGAGTGCTGCGCATCGCAGCGTCAGTCCATCGACGTCCGCAACGACAAGTGTGTCGACCACGTACCTGCCGAGCTGGTTCGAGTACATGCAAGGTCAAAGTAACCTGACGACTCTGGGGGTTGTGCTGAGGCCTTTAGTAGCTTTCTGAGAGTCGATACGCGTGCGCCTGTACGTGTTAGAAGACAAGAGCGTGTCTGGCTTATTCGAGGGTGTTGGGTATTTTATAGCAGCTAACGCGTGTTCGATCGACAAACTCGAACTCCCGATATCACCGGCCCGCCATCACGATGCACAATTTAGTAGTTTTTACTGATTTTACACGATGATATGGCTAGGTTCGTCGAGAGGACATCCGAATTAGGCACGTTTACAACGCTTTGATATAAACCCGAGGACTTGCGCCCCTGGTCGTGCAGCGTGGATCAACACATGCCCTATTTCTTCTTCTTACTCTTCCCGCCAGACTTTCCTTGAGATGCCGACTGAGTTGGCGGTGCTTCGAGCACCGCGGCACCCTGTGTCGCCCCTCCCCCTCTTTTGCTTCTGTGACGCCCAGTCGTGTATGTTGACCGCTCGCTCTTCTTGAGCCAGCGTTCGGGATCGGGAGGAGGGGTCACCCCAGGGATGACACCCTTGGGCACGCGCTTCGCGCGGGTCTTCCTCGGCGCTGGTGCGGGTGGCGCTGCCGCCGTCGGGTAAGCGGCAGAAGGAGCAGGGCCGACGGTGGGAGGTTGGGCAGTTTCGATCTGGGAAGTCGTAGCTGCGGGCAGCTGGTCCAACACACGCAAGTACCCCGCATTGATGAAATCGAGGTGCTGCTGGGCCGCTTGTAGATTGGTGAGAATATCATCGTGCTCTTCCGTTTGCTATCACCGTTATTCGGTCAGCACGAGCAAGTTTGCGCAACAGATTACCACTTACCGGTTCCGCGCTATCTAGAAGCTGATTGTATAGGTCGAAGGCGGACTGGTAGTTGCCCTGACGGTAGTTCTACAGGGATGGTTGTTATCTAGACCGAATATCGCCTCCCGTGTCAGACAATCGCTCACCAATTGAGCTTCGAGATGTAGAGCGCCTCGATCATCTTCGTCCGATAATTGCTTGAGAGCAGATTCCGCCTCATCTTCGCGCTGTAGACGGTACAACGAGTACGCTCTGCCGAAGTCATGACCGTGCTCCTTGTCGAGGGAATCGACGAGCGTAAGTGCAGCCTCGTATTGTTCAGTGTGCAGAAGCAGGAACAGCTTTGTCTGCAACGCGTCCTTGTCGTCCGCCGCTAGTCGAAGGACTGTCCAAGACCGCAATGAGCAAGGATGTAATGACTATGCTGAATGACGTTTCTCACTCTTATCGCAAGTGCGTATAGCGTTAGGGAAGTGTCCTCCGTCGATCTGAGCGCACAACGAGCCAAAAAGCTTCTTCAATCGTTCCTCCGTGGACAATGGCCGTTTAGCTTTGGGCTTGGAGGTGACGCCAGGTCGCGATTTCTTCTGCCCACTGGCTGCCGGCGGTGCAGCGGCCTTGCTCGGTTTCGGGGGCATCTTACAGCGCTAGCTATCGCGCTACTTCGGTTCACGCAGACGAGGTGACACTCGCGATCCCCAAACGAGACGAGTGAAGTTGGATACGAAGACGCGTTCAGCGACGCTTGCTCTCAGCCACAACTGGTGCCCCACCGTCATGTCAGCGGAAGAGTCAGTATCTCTACCAGGTACCCCTGTCGCAACTCTGACACCCTTGGAACGAACGGACAGGCAGAGCCAGCAGGATGCCCCGATGCAAGACGCGCAGGCTCAGCCTCCGCGCAACCGGCCCAAGCTGGACTTGTCTCTGGCACCGGGAGGGAACAAGGATCGCAAACGCGGTAAAAGCATGTTTGGATTATTACTCGGCACCCTGAACAAGGCAAAGAACGAGGACAAGGAGCGAAACGCCAGCGAAGCGGTGCGTGTCGGTTACCCCCAGTCCTCGTGTCGTTTGGTATGCTAACAGAACGTGGTACCCCATCTGTTTAGGCCAAAAAGCGACAAATGATTGAGCAAAGGTTACAGGCTAAGCTGAAAAAAGAGACTGATTCTGTCAGGAGAGCTGAAGAGGTCAAGAAGGAAAAGAACACTGCGAATCGCAAGGAGGAGGACCTCCAGCTGAAAGATTCCATTGTGCGTTTGTGCATATATGCCCATATTCTACTGCAATATCTTACTTATTCTTCTCAGTACAAACTTCGTCGGACACGACTACCTATACTCGCGAACTTCTTGAGTACATCCGACCGTATACCCGATGATCCGGAGGACCCTCTGGTTACCTCCAATCCGTTGGCGGAACCTCCTCGGACGCATCCTCCCCCATTGTACTACCTCCCAGCCATTCTCACTCCTGTGCAAGAAGCATTCATCAACGCACGGAAATCCCTCGTTCGTCCTATACCAATGTTATCTCTATCTTCGTGTGTACTGATCTATCTCCAGGTCAAAGAAGCCGTGGAAAAGGAATGGGCGACATTCAAGCAAGAGCGCGCCACAGGCATTGAGGAGATACGGCAGCTCCGACAACGAGTGGCTGAGGAGGAGGCTCGCAGGAAGGAAGAGCGTGCGAGTGGCGACGCAGACAAGGATGAGGTGCACGACGAGAAGCCGGAAGGCGACGCGGAAAAGGCGCCGTCCAAGGAGGAGGAGATGTCAGCGACGGATGTACATCCGGAGAACAGCGATTCTGCAGACAAGACCAAGACGCCAGAGGATGGGACCATGGATGTGGATGATGAGGCAGGGAAGGATGAGAACGCGAAGCCGGAGGCGGTCGTGCGTGCGGACGACGAGGAAGCGGTCGAGTATTGACCCTCCCGCTCTCTTTTGTTGCTCCTTGGCGCCTCACTTTTGCGGCGCTGTATAATATTCTATTATCTTCTGGCTGTGCTCTGTTGTTGCATGCTCCGTCTGATATCGCATCCTGCTTGACTGCGTTCCCACGCTGGACCACCTTGTTTTAGTACTTACTCTCGGTGCTCTCTCGGATTGTGTGAACTCTCAAGTTCATTTCCTACTCAGCTAGCTTTTTTGATTGAATGGCATCTCGTATGGCCAAGATCATTGAACGTTCGCGTTAGCTCCGAGCCTCGTCATTTCCCCGCTACTAGCACGAGATCTCGGCGTGCCTGTGGCCGTTCGTGAACCGCCGGTCAGCATACACGCACGCAAAGGCCTGCTTGTGCAAAGGACAGCTGTCGTCCGCTCATGAATCCGGGGAGCACTCAGTGCGAGAAGCGGTGCGTGACTGGAGCATCGATGGTCTAATGAGGCTTGCGCTAACCACGTTGGACTGTCCAGGACTCGATCAGGGTAAAATGTCATTGATCACGACCGTCCTCCATGCCTCTGCCTATGTTTAGGCCCGTCATGCAATTGGGTTTCTTGTTATGGTCAACTGTTTCCGGCTCTCAACATTTCCGGAGGCAGAAGGATGTTCAGATGTGTTCGGGCACTGGCAGATAGTGGAACTGCAGCGATGACATGGAGCATCCGAACATGCGGGGTTAATCAAACTAAGCATCGGTGCGCTAAGATGCGCTTCGCGGCCTTTGAGGCGGAGAACGTGGATCAGACCCTCCTCGTTCTCCAAGTGGCACGAGGATGCAACCCCTTCACGATCAGCTGCCGGCCTTTGCACGCTGCGATATGAACACCATCGCTAGACCACTCTTCCGACGAGAGGTATAAGAAGACGAAGCGATCTGCTCCACTGCTCAACGTCTCCGGGTCGCCTAGTCTACTCATTACACCTCCGCACACTCCTACGAAATTTATGTCTCACCCTCAGGTTCACGGAGTCGTCCTCCTTGTTCGCAATGGAGACCGCACAGAGCTGTATCAGGTGCTTATGACCACTACGTCGCTAGCCGGAACGTCGAGGCTAACATTGCGCTAGGACCCGAACACTTACAAGACCGGTTCTGTAGAGACGACTGCCCTCGGAGAGGTTCGAATCATTGTTTATGATCCCTCTCAACTTCATGGCTGATTAGAATTAGGTTCAATCTCACCTCCTCGGCTCGTACTTGAGGTCCCTGTACTTGGACAGCAACTCTCCCTCTCACATCCGGGGCCTGCGTACCGATCTGTGAGTCAATCTGTTTTCGGGGCAATAGACTGAACTCATGCCAAGAATCTGTCAGTGTCGACACAAAGCAAGTGCATGTTCGTGTCAAAGCTGGCGGCGAGGGCACGGTTGTGTTCGACTCTGCGATCGCTCTTCTCCAAGGCCTGTTCCCGCCCACATCCAACAATAAGATTGTCCTGGCCAACGAGACTGAGGTCATCGCCCCTCTCGGCGGGTATCAATACGTCCCTTGTCAGTCTATGTTTGCCCTTTTCTTTCGCGAATACCGTCTGATCTGTCCCCATAATCATAGTGGAGACCGTGGAGCCTTACAACGACCGTTCGTTGGAGAGCTGGACGGACTGCCCCGCGTTTCAGAAACACATCTCGAAGGTGTATGGATCGGACAAGTTCAAGGATATGGCAAAAGCTGCTGCACCATTCCTCCGCGATGTCAAGGATTTCGTGTACAACACTCCGGTGACGATGGAGAACATGGTGCGTGAAGCTCATCCTTGGCATCCTGATATCACTCACCTTTCCTTTTTCATTACAGTACAACGTCAGTTCTCGGCTCGGTGGAAAATAAGGGTTTTCATTAACGCTCAGTTTGTTTCAGGTTCACGACTTCATCAGCAGCGAGCTGGTCCACAACCGCTCATACGCTCACCGCCTTCCTCCGACGTTCATTGAGCAATCACAACACTGGGCAAATCTGCATGAAGCCGCCGTCTTCACGGACAAGGACATGGCCGGGATTGGACACAGTGTGTTTCGCTCCTTCGATATAATTGTCCGGCGGCGCTGATTTCTCGTAGTCGCCAGCCGCACCATTCTCAGGTCGATCCTCGGCGCATTCGAGCGCATCGTGTATAACGGTGACCCGCTGCAGCTGTACGTTCAGGAGGTCACCTACCAGCCGATCATTTCACTCCTGAGTCAAACCGATGTTCTCGACGAGCACCCTGAGCTGGCCGGCATCCGTACGTTCTCACGCTCGACTCCTTTAACCTGTGCCTGTTTAATGATGTTTGTATTCCAGCGAACTTTGCTAGCGCCATCGCCATCGAACTCCGCAAGGGTGACGAGGGAGACTCTCGGGACTATCTCCGTTTCAAGTTCAAGAATGGCACGTCGCATGACTTCCAGACCGTCAGCGTCTTCGGGAAGGGTGGTGACATCGCTCTGACCGAGTTCATCTACCGCCTCGAGGTCGGGCGCCCGTTCCATACGCATGTTGGGTCTTGTTACTGACGTCGCTTTCAGAACTCCGTCATCAACAACAACGCCGAGTGGAAGAGCGTCTGTGGCGCGAGCAAGTTGGAGACGGTCTATGGGACCAGCACCCAGGCTGGTTTTGTAGGCCTTTCTCTGCTCTTGTTCTTCATCTTTGCCTTCCTGTTCGCTCGCTTCAAGCGTTCGAAGGCGCGTACAGGCTACGTCAAGCTCGGTGAACCGACTGGCTTCGGGCAGGCGCAGTTCGTACGTAATGTTTCATGTCGGCCTTCATGTCGAATACCGTGAAACTGATCTTCATGCAGGCGCAGTTCACCCCGCCGTTTGTGTATCGCGATATCGTTGTTAGTGACGAGAAGGCGAGGTTTACCTAAGAAACATGATCATCTCCGGCCCGTATTCATTCATATCTCTCTGTCGCCACACCTGTACAACGGACTCCGCATTCATTCATTGTATGTAATATTGTGATCCATCTTATCCCCGCGTCTCGAATCGGGGTGTGTACACGCAAAACTCAACAGATAGCTAGCGACTGAGCGATATTAGGCCACATGGGCGCGTCTAAGACTGGAATACAAAGAGGCCATGAAAAGCAGGAAATAGGCATCTGCCTACGGCGGAAGCGCCGTACCGCATATAGATCGTCCGCTAACCCCCATGCTACAAATATGATACAAACGAGTTTCCACGCACACATCTCAGAAGGCAAGGAAACCCGCTGCAACGGCCACTAAAGCCGAACCCACTCCCGCAACTTGACGCCATCCCACAGCAACTTCTAACCTCGAGGCCGAGCTGGCGGAGCTAGTGGCGGATGCCGACCCGCTGCCTGAAGGGACTGTGACCGTGGACGCAGGGAAAGTTGTCATCGAGATCGATACCGAAACGCTTGTGACGGTCGTGGTAGCGAGTGAGACCGATGAGGTCGCAGAGAACGAGGTGAAGGGAAAGCTGAGGGAGACGGAAGAGTTTGCCTGGTCACAGAACTCCTGCGCCAGTGTCTCTGCAACTTGAAGGTCGGCCGCGCACTGGCCAGCGACGCAGTTGAACATGGCTTTCGTGAATTTCTTGCTGTGTACGCAGGGATCAACGATGTACATAAGAAACATATGGGAGAACAAACCTTGTACAGTAGCAATTCACGTCGACTACGCTTGTGCAGGTCGCATTGGACGCGGCAACGGCGAGGCAATTGGATACTAACGTTATGTCAGAACAGTGTCCTATGCGCGCATGATGTGCGGTCGGCTCACCACAGGTGGATACATCGCTCAAAGAAGGGAACTGTGCTGTACTTGTAGTACTAGCAGAGACGCTCACATTGCTGCTCGCGCTGCTGCTACTTGCACTGGTTCCGGTGGGTGCGGTGGTAAGTGTAGACCCAGAATGAGAACTCGACTGGGCTAACGCGCCCGGGAGAACAGCAAGAACAACGAGAGGGAGTGACCAAGAGAAATGCATGGTATAATGTCGACGGCACGTATCCCGGCCGAGCTTTTCGGGATGAGGTCGAGTATGCTGAGACAAACGCCGCCGGAAAGTACGTCCGAGCCTGACAGGTGGCGGTGAGAGCACCGTGTATGTCTCCCACGCGTCGGCGAGAAACACTGTATGCACATGATAATTTCAGTATGCGTAGCAATGGTCTAAGTACATTGGGAAGCGACTACAGGATGCAGATATGGGTAGCTATAATACACTGTCCTGAGACATGGCTTTTACAAAACAAAAACAGAACTAGGCCGCGAAGACGAAGAGGATGGGGGGCATAGGTGGGGTCATTGCGCGGGAGAGGTGGCAGACGCCTTTGTCGCTACAAGGATAATCGAACACTTCTTCCTGGATGCAGATCGGCGCGCTGAACGATTGGGCGGACGTAAGCTAGTCTATCGGTCGGCTTTGGCGACCGGAGGCGCCGTAGATAGCGCGCGAGGCGTTCGTACCGGAGAATGGAGGACACTGGGCTGTTCGTGCGTTCGAGGGGTATGTGTACCATCATGCTTCCCCGACAGAGGTTCGACAGCAACAATGTCCAGGTCTTCCTCCGACTCCGCCAGACCGGGCGTCGATGTCTGAGGCGGAGAGGCCGCCTCGCTAGACACCGGCGAAGTCCGTCCGTCCTCCGTCCTGGCACGTTTGTAGCTGTTCTTCGATGATGATCGACGCCCTTGCTCGTCTGCGCTCGCGTAGGCGACATCATCATCCACTTCCTCCGAAGAACGCTTACGGCGAGGTGATCTATCTTTCGTGGCACCCGTGAAAGCACCTTGGAGCCGCACACGCTTGGGCGGCGTCCCGGCTCGGGAATGTACGGTCCGATGCGAGTCGTCGTCATCCTCTTGCCCGTCTTCTTCAACCTCGGCATCGAGATGAAGGGAACTCCGTTTTCTCGGAATGACGTTCGACGCATCGGTTCCATCCGTCCGCACGTCTTCCTCCAGATCCGAACTTTCCTCTTCCTCTTGCGCCAATTTCCTCGCGATTTCCTTCAACTTTATCTCCATTTCGAATCCTTCTAGCTCGACCCCTTGCACTGCGATCAACGAATTTTCTTCGTTATCTTGCGCCAACTTTCTCGCGATTTCATTCAACTTTCTCGCCGTCTCAGATTTTTCTAGATCGATGGCGGCCTCTTGGCGTGCCAGCAGTAACGATGCGTCCATCGCCGGTATCTCGACCGCCTTCACTGCGGTCAAGGGCGCATCATCGAGCACAATCTGCGGTTGCGGCGCACGAGGCGTCTGGGTGGGCACAACTGTCCCTGCTGCGACATTCGCGTTGGAGACGGCGCGCTCGCAAATGCGGCATCGGCAGTGGTATAACGGGGCGCAAGCCTCGCGCCAGATCTGGACACAAATCGCGGATCAGTACTCCCTTATGGAGGCAAAGCGCGAGGCTTTACTTACCGATTTGAGTGATTCCCTTGCATACTGGGGGAGATCTGTGGCGCTGACAGGCACGTACGGGATCGCATGTAATAGCACGGGCGATTCCAGTACAGGAGATATCGGAATTGGGAATGTCGCGGGCGATCTCAGCGCCTCTTCTTCGTCCTCGTCTTTCTTGTCCTCGGCTGGCGGTGGAGACGGTGTCGTCTGCAAAGTGGACGTCGATAAGACGGGGCTCGTCGTGTGTGAACCCTCTGATTTGCCTGATGACGAGCTGCTGAGCTCGTCCTCCTCCTTCGTCCGTCGGGCCCTCTCTTGCCTCTCGCGTTCGCGCTGCTCTTTGCGCCCGTTTAATCGGCGCTGGCTCCAGTCAATGCCGTTGAACCAAGTTTCTTCGCGCCGCAACTCGGCGACCACCTCGTCAAGCGTCATCTTCGAGGCTTTTAGGGCAGCGTCGACGCCGTCCGCTGTGCATTCGATAACCAATCGCCGAACAATATTGTTCATGGCCGGTAGGAGAACGTTACGCAGTTGTCTTTGCCATGCACCATGCGCCTGCTCGCAGAGTCCATACGTAGGAGGGGTCTCGACGCCAACTGTCTCAGGTAGGGGGTGCGGGGCGTCAGGGTCATCTTCGGAGTCGTATGATATTGACCATGAAGCAGGGTGTTCCGCTGGGGTTACCGGTTTGTCGCGGGGTATCATGTTGTACCATTGGTCTGCCGGACTGCACCAGTAGCCATCCAGCACGCGGCGGCGTGCCCAAGCATCGATGGCGAGCATCTTGATGCCACCCGCGTCCTCGGATATGTGCAACGCTTCGTCGTCGTCCTCGTCGCTGTACTCGTCTTCGCTCTCATAGTTCGCGCCGTTTTCGCGCGACGCGAGCTTGTTCGCGGCGACCGCGTGCGAGAGGAACTCCGCGATCTTGGTGAACCGCCTGAGCCAGTGCTTCTCCATAGCAAGCGCGATCACCTCCGTGATGTTGCCCTCGCCCATGTCGATGAACGCCTCGATGGTCTGCCGCGTTTCCCAGTCGACCGAGTCCCATCTAGGGTAACCCGTGGCTTCACGTTTGACCGGGTCTGGTGCGACGCGACGGAGAAGCGCTTCGTATCGGCAGCTACGGCACGTCGTCTCGGCTTGGGGCCACGTCTCCTCGTCCTCGTTCTCCGCGCACATCGCGTGCATGTCGAGCTCGACCTCGGCGGCGCCAGGCACGGTCGCTTGACGGAGGCATAGCGAGCAGAACGCGTTCTTTTTGTGGTCGCGGCAGACACTGATGTTGCCGAACGTCGGGGTGAAGGCGCACTTCTTGCCGAGCGCGAGCCCGTTGTTCGCGTAGGGGTAGTTGACGCGGCAGACGAGGCAGGAATACGAGGTGATGTTGCGGAAATGGCGGTGCGGGGCGTGGCGGATAGCGACGGCTGTGGCCGAGGCGTTGGACGGCGGCTGGATGTAGGCGTGTCGGGCTAGGACATCGTTCGGGTCGATGATCGCGCAGGCCGTTTGCCAGAATAGATGTGTGGATACTGCGAACGCTTATCAGGGCCGTTGGACAATAGCGCGCAGGAAAGACGCACGAGCGCTCGCCCATGGCGGGCAAATCTGCATAAGGCGCTCGAGCTCGTTTGCGTCGCGCAGGCAGGCGTAGACCATGCGGTACGGCCACAGCTCGCGAGGCTCCCATGCGTGCGGGCAATGATTGTGCGCGGAGACTTCGAGTAGGTAATGAGTCGCGACGAGCCTGTGGCAAAAGCCATTAACGATCGCGGGCGTACGCGGTGCAAGCCACCGACTGCGAACGCACCTGATGAGCTCCGGGGGCAACTGCTGCCACGAGCGGGTGGCCTTGCCCTTGTAGGCGCGCTGGGCGTTCGTCGTCGTCGCTGGGGGCGTCGGCGCCGTCGTGGACGATGGCGGGCCCATTGTTCTGGCGTTACAGGCGTCCGTGACGGTGATCAGCTGCGAGCGGAGATCGAGTGTGACGAAGCGATGAGCCCGTCGGGCAAGCGAGCATCAACAAGCGGACCCTTCCCACGCCGCACGGTCCATTCGCACCCCTACATATCCTTTGTCCTCTCTTTGTCCTTACCTTGTTTTTTGTCTTACAATGGTGGCCATTTTTGGGACCTTCTCCGTGCTACGAGACAGAAAGGGTTGCTAATTCCGGTTACATGCATGGTACCAACAAGTTCTCGAAGCAAGCGATCATCACGACTGCTCCATGTTAGTAGCTTGGCGCAGCTCTAGGTCTAATCGAACGCAACCGGCCAGTAGTGTTCAGCCCCAGAGGTGGAGATGGGGTGCAGCTGCGTTGACGTAGCGTCCACCCTCAATCTCAGTGGACGCCAGGACCTGCGCGATCTCGTCGAGATCGCCTTGCGACAACTCCACGGAGCCTCCCTCGAGGTTCTCCAGCTTTCTCTTCTTGTTCCTGCGCACGCGAATCAGCATGGCTATCTTCACATGCAGCATGCTGCACACGGATTACGTACGAAGAACCGGGCAATGGAATCACTTTCGGGCCCAAAGAAGCGACCCATGCGATGCAAAGCTGCGCGGCAGTGATACCTTTCTTTGCAGCAATGGATTGGAAAGCCTCGACGATCTTGAAGTTCTTTTGCATCGCCTAGGAAAATTCGATCTATCACTGTCTTTATGCACATTACAGGATGATGCTCACGTCGGCCTGGAATCGGTCAAGCCTGCGTCGCATGTCGCCCTCTAACGACACAATTGCGATTCAGATCGGCAATATATCGGTTACTCAGCGAGTCACGGACGAACCTTCCAAATCCTCAGGCTTCTTAATTTGCCCGGTCAGGAACCCGCGTCCGAGAGGGCTACACATGGAAATTAGATAGGCAGCGAAGGGCTGTGATAGATAGTAAGACACGCACGAGTACGCCAGGACAGGTATCTCCAGCTCTCGGCATGTCGCCAGCACTTCGTTCAAAACAAATGAGCCAATGCATCCTAGCATGGAAACGTTGGAGCCCACCTTTCTTCGTCTCCTCTTCGTATGACCACGGGCTAACTTCGATTTCCACCGCAGCGATAGGGTGCACGGCGTTCGCGCGTTTCACTGTGGCCGCGCTGCATTCGGATAGTCCGATATGGTCGAACTTGCCTTCCTTGACAAGCGCCGCCATGTTCTTAACGGCCTCCTCGATCGGGACGTTCGGGTCCACGCGCGCGGACTCGAAGAGGTCCAGCTTCTTGTAGCCGCCGAGCTTCGCGTTGATGTTGTCGACGCTGCGCCTCAGGCCTTCCGGGCTGCGGGTAGCGCCGTTGTTAGTACAATGTCAGCCGAACGCGATCATCCGACGCACGAAGAGTCTGGCTGGAACTTCTCGAGGTTGATTCCTCCCTATGTAGCAGGAAATGCAATGAGTTTGCCATCGATGGGTCTTGTCGACGAAGATCGCATACCTTCACTGAAAGGAACGTCTTATCGGCGTACTCGGGGTACTTCTTGAAGAAGCGCGCAAGGAGCTCGAGGTTTGCTGTGGGTGAACCAGTGCCATAGAATTCGCCTACATTGCAATCAGTTTCGCCCCTGGAGCTAGTCTATAGGGACTGGACCCACCGCTGTTGATGAACAGTTTTGCACCAGCAGGCAACTGGTCGATGCCAGCGATGATCGCCTCGAAACATTCCTCATCCGGGACATGGGTCGGTTTCCATCTGTCCATGACCGTATGAGATGCTCCATTCGAGACAGAAATACGGTATCACTTGCGTCATAAGCATCAGACCATGCTGAAGGGGAGTATGGTTGAGTCCACGACTCGTAGAATGCCGCCCTCACTCACAGCAACGTTTGCGACGACAATGTCTGAGGCAGTGCCGCCAAGGGTTGTCGTTTTCACCGGCATGTTAAGATCGTTGTTGTCGAGCTCGTGAGTTTAGATTACACCTGATGGACGGTTAGGGAAAACCTGGTGAAAAGCGTTGACGTCTATGTCGTTGCCGCTGAGTCCTTTATACCGGCGCGGAACGAACCTCGAGCTTGAAGATAGAAAGATCGGCAAGACGATTGATGTGTAAGTACACTTGGCTGCAAGTTCGTGGCCGACGAGACACGTACTCAGATCGTAACACGCATGACGCACATATGACGGGCATCTGTCCCATCCCACACAACCCACACACCGTGCCATCGAAATCGTCAATATAACTTTCTCAGATCCTTCTGAACGTGGGTTAACCCTCATATAGTCCATCGCGATCCACGGGTAAACTACTTGAGTTCGTTGGGTACGTGGGTCAACGGTCCGGTCGCATTTACCGTCGCGGTTCACGGGGATGACCGGTGGTGCGTGGTCATGGCATGGGAGAGAGACTGAGGTACTTCTACTGACGATCTTCAAGGGTTGACTTCAGGCCTTCAGCGGCGCCAGCCGCCACGCCGCAGCTAGGTTTGCCTTCGTTCGAAGCCCTTCTTCCATATGCGCCTCAGCACGTGTACCACCGCGCCCCATTATACCGTCCTTTGAAGGGCATCGCAGCTGGGTGTAGTCGCTCTGCTTTGCACCTTGTCCACCTGGGTCTTGTAGGAGGGCGAAACGCCTGGACAAAATATAGCGATCCATTTCTTGAGACGTCGCCATGCCATCAGAGCCCCCCTCTGGGAGTGCAAGGAGGTACGCATGCGGCTCGACCCATAGCGTGATACTAATCTCAACTCTGCATCGTTAGCCGAATCGACATCAGTGCGACACTGCGAGCGGAAGTACGCGAGCTGGAGAAACTGATCGTCAGTTATGAGGGTGCCTTGGAGATCCTCTCAATCGAGCAAACCGGTCGCAAGTTTCTGCTGAGGTCGGAGTTTCCGGCATCGCGCATGGGTTTCCCAGTCATGTTCGGGACGCAGCTCCTGGAAGATGCGCTAGACTTCGACACCGCGGTCCTTGAGGCTGCTCAATACCCCGACCGGGGAGTGGCCATCTGCAATCTGGCCCGCGACGCGCGCCTGGTCTACAATCAGATCCGCAGCATCCATGATTTGAACGATGCGATAGACCGGCACCGCGTAGCGTTGCAGGTCTGTCGTTCAGACAAATGCGATCGCAACGCCACCCGCGAAGGGCTCGTCGATGCCCTGCACGAGCACTTTCAAAGAACGAACGACGTCGCGAGCTTGATGGAGGAGATTGATCTGCGTCGCAAGGATCTCACCCGTTTCCCCAAGAAGAGCCAATCCCGCCTTCAAGCCCTCAACGAGCTGTCTTCAGCACTCTGGCATCACTACAATATCCAACACGATGCTACCTCCCTCACGGACTGCATTGCAATGCGTCGCGAGGTTCTTGCGATGATCTCGAAGGATCACCCGTACTATTCCTTGTCCTCGAAGAGACTCGCAGACACTATCCGTGCTTATTCCGCCCTCACCCGGGACAGAGTTGGAGCCGCGAAAGAAGCAATATCACTATACCGGGTCGCCCTCGACACATGTCCGAAAGGCCACCCAGACCGCTTTCAGATTCTCACATCCCTTGCCGATGCCCTTGCGATCTTCAGGACCGTGGACGCCATGGACGAATCGATCCGGCTTCTCCGGGAAGCAATCTCTTTGCCTGAAAGCGTGGACCCGTTACACGCCCCCTTGAACCTTGCCGGGGCGCTGCACGCACGTTGTCAGATATCTGGAGATTTTGCTAAGATCGAGGAACCCATTTCGCTGTTCCGCCAAGCGCTGCTTCACGCACCAGAGGACGAACCCCGGAGACGACTGGCGTTACACAGCCTCGGGATCCTCCTTCTCGCACGCTTCACGCAGACGAACGAGGAGGCGTTACTCTTCGAGGTTGTTCCGTACCTCCGCGAGGAAATGTCGTATTATCCTGAGCGTGATCTCAATCGCGCTTTCTGCTTAATCCGCCTTTCGCAAGCCTCGAACGGCCGGCACCAATGCAGCGGCGATCCGGCCTTCCTCGACGAATCACTTGAGCTCTGTCGCCAATCCGTGGACGCGCTCCCTGATGATCATCCTGACCGTCCCCTGTTTCTCCATATTCTTGCCGACGCGTCCAACAGGATTCGGGAGCGTATCCAACCTGTCACCTCAGTCGGGCGGTCAATCTCCTAAAGGAACCGATAATTGACTTGTAGTGATCCGGGCGTGGCGTATCCTGCAGACCATGATCGTATGACATAAGAATAATCACCACGCGAAGTGCCTTGCGTCCGGTTTTCATTGTCGTGTGGGAGAGTACACGATCATCGTGGAATCGTTCCAGTGCGAGGTTGTCAGCAGCACCAGTTTTCCGCGAACGATCAAGGAATAGCAAGGAATAGCAGTAATTACATGGGTCGCTAGTTATACGTAGTGGTATAGGGCCGCAATAGTGTACGGTTCAGGTAATGCTGACTATATCACGGAGGTAATCTAAAGGTACTACCACTTTGTGTTAACTTCTTCAAACTCGGCCCTTTCGACAATCTATGGTGAACAGATTCACTTGAGTTAGTATACAGGCTTTGAAGTCAGCAAAGCAATTCGACCTTGCCTCGCAACAGACGGCCCATATGGCTGAGCATGAATCCCTGATTCTTCCTGCGGTACCCGAAGAGCTCGTGAAAATTGGACACCGCGTTGGGGCCAAACTGGTCCTTGACGAGGAGCCGGATGCGCTTGTACTTGGACTAGGTGTCGAAGAAGGGTTGGTCCGCGAACAGGTTCAGGAAGTAAACTGCCTCCTCTGGAAACGGGTTTCCGGGCGTGTGCACGACGGGGAAGAAGTCCATGCGCTCGAGCGTGCGCGCGGCGCGTACAGAAAGAGGCGCACGTGCGGCGAGAGACGGATGTCGGGCAGGAGCGCGTTGGCCTCGTACGGGCTAATCAATACCGCGTGCGTCCCGGTGGCATCGACGAAGATCCAGCGGACGGGGCGGAGGGAGTCGCGCATGCAGTCTCTCTTCTCGTGCGGGAGGGCGATGGTCCACTTAAAGTCCGCGGTTGCGACGATCGTAGACGCATGACGGGTCGTTGATTGCGGGTACGGCGCGCCTCCGGTGGTGAGCGGCGTCCCTTCCTCGACAGTATCCAACATGCGAGTGCGTGACTATGGAGATGCGCGCCCAGCGCATACCCATACGTCACAGATGTTCGTTGACCGAGCTTGGCGAGCGGAGGCAAAAACGCAGGTGCGATGGTAACGCCGAGCTACGACTAATAGGATTAATCTTTGATGTCGAGCCTCAATGAATAAGCCGTGCTGGCAAGTTCGATTGGTGGGCACTTGCAGCATTGACGATGGGGGTGTTCTCCATATAGGTGGCTTCAAGGTAGCTGAGTGGGTACACCACGCATACATGGGGTTGCGACGGCAGTGGCGAAAGAGCAGATCGATGGGCCAAATATTTGCCGCGTTATTCGGCTGGGGGACCTCGTCGCGAGGCGACGCAACCGCAAATCTGAGTTCAGATTCGCGAACCGAAGGAGCAGGTCATCTATGATTCAATATTCAGCGCAGCGTATGTAAATTGATACTGAAATATCGTCGTCGTTTTAGCAGTTCACCAATGAGATCGTAGTCTGTTGACCGTTCTGTGTAGTACTGATTGAACCGCGCTGGTTCAACCTTTCTTGATACTTGGCTGGTGAGGAGGCGGTATAAGCAGTCAGACCATACATCGGGCTCGAGGAGGTTTGTTGCGCGAATTCGCGCATGAGGCCTTACTCGGACAATCGCAGTAAGTACAAACCTGTTGCATATTCGGTGCTCAATGTTCACTGCTCAGCGCTCAGCACTCGCTGTAGTTGGGAACAATCGTCGTAATGCCAAACCTTGGGGGCAATTCTGTAGTAACCGAGTCCCCAAAGTGCAATTGTCCTCTGCAAAGTACAGGATATCATAGGCAAGCAGCTAACAACGCAAAGGACCATCGAAGGCCCTCAGGATACGGTGAAAGTAGACGAATGCCCGACGAATGGAGTGATCTTGCCCCCTATCGACTTCGCGTCGCCGTAGTATGTCAAGCGATAGGATCCGGCTGCGGGATATGCCGAATCAGTTTCGGTCAGCATAGCAGGAGAACGACGTTGCTCACCGGGTGTGCCCTCTTCAATCGTCCTGTGCCAAGGTCAGTATAAATGTTGCTATCCTCGAAGTCGAACTTACCAGGTAATGTTGACGGTACTCGTGCCCAGGATGGTATCCGTGCGCACCCACTGGTAGAGCGTCGACGGGTGGGAGTCGGATTTGACCGGAGTCCACGTGCTGCCCGACTGCTTGTCTACAGTGAGGAATGTCTGCTCCAAGCGAAGGTTGTTCTGTGCGGATATGGATATGATGTCGAATAGTGTCAATCTACCGTAGTTCACGAGCGGGGGACGACCATACCCTGGGGTTGGCACCGACGAACTGCGCGCTGACGCTGTCGCCAGCGTGGTACGCAGAGTCGGTCTTCACATCACCCAACACGTCGCCGAAACTCTTGAAGATCGTCGGAGCATCGAAGACGACGCCGGTCTATATCACGCATGATGAGCAAGAAGAGCGAATGACGGAGAAGAGCACACGAACCCTGAGTGAGATAGCTTTGGAGGTCTGCTCGGGAGGCGCGGGATCCGAAGGAGGGCTGGAGGTGACGGTGGGAGAGAGATACGTGACGAGCTCGCTGTACTTGTCGATGTACGACTCCAGCGTGACTGTCCAGCGCAAGATTAGATCGGGACTTATCAGCGATGCCGAAGTGGTGACTTACACTGTCCGAAGATAGTCGATGCGCCTTCATACCGTTGAACACCGTACTCCTCCCTGGTAGTGACGTAGTGCGCATATGTATTGGCGGGGCCAGCGATCACGACATATGCGTCGTCGCCGACGATTCCCTTCGAGATGAGGGCAGCGCGGACAGCTTCACGGAGGCGACGTCCGGCCATGGTCGTCAGCTCGCCCGGCATGATGAGCATCACGAACTGCCCGACGCGGAGCATCTGGATGTCGACGGTGTTGGGCGACCATTCGTAAGGAAGATGCGCGTAGCCCTGGCACCAGTCGTAGTGAGCAATTTGAGATAAGGTTCGAAGACGACGGGAACTTACGGTGTCAAGGAGAACGGGCTTCGGGTACTGGCACGCGACTTGCTCCGGTGGCGGTAGGGGTGTGACGAAGCCCTTGACAAGTTCCCAAAGCGGATTACTGCAGGGAGATCACGAAGTCAACCGTTATCCAGATATTCACTGAAAGCAGGTGATACACACTTAACGTTAGTCGAGTTCTCCCCCTGGATGAAATCGAATGCTCCCGGACCGTCAGTGGTGCCAGCGGCGAATGAATAACCTGCGTAAACAAAATAAGATAGATCAGGTAACCTGACAATCAAACACGCACCCATTCCAGGAGGGCATGTCGTAACATTCGTTCCATTGGCAAGGGTGAACTCGCGGAAGGACATATTCATGTAGGTGTGTACAGCCTTGACAGGGCCGGTGACGGCAGCGAGGCTCTGACCCATCAACGTCTTTGCGCCCTAAGATCACGAGCAGTGTCAGCAATGACGAGGGTACCCGCGACAGAGAGTAGCGCATGCATACCTGGTACTGGTAGGTTCCAATAATGCGATTTGACTCGAAACCGTAGCTATCGGCCGTGAAACCAGGTCCACTAGCAACGATAGTTCAGATGTCGGCCGCAAGATACGGCACAATTGACACGGACCGCCCATGACAATCTTCCGTCGTTCCACCGCAGGTGCTCTGGTTAAAGGAGCACGACTGGCCATCCCACGGCTGTCCGGGACTCTCGCAGAACGCCCCGAGGGTGTTCGGAGACGTGTCGCCCACATTGGCTGTGTATACGGCCATGAAATCGCATGTCAAATTTGGGTGCAATCACACTCACACTGCGTGAACCCAGCGACGAAGGTGTTGTTCCCGGGCATCGAGTCGGGTTCCACGTCGGCTGCTTCTGCGTCAGGGCCAAGAATGGTCGAGATCGCTATGACGTACATTCGTATAGGAATGCCGCCATGCCCTTGTTGTCAGAGCTGACGAGAGTGTTGTTCTGAGCAGAACAAGCATTCCATTGAATAGGGTTGTTTGAAGAATCCGGGAAATTAACTTCGCATACCTCGTAGATGGACGTTCCGTGAACAGCAAAGAATGAAAGGAAGCCTCGGGCATTGCCGCTCGCATCGTTGAACCTGCCAACGTTCGTTGTGAGCGCATTGTGCGAGGACTTTCCCAGCGAGCTTACCTCAGAAGGGTCATATCCTTATCCTGATCGTACTGATACCGCGCACGTTCCTCGGCGGGGTTGGCCAAGTACGCAGAAGGCGATCGGTTGGCATTCGCATTGAGAATCGTGGTGTTGCCCAGCGTCAGGCTACCTGGCGCGAGGCTGTCGGTTGCGCGCTGGACGGCGAGGACGGTACCCTTGACTATCGCGTCGGCTGCTTCGGGCACATAGCCGAGTGCGGTAATTTGAGGCAGTAAATCCTGCATGTCGTGGTAACGTCGGGTCAGCGTACGGAAATACCATATCCAAATATGGGAAGAGAGCGACCAAATATAGATAAGGAATCAAAAGCGAGGCGAGGCAAGAATCATGCGGGGGAACGTCATGTCCACGGAAATATCGACGGCATCAAACGCATAGACCACATCACATGCCTCGCCCGCACATGCATCTTCGAAGAAGCGAACGCGCGTGATTTCCGTCGCGTCGACGACGCTTGCACATTGCGCAGACGGCCCAAACCAGGTTGCAGGGTCGATGCAGCGGGAAGCAAGCAGCTCACCTCCAGGTACCCGCCGACTCCAGAGTGCTGATGCGTGCCGACAAAGGCAATGTTGGTGTTGTCGTATACGCCGGGGTACAACGCGGAGAGGTTGCCAACGATGGATCGGCGTACACCGGTATCGCCCATCGCAATATCTAGTAGCTCCGGAGTTTGAGCTGTGTTGGCAGGTACACGGAGTATGATCAGACTGACCAGCATTGATGAAGACGATGCGGTTGTTCGAGTCGCTTTGGTCGGCGATGACGAACGCGCGCGAGCGCTGGCGCATGTGCAATCCGGTATCCGTCTGCGCGAGCGAGGCATAGCCCATCATGTTTGTCTCTACCACTGGCCTGAGCAGAGCATCCAATTAGATCGAACCCGTTCCCAGCAGCATGAAAACCCGTACCCGGTGATGTCGCCAATCCCGAGACCAAGCAAGTACTGCGACTGCGCAGCCGCGGCCGGGAACGCATGCTGAGTGCTGAACACCGACGCAGAGGCCGCGAACGCGGTCAAGCCGAGCAATGCGCGGTTCATGGCGCCGACGATGCGAAGCGGGAGCTGGTGCACGGCGCTGGAGACTAGATCAACGAGGTCCGGGGGCAGCGAGGCGTAGCGCGCAGTGCCCTGGGCGGAGGCAAGGACAGAGGGCATCGTGATGCGGGGAGGGGTTGATGGTTATAACGGCGAGTTCTTGTGCGCATGGGACAGGACCTGGCCGCTGGGTGCTTCGCGCTGGACGAGGAGAACCGATCTCAGATGGATGCCGACCGAACGTCGCGAGCGTGACGTCGCCTACCCGAGTTGTGGCTGTGTCATCAACGTTTTGATCGCTTCGCTCCCGCATCCGGCGAGATACGAGCGCCTTCTCACCGCATATTATATCGAGCGGACGGGTGAGTCCACCTGACGACGGATACGACAGGTCATGGAAGTTGACGGGATTCATCTCGCTGGTACCTTGATCTACCGGCATCATCGTGTTCCGGACGCCGGGAGATAGAGAATGATAGTGAGCCGGACGGACATCGTCGAAGAGCTTTTCCGAAGCTGTTCAAGAGCTTGTGCCTCCTCGTGCTCGTGGGTATCGAAACTAAACCATCCGAAACCTGGTTGTCGGCGAACGTCACCTCGAGGCTTGGGATATACCCTCATATGACTGTAAAACATACTTATAATCTTGATGCCGAGGAGAACAGGGATCGTCTCAGTCTATACTTATCGGTGCTCTGAAAGTGGTCATCGGTCAGTCGACAGCATTGCATGGACGTGTCCACAGATAGGGTACTATCGTGCATACGTATACACTTCTTCAGTCGATTTCGTCTGTTTCGCCGAAGAGATGCCCGGCCCATGTACGAGATTCATACTTATGCATGAGTAGGGTGATATTAGCTCCCGATACTCAAAGAATGCTGCAAAGTTCAGAATGCAAAAATTGGTGAAAAACGTTCGATACATGCGCCCAGAAAGAATTAATCAATTTTCCAAGTTCTGAGTGGCTCTTTGGTTTCCGGTCCTCATCTTTCCGCTACTTACTGCTGCCGCTCGAAGGTTGCAGCCGGCGTCTAACTTTTAAGATCAAAATGGCTGTGCCATGAGCGCTTGAGCCCCAGTCAAAACACCAGCTGAGGAGCTCAGACGAGAGCTGAGGAGAATAAGATCTTGCTGAGCACGTATGAGCAGGACTGAGCTGGATGGATCTTCCGAAACCTTAATCACAGATCGTGGCCCTTTTGAGCTCGTTTTGTCCATTTTTGACTTCGTTGTACACAACTTCGCAAAGATGCCGATATCTACGAAACTTCGACGTCCCGATCTAGCTCCCATGGAGGTACAGCGAAAATGAGAGACTTGGAAAGAATTTTGCCCAAGTCGCGCCGGACGCTTCTTGTCCTCCTACCACCACCATCCCCCGCCTACGCCAATGCCCACACCCACGCAACTCATGAATCACTGTGTCAGCGCAAGCTATCTATGACAGATGACTGGCAAATCCTGCGAGGCTGTAGCGGCCTGTGTGTGAATTAGCACTACAGCTGCTCAGCTGCATACTTGCTGTAAGAAACACTCGTGCCTGCCATGTTTTCCTTGACTATATGCACATGCTGAGGCTCACGCGACACCGTAGAGCAAGAATGGCGAGTCTATGCAACAGAGAATATCACAACAGGTCAAGACATGGTGCCATGCCACGGGAGCGCAAGTTCGGCTTTATGTCGAAGAGCACCAGCGAAATTCAATATCACCGTCATCCTAGCCCGTGGTTTCCGTCTGAGAGCGAAACGAAGGTAGGTAAATGCGCATATAAGCTAGCCTCAATGGGTTGAAGAGCTAATATGGTGTGCAGGCATCTTCTTGGTGTTGTGCTTCCCGGTACGTGATCACCGACTCGTCGGCTGGTAGTAACTCATCGCGCATGCAACTCAGATCACAAGGGCAAGGCCACCGAACAACAGTGGTCAGTCGGATCCACAACTAGACCGCGGGCCCACCCCGTCGTGTACTTTGCCGTCCTTGCAGCGTTACGTGCGCGCGCTCTCGCCATGCCGTTTCCAAACTTACGTTGACCATGGCTTCCCTGTTGTCTGCTGTACAGGTGTGTGCAGGCAAGATCCGGAGTGCGAGGTGGCAACCCGGTATGTTTGTGACATCCACGATTGGCTCAATACCCAGCTTACTTGCACTGTCTGTAGCGTAGAGACGCTGCTGCGCTGGTACCTGTATTCGACAACTGGCCACTATGATCCCACTGCGTAGATTGGCCGGTGCCGAGTATCTCAGGAAAAGTTCATGTAAATTACGTAGATGGTGAATAATATGAAACAGTTTTTCTATACTGTATCAAACGATCTGGAAGGCATATCTATATACGCAGCTATGGTCAGTTCTGCTCATATAGATTCCATCCTGCTCAGTTGTGCTCAGCGCTGCTCAGCGTCTTAGTCGCTTTTCGCTGAGCCCAGCTGACGTGAACTGAGCAGAGCGGCGGTGTTACCTTGCTCAGCTCTGCTCCGCCCTGCTCAGACGGCGTTTCGACTGGGCTTGAGCACCCAGAACTCGCACGCACCGCCACTTACTTGATTTTCATTCGCTCCTCCTCCGGGGTTCTGAAGGCTTGCTTTGGACAGTTGCGTAGCGTTTTCGCGGGTTTCATCCACATCAAGCCTGGCTATAGTGGGACCTTATGACTTTGGTGACAAATTGTGAGCAGTATGCAAGACGATTTCGATATAGCGCCTCCCGCGAAGAGATTCAAGGTGATTTGTCGTCTGTCTTCGCCATTGGATTATTTTGTAATAACGTCCAATGTCATAGCACCAGTCATACGCTTCCACTCTCAAAGAAGTTCATGCACCTTCGGCCCTCGAACAGTCGCGGAACCTTATCACGGATCACCTCGAAAACCATGATTCGACCTTCCGATCTACGCTCGAACATCTACGCCAGTTAACACTCTCGCGCGCATTCATATCCTTTGCCAACAAGGCCGAACATCAGTGCGCGAGTCTGCCTCTCCTCGTGCTCCATAGCCAAGAAGTGGTGGAACTATGGCTAAGCGCAGTGGAGGAAGCGGTCAAAGCCGCGCACGGAGCTGAGGACGATGGCGGTTTGAAGGCCCTGCTGCAGTGAGCGCCACTCCTGAGTGTGAAGGGGACAGGCATCTGATTCTCAACGTTCCAGGCTCATGGCTTGCCTCGCTCAAGACTTGAGAACCACATTGCTCCCAAGCTACAATTCAATCACCGAGAAAGTGCTCGCCTTGCTCCCGCGTCCGATCCCGGCTGCCACATTGATGCAACTCCTCGCCACCCTTTCATCACTATGGAAATATATACTCGTCCCTTCCCTCTCTTCTGAGCTGCCGCAACAACAGGCCTCGGCACAACATTCCGAGGCGAATGCCGTCGAAAAACGATCTGGGGCGTTAGCAGAAGCGGAACAGTCTCATACGGACCCGCTATCCAGCACTTGGAAGCTCCTCATATCAGCTCTTTCTGACTCAAAGAGGAGATGTGACCCGGAGGTGCAGCGAGCCGTGGCTGAAGCATGGGGAGGTGTCGTTAGGAGGTTCAAGGGGCCTTGGCGAGAGCATGCTATGAACCTCCTAGCTCACTCTGTATCGGGAGATGATGACGAGCGACGCGACGGCTCTGACGACGCATGCGCTTGGATGGTTGTCTTCGCATGCAAGGTATGCACATATATTTGACATCTTACTCGGCCGTTCTCGCTCACGCTTCTGCTGCAGTCTATCTCACAGACTCTGCACACGGCAGCACCTTCCGTCATCCGCCCTCTCCTCCGCCATTATCTCGCTTTGCCGCCTACAAGACCCTCTCAAGACGAGGAGGAGGATGACACCGAAAAGAGGATGTTTACGCTCATACGTCGGACGCTGACCGCGCTAGTTCACCACGTCAAGACAGCGGAGCAGTATACACCGATAAGCGAACTCCTCATCAAGCTACTCGACGAAACATTGTCTGCCATTCGGTCGGGAGGCGACGAGGTTCCTGATGATGCGATACTTCGGTGCAGAAGGGCCATTGAGGCAATCACCGTACCGTGCTCAGTTAGAAGTGGCTCACGCATGACTCGTGCGTGCCCGTTCCTCAGAAAGCGTGAATTGCGACTCATGCTGTTTCCATTCACAGACCCGCAACTGACATCTCTCCTTTGTACGCTGTCGACTGTCCCACTAACGATTACGACGTTGCACCGCTCCCTCCTCGCACTCTCGACCGGTCTTCTTATCTCCTCCCCGCTCGCAATATGGACAGGTTCCGGGCGGAAAACCCTCGAATACTTCTGGCGTGAAGCTTCGAACTCGCGTACATCTTTGGCCCAAGAAACCCCGCTGTTTGCACTGCGGCTCAGCGGCGCGTTGACAGAAATGGGGTGGGGTGGGACGAAGTCGCTGCTGGTTCCGATGGCAGTGAAACATACCGTGGGCATGCTTCAAAGCAATGCACAGGAAGTAAGGGCCGGCATGTTGCGGTTATTAGTCACGTTCAAAACACAGGGTGTGTTAGGCCACGCGGAGGTGGATATGGTATGGAGACAACGAGTGGGGCAATGGGCTGTTGAGAGGCTTGACGGCTTCCAACTGTCCGAAGAGCAGGTCAGTACCTTATTGGTAGGAGCTAGTCGACGGCTGACATAGATGTGCTGTAGGTGGAAGAAATGCACGACATCTTAGCTCTATCTCCGCTTCTCCCGACAATGGCGCCGTCCCTCGTCAGCATAGTCGAGAAGGTATTAATTACCAACGACCCTAAAGCAGACTACGCAGCATCACCCGCGAACGCGGCATGGGTTCTGCGTTCGTGTATGTCTGCGCTCGTAAAACGGGATAAGACAGACTGGGAACCGGATAAATATGTGTCGTGTTGGGTAAGAAAAGTGGTGGAGAAATGGTCATGGTCGGAAGTTGCACTGGAGGGCGTTGTAAAACTCACGAAGTCAAGGTATGTCGTGTGCTCGCACCCGAGGTGAATCGTCTGACATCGGTATAGTACATCGAACGACGCGATCCCGGTAGATGAAGTGCTCGCCTTCCTTCAAGACTCCCTTCTGTCACATTCGCATGCCCTCCGGGTGAACGCGCTTCGTCTGCTTACGTCCGAGGTCGTCGAAAGGGCAAGGTATAAGGACGTTCTGGACAGATGTCTGCAATGCGACGAAGTGCCCGCCGACGTGTCCGGTGTGCGGGAGCGTGTCCTACGCATGGGCCGCCTCAGCCAGGTGTTGAAGGACGATGACAAAACCGGAGCGGAGATCTGTGCAAGATGGCTCGTAGGTAAGCCACTTGAATGATGGTCGTCAATGTTCAAGGTGGCTAAGCACCTTGGCGTTCAGCCCAGTTGAAGGTGAACCTACGTCCCCTGTGGGTTCCAGCTGCACAAGCTCTGTCGCAGCTGGCTCAACGGTTTGATGATGCTACCTGGAAAGTGCTATTCGGCCAGCTTCGGACTGTTTCGACTGGGGCAGCAGATGAAACAAAACCAGCTTGGACACGTTCAGACAGCGACGAAGATCCGGATGACGTCCGCGAGGAAGAACACTCTTGGCGCGATCCTTCGGCCTTCAAGCTCCGTACAACTCTTTATATTTGGCTTTTCGGCAAACCAGTGCGGAAGGCGATTGTTAAGGTTAGTGTGCGCTCGAGCTTTCTTTGCATTACTCTCATCGATATCCCCCTTAGTCTCAAACCCCCAGAGACCGCTTCGACCCGACGAGTTATGAGACGCAGTTACTTTCCACCCTTGGCAGCTGTCCCTGGTTGGCGGAGAAACACAATCGGGAGCTCGTACCCTTCTTCTTGTCGTTATCGGGGACAGATGATTCTTCTCGCTTACCGCGCCAAAAGCTCGCACCCTGGCTGACGTTGTTTGCCGAGTTCAAGAACCCCAAGGCTCTATCTTCTACCGACACCTTACATTCACTCTACGTCTCCTTGCTTTCGCATCCGGACCGCTCAATTCAGTCCGCTGCTCTATCATGTCTCCTTACGTATAGGTCACCTCATCTGCTCCCCTACGAGGACACGTGCCGAGCCCTCCTCGACGATACCCGATGGCGGGATGCTCTTTCTGGGCTCAATATCGCGGAAATCGAGGCTCAGAATCGTGTTGAGGCCGTCGATCTCATAGTCCGCCTTCTTTATGGCGTGATGCTAGAGAAGAGAGGACGTGCTCGTGGCGCCGACCGGAGAGCAGCTACCCTGGGAGCATTGGCAGGCTGCACAGACGACGAACTCCGACTCGTTGTCGACCTTATGCTCAAACCGATCCAGCCAGTACGCCTTACAACATCAAGCGAGAACTTCGTTATAATGCCCCTACCGCCCTCAGTGGCAGAAAGACAGCAAGTTGGTTTTTTGACCCTGTTGGGTGATCTCTTGAAGTACCTTGGTTCGCGTATCGTGCACACCTGGCCGGCCTTGATTGGATCCACTATGGACATCCTTGCGGATGCTGAAAAGCGTATCAACGCCGTGACTGCTGAAATAGACGGGGAGGATAACGATGTGGAGGATATAGCGGAGGATGCCGAGGACATTGCCACAGACGCGAAATTCACGAAAGTGCGGAGATCGATACGCCAGCTCGGGCTTAAGCGCTTCGGGGATTTCTTCCGCACCCCCTCACAATTCGACTTCACGCCGTATCTTCCTGCGGCGTTCAATTTCTTCATCTCCAACCGACTCCCAGTGCTTGACAGGGAAAACACCCAAGCGCCTTCTGCGCTGCTTGATTTGTTTTACGTCTGGTCCAAACAGGCAGAATATGCCAGGTTCCTGGTGTCTTTCGATGATCGGGTATTACCCAAAGTATACGCATGCCTGGTGGCCACGAATGTGAAGCCTGCGGTAGTTTCCCGCATCTTCGACATCGTGGAAGCGCTTTTAGCGCTATCCAACGAGGATGGAGAGCTGAAACGGTTGGTCGTAGAACCCCACGTATCCCTGCTGCTGTCCAATCTTGCCTCGCTCGTACAGCGGACCAAGGACTTCACAACTGTCTCCGGTCCGCTACCACACCGACAGATTAGCATCTTATCAGAGGTCGCGCCCTTCATCCGAGACAGTCCCCAGGCATCCACCCTCCTTTCACTGTTCTTGCCGCTGTTGCGCAAGCCGTCTAAATCGGTCAACGAGAAGATCAAGACAAACATGCTCAGGATTGTCGACCATCTTTTAGCGTTCGTCCCGGAATTGGTTGATCATACTACTGCGGTGGCTCAGAAGACCCTTGAGGTCCTTTCTGAACTTTTCCAGAGCATGAGGTCACGACCTGGTCGACTAGCTCTCCTATCGACGTTGCGTCGCCTCGCCGACGTGGACGAATCGTTGGTCAGGGTTGCGGATCTACTTGAGTCTATGAATGCTTTCAGTAAGAAACGGCTAGATGAACCCGACTTCGACCGTCGCTTGACCGCATTCGCGACAATGAACGAAGAGGCTCATGCTACGCTGACTGCTCGCGAGTGGTTGCCTATCCTCTACAACTCCCTCCACTTCATTCAGGATCCCGAAGAGCTCGCCGTCCGGAACAATGCAGCGCAGTCCCTGAAGCGGTTCATAGATTTGTGTGCTAATGCAGAGCTTACTACGGATCTGGGCCATGTCATGGTTCGCGTCCTCTTCCCCGCACTCAAGAACGGCCTGCGTACGAAGAGCGAGATGGTCCGCGCTGAAGTGCTCTCGGTGATGGCGCACGCTGTGAAGAACCGTCTGGCAATCAAGGCCCTTCAGGAGATGCAACCGCTCTTAGCCGACGGGGACGAGGAGGCGAGCTTCTTCACAAATGTCCTGCATGTTCAGATTCACCGTCGCACGAGAGCGCTGCGTCGTCTAGCGGAGTCTTGCGCCAAATCGCAACTGAGTAGTTCAACGCTTGCTGACATATTCGTCCCTCTCGTTGGCCACTTTATCACCTCCCCAGCGACCACGGACCATCACCTCGTGAACGAGGCCATCACAACTACGGGACATATGGCGGAGCAGCTGAATTGGGGGCCCTATTTCTCTCTGGTTCAAAGCTACCTCCGGCTTGTGCGGCTCAGGGATGAATCCGAGCGGGTGTACGTGCGGACGGTCGTATCGATCCTAGATCATTTCCACTTCCCCATGGACCAAGTTCTTCCGCAACCGGAACGCGCCGCCGAGGACGTCACCCTCATGGGGGAAGAGGCCGAGGCTGAGACCGCCATACAGGCTGCCGAGGACAGAAAGGTCATCCAACAAGCAGACCGCATCGCGGACGCCGTTACCTCGCGTCTTCTTCCCAGTCTCCTCAAACATCTGGAAACGAGGAACGAAACGGAAGACAGTCTCCGTATCCCGATCTCGATCGGTATCGTCAAGGTAGCGATTCATTTACCTCGTGAAGCGCGAGAGCCTCAGGTCCTGCGGCTCTTGACGGTCGTGAGCCAGATCCTCCGCAGCAAATCCCAGGAAACGCGTGATTTGGTTCGCGAGACGATGTGCCGCATCGCCGTCATCCTTGGCGGGGCATATCTTCCTATCATCTTTCAGGAGCTGCGCACAGCCCTCGTTCGCGGTCCGCAGCTCCATGTCCTTGCCGCTGTGACACATACACTCCTCGTTCATGTTACCTCACCCGAACACGTACAATCGTTTGATCCCCTTGACGAATGCGTCGATCACGTAGCGCACATATCCGCCGAAGTGGTCTTCGGCGAATCCGGCAAGGATGTTCAACATGAGGATTTCAAGACGAAGATGCGTGAGGTTCGGTCATCCGCCAACAAGGCTCTCGATTCCTTCGGGATCATATCCAAGTTTATCACCCCACCCAAGATCAGCAGAGTGTTGCTCCCAGTCAGAGACATCATGCAACAAACTGAAGCGCTCAAAGTCATGAATCAATGCGAAGACGTGCTCCGACGAGTGGTGATTGGCCTCAACGCCAATTCGCACCTGGTCCCCAAGGAACAGCTCGTCTTGTGTCACACCCTCATCAGCCAGAATGCGCGTTTCCTTACGGAGCGGAAGTCTGTGACGAAATCGAAGAAAGGCAATCAGCGTGCTATTGTTCAGCTGAAACGGAAGGTCACGATTGACACTGATCACTATGCAAACAATGCATTCCGGTGCGTACTTTCTCATCTCAGCGTGGGCATGCGCCTCCGTTCTTATTCTTGCGCATAGTTTCGTTGTGCTTGGCCTTGATTTGTTCCATACTGCGTTCAAGCGTAGTCGATTCGATTTCCATGACCCGGAGATCATCGCGCGCTTGGAGCCGATGGTGAAGGTGATTGGGAATACGCTCTATTCATCCAACAGCCAGGTCCTGGTTCTTGGCCTCAAGGCGTCTGCAGCAATCGTGCGCTGTCCCTTGAAATCTCTGGAGAAGTCGACGCCGGTGTTCGTCAATCAGATCATCGATATACTCAAGCAGGCAGGGAGCACCGAATCCGACGTGGCCCAGACCGCATTGAAGTCCCTGGCGAGTATGATACGTGACTGCTCTTCAGTCCACGTGAAGGAGAAGGACCTAGTCTACCTACTCGAGTTGCTGGAGCCAGATCTCGAAGACCCTGACCGCCAGACAGCCGTCTTCGCAATGCTTCGCGCTATCGTATCGCGCAAGTTTGTCGTTCCCGAGATTTACGACATGATGGAGAAGGTTTTGGAGATCATGGTCACCAGTCAATCGACGCATGTCCAGGAGTTGTGTCGAGGGGTTCTGCTTCAGTTCCTCCTGGATTATCCTCAAGGCAAGGGCCGACTACGGAAACAGATGACATTCTTGGCCAAAAATCTCTCCTATATTTACGAGAGTGGTAGAAAATCCGTTATGGAGCTCCTCAGTGCGGTCTTGGCGAAGTTCGATGCCGCACTCATTCAAGAATATCTGGAGCTTCTGTTCGTTGGCCTTGTCATGGTCATTGCCAACGACGATTCCTCGAAATGTCGCGAAATGGCTGCGGAGCTGATCAAGAATCTGCTCGCTCGCCTTGACGAAGATCGGCGGCGTCTGATCATATCGCATCAACATTCGTGGGCCGCCCAGCGTACCAACCTCCGACTATGCAGCGTGTCGGCTCAGATATGCGGGCTGGTCCTGGACAGCTTCCATCAAGACACGGCTCCCTACCTTGCATCGTTCCTCGAGGATTTAGTTGCCCTTCTACAATTGAGTGCGGAGCGTATGCAGGGGGATGGCGATGAAGAAGACTGGAAGACACCTTACCACGTCCTCGTCGTCCTAGGGAAGGTGTTCCGCGACTTCCCGGATCGAAAGGATTCCATCAGCGTTATTCCGTGGGATTCAGTTGCGGAGCACTTGCTTTTCCCCCATGCTTGGGTTCGGCTGGCCGCATGTCGCCTGATAGGCGTGCTGTTCTCTGTCCGGGCGGAGCTACTAGAAGACGTCGCCTTCGACGGCTTCGTGCCTATATCGGAAAGCGGCCTCAAGTCCATCGCGGAGAAACTGTGCGAGGACTTGAAGAGCGACCATCTGGACTCTCCAATGAGCCTTCAGGTAGTCAAAAACTTGTTCTTCGTCGGCAAGCGTTTCTGCGAACGGCCGCTCCCGTCTCCCTCAGAATCCGACTCCCCTGAAGCAGAAGAAGACGACCGTGAAGGTGCCGATGACGAGATCGACGAACCGGAAACATCTGTGAAAGACGATCATCCACTGCCATGGCTGTTCTCGAAACTGTCATATCAATGCCGCTCCGCCCATATCGCTCGACGTAACACATCCTCGGTCTCGGTCAGCTCCCTTCTGATCCCCGCACTGATGACTGATCTGATATTCATTTCAGGAACACTGGTTCGAACAACCAACTGCGATCCTAAAGTGGTTCGCAGCGATGGCATCTCATATGGAGCCTGCACTACTTTCACGGTTCCTCACACATATTCTCTCGCCGGTATATCGCATCGTGGACGACGACACGATACGGGATCCACATATGGGTGCGTGGCTACCCTCTCGGTTTGCGATGAGCGACTAAACGGCCATGCAGATGAACTCAAAACATTAGCGATCGAGCTGCAGGACCTCGTCCAGGCCAAAGTTGGCGTTACGGCATTCACGACTGTCTACAACCGGATACGGCAAAGCGTTCTAGGCGTGCGAAGGGACAGGAAGGCAACGCGCGTTATGCAGGTAAGGGAGTGCGGATGCACGCGAGCGCTCGCTGATTCTTGTTCAGGGAACGATCAACCCGCAAGCCGCGGCGAAACGCAAGGCCGCGCGCAACGAAAATAAGAAGGACTCTCGTAAACGTAAAGCGTATTCGTTCAAGTAAGTGGAACACCACTGTACGGATTTCTGGAGTGACACTCACTGCACGGACAGAGACAAGCTATTTCGAGGGTCGAAGAGACCCCGAACCCACTGAGTTCTGAGTTCTCATCCTGACCTTTTGAACACCTTCCGATCGAATCTCGGCGAATCGCCTACGCATGCATATTACTACCATAATACCAATCGGCATTGTAGCATAACTCCGGTGTATCATTATTACGCGTGGTGTTCTTCTTGAACTGGGCTTTGACGGCATGCGGCCATTGTGTCCTGCAATCTCACCGAAGGGTCGGAACGAGCAAGTTGAAGGAGGTAGATCCGCGCCACGTGGATCTGCTAAGATCTGCGCGCCTTCCGCTTTCACATCCTTGCAATTGGACTGCTACTGGACATGCCCATTCAAGCTCCTCATCACCCTTCAGAACGCACACGCGCAGCAGACGGGAAGGGGACGATCTCCAGCGCCTGTGCAGCGTGTGATCGTCGTCGATAACCTCGGAGCGCCGTAACATCTTGGACCAGCTCGATCAGTAAACCAGGCGACAGCATGGGACAGCATGTACCGGCTCGTGGTGAACACGTTCGTTCAAGAGCTTCTCAGTTGCATTACAAATGCTCGCGGACCGACGAGGTGCATAGCTAACCTCGTCTTGTACTGCTCCCTAGACGAGACACTACAGCAATGGACTCGGCGCCTATGAGCGACATTGAGACTGCCAGTTCGGCGTCTTCGGACACCGCAGGTGTCGGGCTATCCGACCCTCAGGACGCCTCTTCGCAACGCCGGCGCCGTATGCTTGACTTAGTCAATAGGCTGCACAGTACTGGGTACGACGCCGGGGTTGTGAGTGCTTGTCGATTCTTCCTTGAGCTTACGTATGTCTTGTGATAGCGTACAGACGGAGATTGACCTCCCTATGATTGCCGTCATTGGCAATCAGAGCGCGGGCAAATCCTCTCTCATCGAGTCGATCTCCGGTATCACCTTGCCGCGGGCCAGTGGTACATGCACAAGGTGAATATATTTACTGCAGCCCAGGCCTTCATCACTGACCCAAAAACGCATGGCCTAGATGCCCCACAGAGTGCCGGCTTGCATACTCCACGCAACCATGGCAATGCAGCATCACGCTACGCTTCATGAACAATGAGCGGGGTGAACCCTTGGGCCAAGTCAAGAACGTACCCTTCGGCCCGACCATCTTTAATAAGGCGGAAGTTGAAGAACGACTCCGGCGAGCCCAGCGTGCCATTCTCAACCCCGCCAAAGAAGCTCGGATCTATCTCGACGGGGCGGACGAAGATGCAGACGACTCGCAAGTGTCCTTTTCCAAGAACAGTATTTGCCTGCAGATCAGTGGCAAGGACCTCGCCGACCTCTCATTTGTCGACTTGCCTGGTAGATATGAACCGACGTTATCCTGTTGGCGGATTCTAACGCCGAGGAACACAGGCCTCATCGTGAGCGTCCGGGCTACCGGCAGTGATTCCGACATCAAGTTGGTCGAGAATCTGGTCGAGAGCTACATCAAGTCGCCGAGCTGCTTGATATTGTTGACAGTAACTTGCGAGAGTAAGTGTCTTTAGTTGGCAGTGGAAGACATTATCTCACGGTTGGCATACGCAGCCGACTTTGAAAATCAAGGAGCGTATTCCATGGCGAAGCTTCACGACCCTGAAGGCAAACGAACGATCGGTTAGTCTCAGGCGTTTCTACGAGTGGCCGTGCCTGACCCTGTCGTGCGAATTAGGTGTCCTTACGAAACCCGACAAGTAAGCACCCGCATTCACAACATTACCCTCAGCGCATTGACAGCCTGGTTCAGGATCGACTCCGGTGACGAGGATCACTGGCTTTCATTCATCAGGAACGACAGCGAGCCGTTAGTCAACGGCTGGTACGCTGTCAAACAGCCCAACACAGAATCTTTAAAGGCGGGAATCTCTTGGAAGGAGGCTCGCGTGAAAGAAGACTTGTTCTTCTCCACCCAGTACCCTTGGTCGGATCTCGAGGCCGAATATCAGAAACATCTGCGGACCAGCAATTTGGTGCCACAATTGAGTACGACACTATCTGACCTCATCGCCAAAAGGTATGTTTTCCGTCAGTCCTGCTCATCAGTGGTTAGGGATGACAAATGACCGCTTGACAGTCTTCCAAAGATTCGCGAAGAGCTGCAGAAGGGATTGCAGAAAACTGACGCCTCCCTGTTGGCACTGCCATTGCCTCCCTCCAGCGAGCCGGTCGCAGAGATCTACACTCTGCTCAGCACGTTTTCTGGTGACATCGCGCATGAAATCGCAGGGACTCCCGACGAGTATGGTCTCATCCAGGCGATCCGTCCTCTGCACGAAAAGTTCCGCCGAGACATACGTGCAACGGTCCCTCGTTTCGTTCCATACTCCAAGAAGGAAGCAGCCTCAAGGGAGAGGTCTCTGCAAGACCCTGCTTTCCTTGAGGCCGAAGAAGGTCGCGTGGAGGTTCCTCCAAACGATGGCACCGAGATCTTCATCGATGACGTTATGCGGCGCGCTTCGCAGTGAGTGGGCCTTCGTCCAGATGCGAGCAAGGGCCTGATGCCATCCATGTCTAGAGCAGTTTCGCGTGAATTCCCCGACCACTGCCCGTTCGTAGTAACTCACCACTACGTCCGCGGGTTCACTAGCAAGTGGCAACAACCGGTCGATGAATTCCTGGAGGAAGTGGATACCATCATAACGGAACACGCAAAAGCCATCGTAAAACGCCATTTCTCGCAATATCAATACGGCGGCCTACAAAGCGTAGTGAAGTGAGTGCTCCCGATCTATCTCGTGCCTGGGCTAACGCACAACTCCTTACAGCACTATCGTCTGCGAGCACATTCAGAAGTGCCTCGAGGAGACACGCCAAAAGCTCATGTGGCTTCTGGAGCTTGAGGACCCGCCGCTAACCCTGAATAATCACTACTATACGGATTACAAGGACAAGTTCCTGACTTACTATCGGAGCATCGCGAACAAGAAGAATTCAGCGCTGGCAGATCAACTCCAAAAATGGACGGCCCCGAAAACTGGATTCGTGACCGATACTTTCCAGGATGGCGTCGCTCAAATGCTCGGCGCCGCACCAAAGATTGGTTTCGATGGCTTGAAGGCGACGGACTTGGTTCGCCTGCTGCCGATTAATGCCGAGGAGCGAGCCTTCAAGATCATGGCCGAGGTCAGGGCTTACTACCAAGGTATGTCACCGAAACATCCTCAGGGAAATATGATAGACTTAGGCCGTCTCATAGTCGCATATAAACGATTCATCGATATTGTCCCACTGGCGGTCGACCACGGCCTCGTACGTGGGCTGGAACGGGGATTGCAAAAGGTACTTTTCGACGGCCTTGGAGTGGGCGGTCCGGAAGGGTTCAAGAACTGCAAGATGCTGCTGCAGGAGCCACCACTGACGGCCACGCGTCGCGAGGAGTTGTCTAAAAGGCGCGAGAGACTTCTGCTAGCGAAGAAGGAGCTGATCGAGCTTCGATTGTGAGCCTCCGAGTATGATCACGTAGACGATCTGTATTGAAAGGGGATCATGTCTTTGGCGATTCTCGAAGTGTTTTTCCCGACGCGAGTGAAGGAAGATTTACGAAGATTAAGAATTCCCTTTTGCTGAAGGTAGCGGACAGAGATCATTCGCGAGCCACGTCACCGATGCTAGATGCGCATATGCAACTGACCGACGCGAACTCGCTGCCCGTTAGCAACGGAGGGACGGTGTCCGCCTGTCCAGACGAGGACGATGAGGTGTCCGAGTGCCATACTGCGCCACCATCGTACGAGTTTGCGATCAAGCCACACGTAGCGTCGAGCGTAAAGCCCAGCGTGTGGACGGCACCAAGTAACAGTTGGAAACCAACCTATATACCCTCAACAATGTATGGAACGGGCAAAGCGGCCCGACGTAGGAGATACAGGGCCCGGAAGCGGGAAAGAGAGCGCATCGAGGCGGAGCGCAGAGGATGGTGACCGACGTCGACTAATCCCGAATATAGTACAACGCACGGCTGTAGAGTGTTTCGCGAGTGCCTTCGGGCACGGATCACAAGTCGGGGGCCTGAAACTGGTGGCGGCTGAATTTAGCTGTAGAAATATGATAATCGGGGCTGAAAAACAACATGTCCCATCCGACAAAGAATGAGAGCGAAAAGGGCTTGCGCGACGTGGCTGCGACTAGACTCGCAACCACTCCTCTTCAACGCAGCCGACGAGGCCGCACCTCCTGAGGGCAACGGTGCGTTAGCATCATATAACGGCTCGAATGCACTGGACACACCGGTCAAACCAATTGATGACGGGAAGCGTCCAATCCCAGGGATCTGAATCACTGAGATCAGGAATACACCCGAACGCAGGAGATACAGCGCAAGGCATCACGAAGCCACCTGAGACGGGAGCGAAGGGGATAATGTTTGGGTCGGTAGTTTTTGCCGGAAAAGGTTAGGAAAATGCCGTCGGAGAATGTTGTCTCCCATTGATCGCAATGCATATCGTAATCGTAATGCAATTCAGTTGTATCAGACTCGGTGGACGTCCAACACGATCCCGCTGACCGAATCCCGAGAACCTGTAAAGGAGCTTCAGTTTCGTTGATTGCTGATGCCGATGCCGATGCGTGAATGCAGGGGACAAGTGTGGTCATGATATGCGGCTTGTCGCAGTACGGTTCACGAACGTTCTGTGCCCCAATTTGCCTGACCCACCACGAGCTGCGCACACGGTACGCCCCGTTTCCACCAACTCTTGATATAACGAGAGGCGTGCCCGCACAACCCAACAACGAAGGCCGACGCGTATAATCTCCCATCGTGCCGAGCTGCGACTCACCTCCGAAGCGCTGTGCCGTCATTGAATGCCTATAGATAACTTCGAATTTAGACACAGGATCACGATGAGGCCGGCCTTGCACAGTTGCAAAGATATAGCGTCCATAGTAACGGGGTGGAGCAAACCGCGGAATTGAATTGATCCAACCCTCTCTGCGAGCTGCGGACGCAAATGACACCTCTTGAGAATGATGGAGTATCGAGTGCACCAAGAATAACTGACCCTTCGAGGGGTATAAAGGCGATTTCCTGCTGCACTCACAAACAACAAGTCGACACAAGCCCACATTCAAAGCACGAACAACCTACCATCATGCGCTTCCAGATCATTCTTATCGCCTCGCTCGCCGCCGTAGGCTTGGCCACTCCTATCGATAATGCAAAGGAGCTCGTCTCTCGTGGCTGCCCGCCGAACCCAGGCAACGCGTGCCCGGAGGGATTCTTCCAGGTTCGTTTTACTATGTTAACAACCCTGGGCGTGGATGAGCGATTGTTAATGACGAGCTCGCAGTGCTTCGGACAGTGCATCCAGTGTGGCGCTGTCTGCAACTAGACAGGCGAGCACCCAGAACCGAACGAGGTAGGCAAAGTCGGATGCGCTCTTTCAGTCTTTGTTTCTGTGCTTACCTGGCCCCGTTCTGAATCCCCAGTAACACGCCGCCCGCAAGCTGGTCTTCCTCTCTAGGGAAAACGTGAGGGGTTAGCGTGTATCATCAACGCGGTCGAGTGTGCATGTACCTACCACCGTTGCTCAAGCTCGTTTCATATAATCGTGAGGGCTCGATATATCGCGTGGCTTCATGGGCACCTCTGCATACCACGCAGATTCGGCGACGCCTGAGACTTGAGATGTTCGAGAAAGATGAGACAATGCCCTTCAGCAGTTGCTCATCAGGCCAACAATGAGACAGGATCAGGATGCGGATACACATATACCCAGGAACACAGAAGGCGAATGCCGACGCATTGAGTGATGAGCGTTGAACAGGCGTCCAAGAAGAAAGCCACCGGTTATGACGGTGGTGGTCGTCCCAGCATTCTGAAGTGATCTCATCCAGACCTCAAGACGCAGTAGCTTGAAGGATTATGTTGGTATATATTCATAGAGTGCTCTCGCAGTTGAACTGACGAACCAGGTTCACGGACGCACAGTCAGTGTAGGGTCGGTCGTCCTCGGTCTTGTGGTGTGGGGATCGTGGGTACCTTTTTTGTGCTCGCGCTCATCCTTCGCCACCGTCATGCATGCTGCCCTGCTGGCCCGTAGGTTGCCTACACGCGCCGTATCTCAATCGCTGCGCAGCTATGCATCCAAACCTCCAAATGGGTCGCAGTCCCCTTCCCCAGCCTCCAATTCCGAGCCAACACCCCCTGCACCAACACCAGAAACGCCGCAACCGTCCACAATACGAAGCTTGGACTTCACGTCGACTTTGGAGGATGACAAGAAGCAGCGGACCGGCGCCAAGTCGTCGAAGGACTCGCTCTCGAGTATCGAGAAGAAGCGACGGATCTATGGCCGCGTGTCCTTGCTGGCATTGCTTCTCGGTGCAGGAGCGTACGGCGTCTATCTGGGGCGTGAATGGGAGGAAGAGGAGCTCAAGGCGAAACGACTAGTGCGTCGAACTACTTCGTTGATTGAGTCGTCTCTGATTGTACTTTCGGTTGCAGACCCTCGAAACCGCCCCGTCAACGTGGTCTGCACGAGCGCGTACGCGCTTCACGGACTTATTCGACGTAAGCTCATACGTCCTTCGCGCTCTATAGCTGACTGATCGCTCCGCATAGTTCTTCAGCAAGCCTCAATGGAACGAGCTTCTCCCGCCGCCCTTACCCGCTCCTTACCAGAAGCCATTGACCTTGCTGATTGATCTTGACGACTTCCTCGTTACATCGACATGGGATGTAGGTATCATGCATCGTATTCCAGTGCAGCACTTACTCATGGTGACGATAGCGCCAACATGGTTGGAGGACAGCGAAGCGGCCCGGCGTGGACTACTTTCTGGCCTACCTTTCGCAATTTTACGAAATCGTTTTGTTCACATCTCAACACTATTATGTGTGTTCGCCGCTGCTGAGCATTCGAACGCAGCAGACTGATATCTTACTCCTCAGACCGCACTCCCCATAGTTGACAAGTTAGATCCCCATCACTTCTACATCGTTTACCAGCTCTTCCGCGAATCGATGACCGCCCACAACGGCGAAGTTGTCAAGGTACTCCAACGCGCTTTTGTCCTCCATGATTCGCTGACCAACAATGTTTAGGACCTATCATACCTTAATCGTGACCTGTCAAAAGTAATACTCGTCGACACTAATCCCGACTTCGTCAAAACGCACCCCGAGAACGCGATCATTGTTCCCAAATGGAAGGGCGACCCCAAGGACAAGGGTCTTATCGCTCTGATTCCCTTCTTGGAGTGTAAGAGATTGAGAACCTAACGTGCCCCACTCATATCGATCTGATCCACTTGCGTTTTCTCAGCCATCGGCATATACAAGCCCGCGGACGTCCGCCCCATTCTTGAGGCGTACCGTGGCAAGGACATCCCGCTGGAGTACGCGAAGAAGGAGGCGGAGGCAAAGCTGAAGCATATCGAGGAGTGGAAGGCGAGTGGCGCGGGCAAAGGCGTCGGCCGGCTCACCTTCTCGTCCCTCTTCGGCGGCTCGAGCGATCCTGTAAGCGCATACACACCCACGCACGCGATATTCTTGCACCCTCTAATATGCAACGCCTAATCCTGTAGGCTCAGTCGTCACCGATACCCCCGACCTATCTCGAAGCCAAGCGCGCCGAGGCACAACGTGCCTACCGCGAGGAGCAACTCTGGATCGAACAGAACAGGGCGCAGCTCGAGAAGGAGAAGGAAGAGCAGGATAAGGCGATGCAGGCGGAGATGTCAGGTAGCTTGTGGAAGATGCTCGGAGTTGGTGCCGGCGGCCCGCCCGCTCAGCAGCAACAAGAGTCCTCTGGGCCATCTCAGGCTGCGGCGACTGCGACTGCCACCGCTGCAGCGCCGAAGGCGCCGTAGCGATGCTTCTGTACTGCACGTGCATATTCATCACCACTCTCAGTTTTATCGTCGGACAGCAGGGCATAGGTTAAGGTTGAGCAAACATCCATATATCAGAAAACAAGATACACCAAGATCCATGTCTACAAAGCAGACGCCACTATAGCTTTCAGCTCCTCATCCGAGAGCAGCCTGATCCCGAGCATATCGTTGTCCACCCCCTTCAAGTGCACGTCCCCGAACCCCTCGGAAAACGTCGACCATTTGATGAGCGAGATGGCGACCTCCATGTCGAAAACGCCCTTGGCGAGCTTCGCGTCCGCCCTCGCCTTCAGATCCGCCGACTGGCTCTCCGTGACGGTCCACTCCTCTGCGGGCGTGAGCTCCTTCGCGATGTCCAAGATCTGGCCCTGACTGACGACCGCCTCATGCAACGCAACCGTGCGATTCTTCGTCTCTTCCAGGTGGCGCAGTACGGCGGCGACGCCGCGACCGACGCCCGCAAGCGTCGTCGCGCTGAACGGCAGGCGGCCGCCGTCGTAGACCTCTGCCTTGCGCGCTTTGACGTCGCCGAGCAGGATGCCAGCGCGGAGGGTCCAGTCGAGGAACGGTCCAGAGCTGACGAACGTGTAGGTGAGGCCCGGGTGCTCCGCGCTGACCGTCTCCAGGTAGTCTTCAACCTTGGCCTTGGGCGCGAAGACGGAGAGGGCGCGCGCGGCGGGGTGGCGCAGGTCGCTCCCGTACTCGGACGGAAGGAAGCGCTTCACGCCTGCGGCGACGGCGGCGTCGACGAGTTTGGTCTGTCCCAGGATCCCGGCGAACGCGACGGCGGAGACGACCGCGTCGACGCCCTGGAGCGCGACGGTGAGCGACTCGACGGAGTCGTAGTCCACATGGCGGACGGCCACGCCCGCGGGGACCTTGCTGGGGTTCTCGGAGCGCGAGAGGACGATGACGTCGAACTTGGCGGCGACTAGCTGCTCGGTGATAGCCTGGCCGATGTTGCCGGTAGCCTACGAGCAACGTTCAGGTTAGCCGGCCTAGGAATGAAAGCGAACTACCCTTACGCCTGCAACTGCGACTTTGTTCACAGACATCGTTGCTATCGATTTATGCGCGGTTATGCGAGAGAAGGCGGGATCGTGTTTGGTGCTTGAATGGTATCATCCCGCATCGTCCTCCGCATATTTTATGTCAGTTATGATTCGCCAATCAGGACTGGACTGATTTGTTTGTGCTTTTTGCGATGCTTACCACTTGCTTACCACGCATCACGCAGGGAAGCATCGCTAGCGTGTGAATGCTCGGCAGTTCGCCCGAGCGGGTGACGATGGTCTGCGCCCAACTGTAAAATCGCTGAGGTTGCTAGGATTGAAATCGGATTGGGCTGTTGAATGTTGATTCCAGGCAGCGATAGACAAAGCTACTTCACGACCCCGTATCATATGTGGTTTATGTTGAGATTACTGTAACTCACACACACCGATGGTGAAACAGTATCATGCAAGCTCCTTCACAACCTTACATGATATGTCGAACATGTAGAGATACAGTCATACACACCGGTGGTGAAACGGTATCATGCTTGCCTTCCAAGCAAGCGGCACGGGTTCGACTCCCGTCCGGTGTAGGTTTTGTTTCTTTTCAAAGGCTAGCGCAGCTGAAGGGGTCGGCATGATTCCTCAGCCTCGCTCATGCATTCATGAGCCTCTCGAAGTGAGACCTGGAAATTATTGGATCGCATTTGCAAGTTGAGCGCTGAACAGTGTAGGCATAGCAATACTCGACTTCGAGATGTACCGAATTCCTCTCATACAATCACTCGTATGGATCTGTACGTGCGCATGGATCAGACCATGGCCGCTTCGCGCAATCAGCTTGCGGAGTTGGCGAAGCAGCTACTAGTAGGACGAAGCACATACATAGGTCAGAGGGACGACATGTGACGGGAAAGCGCATGCAGCACTGGGCGTCATGACCATCCATGCCAGTTCCATGCCCCACACACGACAACGACTCTCTTCCTGCAAAGTACGGAGGAGGTTCATGAGCCCTACATCCATCCAACCGCCGGCCCGCCGTGGATCCGGGTATGCACCGACCAAGGAACACGTCTCACACGTCGATTTCAAGTTCCTGGTTCTGCTCGCGAGCTCATGACCGCCGTGGGCGTTGCTCACCATCCGAGCTCTGCCCGAAGCGCGAACCACGGCTTGTTCGTGTCGTACATAAGGGTGGTGGCGAGGTAGGTATGTCGGCACCTCCATCGGTAGCACAACGGGGAGTGATTGGACATGCATTCACGAGCCATCCTCGAACGCGCCTGCGTCCTTGCTCTCGGCCTTTGCGCCGCGGCCTCCCTCGTCTCCACTGCGAGCCTTGCCGCCGCCGTCACCGGCCCGTGCGACCTCTACGCCTCCGGCGGTACGCCCTGCGTCGCCGCGCACAGCACCACCCGCGCACTGTTCGGCGCCTTTTCCGGCTCGCTCTACCAGGTCAGCCGCCCACGCTCCGCTTCGTTCCATACCATGATCGACCGAACGACATCCCCACCAGGTCAAGCGCAACTCGGACGGCGCCACGCTCAATATCGCGCCGCTCTCCGCTGGCGGCGTCGCCAATGCCGCCGCACAGGACTCCTTCTGCGCTAGCACGACCTGCGTCATCACCACCATCTTCGACCAGTCCGGCCGCGGCAATCACCTCACCCAGGCCCCGCCCGGCGGCTTCAGCGGCCCCGAGTCCGGTGGCCTCGACAGCCTGGCCAGCGCCACCGGCGCGCCCGTCACGCTGAACGGCCAGAAGGCGTACGGCGTATTCATCTCGCCCGGCACCGGCTACCGCAACAACGCAGCCTCGGGCACGGCGACGGTCGACGCGGCGGAGGGCATGTACGCCGTCCTCGATGGGACGCACTTCAACGGCGCCTGCTGCTTCGACTACGGCAACGCCGAGGTCAGCAGCCGCGACACGGGCAACGGTCACATGGAGGCCATCTACTTCGGCGACTCCACGACCTGGGGCACTGGCTCCGGCAGCGGCCCTTGGATCATGGCCGACCTCGAGAACGGTCTGTTCTCCGGCGAGAACCAGAAGTTGAACAGCGCCGACCAGTCCATCTCCTCCCGCTTCGTGACCGCGGTCATCAAGGGGCAGCCCAATAATTGGGCGATCCGTGGCGGCAACGCCGCGTCCGGCTCGCTGACGACGTTCTACAACGGCGTGCGGCCGAGCGTGTCGGGCTACAACCCGATGAGCAAGGAGGGCGCCATCATCCTCGGCATCGGCGGCGACAACAGCGTCGGCGCGCAGGGCACCTTCTACGAGGGCGTCATGACCTCCGGCTTCCCGTCCGACGCCACCGAGAACGCGGTGCAGGCCAACATCGTCGCCGCCAAATACGCCACCACGTCGTTGACGAGCGGCCCGGCGCTCACCGTCGGCTCCTCCATCTCCATCCGCGTCACCACGCCCGGATTCGACACGCGTTTCCTCGCGCACACCGGCGCCAACGTGAACACCCAGGTGGTCACGTCGTCCAGCAGCACCGCGCTCAAGCAGCAGGCCAGCTGGTCCGTCCGCACCGGGCTCGGCAACAGCGCCTGCTTCTCCTTCGAGTCCAGGGACACCCCCGGGAGCTTCATCCGGCACTCCAACTTCCAGCTTATGCTCAACGCCAACGACGGCTCCAAGCTCTTCTCCGAAGACGCCACCTTCTGCCCGCACGCCGGCCTCAACGGCCAGGGCAACTCGTTCCAGTCGTGGAGCTACCCCGCTCGCTTCATCCGCCACTTCAACGACGTTGGCTACATTGCGAGCGAAGCCGGCTTCGAAACTTGGGATGCCACCACATCGTACAACGACGACGTGAGCTTCGTCGTCAGCGCCGGCTTCGCATGAGCTCCGGCCCAATTCACGTATCGAGGCGCCGCTTAGCCAGCCGGAAAAATATATCCCAGTGTGCATAGTCATGTGTAGCATGATCCTGAATACGCCATTTAAAGGAAGTCCAGTCTGACTGCTAGCCATGCTGCGATTATTTGAGTTTTCTATTACAAACGGAAGGTGCCAAACCATAGATGTAGAGCACGCCGCCTTGTCTTGCGATAGTTTTCGGCGCCAAGCAAACGGGGTTCAGAATACAGTAATTTTACGACCTCAGGTCCGTGGGAAGTTCGCAAACTGACTGCAATCAGTTTTCTATATTCTCACAGTAAGAGATATAATGCTCACGGTCAGTTCAAGCCCCGGATTTTGGCGGCGGACACGCAGGTAGGGTCAGTACAGGGACGAACTAAGGTCGTCCAACTACAGTACCCTCACGCATGCGAAGACACATTCTCCCGCCGCGGGAAGAAACTCACTCAAATCTCGGGGTTTCCAAACGTCCTTGTGCCTCGATGGTCAAGAAACACTGCGTCCGAGGGATATGTACATAGGGAAGATCAAAATCAACTGTCCGCTCAACCGCGTAGCTGGATATCCGCTAGTAATTCCAACGCTAATGCTAAGGCATCGCCCAGCATCCGTCACCCCCGTTAAGCAGATCCTGCCAGTGCTGAATAGCGTGTTCGTGGGTGTAATTTGTAGGCGGACCAAGCATAAGGACCCTCGCCCGTGCGTCGGACGATATCAGTCGGTGCAGACCTCCGACCGTCAAATCGAGCGCTGCGCGTGCGCTGTCTCGCGGGTCGAGCTCGCCATCGTCGAGGATCTGGATCATGATAACGTCAATGTCGCTTAACGGCGCCGGCTGCTCTGTCGAGGTCGTATCCGCTCCAGTGGGGTCAGCGAAGGTGACGCCCAAGGCGAGCGAGATGCGCTGCGGTAGCGTGGGATCTGGGCCGACGGAAGAGAGCCGGAGACGGGCGAGTCGCGGCGCAATGTCCGCAATCGACTCAAGGGACATGGATGCACGGGTGTATCGCATGATGTGGAGGTGCTTGAGCGACGGCAGGGAGGTGCGCGAGCTCGTCGTACCAGCCGTGGACGATGCGTCGTGGTCTGCCCGCAGGTAACGGATCGCGAGATGCTTCAGCATCGGGAACTCGCAGGCGGGCAGGGACGTCGACGACGTGTAGAGCGTGACGTTCTCGAGCGAATGGGAAAGCGCGCGGAGGATGTCTGCGACCGCGCGCTGGATGGTGCTGCGTTCGGTGGTGTGCTCGCTGACGAGCGCCGCGAACTTCGCCTGGTCTTCCGCATTGACATAGCTGATAGGTCCCTTGTACTTGGTGCGCCTCGATGTCGGGAGCGCATCATCCACCAAGCCGCGACCCTGCCCCCGAGTCGGTGTGGCATCGTCTCCATTCTTGAGCCCCCGGCCGAGGCCGTACACGTTGATCTTCGGGGCGGAGGTCATGTCGCCGAAAAATGCCGCCCATTTGGAGCGCCAGTCCGCCGCCGTACTGTCTCTTTCCACGACAAGGAGGTGTTGGGCGCGCCTTGCGGAGAGCGGCAGTGCTTGGACATGCGCCGCGAAGGCGACGATGCGGGCGGGTCCCTCGAGGGAGACACTGTGTAAGCGATACGACTCGGAGGCTGCTGAAATGTACCGGGACACCAGTGAAAGGGAGCGCGAGGTGCTGCCGCCGTCAATGCAGCACAATGCGAAGATTCGGTGGAGAAGTTCGACGGGTAGCGTTTCCATAATGATAGCTTAGAGGCGGGGCATGGCCCCCAATAAGATTGTGAATAATCCCGTCTGTTATAGCAGATCCCAGGCTGCGCCAGACAAGAAGACACGCTAACAGGGCAGAGGGTAACGCAACCCGAGTGGTTGACCCGGTCAAGTCGGGCCCGCGTGCGTGATGGCGAGGCTCGTACCAACCGTCAACGCAAATTCAACGTAAACATGTACCTACATACTACCACTTTATTATATTTGTGGTTGGGGCGCACACAATCGATGCAACGGATGCATGCAAGCACGGCGGAGCTGGCATTGATTGAATTGTTGGCAGTGTATCTCGAACTTCAGAGTGCTACATATCACGCATTCAGATATTTTCTCTTCATGTCGATCCACGTCAGAAGAACCCCTGCAAGTCGTCATCGTGCATAGATTTCAACGAGTCCCTTGCTTCTCTCGCGGGTCTGGAGGTCGAGGGTTTGTCGGACCCGGCGCTTTCTTGAACTTTTTGTGCGACACTCCGAAGAACGGAAAGTCGTTGGAAGACATTAGGTTCCTTCGGACCTTCTTCTGTCTCATCCGTGATCGCCGCGAGGATGCATTGCGAAGAGAGCGCGGATGGCGGGGTCCCGGAGACGAGTTGCGATCTGAGGAGATGTTCTCAGAACCGTTCAATCACGCACAGCTTGCTCGAACATACCGGATAACGCCTTCGACGGCAGCAGGTCGTTCAGCGAGTGCGGCAAACAGTGCAGCAGTCGAGCGAATATAGTGATCTGAAGACAATTAAGCTGTAGCCCTGTGCAGAAGAGAAAGGGCACTCGCCGTGATGAGCCTCTCTGAACGCGTCTGAGACGAGGTCTACACATGCTTGACGAGCGCTCTCGCCGATGTTTGCATCAGCACTCCGGACGACACGAGCCAATGCTAGCACCAGGCTTCCTGCAATCTCCTCGTCGTTCGATCGAGCGCCTGTGACCAACTCGGTGATAACAGGGTCCACTCGCGGCTGACTCTTCATCAAGGAACCAAGAGATTCAGCAGCCTTATTCCGGACTGCCAAACTCGAAGGATCGCTCGCGCCCTTGACGAACGTACGTTGCAGTTGCGGGAAGAACGGCTTGACAAAAGTCGGTATCCTCTCCAACATCGTACCGAGCGCGCTTAAAATAGCGACTTTCACCCCAGGAGGATAAGTCGTCGCTTGGGTAGCAACACGAATGAGAGGGCCAGTGAACGGCACGACGAATGGCTTGATGGCTGCTTCTTCCGTCCGTTCAACGAGATCGCCGATGGCATACGCCGCCTGCTCTCTTTGTTCGTTGCTGCCGGTGGTAAGACCGGCGATGATGATGGGAACCATAGGGCCAACGCCCTTCGGCAAGCTGAAGCCAGGGACATAGCGGCCCGGACCGCCAGTGCTTTCAATTGTTCGGCGCAGAGGAACGACAAGCGGCTCCAATTCGTCTTTCGGCGTTGACTTGACGAAGGCGTCGAAGGCACTCCAGGCGGCGGTGTGCACAGGGACGGAGTCGTCGTCAAGCAGGGTTACGAGTTGGCGTATCCAGTCAATTCTGTACAGTGAGGTGTCCAGCTCCGTAACTTCGCAGAAGGTAGCAAAGAGGTTGCAAGCACTGACACGCCGCTGTGGCGCCTCGTGCTTTGCCCTAGAACGACTAATCAGCTTGCATACTAGACAAATTGTGAATGCCCGTTACCATCCGAGGAGCATGAGCATTAGCGTATTGAGGCCTTCCTCATCGGCGATTGATCGCAAAAGAGCTTCCACAGCTTCCTGGATTGCCTCCTGCAATTCTTCGCTTGGCTTGCTCTCCAGTTCCTTCACGAGCGCAGTCAAGACGACGGTAAGCCGTCTGCTAAGCGCGTTGCCAGCGACAGTGACCAAAGTTGCTAGAGCACGGGCATTGAAGAGGGTCATAGGGCTTGCCGTCAGTGTAGGAATGAGCACGGGGAAGACCGTAGAGGCCCGAACCTAGAATATAGTCGGCAATTGCGCTTAGAAGACAATGGTGAACAGACTCACGCTCATGACTTCTTTGAGTGCATGTAAAGCCGTGCCGGAGCTCGCACCAGGTTGACGAAGCGCTTCCAATAATGTCGGAATCGTCTGGTCGATGGCACGGGTACCGAGGTGTTCCTGCAGTATGTCGAAGGCCCGTGCAGCCGCGGAACGGACATTCGCTTCATCGTCTACTAAGGATGTCCGAACCATGAGAATGATCTCGTCTTCGCGGCCTTCACGCTGAGTGTCGGTGGTATTGACCCTGAAAGCCCACTTCAATACATACACAGGAGGTTCGAGAAGGTTGCAACTCACATGAGTTCGCTGAGCGCTAAGCATACGCCTTCTCTTATGCGCGCGTCAGACGAAGTCGATCTCGTCCGCAGGAGGCCAATGATTTCAGATAATACTCGGTCTCCGGACTTGCGACATAGCTCTCCAATTGTACGAGAAGCCGTCTGTAGTGAACATTAACGACGGATCAGTACAGATCAATGATAGCAACTTACCTCCTCTTGCTCGTACTCAGAGCTGGAAAGAAGCGTAATGATTTGATCCACCAGTTCGGGCAGTATTTCACGAACTGCAATAGCTCATTAGGAGGGAGGAACATATCGAGCTTAAACGACTGACCGGTACGTGGCGTGTTGTGCACCAGTGCCTTCCAGATGTGTATCGAGGACTGCCTCACGACACTGACAGCATCCTGACGGGCAAGATAGAGAGCTGACAGGATACGATCCCGACGTTCTCGGCCCAGCACCTCCACCAGTGCCTTACGAGAGGATTCTGCAACAACTGCATCGGTAGGCTCCTCTTCATCTTCCTCGATTTCCGCTTTTCCACTGATTCCGGAAACTTTGAAAAGCAACTCTCCAACCAGAGTGATTGACGATTGCTAGGAAGAAATAGATCAATGCAGGGCTTCACGAGACAGCACCATGAACAGACCCGTATACGCCAGCCAGGATCGAATATCCCCCGTTCCAGTTCCGGTAGGAGAAGGTCAATTGCCTTGTTCGAATAATTGGTAATGACCATTCTTCCTGCCCGCATAGCGGCTTCGCGGACGTATTCTTCGATGTCCGAGAGACCACTGAGTATGGGTGTAATGATCTTTGGTAGATGTGGCTGGAAGCGTGTCCCGAACGTGGCCGGTAAGTAGACCAAGAGCGACATGAACCCTTCTCGCACTGTGCTCCGTGGAGATTGTGCGTTCGCGATGATGTCGGGCAGTAGGCCTTCCATGCGTTCCATTCCCAGGCCGGATAGGACTTCACTCAATCCCTGAGCAGCACCTTGTCGGTCAACGCCTGACGAATCGCCCTTCAGAGTTCTGATGAGGCTTGGTACGAGATCAGGGAAGTTCTGTTCTCCCAGCCTTTCGACTAAAGCACCAAGTGCCTTTGCCGCTGTCGCACGCGCCTCCGGAACAGGGTCGATGAGAACGGCATGGACCATGGGCAGTAGCTCTGGAAGATATGGGACATAATCCTTGGAATCTGTCAAAGAGGCTAGATTGCCTACAATCCTCGCCGCCCTTCGCTTCGTTTCCGCACCACGTTCTTTCAAACCTCGTTCGATGATCGGTATGATCTATCCGCCAACTTAGCTATGCGACGAATGTAAGTAGAACAAGGCCGCACCAAGGCTAAGGATGATTGGTCGATATAATGCATGAACGACGTCTTTAGCAAGGAATTCAATGCATTTGGAGTTCGCGCTGGATCGACCAGTGCTTTGAGGAGCGTGGGAGCGAGTTTTTGTATCTCTGGGTTGCTGATGACTTCTCCGAATTGTTTCAGACTCTGGTTCGCCGCTGCACGCACTTGTGCGTGCGAGTCGGTGAGAACGTCCGTGAGTTGAGGAATGACGATGGGAAGCGACTGCGACAGTTGACGAGGTGCACAGTATGCCATCATGCCCAGAAGTTCGATAGAGCCCTTCTTCGTGCGCCATTGCTTTTCTTCCAAACCCTCTAGAAGCGACGGTAAAATCAACTTGACTCCGTAACCGGACATATTCGCCATGATGATTCGGGCCGTGTCTTGAGCAGCCTCACGAACGTCCGCGGTGGAATCGCCGAAAGACGCAAGAAGCACTGGGAGAATATGGATGATGTATGGCTCGAATAACCGCCCCAGCGTGCTGGACATGGTCTCGAACGCGAATAACGCGCCTTGCCGTGATTCATACCTCTTTTTATCCTCGGCGCCGGCGCTGAGACGCTTGAACAAATCGAATTCCTTGAAACTTGTAACGCCATAGCCCCTCACCACTCCCGCCAAACCGTAAGCAGCCCCTCGTCTTGCGGCGTATTTGGAAGCGTTGAAAAGCTCGTCTAGTAGCTTATCGACTAACGGTCCAACTGGAGAATCCATGATCTTCACCAACGGCGCGAGGCAGTCGGCCACCGCGATTTGTACTTGCTCGGAGGGGGTCTTCAGGGCTTCCACCAGACGGTTGACGATTTTGGGTATCCGGGCATCGCTTGGCTCTAGATGAGTTGCTGTTCTGCCGAGTAAAACCACCACGGCCTCCTTGATGAAGTCGGACGTTTCGGTTGACGACGCGGCACCGGCAGCCAGTTCATCCTCGAATATGGAGAGAAGGGCGGCACTCTGAGTGGCACCATGCGCATCGATGGTGGCTATAGCAGCATTCAGCATGCCCTTGCGCACAACTTCGTGCCTATCTCCCAGAGCTTCATCCTTGATAAAGAACTTGAACAATGGAAGGACGCTTTCCGATGGGATCAGCGGAGCCAGCAATTCGAGAGCGCGAGAGATAGCCGCCCGAGTCGGCCAGGGGTCAACACGTCCGACACTGGCCTCGATGATCATTCCCTGTATGGTATGAGCCCTTCGGCTGTTGCAAGGCAAGCAGATAGATCAGACGTACGTATTCATCAAATTCAGGAGCCAGGATTCTCGCCTGATATGACGGTTGTGAGCTAGACGAAGATAAGTGAAATCTTGGAAGACGTACCTTTTCGCGATAAAATTGTTCAAGAGCAATCACAACCTCGCCAACCGTCTGTGGCCATTGTTCCACGGCTTCCGACAATCCACGCGCAGCGCTGGAACGGACAGATTCATGTTCATGATCTGCTTCATCATGAGTGGATGAGGCTTTTGGCAGTAATGGATAACTTACCGAGATAGTTCAATAATGGAGGAAGGAATGTCTCCGGTACGTCGAGGCCGTTATCTTCCCAAAGGTGCTGCGCCAAGCGCGCATTCTGCTCATCTTCATCGTGAACTGCAACCCATAGTTCAGGGGACCATTCCAGATCCGTGAGATCGAACGGCTTTGGACTGGGTCAATGTCACGGCGTCAGGGCTTATACAATTGGAATATCACCTGGAGAGTCAGCAAGGCGGAGTGTCTGAGGTAAGCCTCTTGAGCCAAGGTGGTGGCGAGGAGCAGATTGGTCTCATAAGCTACTGCTGTTCCATGTATAGCCTGCCCAACGTCGACTAGGACTGATGATGCATCTTTCCCAAGTCGTGGTTGTTGCTGGATAACATGTATGAGAGCGCGCATGACCTCGTATCTTGGGAATGTGATATCGGCGACTGGAATAATGGTGTTCAGCATTCTGTCAAGACTCTGCTGTAGAAGTCACGTACGATCTGCGCAGTGGTACCTGATAATATCCAAACAAAGGACGATCTGTTCCAAGGGGTCATCATCTTCGTTCACAGCAATGCCACCCTTCATCATGACCTGGCTCAAGAGTGGTGCCATGTAGCAAAATGTTGCGGCATCAAAGGACGTTTGCGACGACAAAGAGTGAAATCGATACAGAACGCGTAACACAAGACCTATACATAACGTCGGTGCCCAGCTCAAATACTGGGAGATCAACACTCACTGCTAAGGGGTTCAATCTGGTAGTCCTCAGGGACCCCCTTCACTTCATGAAGACGCAGCGTAGCAACGCCGATCCAGCGAGAAACCGAGTCAAGACGGTGTGAGCAGCATTGTGCTAGTTCCTGTGTAGTACGTTAGTAGATTATTCGATGGTGCAGCAGATACCCACCAAGTAGGTATCAAAGACCTTGCTGCCGACTACAGTGGGACCAATGTCGAATGCGTTTTCGAGCAGAATGGAAGATATCGGGGTGACATATGCTTTGATCTCCTCCACTCTCGCAAATACGAGGCTGCTGATAATGCGCAGCCCTCGTTCAAGATTTGTCTTGAGTCCCTCGACCTTTTGCCTTATTTCAGCTTCCTTGTCCAGCTGAGCTTTGACCAACGCTTGTTGTTGCTTCGTCAATATTGGGGTGGCTCCAGGTGCCTTCTTGTTGGCTACCGATTTCCTGACTTCAGCCTCCCATTTCGCGATGTCTCTATCCTTGCCTTTTTTCTCGACGACATCGCCATTCTTATTCGTCAAGACTAGAGAAGGAGTCGACGCATGTTCGAAGGAGGCACAGGACGGAAACACGCACCATCCACGTAAGTGGTACCGGGTGAAGTACGCCATATACCCAGGTCCGTTTCCGTGAGTGAATTAATCGCCCTGCCGTCGACGTCCGCACGCAATTGTTCTACCATGCGCGGCAGGACATCCTCCGGGGCCACGAAAGTCAACGTGGCGACTGCACGGTAGCTAGCATCGGCAAATCCGGAGAGAGCGGACTATAGATAGAGCTTAGCGAAAAAATCATTTAGGAAGTGGAGAAACCGCACGTTCGAGGCGCCGAGGACGAGCTTTAGCAGATGGTCCAGGCTGTTGCGTACCAGCTCTCTGGGGTCAATGCGTCCTTTTTGACATAACTCAATCCACACTTGCCGGCCGGGCGCACCTGAGACATGGTTTAGCAATCGAACAATGCGGAAAAGACATGCCACCAACAAGTCATAGGGTGATGTCCAACGATAAGTAGGTTGGCTGCAATCACCTCACGTACGGCAAGGTCGGTGTCCTCCCCAGGTGTAACCGCCGCGAGCACGAACGCTGCGAGCCGACTGCGATCGTTGGCGTTGTGGGTTAGTTCCGTATCGTCGTCAGGACCATTCGTCTTCGCGACAGTCGTCTTCTCCTTCGACAAGAAGGCGGTTAAAGAGTCAACAACAACGAGACCAACTACTTCTGGCAGGGTTTGCGCAAGAGACTCCACGGCTTGCAGAGTTGCCCGACGCACGTCGGCCGCCTTACTCTCGACAGCAAGATGTACGAGTACTTGTCCAAGTTGTGACCTGAAGGACAGCTTATCATGAGTAAAACAATCTGAGAATCGGCTTGACTCGCGAGGTAAATCAATGACGAACCTCAACAGTTCACTCTTGCTCAAAGGACCACGCAAGTAGGACGTGGCAGCGTTAGCAGCGCGCAGCAGCCAGATCTCATCTTCAGAGCCTTCGAGCTTCATGTAGACTTTCTCATTGATCAAGAAGGCCGGCTTAGTGGACGGATTCGCGAGGGACTGTATGACGACGTTCTTGGATATCGCATCGTCTGCATGATATCGACCCAATGAAACAGAGCAAAGATGCATTGATCAGATATATCAAAGACAAATAGAAGAGGGGCGGGGAGCGACTAGCCACCATACCATACATTCCGGATCGCGCATACGGGCCTAGAATCAGGGCGATTGCAACATATCCTTCCATGGGCGCCGCCGAACCTGGCACCGCAGCGGTCTTCAGATTCCCCTCGAGTGCTGGTAGCACGGCTTTCGCGACGTCGCCGTTGACCTGCGGAACTTCCCAGAGAGCTCCGCCGACAAGGGTGCAGAAGGCACGGCGAATCGTAGGTTTTGCGCTGGACATTTCCTTCGCTAGAAGGGAGATAGACCCAGTATCGAGAGAGAGCTCGAAGCGCACGGCATGGTTGAGATGTGAAGATAGGGACGTGGCCAAAGCCGTTGTAGCGGCGTCATGCGATTCCTTCGCGAGTAGCGGAAGGGCGGTATGAAGAATGGACGGCGAAGCGGTGCCAGAGGTTGGGATATACTGTAGCATCGAGAAGAGAGTGATGCGATGATCCGGTCCCGTGGTCTTGCCGGATTTGGGTAAGCTGAGGACTTCATCCGCAGCGGACTGCAGCGTTTTTTCGTCGGGACATTTCGTGGCGAGGACCTTGAACAGGCACAAAGCACCTTTGCGGACGGAGGCGTTGCTAGACTTAGCTGAATTGAGTGCAGGCACCAAAAGGCGACGGAAATGTTCGGTAGACAGTGATTGAGGGTACGCTGCGAAGAAGTCCGTAATGACGCTCAAGGAGTTCTCTGGGGCGCGAAGAAGCGCCTTTTCCGCTGTGGGCAAAACGACCCCGGCGATATCATCTTCGGTGATATATGATTGTATAAAATCGTGGAGGGCCTCTGAGACGTGTGCAGGGACAGGAGTCTTGGACATGATCACGTTCGATACGAATAGGTCCAGAATCCGAGTCTTCAGCTCCGGAGAAACACGCGCGAGTTGTGCTTGCTTGGTGTCCTTTAGCCGTATTGACACGTCGACCGCGATGCCAAGGACTGGGAATGTTATCAAGGGCGATGGCAACGACTTGGATAACGTTACAAGCGTCGACATTGTCAACGGAAGACTCTTGGGTGACGATCGGAAGGCTCTTCTAGTACGGGTGAGAGACGACTGGCGGATGGAAGGCTTCGTAGAACCTGTGGGATCTAGGATGGACTCAATCAAGATCGCCAGGACCCCCAGTAATGCGTTCCAAGGCTGGGAAGAAACAGAAGGAAAATCCGGATTTGTCTGCAGGCAAACAGTATACACCCCGCATGTCCATGATAGGAGAACGAAGCGGTCGGTGGCGGCGTAAGAACTACCGCGTTTTATCACGCGCGAGACTTCGTTCGATAACCAGCCGACTATCTGCTCTGTGACGCCGAACTTCGTTTCGCTTGGATCGGAGGAGACACCGCGCGCTTCGTCACGACGAACAAGTTCCATCCCGACAGCTTCGACGGCGTCGCGCGACTGGGAATCCACATAGCGAGGATATGTTTGAGTCAAGAGCTTGAATACGTCGAGAGTCTGTGATAACGAGAGGTCTGCGCATATCCTCGATGAAGATGGACATCACAAATCTATTTGTGTGGTACGTACCGGGAGTTTTGGCCAACGGGAGGAGATCTTCACGCAGGAACTGCAGTCGAGCTTTTGTCGAGCTTGCTCTCAACGTCACCAGTCCATATTGCATGGCTCGCGGCCAATCGCCGAGCACTCGCTCCCGCGACCAGTGATATGTATCATCTTCCATGTCCTCCTGCACGGAAACGGTTGCTGCCACCCAAGACTGAACTTGAGCTTTTCGAAAGCCCTCTGACGACTGAGCGTCGAGTTTCCGAAGTTTCTGGAACGGTTTGGAGGGCAGGTCGGCACTTCAAGGAAAGTCAGAGTTGAGCGGTACCGGCACGAGTCAATCGACGAAAATCAAAAGAAACTCGAATATTTTGTCAGTGGCCGATCGTTCCCACGGTCAGACTGGGAACAAGACCCACGAGACCCCGCTTCTGTTCAACGAGCTCTCTTGGACTCAGTTTCACCCTCATCCTCGTGAAGTTTGCCCGTTCTCGCTGTTTCCTCGCGCCAGTTCATGCGCTTCTCGAGGATCTTGGCATAGGGAGTTCTGCGGTGGTACGTCGTCAACCAAAGTGAGCCTTCTTGTCTTTAGTTACACGGCGTTACCCGCTTCGGACGCTTTGTTTCCTGCATTTGCTAATTCAAATGTGGGGTACAGGATACATCGGACGGAAATAAATACAGAACTCTCCGTACAGGTTCCGCACCTTGACGGTCCTGGTTCATCAATCATTCACGGTCTCCTACTCATCGTTCGACATCTCACTCTTTTCATCGTTGAACGCGTGGTCAAGGTCTCGCATTACCGCCACGCCCCTCTCAACTCAACCATGGGCACCCCCACTATTGCACTAGCCGTCATCTTCTCACTGCTCGCCATCTGCCTCTTGGCAGGGGGAGTAGCGTTCGTGCTCCGGCGTCGAAACCGTCGGAATGCGGAGAAGGGCTCTCGCATCCGCGACGTGGAGGCCCCGCGAACAAGGCCTTTCAGTTCATGGACTGTCGAACCCCAGCACCCTGCTTCGCGTATCACTCCCTTTGGCACCCGAGACGGTGAGTATCATTATCCGTTCATCGTTCACCGCACATCCACTCCGTAAACCCCCTTCAGCCTCCTTCCTGTATGCTCAAGTTATTCCATTCGCAGCCACGCGCCCAGGGGAGAACATGCGCGTAGCGAAACGCCGTGAAGATGGCGTCTGGGAATTCTACGAGGCGGACGCCGCGACCCTGTCATCGCCCGCGTTGCAAGACCCGACGCTACCTCCGGCACGGCCTTCATTGGCGCTGGATCCATTTGCCTCGCGACTCTCGCTTGCCGCGTCTCATCTCACGCGTTCGACAACTTACCTCACCACATCGGACATGATTCCAAGCCCTACGTCTTCGTCGTACACCTTTGCCGTCAAGAAAGACGAGAAAGAGGACCACTACGGGGGGTACTCCACCGCGCGCATAGAGGACGGTCCTCCGCCCCCAGCGTACACGCGTACCCACGTAGGACCGGATGGCGATGCTTCCGCGGATAGCCGCTCATCCTGATGGATGAACGCACGGCTTGGTATGATTTGTCCATGTCCTTCCATGACTTTTCACGACCTTCGGCATTTCATTCCCGGGACTCGTATTTATCTTATAATACGGTGCTGCGCCATCCTCGCCTTTTCCTTGTTTATCCCTATCATTAAGCAACCACATTCGTTGTACATACACTCGTTTGGTCGGATTTATATTACTTGCTTTGCCGTGCTATGAATGTATCGTCATCTCTTCTGGTTTGCGTTGTATATCTCTTTTGCAATGAATTCTCGACGCGTTCGATTCTTTCTTTCTCTGCGTTTTACAGCCATGAGAGGCGGATCGACAGCATTACTGCGTAATAGAAGTAGTGTCTGCGACAAGATCTCACTTTCGTGGAGCCTGACAAAAATGCGAATCATCTTCTGTGATCTCAGTATACCTCAACAGCGGATCATAATGCAGACGAGTGTGAGCAATCTACTCGCCGCTAAAAGGGATCGTTCGGAGTCAACAAAGGCCGATGGCTTTCACTATCCTCAGCGAGCATACTGGGAGCCGCGGGAATGCATTTCATAGTACCAGTGCAATGGACAAATTTCGTGATCATGCGTACGACCGAGAGGCATATATTCCCATTGGCACGGCGCTAGAGCAAGCGAATAGCCGCAGTCGCATGATTGACCAGCCGCCATCGCCTCACCCGAGGTCCATCGCCTTCTCCCCGTCCGTTGGCCGCGGCCACTCCTTTTGATCCGGGAAACACAACTCGGTCTCCTCAGACACAGCTTCGTCGTCGTCCTCGTTCCAGTCGCTGGTCGTCTCCCACTCGTTTTCGAATTCGATATCGAGCGTGAGTTCTTCGTTCGGTCGCCAGCCTTCGTCGTGCTCATCCAGAGGGAGGAAAGAGGCCAAAGGAGGGGGCAACATCGCGGCGTGTGGATGATGCGAGATAGGCTGGACCCAGCGGCGCTCACGTAGGCGTTTGTGGCGTTCTCGGTCCTCTTCGATCCGTTTAACAATTTCCGGCCGTGATAATGAGGGGACCGGTGCAGCGGCGGGCGTCTGCGCAACCTTGCGTGCTTCTAGAGACGCGACGATCTCCTCTACCTTTTGAGGGTCGATAATACGTTTGGTCCGCCAGTTCTCCAATATCTGAGCGTTTCACATAAATTTGCGACCGAATGACTGCCTGTACGCGCAACTGGGTTTACCTGTATGGTGCTCATAAGGTTGGGTAAGCCATGGCGACCCTCTGGCACGACGGATTCCACTATCTTCTGCAAGTCGCGCGCGACGAACGGGACGTAGAACGAGCTGTTGCCGCCTTCTTGTGTCGCCTGGAATGCGCTCGTGGCAGGGTGCGATTTGGCTAGCAAACTGGACTCGCATAGCGAGTCGAGAAAGTAGAGGATGTTGATACGATCGTTCACTGTACCCTGGTCGAGCCGCACAACGGTCAACATCCGTGCGGGTCTGCACTGAGAGCGCTATGAACGCACCTTGCCGCACTCCTCGACGACGCAATCCCATATGTCTTCGCCACAGCGGGGGAAGTACTTGAGCGCGAAGCTAACGACCTTTTGAATGCTTTGCTGCGAACTGTCGGCGGAGTGGCATTCCGTTTAGTGCTCGTTCAGTCCAGTCAAACTAGCGCTTGTAAGAAACTGGACTGACGCATTTAGCCGGCGCAGGAGCGTAAGGAACTGCATCCTTACTTCGAAGGGATCCATGTTCGCGTTGCAGGCGTCGGGGCTACCTCAACATGCACGGGCCGACGCGTCGATGAGCGGTGAAGACGATCGCCCACAGGAGTGCCTTTCACGGACTCAATGCGGTAGCTGAGCGCACGGATGGCCGAAGTGGCACTGATTAAGAGTAGAAAGTCGATCGTTGAGTCTGCAGTATTAGAGGTCCGGCGCTAACCATACGACATAATATCTATATGCGGCGTCCAGGAGTGTTTCTTCGCTCATGAGCTGTGGATTCGATGAGCTTTGACAGGCCGCTCGGACAGCAGGTTGTAACTCTCATACGGGTCGTACTAGCCAAAGTGGATTGCGTCAAGAAGGTGAACAGTGAGGCGCAAAATATACACGAATACAACAAAAAAAAAAAAACACTGGACTGATAGTAAGGAGAGCATCTATCGGTATAAAGAGAGCGTAGCACACGAAAGATCGACACGGAACAATATATGTCCAGCAAGAGGTACTAAGAGTGTAGCAATAATAGTCTGTTAGCGAGCGAGAGAGAGCAAGATATAAAAAATCCAACAGGTGTGTATATCGATATCGTGCTATGAGCAAAGAGAGAGAGGGGCCACCACGGTCCGTCTCGGGCAAAAACTATAGGTCTGACCGCGTGTATGCGCGAAGGGAAGATCCATCCGCCGTCTACATCCATGCTGGAGACGAGGCGACTCAGCGCGCGGTCGCGGTGGTCGCGCTCGTGATCGGCACGCTCGCGATGGCGGCGGATCCCATGCTCGCCTGTCCGCTGCCAGTACAGCTCGCCGTGCTCGCCGTCCCGATCGTCCACGGGTCAGGGTAAACACAGTCCGCGACGGTCGTCACGCCTCCGGCTGTATCCGTCGGTTGCGCCCAGCCGTCATCGCTCACCGACACCGTCTTGCCCTTCCCGTTCGTGTACGTCGGCATGGGGAGCGTGTTCGCGGGCGCGGTCTGGGTGTACGTCGGCACGTCCGACATCGCGATCGCCGATACGCCCGAGATCGTCGGCGGCGGCCACTGACCGAACGTCTGCACCGACGTCGCCTCGATCGTGCCTGCGGACGCGCCGCCCGTCTGCCAGGACTGGTACGAGTTGTTGAACGGCGTGATGAGGACGCCGTGGTCGGCGCATTTTCCGGCGGACGTGCGCGGGTCGGTCGGCATCCAGCCGTTCTCGAGACCGAGCTTGTACGACCACATCGGGGTCTCGACGGTGCCCGCGGTAGAGTTGCCGATCTGAAACGACGGTCAGCACCGCTAAAACGACGTAAAAAGGACACACTCGTACCTTCCAGGTCCAGAAGAACCAGTTCTGGAGCGCATCCATGGACGCGCTCACAAAGTTGTTCAAGCCGTCCTTCTGCTCCTGCGAGTAGTTCTGCCACTCCGTCCACTGGCTACAGTCGCCAGGGTACGCCGTGCTCTGATCTCCGACGCCGTGCAAGAACAGACCGCAGTCGTTCCAGCCCGCGCTGAACTCGCCGGCGATGGTGACACCAAAGTCCTGCTGGCTCTGAACGATACCTCCGCCCCAGGACTGGCACGCCTTGGCAGGCCAGACGCCGCCGGCGCCGGCGCCCGTACCGTTGATGAACGGGTCGGTCATCGCGCCGCCAAAGGCGAAGTACGGGTGGGTGTCCATCGCGATACGGTCCGAGCCGCGGAGGAAGTTGACCCAGGGGGTGTTGCCCTGGAAGCCGTCGTGAATAGAGAGGAAGGGGCCCTTGCCGATCCCGGTGATGGACCGGATGGTGTCGTGCGCCTGGAGATAGCTGAGAAAGTGAGGTCAGCGCCCGTATACGGAAATGAGTCGGCGATGGCGCTTACAATCGTGTCAAGGCGTCGAGGCCGATGTCACCCAGTAGGGGCTCGTTGACCATGCCGAACATCGGAATCAGGTTCTCGTACTCCGGCTGGCTGATAAACTCGGCGATGGTACGAATGTACTGCAAACTCCTTTGAGCGTTGGCGACACCCATCGCGCCCAGGAGCCAGTTGATAGAGCCAAGGCGACCGGAGTGGTTGTAGCCTACACAAGCCATCAGACGGCGGATCGAGACAGATTAGCCAAATACACGTACCGTTCTGAGAACCGGGAATGGTGTGCAGATCAAGGTTGATGCGGATCCCGTACTTCCTGCACCAGTCGAAGAGACGGAGGATGTACTTCCACGCCGTCTTGGCCAAGAAGGGCTCGTCGTTCCACACGTCGATCGCCCAGAAGGGGATCGGCACGCGAACCCAGTTCAGACCCGCGCCCGCGATCTGGGCAATGTCTTCTTCCGTCTGTATGAACGCGAGATGGTGAGTCCGAGATTGTATCGCGGGACCTCTGGGAAGACGGTACATATGAAAAGAAGGACATACGATGAAGGTGGCGTAGTGCTGCTCGATCTGCGAAAGGCCGCCATTGGCGGTATCGTTGGCCATCATGACCGAAAGCGTCCATTCGTCGACCGAACCGTTATAGATCTGGTAGAACGAGGGTGTAATGAACGGTTCCAGGACGAACCATCCGCCAAGGTTAACACTATCGCGCTTCTTATCAGTACGTCGACTCCAGCGGCGTTCTTCCTTCCTACTTACCCGTAGATCTTGTCGTTGACCCAGTCCCAGCTCTGGTTGAGTGGCTTGGTCCACGAGTTGCATTGTGCGTTATTCGCGAACGGATCGTTCGGATCCTGGTACCAGAACCCGCCAAACTGGTTCTTGTACGTGAACGAGCCGTTGGCGGTGATGACCGTGCTGCCGTCTCCGCCGGTGATGTCGCCCGTCGGGCTCTGCGGGTTCGACGACGATCCCTTGCCTCCGCTGCTGCTGCCGCCGCTGCTGGATGACGACTTCTTGCCGACGATGAGGACGACGGGGACGACGACAGCCACGATAACGACCACGGCGACGACGCCGGTAATGATCCAGCAGATGGGCCGGCGCAGGAGCCCCTTCCGTTGGGGCCGACTGTCGAGCGCCTTTTCGTTGACGAACAGCGGCTCGGCCGCGCCGAGGTGCGTCGAATCGCGGGGAGACAACGCCCCGCGCTCGGCGTTGGGCGTCAAGAACGGGTTGCTCTCGCCGGCGACGGGCGAGGAGGGGTAGTACGCCGATCCGCGGTTGGAGTCCGCACCGCTGGGCACGGGCGATTCGGTGCCCCTGGTGCCGAAGGGTGCGGCGGGGGGTGCGAGAGCCTCGTCGAGACCTCCTTCGTACGAGTTGTGGCCCGACGGGACGGGGCGGATCGACGGGGCGCCTGCACCTGCGGGCAGCGCGCTGTAGGTGGAGGCGGTGGCGGGCGTGGCCGCGCGCGGGCTGAACGGATCGTCGCTCGCGGGGAGAGGCGTGTTCTGCGCCGTGTGCAAGTGCTCGTGCTCGCCAGGAGGGCCCGACATGGCGGGGGTGGACGGTGTGTCGGTGTCGGTGACGGGAGAAGGGCTGGCGCTGTCTGTCTGCGAGACAGAGCAGTCGACGAGGAGGAGGGAGGAGGACGGTTGGAAAGAACCCGTGGACGATACGCACGGGAGGGCGTCTCGAGACCCACAGCTGGCTGTGATTAGGGTCGCCGGCTGATTCTCACCGCCATATCAGAACCCCGCGAGCCCGCATGTTCTTCGCGTTCGCGTTTTGCCCCCGAATCTGCGTTTGATTCGGCACATTCTGCCCGTGAAAATAAACCCGGGGTATGCCTGCCGCTCTGCGTTGGCCTCTGTCGATGTGTCTGCGTGTCTTGGATCGCAGCTAGCTCGAGTTGGCACAATAAGTAATAGAGTTCGTGTCGAATACCGCTGGGGCCTTATCGCGGCCCTGTTGGCAGGCTCCTGAACCAGCCGGGCTATCGCGTCGAGTGAATCCGAGCAGCTTGGGCGATGCTGGATCCCAGAAATAAGGGGCACATCCTGATTTGGATAATGATCATGTGAAGGTCATGTGAGGATTTCCGTTTTAGGCCTAAGTTGTGTTGCTCGACGCGATAGACCGGCTGGCACAAGATGTAATTTCAAATTGCGGCATTGCTCGGCGATCACGCATAAAACCTACCACAGGGTCAGGAGAGCTAGTTTTCGTTGATCAGATCCCACGCAATATTTGGAGGTGTACTGTGTGCCGAGAAGACCGAACCGGAGGGACAACATCCAGAAGAAGGTAAGCTATCCTCCTGCATATTGATTGCACCATCTGTGCATTGACTCCGACGTCTGCTTCACGCGCATTTTGGCCACGGCGTGCGCAAATCTGTGCACGAGAAGGGCTGGAAAACGTTCCGTGTCGAGGAGACGGAGGTCCTCCTCCAGATAACATGCAGAGCCTCAGCAGCGGAATCGTTGAGACACCCACATCATGCGAGGTGCTCAAGGCGCCCGCAGCGTGCGAGGTGCTCAAGGCGCACAAGGGCAGCCCCGTGGTTCACATCGTGCGCAATATCGACGAAGTGCGCTTTACCTTGAGCCCGTGACGGCCAAAGTAACGCTGACTTTCGAAGCTCCATTGATCGTTAGTGCGGACCAGGTTGCCGATGCTCTCGATGTAGCGTTGGACACTCAGCTGCATGCACGCGGGGTCATTCTTCGAGTCTTCCCAGAGCTTCACGAACTCCGCCGCGAGCTGCTCGTGACGCCGGCCAGTAAAGGCCATGGCTCGGGCAATGTTCATGCCCACACTATGCATCACGACGGTCATGAAGTTGTGATCGGCATCATCCTGAGACTTCTCCCGGTTGAAGGAGTACATGTCCTGTAGATCATGGGTAAGAATCCGAACTAAGCGTGAGCTCAAGACATACGTTAGACAGTGATCACATCGATTGCTATGCGAGTCATCTCCTCGATGAGCGGAGGGTCGAAGATTTCCTCAGGTACGTCCTTCTCAAGGAGCATGAGAGCGAGCAAGGGTCTGCAACCGATGTTCTTGCGCCGGACCTCCATGTATCCCTCGATGTCGCGAATGTGCCGACAGTCTCTGTCGCGGGCTTGATCGACGACGGATTCGAGGTAGTCGCCAAAGCTTTTCAGGAAACGGCGCTGCATCACATCGCTCGCATCGACGTTTGCACGTTCCCAAAATCTGGTATAGTAAAGTCAGTGAGAGCATCGTATACCCGGAGCAAATGACCTACTGCCGAGTGATTTCTCCGCCAACCCATTCGCCTGCGGGGCAAGGCTTGTGTGGGTTGCGCAGGGCATCCAGAACAATGTCTACTTGCCTGTGGATCACATCCGCAGATTGCAAGTCGGAGACCTCGTCCACAACGAAGAATAAGTTGATCAATTCGCAACCGACTCTGAGGTGAGCTACACGGGAAATGAGTCGCAGCACGGACGGGTGGACTCGGGGACAACACACATAGAGACATCTTAGGATAGGCGAGAGCCGCGAACAGGCCTATGCAACATTGTCAGCTTTTCAACAAGGTGTTACGAAGCAGTACTAACCGAAGTCGCAACGGTTGAAGGCATCCTGAGCCCTCGGCTCGAAGGCATGGAAGCTCTCGATCCAGGACTGCGACACATACTTCGCCTCCTGATAGTGGGGGTTAATTCTATGAGGGAAGGGCCAGTGTACAAGGGTGCGAGGAATGCGGATGATTTTCTTCTGAGGGCGTCCCATATTGGCTGGGTGTGGGTGACCGACTCACCGACTTCGAACCAGCTTTATAGAGTCCCAAGGAGGTCGACCGGTTCTTCAACCACATCGCGGGCGAGCCGCCGAACCTGGTGCCACCTGCTGGACGCGCTCACGGAGGGCGTGAACACTGTCGAGCTCTGAGTGGACCTACTCCAACGACATCGGCTTCGCGCAGCCGGGCTATATCCCACTAGTAACGTACATTGCAGACCAGAGCTCACCGCGCTCCGCAGGGCTACGTCACTGCCGGTCGAGTTCACAGTGCGACTGTGTCCCAGGGTGAGCATCCCCAGCCGATGCTGCTCGTACACGCCGGACAGAAGCTGTGCGCGTTCCAAGGGCCTGAGCGAGGATCCTACCCGATTTGGATGTGCATTACATTTCGCGGGCCAACTAGCGTCAAGCACGACTGACCCTAAGCTGGGTCTTAGGCTCACGGCAAACCGGCAAAGAAATTTGAAATTACATCTTGTGCCAGCCGGTCCATCGCGTCGAGCAACCAAAACTTAGGCCTAAAATGGAAGTCCTCACATGACTCTCACATGACCTTCACATGACTCTACCCCTAATATAGCAAGTCCCCCTTTCTAGGATGCAGCCTTGCCCGGCGCTCTCGACGCGATGGCTCGGCTGGTTCAGGAGCCTGCCCTGTTGGGACCTTTTGCGTCAGCGCAGAACGGTGCCTTTGAATTCCCAGCGCCCCGGCAACATCCACTGTCATCCAGAATGGCATGCTGTGCTTCTGTCCGGTGCCGGCCTGTCGTGCCGAGCCTTCCCTCCCGCCCCGAGCTCAATTGACACTCCTTCGGTCGACGCGCACGGGCACACGACTGTGTGCTGCTTTCCCGCTCGAACCTCTCGAGTATGGCCGCTACTCAACGAGGCCAACTCAAGTTTCAACCGCAGCTCGCGCCACGGTCAGCAGACGATCGAGCATCCATTCACATGAGTTCCCGCTCTTGATTTTCCGCAGTTCCCCCTAAAGTTGGATCTCGGCACCCGGCTTGGGATGTCTCGAACCTTTCTTGTTTTCTGTCCAACCATATATATGCGATGTCCCACCCGTTTTGTACGCTCGCTATGCCCGTACGTATCAGTTGATGATCCAGACCAGCCGCTGAGTCTCGAAGCACCCCAGAAAACTCAATCATCGCCACTTGGGCATCGCGTCTCCTGATGTTCGTCTTGTCGACGAGCGGCTCGGATTTACGACGACGCTACGGTCATCCCAAGCCGGGTTAGGCGTTGCCACGTTACGCCATCGTCCGACGTCATCGCTACTTTCGACTCTTTCAGTTCTCTCGGAGGAGCTCTGGTATAGATTCTGACGTCGGTCGTACATGTAAGTACTACGTACCAAATACGCAAGTACGTTGACGTCGCCACCTTTGCTATCTACATATCGGACGTTGGCAATCATGTTACGCAACCTATGACTGCAACGGCGCCGTTCAGACGGCCCTCCCTCTTCACATCCATCCTAGCACGCCCATCGGCGCCGTGCTAGTACCCAATCGGCCTCACGACGCTATGGCGGCATCGGTTCTCGGAGAGTAACTTCACTGGCTTGTTCTATTCGATTCGAAGTCGATGGCGCGCGCCCCGTCTTTTGCACTCCTGATCAAGGTTATGGGTCTTCCTTGCTCTCGCTGGTCTGCTACCGATCGTCGGCGACGATCGTTGCCTCGCGAACGGGACCAGATTGCCTGTGCCTCCAGGTCTGCGCACCGGCCGCCGCTTGCGCCTGAACGAGCAGCGAAGTTATATATTCAGAACCGTTGTGGAACGTACGGCACTTGATGCAACTTTGTGGTGCTCTGTGAGAGGGAGCGCGTAGTTTGCAGCAACCAAGGGTGTTCAAATTTAATTAGATAGTAAGATATGTCAATTTATCTATTTTGTAGAGCTTCGAAGAATCTATGACTTGGGAGAAAGGTGGAGGAGGATGGACACCCAACAACAAGTAGATGCGTGGCAGTGTAACCGTGGGATTGGTTACGCATACCTTCCCCAACCCCCTCCAAGACCCCTCTTGGATGCCTTCTTCTTCATAGTGCTACTGACCGGTGGAGGCGCAATCGCTGCTTCTTCCCCCCAAAAGGGTTCAGGATCCGGGACAGGCGTGGGCGTAGTAGCCCTCGGAGACACTGGGAGAGCGACGCTCTCGTTCGCTGGTGACTCGACACCCTCCGGCGTGAATGTCATCGCCCTGGAAACTGGGCGTTCACCTGGAGGTGCATCGCCTGAGTCGCTGGGTGTGCTCAGGCCAAACACGGTCCTGATGATCCGGTCGACCTCAGGACGCAGGATACATCTGACGGGGCCTCGAGCTTTCTCCCGTGCGGTCATGATCTGAGCGTAGGTCTGCAAGCCGAGTCGCTCCGCCTCGTCCAGCGTGGGCGGTTCCGAGCTGACGCAGATATCTGCGTACGCCGCTTCCAGCCAGGCATCGACGCCGTAGGCCTTCGCGCAGATGATCTTATCTACCGCGCTCGCGACGCCGTCGAGCTGCTGCATTGCCAGGGCCTTGATGGACTCGAAGTCGAAGTAGTTCGCCACATGGAGCACTGAGATCCACTCCTCGGCAGAACGGAGGGGATAGATCCCGAATACACTAACGTTCGTTTAAGTCACTACCACACTTTGATACAAAGATCGACTTACATCGGGTACAAGATCTCTAAGAATCGTCTCAGATCCTCAGCTGTAATGAAGTCTGGAAGCTTGACTGGAGACACCGAGCCCGCTGCGTCCTTTGGGCGCTCATTCATCAGTGTCCGGAACACGTCTGAGCCCCGATGAAACGAGTAGCTGGGGACTCTGAACAGCGTTGACCCAGCCTACGTTATAACGTTAGACTCAATAACAAGACAGAGATAACGAGTCCTGTCGTACCTGTATCTCGACATTGTCTTCCTTGATATACCACTGGCTATCGTGACTCAAAGGAGCGACGTTGGAAACGGAGATGGAATCAGCCTCGGACAAGTTCGTTGAGATGGATGCCATCGGAATTATAGACGATTCGGAGAAAGTTGGGCTGATGCTCCTCTCAGATGCGATGAGCATGGGATTGCAGAAAGGAGGAAAGAGCGTTATCTTGAGGCTGCGAAGAGCCGGCCACCTATTTATACGGGATTCCTTACACGTGTATGAGCTGTAGAATCGCAGATGGAGTCGTGAACGGACAGAGAAAGCAGTCCTCGAGCTTAAGCTCTATAACGGATTCCCAGGCCCGGGCAGCTTATATGCGGTGAAGCATGCAATATCCCATACTCGTAGATCACTGCGCTCGAGACCATTCAGTTCTGTGCTTGCATTGTATTGTGCTGGACAAGAGATGACGGGAGCTCGGGAGTTAGGGCGACTGACCGCGAAATGATACATTCCCAACAGATCCCTATGACATCAAATTGCCTACTGCCCACAGTGGCGACACTTCACATTCCACTCCGAACCTCACTGGATTGCTTGTAATACAGGAGCGCCTGTGAAGGGGTCGGACACAGGAGCACATGCAAGGGGATCGAGCGAAGGCGAAGGCACAGGTGCATCGGCGACAGGTTCGGGCTCGGGCACTGGCTCAGACCTTCCTTTTAGTTTTCTCCTACCCTTCTTGGCCTGACGTAGCATGACACTCAGGCGCTGTCTATACAAGATGGATAAGACAGACTGACGGGCTGTGTTATCACGTCCATATCGTTGCTGGGCGACGCCGCTGGGGTGGTATCGTCCGGCGCGAACATACGATCGATTATGGCAACCGCTTCATGGTGCGGAAGTAACCTGGCATCGGAGCGAATCCTCTCGCGAGCAGCGGCAATCTTCGTGAAGAAAGGCAGGCCAGCGAGCATCGCTTCTTCCACGGTGAGCGAATCTTGACGGTAACAGAGGTCCAGGCACGCGTCTTTGAGCCATTCCGGGAGATTGAATTCGCGCGAGCAGACGATCTTGTCGATTGGACGGATGTTGATGACCAGCTGGTCCTTTGCCAGCGCCTTCACAGAATCAAACCGAAAATAGTGCGCAACACGGAGAACCGAGATCCACTCGGACGGCGATGAGAGAGTGTACTGTCCGAAAACGCTGCAAAGTGCACATTTGTAAGTCAGAAACCCACCGTCATAGAGGATTATAGAGGTTCGATGACGCTTACAGAGGGTAGAGAATGTCGAGGAAACGCTCGAAGTCCACGGGCTTGACGAGATCAGGTAGCTTGATTGGACGTGCGGTATCGTCGACGCCAGCTGCGTCAGCGACGAGTCTTCTGAACACAGCAGAGCCTCTAAGACCAACGAGGTGGTTTGAAGAGCTCGCCGCCCACCTGTTATCCTATGTCAACTCATGCTCACCCCGAAGCTGGAGCTCTATCAACTTACAAGGAACTCGACATTATCGTCGCGAATATACCACCGGTCGTTACAACGAGCCTTAGGAGATCCCAAACTTTCCGCCTTGATGTATTCGTCAGAGGCCATAGATCCAGCGTCGAGCACTGAGGAAGTCATCGAAGGACAGGAGACTTCAGAGATAGTCGGGCTTGGGCTTCGCTCCGGCCTCATGAAGATAGTCGCAGAGCACGGGACGAGTCAGTGCGAATCCCAGGTAAGATATACCAACACGTGTAAGCAGGTGCGAAATGGAAGGGTCGACCATTACGGATGCTGTCGCTCTCTAGCCAATGACACGAGGCACGGATACTGCAAATATGAAGGTAACTTTCGTAGATGAGGCTGACAGTGAATGTTGGCAACGATAGGCGGACAATAGAGTGTATCTGCAGCACGGCGAAGTGGGGTGGAACTTTTACCATGCACTGCATTTTTTGGCGGGGCTCCCCGCGGTAACTTACCTCGTCAAGCTCGGCATCCCGAAGCATACATAGTATGGTAAGTACCCCATCATCGCGCCATCAAGCCAATTATCCCGTTCTAAGATTTATTGCAATGTAAAGCCATCCATCCCAGGGCCGATGCTTCCGGAGTCGAACTTACGATGCTGCAACTCATCTGCGTCTACAAGAATGCTACTCAGGACTTGATCGTTGCTTTGTACAAGGGAAGCCCAACGAGAATGATGTAAAAGTGGCGCCTTTTCGCCCATTCCCGACTTTCATCGTATTCTATTGACCCCGGGATCCGTCTTCGCCTGTGACACAGGCTGGCTCGATGGGTGTAACATTCTCTCTGGCTTGCAGACGAGACGGAATGCTTCGACGACGGCGGAAACAATTTCCTTGAGGCAAGCAACGACCTTTGCGTCGCGTATGCGTTGTCGTACCATGGAGATGCTGATGGCGTCTTCTATTTCCAGCCGTTCCCCCTCCTGCAGCGTCAGTGATTCCTCCTACTGACATACGGCTATGTAGGCTTCTTTCAGCCAATCTTCGATGCCGTAACGACGTCCTGAAACGATCTTGTCCACCGGGGGCGCAAGGGGAAAGCACTTACTAATGGCGAGGGTACGAATGGTCGCAGCTCCCCACGTTGAGGAGAAGTGGAGTATGACAGTCCATTCGGCTAATGTTTCAGCGACATGCTTGCTGAAGTCACTACAAGGCTACCGGCATAAGTTACTCTAGGTCATCGAGAAGAGCAAAACACCATCACCAGGGATAGATGATATCGAGAAAAAGCTCAAAATCGTTACACTTGACATCCGAGAGATACACGATTGTGACTGTATCTAAAGAGCCTCTGCCATGGTATATGATCCTTCTGAAGAACTCGGAATCCCTCGGTAAGATGTACTGGTGGACCTGGTAAACCGTGTTTTCCACCTTCAATGGGACCCAGTACGGATGACGATATGTTCTATCAGACGACCTGACAGCTTGCGACTTGCAGATTCCCTCCCGTGATGAAGAACTTGGACCTCTGCCCCGCAGATAGCGACACGTTGTGTCCTATCAGGCCGTCATCTTGCGTATGTGTATAAGTGACAGAAGGCTTCCACGATCCTCGCTCGTCCACGGGTTCGGATCCCTCTCTTGTACCGGGATCATCGTCCGGGGAGACGTGAACATCATTCCACCCATTCACAGTAAAGATACTACGAAGTGGATTGTGCATCCGCATCTCCCCGGACAGTGATCCAGAGGATTCCTTACATGATCTTTGCATGCATTTCGGCATAGTGTTCGTCAACAAAATCGGGGGTGCATGGAAGGGCTGTGGTGGGTCGAATGAAAACCCTGCAGCGACCGCAGCCGTGATTATGCCTTTGGTCTTCACTTCATGGCGCTGTTGAGAAGAAATCCGGCATATGCATCCCCCACATCACATTTCATCTCATTGTAGCCTTGACTGCGCCCATTGTGCCGTTCGAATCACGCTTAGCTCTGCCACGTTGAGCCTCGTTCGCCACAGAACAAAGGCATATGTTTTGCCCGAGCACGGGATAGGTAATGCCTTCGCCTTGATGACCATATCCCGCTTGGATTAACTCTCTAATACTGACGATAACCTCACCCTCAAGCCACGTGTTTGTCGAATAAGGCACAGACAGCCCACCCTGCGAGTGCAGTCCCAAACTAAGCAGTGCCTTTCTGTGATAATCATCGTCCGCCTCGATACATTGCAATCGCTGAAGAGCTAGCTATTCCGGGTCGTCCGAATCTGATGTGTCCAAGTGAGCTCTCGCCTCAAATTCAGCGAGCCAACCCTGCATCCATCCGCCAGGACGACCTGTAGTTGAAGATCGGATGTCTCCCAGCGGTTGGGGCGACGACCTGTAGTTGATGCATCAGCATTGAACAATTCCCAGGAGTTCGGAGGACGACCTGTAGTTGAAGCTTGAACTACCACCAGGAGTTCGGCGTCTTTCAACGCCTCCCTCGTCTGCCACCCCGCCTCCAGTTACATGTCTCCCCACCTCCTCCCTGTGCTTAGCGATAGCTGCTGCTTTGGCTTTCTGCACCCATTGCTTCCGCTGCTTATTTGATAGACCGGCAGGAGGATCGGACAGATGTGATTCTAGCTCTGCATGATGCTTCACCTGCGCCGCCGTTCCCTGGGATTGGCTGTTCGTCACCTCTTGCTTGCTCACGTCGTCATTCCATTCCTCTTTCTCGGACACGGGAGCCTTTTCTAGTTGGCGTGTCGCTTGAGGAAAAAGGGGAGGGCGAACGACACTGGATATCGTTATGATATGGTTGGATTGAGACACGAATGAACAGAGGGAACACTTGCTTCGTAGCATCAGGGCTGCACGGCTTGCTCGTGGCGCTTGCTGAAGGAGGGATGCTTTGAGACTGGTCACGGATCGCCGTGGTAGTATTTCCATCCACCCCAAGACCAAATGTCTCCTTAACGATGGGCGTAGCGAGAGTCTGATCGATTGGAGCGGCGGGGGTGCGCAGGGCTTCCCGCGCGGCTGCGATCTTGAGGCACGTTGAGAGACCGAGGAGTCTGCCTTCCTTCGGGCACAGGGGAGCGGAACGGAGGCAGAGGTCCGTGTACGCACCCTGCAACCACTGGGGGATATCAAATTCCCGCGCACAGACTATCTTTTCGACGGGTGACGCGAGAGAGTACAGTTGTTTCATGGCGAGGGCTCTGATAGAGTCGAATCGCAGATAATGCGCGACACGCAGTGCCGACGTCCATTCCTTCGATGTATGCAACGCGTACGTCCCGAAAACACTTACATATATATGCAACGTCAATGCGAAGGTCAGTGATTCATGCAGTGCCACAGCTCACATTGGGTAGAGGAGATCCAGGAATCGTTCGAAATCCTCGTCTGTGATGGAAACCGGCAGAACGATAGGCGCACGAGTGCCATCCGGGTTCAGTTTTTGTGCAGCTGAAAGTTCCCTGAAACGCTCCGAGCCTCTCTGAAGAGAATATCGTGGTACTCTGAACATGTAGCCGCCTGCCTGTGATTACATGTGAGGATACGATAAGGTCGTAACATGAGCGACCATATCACATACCACGATCTCGACATTTTCATCGTGTATGTACCACCTCGGGTGCGAGATAGGGCGCGGTACTTCCTTGGATTGTACTGCTGCGGATCCGAACCCAGGAGAGAGGGCTGCTCCGATAGCGTCCATGGTCTCAGATGAAGCGGTGATGATAGAGATGTCAGAGAGAGTCGGACTCATTCTACCCTTCGAAGAAGAGGAACTCATTGGCTGAGCGTTGTGTATGGTACGAAGTGCCAACCGCCAAGGTTGGTCTTGGGGCTTGCGTTTAGTACTACACGTGCTCGCCGCATGCCCGAACAGCATTTACGGCATGTACGAATGACCGGAGCAGGAAATCCAAACGGTTATGTATTCGATGTGCCGGTGGCAAGTCATCCGTGTCGTAGGCGTCATTGGATCGTCCTTGAAGTGGTTCCGCTGGCACGACATAGCTCGTCTTCCGGGAGGTTGGACAAACGCACATGGTAGAGGTTACGGTGGTTCACGCGTACACTGCAGGGATCAAGGAGGCGGCGGCCAAGTTCACACGGTACTGCTTCACGTCGACGTCGAACGCCTTCACAATGAGGAGCCGTCTGAGACAGGCTCGCAAGATCTCCGGCCGTTGTGTCGTCATGAGCATGAGGGGAGACGTCTGCTCTGACCCTTCACTCAACAGGAGAATGCGCTGGACCCCGTTCGGACCCGCTTTTCTGGAGAATACCATCCACACTAATCCCAAACCACAGCCTATCTATCCATCTTTGGCTCGTCCTGAGCCAAGATGTACATGACGCAGCAGCGCAGAGCGCTCGCGAACGACTTGCAAGCCGCCGCGCTTGAGTACATCGGCACCACCACATTCCTACTTCTTTTCTTTGGCGCCATCCAGGCTGTCGCCGTTCAGGACGACTACGTGACGAGCAGCCCGATTGTCGAGACTCAGCTCTACATCGCAACCAGCGGCGGTATTTCGCTCCTCATTTCAGCGTGGCTCTTCTTCCGCGTCACCGGCGCGATCTTCAACCCGAACGTCGCGCTCGCGCTCGTATTATGCAAAATAATCACCCCGGTGCGATTCGTGCTGTTTTGCATTGCGCAGCTTCTCGGCGGGATCACCGCGGCGGCTTTGGTGCTTGCGTTGACTTCCGGTGTGACATCGTCAAAGTACGCAACACTCTGATTGACTGTTCATCATGGGGCTCACGAATATCATTCTCATCAGCACGACATTGGGGCCAAAGATCAACTCCGCGCAAGGTGTCTTCATCGAGATGTTCATCACGGCGGCTTTATGCCTAGCCGTACTCATGCTCGCCGCAGAGAAGCACGTCGCAACCCCATTCGCACCGGTCGGCATTGGTCTCACTCTCTTCGCTGGCTTGTTGTAGGTGGCCACGCCATCACCTCGGAGTATCAGGTCGCTGACGGTCATTGCGTGAACAGGTTCGCCATCCCGTACACCGGTGGTTCTATGAACACAGCGCGTTCCTTCGGACCCGCCGTTGTCTCCGGCTTCCCACACAGTACACATTGGATCGTAGGTTTCCCTTCCACCGCATGGCTGCCCCCGCCCTGATTGCTTTCTTCAGTACTGGGTAGGCCCGGCACTCGGCTCCTTCCTCGCAGTCGCCATCTATTGGGGGCTCAAGTAGTGAGTGTACTTGACCGAAGTATCGTCAGATGGTTGACACCGAGATGTGTACAGCTGCGAGTACTGGACGCTTGCGCCTCGTCAGGACTCGACCGATCACAAGGACTCGCCAGATTCGCCCATACCAGCTATCATTACCGAGACAGCTCGGCCGAACGACAGCGATGTTTGACGGCCGCGCATGAGATGATGGCAGTTCGTGATCGATGCCACATGCCCCCGCGCGATCTGGAAGGATATTTTGGTGCCGTGTAGTCCGATTTGCAAGGCATGTTCTAGTCGATCGATCACCATGGGCTGAGCTCATGCTTATTTCTTTCCAGTTGCCTCAATACGAGAAAAACCTGACGGATCGGATATCATTTCATTCTCATATGTGGAGAAGTTCGAGGCGGAATTGCGTAGTCGAGCAACGTGGCCTACGCATCCCTCGCGGAGATCGTACACGTCTACTATCCATGGACGGACGCAAGGACTCCCGGTGCGGTGAACCAATTGAGAATGCTCTTGTCTACTAGTAGAATCGTCCGGAGCGCGAGGTTCAAATCCTACGTGACCAGCTCGAGGGCGTCGCAATGAGGCAACGTCCGAACACTCCTCATGTACGGCCAATGAATTAGTCTGCTCCCGATCACAATCTCTGGTACAGATTCCAATATTCAGCGTACACGAGGTCATATTCAGGCAGAGAAGAGTGTGGGCATGTACCATCACCAAAAGCTCACGACGACGCGAACAAAGCCACGTGCATTCTCGAAGACATCATGCGTCTCCGGGACAAACCAATGCTTTGCCAATAACTTCATCGTACTGCGTTGAATGCTGGAGCAAGAGGGTTGAGCCCCGAGGTTTTGCGTGTGCTAGACGATGTTGCCGTACGGTTTCCATTCTTCCCACTCGTCTTGTCAGCTTTCTTCGCGGCATTTTGCACCGCGGTCACCCATTCCTTGCGCTGTCGCTTGGTCAGACCCTGTGGAGGTAAGCAGGTGGGTATCCCCGAAGGGCCTCCTAGTGACTTGCTGGTGACAGGGATCGCAATCGCCCCGGTAACACTTCATATAGATAATGCCGAACGTCAGTCAAGGTCTACAAAACCAGTAAACGGAACTTACTTGTCGTCGCAAGCGTCTGGAGCCTGATCTGAGATGCATGCAGAATGGTCGACGGGTACCGCAGGATCAACGTGATCTATCGTCAGACCAAACGCTCGTCTGATGATTGATTGAGCAGATGTGACATCTGTCAATGCAGAGGTCCCTCTGATAGCTTCTCGCGCAGCGGCGATCTTCAGGCAGGTGGAAAGGCCGATCAATACCCCTTCCTCCTCGCACAAGGGAGACGGGCGGAGGCAGATGTCCGCATACGCTTCTTCGAGCCATTCGTCGATGCCGAAGTCGCGAGCACAGACGATCTTTTCGACAGGCGATGCGATCGAATAGAGCGTTCTGATTGCAAGAGCCCGCAGGGATTCGAAGCGCAAGTAGTGCGCAACCCGTAGGACCGACGTCCACTCCTCTGACGTATGCGCTGTATATACCCCGAAAACGCTGAAACGATCATGATATTAGAGCTGATGTCCGACGATGCTGGGTTTTCCGGCTTACATCGGATAGAGCAAATCCAAGAAACGCTCAAAATCTTGATCACTGATGCTGTCCGGCAAAACGATCGGGCTAAAGGTCCTGTCAAAGTTCATTTCTTGAGCAGCGCAGAGTTCCCTGAACCGCGTGGATCCTCTTTGGAGAGAGTGTCGAGGCACTTTGAATACATAGCCACTGGCCTGCGTTGAGAGGCTCAAGGTCATCCCACTACGTATGTTATGAAGCGTGCGTACCAGGATCTCGACGTTGTCGTCGCGTATGTACCATCTTGGGTGAGGAAGGGCAGCCGGTACGCATGCTGAAGACTGCGGCAGTCCTCCACACTGTGCATCATGCGAGCTGGTGAAAGAGCAGATACTGATTTCGTCCACATCCACATCGCCAGACGAGTCAGTGACTATGGAAATGTCAGAGATACCCGGGCTCATGGCGAGGTCGTGCGGTGGGGAACACATGGGAAGCTTTCATGCAAGCCGGGCTTATAGAATGCTGAGCTCCGCTGGGCGCTCGTCGCGATAGTACGGTATCACACGGGTCTACGGTTTGCAGCAAGCCGAGATCCATAGAGGCGTCATCAATCTATATGGGTAGAGATTGTGGTGCGGCGCGAGCTGGCGGAGGTCCGAGTTAACCCTATCGAAGGAACGAATGAACCAGAGTCAAAGCGTTTCATTTCTGGCCGTTCCGATCAGTCAAGGCGATATCCGTTGACCTAGATACAGGCGTCCATACTCTAGAAGAACTTGTCCCAGATAGACGTCGGAGTTGCAGAGAACGATCGTTGCAAAGGGTGAGCGCCAGCCACGCCCGTCGGCGACTTTTTGGGCGCGGCGACGATCGTTACGTAAAGGGAGTTACGCTGATATATATAGCTCGCCCTCTAATGATCGCCGCGGACAGCTGCGCGCCAGTTCCTTGACTAACGATGAGTACTATACACGACGACGTGCTCGCTCTATTGGCGGACTCCGGTCAATGGACGGAGTCGAACGAATCGGTCAGCAATTACGCCGTTTTGTCCCGGACTATGTGACCGATCAGGCGACATAGGTGCTGCTCGAGCCGTTCACCTATATCACCTCAAATCCGGGGAAGGAGATACGCGGACAGATGATAGAAGCCTTCAATACATGGCTTCGCGTCCCACCGCAACAGTTGCGCATCGTTGCACGCGTTGTCAGCATGCTCCATAGCGCGTCTCTCCTGTGTGTACCTGTTTTATGCTATAAAGAGCGCCGGTAGATTGATCGCATAGGGCGCAGCGTTGACGATATCGAAGATGACTCCCAACTACGTCGTGGGGCGCCGGGTGAGTGCATCGTTAATACTGCCGTTGTCCTGATCCAACAACGCAACGAATAGTCGCCCACAAGATTTACGGGATTCCCCAGACTATCAACTCGGCGAACTACGTTTATTTCCTTGCATACCAGGAACTCGCCTCTCTGCGAACATCATCTTCCATAGACTTGGATAAGATGGTGACAAGTATGTGATTCGTTTGCCGTCTAGTCGTAAGCCCTCGCTCATGCTCTCGCTAGCCGAATTACTGAACCTGCATCGCGGGCAGGGGCTCGAGCTTGTCTGGCGCGATTCCTTGACCTGCCCTACGGAAGAAGAGTACATCGCCATGGTCAACAACAGTCAGAGTTCTCAAGCGATGCTCAGAGAGACACCACACTCACACCTGCGCATCAGAAACTGGTGGTTTGTTTCGTATAGCAATCAAGTTGATGATGGCTTGTGCGACCGCGAATACAGACGTGTATGTGCTCCTCGTTTAGAATAACCATTGATTGGGTCTGAACGGATCACCAGAGACTATGTCCCGCTGGTCAATATCATCGGTATCTACTTCCAGATTCGCGACGACTACATGAACCTACAAAGTACGGAGGTGAGTACCTACGGTCTACCCCTCCAAAATATCACTGAACCCCTTGATGCACGGCTATCAGTATGCGACCAACAAAGGTTTCGCCGAAGACTTAACGGAGGGTAAATTCTCGTTCCCAATTGTCCACTCGGTGCGAGCCGATGCATCCAACCGGCAGGTTCTGAGTACGTACGACCCTCTCGTCTTCCGTCCCTCGACTCTTATCATACGCCCTCAAGACGTACTACAGAAGCGACCGGCTACGCCGACCCTCAAGAGGCATATCATCGGTTACATGCGCGATCACACACGTTCCCTCGAATATACCCTCACGGTCTTGCGCAGTCTAGAACGGCAAATACGAAACGAACTAGAGAGACTAGGGGGTAATCGGGCTATAGACGCCATCGTCGATGCACTGCACATCGAGGGTTAGCTATTGGATCGGCTCACAATGCGAATGATAATCTTTCTTCAAGCACGCCGCTGTAGAGAACACCTGTAGACCTCAAGTGCAGGATGTATATGTGGTATTGCCATCAATAATAAGCGCCCGCCTAGCTCAATCGGATAGAGCGTCAGACTCTTAAGAGCACCTGATAGGTGGGCAGTTAATCTGAAGGCTGCGAGTTCGACCCTCGCGGTGGGCTAGTTGTTTTGTCGTGTTGCGATACATTTTGCCTGGAAAGAGGCAGGAAGGTCTCGCCTGAAGCATTCAAGCAGATATGTTAACCCGACGGGCGCTTACTGCATCCGGAGTGGCTATGCTTCGACGGCACATTTTCAGGGCTGGCACATTTTTAGGGCGGCCATGTTAAGCATAACGTTATTCGGTTTTTCCACCGAGACTCACAGAGGTCGCATCGAAGTATTAGGTCATTGAAACTACTAAAAACTCAATCAATTCATTTCCGAAAGCCATGCTGGTTGCCAAATGGCAACTGCAAAGAGCACTTCAGAAAAGAAAGGATGAGGATCCCCCGACGTCGCAAGGCGGTACTGCAATACCAAGGACATCGCGCCAACGAGATGCAAGCAGAGCTCGAAGGACAAGGGCGGCAAAAATTAGATAACCAATAATGGAGGCGATGCCTCCATAATAGTGGTTAAACTATTAAGAACAGATACTACACTTGATCTAAGCCAAAAGGCCAGAGTGGTAAGGAATCACGAATGTCGACGCGCGCCTTATATGCCTAGGCAGAAACAGGTCAGGTGACTTGAATATTTGTGTGTGTTTGCTGCGGCAAAGCGTTGCCCACTGCTCCAGGCTTTTCCCTGGATGAATCCGGATATGATCCGTATCCATCCGCCGAAACATTCACGGGTCAATATCTGCGCGGATTCAATCCGTGCGGATACCGCGGATTGTGACATCCATACGGATACTAGGTATGTACGCTAGATTACATCGAATCTGAGGGTCTATGTATGGAGTGTAGAGTAGATGCGACATGTAAGGTCTATAGTATAGTGAATCTAAGGGGAGTTCACGGAGATTGAGTGATAAGTCACCCTCTCAGTGGTTGTGACGTGTCGTCTACGAGTCGTGTAGTCTCTTCGAGATCAAACCAAGGAGCCTCTACCCAGGAACCTACGGCAACTCTGGCACGCAGGCTCTGCAACTGGATTGCGTACCAATGATTTCCGAGTCAGGTTTGCCCCAAACCTGTTCAGTACTCTCGCTGTATAGGCCAGATTTTGTCCGCTTTCTCCTCTTATGTGACGGCTCGACAGTTGCCGGGTTGTCATTCTCGTCAGCCTGGGAGTGTTGCCGTGATAATGCGTCGGAAGCTCGTTTGGATGAGAATTGCGAAGAAGAGCTTGGTGATGGCGAAAGTGCTTTCGTAGGTACAAGTGAACAGTCAGAGAGTGCACGGGACACCAGAAACCCGAGTTGAACACGGATAGTACGATATCAGCGCGACACCGTAATCCGTGAGAACTAATCCGATCCGAATTGTATCCGTGCGAAACGGTTCGTATCCGCGGTTATCCACGGATTAGTCTATCCAAGGACAACCCTGCACTGCTCTCATTCTCTGTCGAGACTCGCTGTGGCACTTAGTTCATCAATGTTACCATCGTACGCTTGACTTCGGATAGTCTCATGCCAGAGTGCTGCATGGACCTCATTGGAGGATTCTCTGATCTAAACCATAGATGTCGGCGAAGGGTCTATTGCCATTGATTCAAATGATTGAATTCGCGTCCAGATCACATCCCTCTCTCAAGATGCAGACTAAGATCAAGTCGAGGCACAGTCTTCCCGTAATGCTCGCGACACGGTCTGTATATGAAGCAGACATCGCATCCACTCCCAAACGCTCCATCCGCGTCTCCATAGCACACCATGAACCCGAAACGCTTCATCAATGCATGGGTGCACAAAATGCAACATGATTTCGAAAAGGACGGGCAACAAGTGACGTGGGCGCCTGGGTTCGCAGGTCCCAAGAAGTGGGGAGAGGAGCACTCCAAGGCCGTGCTGCCCGGCCAGCCCACGTCCAATCTTGCCATCTCCCCGGACGGCGCTTTGCTCGCCATTGGTGCCAACAACGACATCCATATCTACGATGCCGCGACGCTGAATCTGCGACGTCGGCTCCGCGGCCATGTCGGCCGTATTCACTCCGTCCACTTCCACCACAACGGCGGGCTGCTCGCCTCCAGCACGAGCCAATCGGGGAGAGTGCGAGACGCGACGACGTGCCTTTGGGACCTCGGCGAGGAGGAAGGCATTGTAGAGACAGCGCAGAATGCGGTGGACAGTGTTGCGAAGGAGGCGGTCGAACCATTGCTTCAGCAGCTGGCTATCCCCCGCGGCTGGACGGCACAGGACATCGAAGCAGAGACGGCGACGATCCGCACGGGATTTGAAGAGGTACTGCTGAGCGCCGTGATGCGTCGCGAAGGGCGCAGGAGCAACGCCTCTGAAAACGCAGACCTCCCTCACTCCTATTGCGACGCTTTCGAAGATGCACAGCTCGCTCAGTTTGGCTCGTACCCGTTCAGCCGCGATGGTACCCTCCTTTTCTACATCCACGGGCGTCGCGGCTGCGTCGTATATGATCTCACTGCCCGGAGGGAGCGCTTTCGCATTGCGGCAACCGACTCCATCACGTGGTTAGGCGACAGCCCTGACTCGCGCAAGCTCGCCGTCGTATCCTGGGACAGGACGGTTCACATCTGGAGCATCGACACAGGAAACTTGGAGCGCGAGCTGAAGGGTAGCACAAGCCAAAACTGGAGCGGGGCGTGGTCTCCGAATGGCACGCTTCTCGCGGTGGGCTCGGGGGATGGGAAGGTTAGAGTGTGGGACGCGCAAACGGGTCAACTAGTGCACGCGCTGGGCGGTTTCTCGATTTTCATTCGCGCGCTCAGCTTTGCGCCTGTCCCAGTGCCTGACGCGGCGGGTGGGCCGCTCTACCTTGCCGCCGGTGCCGGAAGCGGCGCTGTACGTGTTTTCGACGTTCACTCGGGAGAGTGCCGAAGCTGCTGGCAAGTCGACGATCATCAGTTTCCCAGTTTTCTGGAGGTTCCTATCGTGCGGTTTGGGCACGGTCCGCTCGGCGCGGCGCCCGTGCTTGGCTTCAAGGTTGGAGACGGGCGGCTGGTCATCTACAATGCGGAACAGAACGTGAAGTGGGAGTTCGAGCAGGACATGGACAGAGAAAATCGCGTGCCCGGGTCGGGCTCATTCGTGTTCCTCCATGACAGTAGATCCTTGGTATCGGCTGATCAGGACGGCACGCTCAGGAAGTGGAGTCTGCTTGGAGAGGCGTAAGATGAAGGTGGCTGGAAGAGATCATGCCGAGTTTAATATCAACGTGTGTTGTAAAATAACTTGGGACTTACCACACAGGTTAGTTCGAGCAGGCGTTAGAGTGTATTTGCAAGGTGCTGAAGTTCTCCGCAGTAGGCAATGATGAGCCCGCCGAAATACGAGTCCCGCTCGTGCTGCAAATACACTCTATTCTCTGAGTTGGGTACCATGTGAACATCGTTGCAAGAGATTTGCCTCGGGAACGTTCAGGTCATATGTTCGAAATGATGAAACGCCGCAGCAGGTATACAGTAAGGCACATTCTCCCCGCAGCTAGGCGCTTGCGAAGCTCCACAGCCTGCAATATCTGTACTTAAAGCGCATGTCGCAGGCATGAACCCGCAAATCCCAACCCGTATTGCCTCTATACGTGTCAACCATGACGGTGACAACTCCACAAGACTTCATCGATGCCTGGGTGCATCAGATGAAATACGACTTCGAAAAGGACGGTCAGCCGGTAACGTGGGCGCCGGGGTTCTCAGGCCCCAAGAAGTGGGGCGAAGAGTCCTCCAAGGCCACGCTGCCGGGCGAGCTCACGTCCAACCTCGCTATCTCTCCCGACGGCGCTCTAATCGCCGTAGGCGCCAGCAGCGACGTCCTGATCTACGACGCCGTATCGCTTGAGCTGCGTCGCCGGCTTCGCGGCCATGTCGGCTATCTCCGCTCCGTCCACTTCCACCCCAACGGCAGGCTGCTCGCCTCCAGCACGAGCCCGACGGGCAAACTTCACAACAAATCGACGTTTCTGTGGGACCTCGACGAGGAGAAACCCTCCGTCGAGGCGGCGAAGAACGCAGCTGACAGAGTCGCGAGCAAGGCAGTTGAGTTCGCGCTGGAGGAGCTAGTCAAGAGTGCCGGCTGGACCGCACAGGACGTCGAGGCGGAGACGGCGACGATCCGCGCGGGGTTCGAGAACACGTTGCAGAGCGTTGGGATTCGTCGCGAGGGGCGCATGGGTAACACCTTCGAGAATGCAGAGCTCCCTCACTTCTGCTCGTATCCGTTCAGCCGCGATGGCACCCTGCTCTTCTTTCTCCAGGATCGTCACGACTCTGTCGTATACGACATCGCCGCCCGCAAGGAGCGTTTCCGCATCGCGGAGTCGAACGCTGTCATGTGGCTAGGAGACAGCCCTGACTCGCGCAGGCTCGCCGTCGTGTCGTGGGACAGGACAGTGCGCATATGGAGCATCGAAACGGGCAAGCTTGAGATCGAGTTGAAGGGAAGCACGGAGCAGAACTGGAGCGGAGCCTGGTCACCCGACGGCACGCTACTCGCGGTGGGCTCGGGGGATAAGAAGGTCAGAGTGTGGAACGCGCAGACGGGGGAGCTGCTGCATGCGTTGGAGGGATTTTCTAGATGGATCCGCTCGCTCAGATTCGCGCCTGACACGACGGGTGGGCCGCTCTACCTTGCCGCAGGCGCCGGAAGCGGCACCGTGCGTGTGTTCGACGTTCGCTCGGGAGAGTGCAAGAGCTACTGGCAAGTCGATGGCAAGCGGTTTTCTGGTTGGTTGGAGGTCTACGAATTACTATACGGGCGCGGGCCGCTCGGTGAGGAGCCCATCATCGGATTCAAGGTGGGGGACGGGCGGCTGGTCGTCTACGATGCGGAGCGGAACGTCAAGTGGGAGTTCGAACAGGACATGGATAGGGAGAAACGCGTACCAGGGTCGGGCACATTCGTATTCCTCCACGACAATAGGTCCGTGTTATCGGGTGATCGGGACGGCACGCTCAGGAAATGGAGTCTGATCACGGAATCTTAAGCGGAGAGTCACCAGGAGATGAGGGATGACCCAGATTTGTAGTATTGGTGTAACCTTCCCTCTCTTTGCTAGCAGGCAAACGCCGTGTACTGTAAGATGGTGATACACGAGGAAAATCATACACCGGTCACTTTGAGCAGGTATTCTGAGGAGACACTGAGCACCATATGGAAAGGGGGATGGAACGCTCAAGTTACCTCTAGAGAGCTCATACGCTGCGAACGTTGAAGCCGCAGCTGGTATACTCCTGATAACTGTATCAAATAATCAGCATATATACTGTCGTATGTGATACGCTATGAGACCACGCACGGGAGGGTGATAATCCGCGATATAACCCCGTCCTGCAGATATGCGTCAGAAATGGTCATAAAGGTTAGAGCAATGTGAGCGCATACCAGCCGCTTTCCTGTACAACGGCCCTGATCTCATGCGCGATGTACTGGACTGGCGTGCCGGTTGGTGGAATCGGCCGAAGCTGCACGCGCGACTTCACCACGTCTGTACCGCCAATGTTAGTGTGTGAGGGCCTTCTTGGAACGTGGATCTCACCTAACGGGTAGCACGCAAGCCAGTATGCGATCTGCACCAGGGCGTAAAATCAGCCCCTACATACGGCGGCGATGTAATGAACTGTCGTACACCACCACCGGCGCCACTTGCGAGCAGCGCCCATACCGGCACCTTGTTATCATATTTCTTGGCGAATCGACGCTTAGAGAACTCAAAGGCTGGTTTCAGTCCCTGGTCAGTATACCCAACACACGCACAAAAAGCACGGTATGCATACCCGAGTAGAACCTGCGATTGGATGTTAAGCAAGAGCTAGAACTAGCGCACGAGAACACGTACCCAGCGTAGGCGGGTATTTCTCTTGCAACTGTGACCTGTGCGATACCAATGTAAATCATCGCCAAGGCGTAACAGTTGTAGCCTACCCAATACCCGCGCATGACACCTTTCCTGAAGCCCCAGTCGGACCACATCTCCTTCGCGACGTCTCGCAGACGCTTGTCGCCGGCTGCGCCGTACTGCCCTTGCATTCTGATCTTGAACATCTCCACTGCAATCGGAGCACGGCTCGTGAGCCCGAGATTCCGGCGCAAAAATTCCCACTCACCTGGACTGGCCAATATCGCGTTCGCAGCGCCAGCCATAGCCCCAGCAACGGCGATCTGCTTCAGTGACAGGTCGGGGTAGGGAGACAGCACGCGCTTGGAGAACGCATAGGACGCGAAGAGGAGACTGTTCACACCGGCGATTCCGACAAGAGGCGACAGCATGCCTACACATTGTTCATATGAGGAAGCGATCGATTTCAGTGACACGGACCTTTGTAAAGGGCGAAGAAGCCCTCGTTCCGCATAGTCTGGACAAGGATGTCCATAGGGCCCTTCTGTAAACGTCCCCGAATTGGATGACGCGTTATCACAATGCGGTTCGCAACTCACAAACATGCCCTCTGCAATGCCACATTTCGAGACAACAGTCAAGTGATACGTGCAGGAAAGACGGCAGTTATATCATCAGCAATCCGATACGATACGTTCATCAACTCGAACATCGTACTGGGTGCAATCTGCGCGCGAGTCTTGACAGTATCAAGCGGCTGGCCCACGAGCACTTGAGCCGCACCCCCAACGCTGCCTGCAAGGAGTTCGTTGATAGTCGCGAGCGAGCTCGCCGGTGGGAGAGACTCGGACATGATGCCAGTGCCCTGAACAGCGACGTTGGCAAAGGAGAAACCTATAGGTCGTCTACAAGTTTGTACCCGGTCCCGGGCTCAAGAGCAATTACGAAGCAGGAATACGCGTATTGATTGGCACAACCTCTCCTCCTCGCCCGTGGTGGTGGGAGCACGTCATTTCGCGCGTGTGAGCACAAAATATCGCGGGCGCTTACTTGGCTTGACCCTAATCCAAGAACCGCACTCTGAACAAGATTAAGCGCCCTTCGGCTTCCTCTTTGGCTCTCGCTAGGATGTCGCCCACCGCCGGGCTTGGGCTGTCTGCTTTCACTAGCTCAAGTTCACTAGCCTCAGGATGCTGCATCAAGCGCGCTCTGTTTAACGAGTTTCATAGCTCAGCGACTTCGCATCACGGGCTGAAGAGCACATCGTCTAGAGGCAAACGGAATGGTCGTAGGTCCGTCTTACCGAGAGCTTAAATCACTCCTGGCTCACGTCCCGACACAGCAACCGTGCGTACGGGACTCGCTAAGACTCTCAAACCCCGCTCCAAGGCGACCCCATTCGAGTATGCCAGCGTCCCAAGGCGCCCACGCCTGAGCAAACCTGCCGCGTCCGCCCACAAAGGCGTAGCGGCGCCGGACCTACACCCCCGTCTCCGCCTCGAGCCCCCGTCCGACTCCTCTTCCGCGAATACATCAAGGGCTGCCAAGATCTACAACCCGCTCGGCGACGAGTTCGCGCTCACGACGCAGGCCGAGTCCGTCGACGCGCTCCCCCAACGGTTCACCTCCCCGCCCTTGAACGAAGGATTGCTCACATGCGTGCACGAAATCCTTGGGCCAAACGCACGGCCGACGCCCATTCAAGCGCTGGCGCTCAAGCACCTCCTGCCGCCAGCCGAAGAATCTGCACCGACTCCAACGTGGAACGAATACCTCCTCGCCTCCGAAACCGGCTCGGGCAAGTCGCTCGCCTACCTCCTTCCGATGCTGCATGCCCTCAAGGCGAGCGAGGGCGCCCCTGTGCGCCGTTCCAAGTATGCAACCGCTCCACGCGCGCTCGTCCTCGCCCCTACGCACGAGCTTGCGCGCCAGCTAGCGACTTCCGCCAAGTCGCTCCTCCACGTCGCTAAGCTCCGCGTTCTCTGCGCCTCCCGCGCAAACGTGCCTAGTGCTTCAAAATCCCCCGCGCGTCCACTCTCCGCGTCGAAAATGGCCCGAGCCGGCGGCGCGTTCTTCCGCCCTCCGTCATCGGGGGAGGAGGGCGGAGATGTGGGCGAGATAGACATTCGCCCTGGGATGGGTGGAACGCCGCGTCCGATAGATGTGCTCGTTGGCACGCCGATGAAGATTCTCGAAATGGCTAAGGGACACGGCTGGGATCGCGGTCTGGACGTGCGTCGCGCCGGCGACCCCAAGCGCGAAGTCCCGCCGGGTTGGGTCGTCCGTCGCCCGGAAATGGGCCTTGAAAACGTTGAGTGGGTTGTCATCGACGAGGCCGATGTTCTCTTCGGTCAGTAGCCCATCCATTCCTCTTGTTCTGCGCACACACTAATCGCGCCCCCTTTTGCGCTCCTCTTACAGACTCCGACTTTCAAAAGGCGACGCGTCTGCTCCTCGCCGACATCAGCGGCGCTCGCGGTCATCCCGTGCCCCTCTCCCCCGACTTCATCCCGAAATCGGACCCTCGCCAACCCACCACGTCCACGTCAATCACGTACCCCTTCAACCTCGTCCTCACAACTGCCACCGTCCCTTCCTCCCTCGGTACCTACCTCGATACGCACCACTCGCGCATGACCCGCCTCATCTCTCCCGCACTGCATAAGCTTCCCTCCAAGCTCGCGGTCGAGCATGCCGCCTGGACCGGCGGCAATCGCAACGCCGATGTCGAGCAGCGCATCCGGAGCGTCTGGCGGGACGACGCCGTCGCTGGCTTCGACCGGTCCAAGGTCCTCGTCTTCTTCAACAAGGGCACCAAGGTCGAAGAGTGCGCCGCCTTTCTGAACGAGAAGGGCGTCCCGACTGTTGCGCTGACGGGCACGAGCGCCGCACGCTCGCAGGGTTCCAACAGGCACATCGCAAGCTTCCTTCGGCCGCGCCAGACGTCCTACGTCGCACCCAGTCTCTCCGACGCACCCCCACTTTCCAACCCCCCGGCCGCAGACGCGGCCACGAAAGCCATCGTGCCCTCCATCTCCACATCTCCCTCGACTGACGAGCCCCGGGTGCTGATCACGACCTCTCTTCTCTCCCGCGGGCTCGACTTCGACCCTTCGGTACGGCATGTCTTCATCGCGGACCCGCCGCGGAACATGATCGACTTTCTCCACCGCGCTGGCCGTGCAGGGCGGGCGGGCATGCCCGGCAAGGTTGTCATCTTCGGCAAGGCCAAGGGGCGCGGCTCGTCCCGCACTCGCGAGGTGAAGCAAAAGGTCGGCGCCGTCATGGGGCGAAAGCGCAGGGTTTAGATGATTCAACCGGTATGTACCGCTGCCGTTTTAGTCGCCTTATGGAGGTGTATTGCATTATATACACTAGTTGCTGTCCTATATAATCCCAGGTCGATAGTACGCTCGCGGCCGAATGCTAGATAGGCACAGGGCTTATCGCTAGTCATAATTGAGAATAAAAATCCTCCCTCCCCTCGTCGACAGTATGACGCTCCCCTGGCTCTGATCTAAGTTTATCGTTTCCACTGTGCTTAAGTCGAGCTCGTCCGGCACCTCGAGCGTCTTCACGGTCCCGCGCGCGTCCTCCTTCCTCCCACCCCACTCGCCTTCGTGCCCAACAGGCGGGAAGGTGACCATCCGCAGCCGTTTCCGCTCGTCCTCGGGCACAGGCATGTCCGGGTCCGCACCCTCGGGCAATATCGGCGGCGGGTCGACGTACTCCACCCAAGCCGCATGGCAGAAGTCGACTGCGATGAGGGGGCGCGTGCGCGCGAACACGTCGAGCTCCTCTTCTGGCCCGAGATCGTCCTGGATGCACACGAGCTCGAACGGCTCGCGGAGGTACCAAACCCAGATCCCCCCCTCACATTCATACACCTCGCCCGGGTCGAAGCGCTCCCCGCCACCCTTCCGTGCATGGCGCAGCGCATCCGCCTTTGGCGGGTCCTCCATTGGCACCTCGAAGTAGTGCTGCGCGAGCGTGTATTGGTTCGTGTGCGTGACCGGGTCGTGCGTCGCGAGGAGGAGTACGGTGCAGCTCAAGCGCGGGACGCCAGGAAGCGTTGGCCACCATTGCCGCACGAAGTGCGCGCTCTCCGTTGACCATATGTCTGGCGGAAACGGGTTGGCGTATGAGGGCACCATCGCCGTTAGCGCTTGACCTTGATCGGTTACTTGATGATGGGTCAGAACAGGCGCGGGGGTGGGCGGAGGAACCGGCGTCGTAGGCGTGGCCGCCGTGATTTGCATCACCCAACCTGCGTCTGGGTCTGGCACGAGCGTGATCACCGCAGGCTGGTGGACCGCATGGACAGATGAGGCCGCCCTGTCCGTGGCAAACGGGGAGTGCGTCACAGTCAGATTTCCGGACTCCGTCTGCGTTAACACTGCGCCCCCCGACGTAGCCGGGGCGGACAGCGTTGGCTCCCGGGGGAGCGGCAGGTAGTGAAGCCTTTTGCGCATGGAGAAGATGGGAGCGAGGGTAGTGGAAATTTTGGGCGCGTGCGAGAATGCGGAAGGGACGGACTGTACGTGTTCGCGAAGGGTGGGCAGCGTGTAAACGTACTGGGTGACGGCTGAGGTATCCTCGACATGCATAACCATCCGGTCGCCAGAGAGGATGCACGACCAGTTGGGAGACATGGCCAAGGCGTCCTGTGTCTGAAGTCAGTTGGAGAGCGTGTCGTATGTAGGGTTCGAAATGCTCACGCATTCTATCCCAGTGTTGACGAAGACGTATTCTGGTTGCTCCCAATCGAACAGGACGTAAAGACCCATCGATTTGACCTCTGGCAGCCAGATGAAGGCTGCTAACAAACGCGACAGAGGGTCGAGGAGGAAAAGGTTTAGCACATAACCCGATGTTAGGAACTTGTTGAGTTCCCGAAACTCTGGCGCCGGGTCCTCGGATGAGCTGTCCGGAGGTGCCGGGAACACCAGGCTCATAGTCATGAACTCCATCAGGCCGGGTTCATCGCCGCTGCGCCGCATATTGATTAGCACGCATCCGGATGGCAAAGGCGATAGCGAAAACTCACTCTCCACGAACAACCCTAGCCATAACGAAGAACACGGAGCGCATGTCGAACTCGACACGGCACTTCCACAACGACCACTTGACCTCAGGTTGCCACTGCGCGACGCATCGATCGTGCTCGACGTCCCAGCAGTACACGTTCCCGTGCGGCGTCGCGTACATGTTATACCTGGGCGTGATCGGGCTCAGCCAGTCAATGCCATGCGCCTCGGGCGCCTCCAGGACCTTGTACCACGACTTTTCCGGCGGGCCGACGAACGGGTGCAGGCGCGACGGCCGTGGCGCGGCGAATGTCCAACCGTGCTCTATGAGTGCGGCGCGGTTGACGGCGGCGCGAAGTTCCTCCCGGGTGAAGTTGATGATGGAGGTAAAGCCGTCGACGGGCAGCGGGCGGCAACGGGAAAGAAGAGCATGGGCGAGGTGGCGGTAGACTGGTCGGGTGATAGCGAAGGAGTATAGTGATTGGCATGTCTACATGGATCGAAGAGCGGATTAGTACAGTACACAGCGAGATCGCCGAACACAACTTGATGCTAACTTGTTGGAGCGCGTTCACGTCCTTGACGGAGTCGAGGTGCTGAACGACGTGTAGCAAAAGCTCGTACGGGAGGTAGGCGAGGTTGCGCATGTCTTGTTCGCGGTCGTCCGCGTCGTCCATCAAGCTGGTCGAACTTGACTATATGCGTGGTGAGGCGGCCAGCAATGGCGCGGCCACCAACGAAGTCCTTGCTTATGCGGGAGTGGCGGTGGCTACGGATCACAGCTAACGGCGCGAGACTATACTTACACCCGTCCTCGAGGCGCCCAGGGAGGGTAAATAGTGATATCCAGCGACAAGCAGATACAGGCAGCTCGAGGGAGTGGAGGATGAGAGAGTACACCTGGGCGACGTCGGGACTTGGAACGAACATCAACTCCGCCACACGTTCCCCACAATCAACTGCACTTCATTCATTTCCAGAACAATATATACGCATGTCCATGTAGATGAAGGCGTAGCTTGAGCGTGTTGCAACGCAAGAGCACGCAGACGAATTCGCCAACTCGGAGATCAAACTGGTACTCTCCTTATACACCGGAGCCCAAATCCGCCCACCAGTTTCCTGCAGCCTTCCTTCCTCCGTGCCCGGCCGCAGAGCCCTTCTGCCGTCCTCGTTCGTCGACGACATCACCCCTCCGCCTAATCACCACCGACTTGCCAGAACTGACGCCTTTCCGCCCACCACCAGGGAAGAGCCCCGACCCCCCTTCTTTCTCATTGCGCTTCCTCTTGCCCTTCTTCACATTGCTTGCCGTATCGGCGGATGCGCCGTGCGATGTGGTTTCTCGGTCATCGTCATCCATCAAGTCGCTCTTCTTGGCGCTCGTCTCATTCTGTCGAACGTTGGCGGTCATCGGGCGTTGACTTTTCTCCCATTCTTTCTTATGTATACGAAAGATTGCCATAGTTGCTCGCGCGTCGGTGACCTGCGCACGTCTCGGTAACCAAAACAGGGGAACATCGAGCATATCAAGGCACTCACCGAAGAGTGCTCTCCGCCTTGAATCGCGACACCGACTTCTTGCTGAACGAGATGACGCAGCGCCGGATATTTGCTCTTCGTCACCTGGTGCTTTGCAGCCAAGCGCTGAGTGTCTCGCGTGAGTGGCCCTGGGTGCGAGAGTAATAATGCCTGTGCATGGTCAGATACCGGCAAAGCGATATCCAATAATACTTGCCTTAAGATCATTGAAGATAGCATGGCCAATTAGTATCCGATCCTTGATCAGGTCTGCAACTTGTTTCTGAACCTCAACAAATGGTTTGGCTGGTTCTTCCGTTCAGCTACGGTCGAGATGAATTTGAAATGGGGAAATAGCGAACCTTTGGCCATGTCGGACGGCCTGATACCACTGAACTCCGTTCTGTAATCCACCACGCGCTCCCTTTGCCTCACAAACTCGTCCATAAGCACTACTCCGTGGTAATTGACCAAACTATGGCACCGAACCGGTATGAACGGATTTTGCCAGCGATCGATGCGAAAAAACATACCTGACACGGGCTAGTGAGGACTCCTTCCCGTCAATGCCAACTCCGACCATCTCACAATCAAGCGCAATATATTTGCCAGGACTGCATCCCGACGATCAGCACCATGTACATTTCCTGGAGGGGCAGGATTCACCTTCGTTGTGCCTCCTTATACGTCGACTCCAACTTGCCGAGTATCATCCTTCGCAGATATGACAGAGACTCCCCGTTCTTATCATCGCCCTCTCCGCTCTCTACGACATCCGTCGGTGGAGGAGAGGGCGTCCGCGCGCTCGTGCTCGCAGTCCTCGCAACCGGTACATCGACTTCACTCGCTATGCGCCTCCGCTTCCGAGGAGGAACGTTTCCGGAATCCTTAGCATGTCCTTCCTTATGACCTGATGTTTTCCCCGAGGAGATCGTCTGCCACCAGAACCTGGGAGCGTAAGAACGGATAAAGTTTCACGGGGAATAGCGAAGATGCAACCTTCTTCAACGCAAGCCAGTTGGACGAGGGTACAGCAGAGCTTGCTTTCTTTGTCGCGTCCTTCCCCATTCCGCAATGGTGTTAAAGCGTAAGCACCACCGATGGAGATATGTAGAAAGCGAAGCCCACAAGACGAAACGCAAAAGCGAGCCTGCGCGAAATAAATCACAGCCACTCCATCCTCGGTGCTTGTCGCCTCAGGCTTGCTCTTCCGGCACACCATGGACGATTCGCCCAATCCTCCTCCGCCTCCCGCAGAGCCTCATGAGGTGGCTCCTCCACCTCCACCTCCCGCCGTATCGGGGTCACCAACCGATTTCCTCAAAGGAGTGGTAGGCAAACGCGTCGTGGTTCGCTTGAGTTCTGGGGTCGACTACCGGGGCAAGCCATCAACCTTTACACGGATTCAACATAGTTCTGACCGCGATCTCGTAGGCATACTGTCATGCCTGGACGGATACATGAACATCGCACTGGAACAGACCGAAGAACACGTTAACGGACGCGTCACGAACCGATACGGCGATACTTTCATAAGAGGAAACAACGGTGAGCACCGTTGGATTACTGTCATAGTACAATATGGCTGATGCGAATGTTGGCGTCTAGTACTCTATATCACCGCCGCTGAGCCGCTGTGAGGGTCGTCAGCAAGTGACTTCCTCATGTATCTTGGAAGCGATTGTTCCAGGCAGTCTGGCTCAGTGTTTCCGACCTGTCCATCAACTCGAGCAAGCGTGTATCATGGGCCGCTCGCTCTCGCGGGACTGTTCGTAGCCTGCTTTGGGCTCGAGCGTTTGTGCGGCGCTTTGGTAGTTGTTCTGCCGGTATCACACTGGCCTATTTCCGGTGCAATCGTAGCCTCGTGTTGCATGTTTCATTGAAGACCATAACCACGATCGTGTGTTAGGCAGGAAAGGATATACTATTATTTTCACAACGAGCAGGATAGTCAATATTGCACACAGGAATGCAGTCCATGCGTCTCTGAGTCCGAAAATGAGCGAGAGGGGAAGCTGTCCGTGCATTGAGCAAACTATGCAGGCAAAGGTTGAAAGAACGTATGTCAGAGAGACGTGTTGTCGTGAACGGTATCGGAGGGTATCATTCGTATTAGGCGGGCACCGGAGGACTTGGGGCGTCGTCGTCGGCCATCTCCTGCGGCTCCATCGTCACGTCGGCCTCGGGGATCAGGCGGGTGTCATCGTCCTCCTCGTCCTCTTCATCTTCTTCGGGTATAGGTGCCTCCCATTCTTCTTCGTCGTGGATAGCGTCATCATCGGTTTCGTCAAATATCCGGTGGAACTGGAATATCATAAGGAAAGAGTAAACAGAGCGAGGGACGTGCTCGTACATGATCAATGAGAGTCTCGGTAACTCGTTGTCCAGAGCCCATGTTTTGCATGAGTGTCGCAAACTCGTTTTTGGGATCGCGCAGCAAATTTGGCATGAACACAATAGCGAGCGACCGCGCAGTCATCTGGTTTTGGCTCTCGAATTCCGTGACCCTATGAGAGCTCTGAGTATAAGTCCCAGCAGACGTAAACTAGTGGCTGACTCGTAGAGGTGTTGGCTGATTCGTTTGAGCAGATCAAAGTTATATCTCGGTAACCCGTGAACGATTTTACGCAGTGTTGTGACACGCTGCTCGGGATCCACCATTTCTATGACGAGACAATCAGATCAGCAAATGAGGACAGCAGGCACGTTAGAGCTTACGGCCAGCGTCGATGACCGCGAAATATGAGTCCGATGGGAAGACTGGCTCGGGAAGAACACGGAACCATGACTTCACCAAATCGCATACTGCATAAATATCGGTCGAGCCGTCCACTGGCGTTTCGCCGCGATTAAATGCTTCTCTCAACCCATTGACGTCGGAAACTCCTCCAGCAATGCGATCTGCCACGATGAGATTGGTCAACATGCTCTGGCACAGCTCAGCTAGGACACTTACAAATGCCAACTTCGGACAAACCTCTGGACTCAACCTCGGAGAGGCAACGCTCAAGCACGAAGGGAATGGCACCAGGTTGCGGCTCGCCATTTGGTGCCTCTCGTCGCAAGAGGGACGCGAGATCAACGCCGAAAACTGAATATGATGAGCGAAGATATCAGTCGTTATGAGCGAAGCACTAACCCGCTCTGGGGCCTTGGGGTGGCTGCACGATCAAGCTTGATAAATGATCAGCCAGCTGCGGTCTCGGTGAGTCGCCTAACCATGTCAGACGGCGTTTCGCAGCGATCTTCGACATCCGCCCGATATTTGCAATCCAACTGTTCATCTCCCGACGACTAATGGCCTGCAGCAAGTAATGCCCTCCGTCTTCCGTGTCAAGCTGGAACGTGAACGAACGTTCATTGTTGATAAACTTCGCAACTTTAGCATCCGCGACCGTCAACACAAGCGCCGGTTTGTGAGTAGGAGTAAAGTCTAGTTCTGCAGCTGTGCGTTTGGGACCGGGCGCGCTCACAGTATCCAGAGAAAACGCGCTCGATATTGGCCGCATGAACTGCAAGAAGTTGAAGGCGGAGGACACGCTCTTTTTGTTCCTGTGCTGCTTCTGCGCGTCCGACATATTACGTCGGGGCTGCATAGCCCTCGAAAGCTGATCTTCGCGCTTGTGGGTACGACTTTGTTCCAACTTTTTCTCCTTCAGGAGGCGGTCGCGAAGGTACTTGTCGCGTTTGTACTTCTCCTGTTGTGCAACAACGATCTTCTGAAAAGGCCGCTGGCTACGCCTCGGCCCTGCAGATGCCTGGGCTGCTTCGCGGTAGGCTTCCTCGCGAATGGCCTTCTGGTCGAAATCGACAGCCCTGACTTCCTTCTCAATGGCGTTCAGACGCTCGAGGTCTCGGGCATTTATCTTTCCTACACGTGCAGTGACGTTTGTGATCAACGAGGAGAGGTATCTAGAACACTCATCAGCTTTGCGGAAGGATGTCCTACGTTTAGCTCACCTTCGCTTTTCATAATTGACCAAACTTCTGGATGATTCTGGGGCGCCATCCACAACATCCGGGGTCGAAATGATCTCCAACATGCTTTCAAGCAACCATCCGATATCCATCGTCAAACCATTCGGAGATGATGTCGTTTTCACAGCAGTGTTGCTCAGCAGAGATGCGAGAGAATCGTTGCTCACACATCGTGCTGCTGCAACATTCTGCCAAGCCCGATGATGCGCGCGGCTCTCTGGGCTGAGGATGGCGGATGCGAGAACGGCTTCGACGAAGGAACGGACGACTGGTCGATCGATTGATGAGGATGAACTTGCCGGCTGGGAGGCGTCTCTGAGCCTGCATATCTCGAGGGCACGAAGGAGAAGTTCCATGCGAGCCTGCCGCCGGCCCAAGCCGACACCTGGTTCGGCTATGAGAGCGATGAGCCATTTTCGCAAGATTATATGGGCTCTGACACAGCTGCGTATGCCGGGAGGCAGTACACGATGGAGGGTTTCCTCGCCCGATTCGGATATCATTGGGGAGGGCTCCACAGAAGAGAGATGTGCATGTATGGTCTGCACGTCTATATCTTCTGTGAATGTATTCGGTTCGTACGGCATAAACCATGCAGTGCGGTCTGCGGTCTGCACTTCCAGTATGTCTGCCGTCACGAACAGATCCTACCAGATGATCAGCATGTGAACCGTGTTGTATGAGAGCGACAACGAACCTCTTCGGAAACGATGCGGAATGCAGCAGCGGCCATTGCATCCAGATTATTGACGAGTTCCTCGGCGTCAAGGTTATCTAAATTCGGGACATCCCTCCCATAATTGTGAGAATCTGAGCGGACATGATTAGGCTGGCCTGATGCCATCCTCGGTGCGGGGGAAGGCCTCCTGGTCTGTGCGACGAATGTTTCCATTATGTCATGCTTCGTGCGCTTAAGCTGCTCAAGTTGCTCGAGTACAGCCTCACTGTGTTCGGTCTCGGAGGTTGTAGCCTCATCCGCTCGACTTGCAAGGAATGATCGCATGGCAGTAAAGAGGGAGTCGTCGTCTAGGACATCTTGTGCCCCTCCTCCGCGAGTGATCCATTCTTCCACCACGTGGAGAACATTTGACCGACGGCGAATAGAGCGTAAATATGCCTCATCATCCTGTTGTGTCGACGAACTGAGCGCCGTGTATCGCTTCTGGAGTAGCTACAGAGGAAAACTGTCAGATCGTCGTCGTCGTAATAACCGCAGAAAACATACCTCAAAGAATACAAGAGGGGTTACGAAGCTTCGAAAAACGTTCCACCAGGTCCCAGAAAATTCGTCACGGTCAACTCGCAGTTCGCGGGACTTGCCGTCTCGAAGTGGCGTTTCTCCGATGTCGTCGGCGACGGAAAGGGACACGCCCTCCAATCCATGGATGAGGATGGTCACCAGACGATCCAGAGTCCCGGCCTTGACTAGGACAGTGAGAGGCCGTTCAGAAGATTCCGTGGAGACCTCTGCAGTTATCGTCGGTAAGCGGGAAGAGAGGGATGGAAGTGAGCTCCTCCGTGCCAAGCTGGGCTTGCGGTCCAAGCCTTGCGATGTCCTTGTCTTCACTCGAATCGAAGAACCGCGAGCTAGCAGCTTATCGGCCGTTCCGCCCTCTATTACAGAGCTTGGTGGTCGAGACGATGGCCGCGATGCCGGGCGAGAAGAAGCTCGTGATGGAGAGACCGGGTCTGGTCCTGCTTGCACCACCAAAACCAATTCATTATCAAACAAGGATATGACGGTACCACCAAGATCCAAGCCTGCAACGCTTGAACGAGGAGCAAGTCCAGGGGCATCCATACTCCGCCGGTGGATATGGCTGGCTGAACCGGACGAACTTCCGAGAAGCGGAAAGTCTTGCACGTCCAGTGGGACAGATGTGCTGTCAGTCCGAGTGCGGAAAAGAATTTCACGATCAATGAGGTGTACGATCGGCAACGGCTCCGGGAAAAGCAAGGGCAGTAAGGGGTGTGATTGTGACGTCGACGTCGCACGAGTCCAGAAGCACGGTTCATACAATCCCTTGTGACGCGGTTCGGCAGCAAGAGAGAGAGACATGAACTGGTCAATCCTACAAGCCAACGTGAATAATTCATCATGAATTAAGAAAAAAAAGAACTCGCCTCCAAGTTCGCGTGACGCGTGGAGTGCTTTCACCTTCTCCGGTGAATATTTGTCGCCAACAGCGAACCAGCTTCGACGTGTTGCCTGTCTGATCGGTATCATCCTCCTGAGCGATGTTCTGACGGCAATGATCGAAGTGATGTCTGAGCTCCTCAAAAATCTTGGTTGCTTCTTGCAATGGGGACACTGCGAAGGCAGCATCGGGATCGTCGCTGCGAGCACTTTCCATCAATCCTTTCAATCTGACGGGAATATCGCTGGCCCAGGGCGTAGCGATGGGCTCCTTGACGGCGACAGTCTCGCTATGGTTACGGATGTGGACCCAGGATTCGACGACAGCCCTTGCCTGCTCATCCACTCGTTTCCACGCCTTGCTGAGCCTCGCGACAGGCCGAGATGTCAATGCAGATTGGATAGCGTTCCAGGAGCACCCGTCACCGCTCAACCTGCACACCTCTCCTATGAGCGCCCAGGCCGATATGACTTCCGACCTTTTATGAGTACGCGATGTTTGTGAGGGGCGATTGCCACCATCCGGTCCGCGGTTTGTTCCTGCAGCGCCTTCAGTGCCAAGAACCTGTTCCACAACCAGCCTCGTGAGCCATTGCGGCCGATCGCTGGTCCCGCAGAATGCTGCAACGGATTTGACTGCTATCGCGCCATCGCCGTCGTGAGCAGTAGCCACTCCCGGGTGGTATTTTCCGGCGCCATCGGCGGCTAATACGGAGTCAAGGGTGATCCCAGGGGGAATTTCCAGGAGCAAATTGCGGTGGAATGCTTTGAGACTTGTGGAAACAGTGTGAGGATCCAGCATCAGGAGGACCTCGCGTGTAAGCCCGTCCCGTTCGAGCAGATTCCATGCTGATCGACCGCGACGGCCATCGCCCGATGATTTGCCAATGGAATCGCTAGTGGACACCTGTGTAGGCCGTGGCTTCGATGGCGGCGGTTTGTTCTCGGCTGGTGGTCCAGCCTTGAGTATCTCTACCAGAGACACCATCCGATCACTTTCAACAGGTCGGGGAGAGAAGGTGCCTAGATTCGGCGACACCACATCGTCCAAATCCGAGTCTGAGTCCGAGTCGGTGCCCGAACCCTCCCCGCCTGCGTCCGGGTTTTCGCCATTTGAAGGATAACCAGTTGAGGGGTCTAATGGACTGGATTCTGGTAGAGTGGTCTTCCTCCATTCCTCCCAAGATAGCGGGTCGGCTGGCTTGCCGTGGTCCTCCAAGTACCGTCCCGAGAGCCACTGTACCCTGTCCTTTGCCGCTTGTTTTTCGCTTTCATCTGCTCCGCTGATGAAGTAGTCGCAGCAGCGGAGTAGCTCGACCTCGAACTTCGCCTGACCGACGATGGACGGAAGTATAAGGATGATGGCCGACGCGAATGCTCGATAATCACTGTCGGAAATTTCTTCTGTGCGCTCTTCCGGTGCTTCCGGTACTGGCAAGAAGGTGGTGCCAAATACGGCCTCATGGACAAGGGCCTCCAGAGTGCCCTTCTCAATCCGACCGTCGTCGGAACGCGTCAAATCTGGATGCGTTTTCCTGCCCCAGTATGCCCGCTTTCTTCTTCCCAATGTAACACCACCGTCGGACCCTGTCGCATCGAGCTTGTCCTTGTCAGCGGACTGGCTTTCTCCTTCCTCCTCCTCTTCGATCATAGGTACGACACCCTCCACGAAGAGCTCTTTTACAGCCGCTGCTTTATCACTGGGCGGTTTGTAGAAGTACAGTTTGCTGCCCTTGAGCACCACTTTGTACGGTTTCCAGCCCTTCGCGAGGAACCCAGCTACTGCTCCTGCACTCACGAACGGCGGGTGTTGTTCGTGATACACAGGAGCTGGCTGGAAGCTAGGTAAGCGGTTGATAAAGCCAGATTGGTACACAATTTCTGATGTTCGTTTCCCGTCTGGAGCTTGTTCGTCCGAGTCCGAGTCGTGTGCGGCGTCTGGTGGCTCGACTATCATCGGCGGGTTGAACTGCATGTGAACCGGACGAAGGGGAGGCTCGACCGGGCTCGGTGCACTTGATTTACCCTGAGTCGAACTCGTGGAGTTGCTCATAGCCAGGCTGAACGGGAAAGGCGGATGCGTGCGCGATCCGGAGCTAGAGGCAGAGCTGCCGGCACTTTCCTCCCGGGCACGTTCCCTCTCCTCAGAGGCTCCGGACATCTTCCGCCTTGGACTCGGTGGGATGAGATTCCCCAGCTTGCCTGTCGCCAACTTGGAAGGCAACCGTGGCGTGAATGAGTTGGAACGGACATGAACGCGATTCGGGGGAGACTGGCTGTCGCCACCCTCAGAGATGGGGGAAGAGGATGATGGCGACAGTAGCGTGCCGCTGGAAACAACCGGTTGCGTCTGGGAGCGTACTGGAGACTTCGAAGAAGGGAAGGCCTGGCCCTTTGGGCTTCGAGGTGACTCCCTGTCGTCTGCGGCCCCTGAGATGCTCGCCTTCCTGTATTGGACGACTTTCTGCTGGAACTTGGTGTCAATCGAGAGCGGGGATGTCGCGGGTTCAGAGGTGGAAGTATATTTCCCTAGGTCATCTGCTGAGCGAGACCATGGCTTGCGGGATATACTACGGAGATCTCCGAGCCCGGCACCGGTGGCAGCGGAGCGCGTGGATCGGGGTGATACAGGTGAATTGGGGTGGGAGGGAGGATGGGGTCCAGTGTCGAATGAATGACTATGCTGCCCTGCGAGCGAAAGGTCCAATACAGACCTGAAAGCAAGTCAGTCGTTAGGAACGAGTGAGACTTTTGCACGAGGTGGCTCACCTGCTGCCAGGAACGCCCATTACATACGAATCCGACTGGAGGGATGACAGGATCGGTCTCGGATCCGTCGGCTTGGATATCTTGTGCTTACGAGACCCTGCAGAGCTGGTACTGGCGCGAGGCTCCTGCGACACCTGGGCTACGCGCCCTGCAGACGGGGTCCGGTTGAACCATTGGGTGGGCCTGAATAGATTGGACAGGCCACCAGACTGAGGGGACTTTGAGCGGGGTGGAAAAGCCTGCGCCGACGTGGACGCATCAGCTGGAGAGAGCGTGTCCGCCGTTGGCGTTCTGGCATTGCGTTTGCGATTTGCCATAAGAAGAGCTTTGTGCGGCGCGTAGATATCCAAAGGAGGGGCGGGAGCGTGGTTTGTATGTTACAACTTCATCCGCTGCTTCGTGCACGGAGTCCTGGATTTCTTGTGAGCCGGTCCACGCTAGAATGATACGGAAATCAACTACAAATCGTGGCGGCGGATATTGGGGAGGAGGACCAGACCAGGACTGAAGGAGGAGACAAAGCGAGGCCGTAAGTGGCTATGCGCCAATCCCTCATTGATATCTCGACTCGGCGGCCATGATTCCCGTCTGCATGCCGTTCATAAGATTACGCACAGTGCACAAATGCGCTGTTGTAAGGTCTCGTTTTCAGCTGTCATTTGAGCTGAGAGACCATCACAAGCGGCGGCGCCTCGTCCCACTGAACAGGCAGCGCCGATACTGTAATAGCAGTCTCTGCTCTCGGGGCATGACTACCAGCGCTCATGGAAGCGGTAAATCCGCATCTCATTGAACTATGAACGCCTGAGAGTGACGTGATGACTGATCGAAGCAGTACAGCAAGCATCTGCGAAACAGATCCCGAAGATATGGCACAGCATACGCATGACTGTAATGACCCTCCTAGTTCGATGTGATAGCAGCGACCTCATATAGGTATGAGCCCAACAGTTTGGTCTGCACCCGGAACAAGATTTCAGCGACGCCGAATGATCGAGAGAACACGGCTTACACCCTGGATGAAGTTGGATTTGTCCAGCTTCTCATTGGTTGAATGTGCCCCGTCATCGCCGCGGCCCATCGGAAGCAGAAGCACATTAACACCTAATTGCTCCGCAAAAGTCAAAGTGACCGGGATCGATCCACCCTCTCGTGTTAGATCCGGCGTTTTCTTGTACACAGCCTGCGAACGCGTCCGTTAACGAGAAATTACGTACAAAGGAAGACGAAACCCACTTCAGTAGCCTTCTTCGCGGCCTCGTAGTTCCAGTGCCTGTGATCCGCCACCCAGGGTTTACCACCATGCAACTCCTCGATGATCAGCTTGTTCTTGCTGTTCAGCTTGGCAAACTCCTGTTCAATGAACTTGTAGACCAGCGGATTGACATTGTCAGGGGTCTGAGGAGGGACCAGCCTAAAGATAGTTGGCTCGAAAACACAAGATGTTCATACGGCAGCAAAGTCCCATACCGGATACTGAACTTGCCGGACACCTTTGCAGGTATCACTGTTTTTGCGCCCACGCCATAGAACGCACCCTCGATGCCGTGAAGCGAGAGCGAGGGTTGGCGCATACGGCCCATGATCACCTGCGCCTTGTCATCAGATAGGGAAATCGAGGCACCGGCAGAGGCATCGATGTCGGACACGGAGTAGTCGAGCTTGTCGTAGATGGCCCTATATTGGGTCAGGAATCAGCATCGTAACGTGGCGTATAGTTGAGACCCATGTCACATACAGCTCGTCGGCGTCGGCGGGCTTGACCATGTCATCCACGCCGGGTATGAGAATGTTGCCGTTCGGGTCGACGAGCTTAGACATGAGTATGATCAGGTCCGTCATCGGTTCGTGTACAGTCCTCCCGAATACACCCGAATGCAGGTCTCGTGCAGGACCAGTAACAGTAACCTTGAAGTAAGTAAGGCCCCGTAAACCATACGTTAAGCAAGGGGTGCGATCGTTGAGCCAATAATTGTCGGACTGAACACCGCCAGATGAGCCAGGGTGATTGCCACGCAGAGGTATCTCGTACGCACAATGCAGACACAATCAACGCCATGGAACCAGCCATCCTTGCCTTTCTTGACTTCGGCCTCGATAGCGTCATCCAGGCCTTCGCTCCCACTTTCTTCCATACCCTCGAAACAGAAGCGAAGGTTGACTGGGAGCGGGAGACCGAGTGCGTGATGCGCCTCGAGTACGTTGAGCCAGCCCAGAATAGGGCCCTTGTCGTCTGTTGACCCCCGGCCGATCAATCGTCCAGTCTTCTCATCAACGACCAGAGTGAAAGGCTCGGTATCCCAGCCATCGCTTTTGAATGCCTGCCGAAGCCTCAGACAACCTTTGCCTCACGATATAATGAAAATAGCTCACCGGCTGTACATCAAAATGACCATAAATGAGGATGGTCTTCTTGCTCGGATCCGAGCCAATACGGCCCACGATGGCATCGGGCAGCTTGAGCGTCTGGCCATCCATTTCATGTGTGCCGAGGTCCACTCTTTTCGTTTCTACGCCGTAAGAGTTGAGCTGTCTCTCGAGCCAGCTCGCCATTTTGAAGACATCCTCGCGATGAGAAGCATCTCCGCTGACACTGTCCTCGTACAACCTGCATCAGGCGGTGTCCCTGGAGGGAATGTGATCGGAACACACCTAGGAATAGCGACCGCCTCTGCGAGACGATCGATGAACTTGTCAACGTTGCTGTCGATATATTCGAGAACCTTGGGCGCGGCGGACATCCTGGGAGGCGCTGGGGATGAGTTAAAGCATTTAATCGCATTCGCTTGACTTGATAAGATCCGGCATGAAGGACACGTGATGCCGGAGTGCCATATGCGCGACTTACGACGCGCGCGACGCGTTGCGAGCACTGCCGTCGATGTCGCGCGTTCAGCAAAACGAACAAATCCACAACGAGTTGTTTCCAGCTTCCATGCTGGATATGGGTGGCCGAAGCATCAAGAAATTGTCCGAGGGCATCGACATATAGCTTAGAATACATCCCTGAGGCCCACCCAGACACGGCATCACCTCCGACGAAGAGGTACATATATGGTCAGACTTACAAGGCTTGAGTTATCGTTCTGCACTTCTGGTGAATGCAGGCTTGCGCCGCGTTCCCTGATGGTGTGTATCTTCCCGAAAGTCGCCCATACCTGAACGTAATAATGGCATGTTGAGTCCCACGTATTTTCGCGTTGAACATTGACCGAGCGAACATGTTGAAGAGACCGTAGCAAGCTACCAGGACAAGCAGTTTCGCGCGACTGAATATCAGTATCCCGCTGAGAAGGCCTTCCCGATTGACAGCGAGGACAACGAACTAAGTGGCGGACACCGTGTAGTCGCGGCTGGGTACAGGTCGCGTCGCGTAGATCCGCTTCGAAGTTGCGAATCCGAATGGCGCCGAACGGTCCGGCATATTTCCTGCACGGCCGACGGGCCAGAGAGCCTATGAAATGTGCAGCAGTAACAGAGCAGTGATTTGACATATGGCTACATGCATACAATACAGATGTTGAGGAGTGATTGAAAGGGTATGCTTGAAATATCATGAACGCCCGAATGACTGCGGAAAATAGAACGCGCCCCCCTCCTTTAGTCCACCACCACTAACCCATCGTATGACTTGACCGCCAGCGCCTTCTTCATTACATCCACCGGGGTCATCGCTTCCTTCACCTTCTTCTCCACCTCGACCACCGTCGACGCGTCCAGAGATTCCTCTTCGACTTTCTCCCACTGCTCCTCCGGTTCAGCCTCAGCTTCCGCTGCTTCCTCCACCTCTCCCATAAACACCTTCAGGAGATTCGGGGAGAATCCATTCAGGAGTGCAACGCCCTTTTTATCCCCCGTAACAGGCATCGCTCGCAGCCCTTTGTCTGCGGGAGCCGCGAGATTCCAGTACACAATTTCCGGGACCTCGTACCCAGCCGCGCGATACGCCTTTTCAATCTCGTCGTGGTTCGTCTGCCAGTTAGCTGGGTCTTTCTGTTTCCTCGGACTGCCCTCGTCGAATTCGCTCGCAATGGCCTCATCGAATTGCATGTCTGAGAAGATAAACAGCCTCTTGATCATGTCCTCCTGCTTCACGTTGTTCTTGATCGCGAGTGGGAGCAGCAACCGAACGAACACCGCGTGCAGGTCCGTGTTCATTCCCCAGTGCTGATGCACCATGTCATTGATTGTCTTCGCAATGCCGTCCGCCTCCGGATCAATCTTCACGAACTGCGGGTCTTTCGAAAACGTGACGAAACCGTTGTTGAACGGGGGTTTCGCCAACTGGGCAAGTACGATCGAGAGCGCGATTGACACGTAGATAGGTTCCACGGAGCCGCCGGTCATCATCATGGACCCGGACACATCGCAGATCCCGAGCGAGTTCTCTATTGCGCCTGACTCGCGCAACCGGCCTATCAGCGTCTTCCACTGCTGGTCGATGACGCGCGTTCGAATCTTGAAGAGCTCCTCCTTGATCTGCTTGTGCGTGGGGTCCCTAACATACCTCCCTGAATCCATTGACATCATCTGCTTCACGAGCTCGTGCGGAAGAAGCGTCGCACCGCTGATGCTCCGCTTTCCATCCTCGACCGCCGTGAGGTACTCCGCAAAGCCTGCCTTGTCGTGGGCGTAGAAACGCTCCGTGTTATTCTTCATGCACATAGACGCTACGCGACCGTATTTGATGTCCGTCCACCGGTTAGACGACATCAGCGGCTCGGGGAGTGAGAGCGTCTTGCGGAGCGGAGTGAGGATAGAGCGTTGGAGGTGGACGCGGAGCGCACGTAACTCCTCGACGCCGACCGGTCCATCTGCAATGGTCACCCCTGGCGGGACCAGAACCTGGGAGCGATGAAGCAACAGCGAGATCGCGGAAGCGATGTTCGTGACCCTGTCGTGAGAGCAGTTCGGGGTCGGTGCCCACTTGCCCGCGAGCGACAGCGACCTGACAAGCTCCTTCCGTTGTTCGTCGTCCTCCTTCGGCGTCTCGTTCAGACGTTTCATGATATCAACGTCCTTGGCAAGCTGTTCCGCGAACAACTGTGCGATCGTAACGTAAAGCGCCTTGAACGTTTTATCCTCGAACTTCTTGAGCAACGCGGCATGCGCCTCCTGTGCCTCCTGAACCCTCGCAGCCCGCACCGCATCGGGGTCGGTTAGCTTGTTCGATTCGCCGTCCTTCTTGCTCGGCGTGTGATTATGAAGGAACGAAGAAGGCACCTCGGAAGGACCAAGCTGATCGAGCGCCGCAAGCGCAAGGATGTTAAGCAGGTCCTTCCAATACCCGTGTGGAAGTGCCTGCTCGACGTTGGGCCGGGTGCATACAGGGTCGACGAGGAGATGAAGATTTCGGATCGCGGTACAAGGGTGATATTTGTAGAGCCAACCCCATGCTTGGTAGAAGACTTCTTTCTCACTCTGTCGATATCGATTAACAACCGTCCAAAGAAGGTGTATTCAGGAGCTCACCTTGCCGTCGTGCAAGCTGCGCGTGTTCCATATGATGCGGAGCGTCAGATTCGGGTCCTCCTCCCAGGCGCTCTCGAGATGCTTGCAGATGTTGTCGCCCTTCGCGTACGGTCCAAGAGCCTGGAACGCGTCGAGTGTCGGGGAGAGCGTGGAGTTGACCGCAGGCGCGCCGTTGTCAGTGAGCGTCTGGTGCGTGGTCGCCTGCAGCGCCTCCATCATCGGATTTTTCGGCGGCTCCTCTTCAGCACCATCCTGCGGGAGAGACCTTTTGTGCGGGACGCGAGCACCAGGGACGAGGCTGTCGATGAGGGCATCGAGTTCGGCCGCTGAGGCGAAGAGCTCGGGGAAGGCGGGAAGGGTGATTTTTTGCGAGCTGGCGGCGGATCCGACGAGGGTAGTGGCCATCCTGAGAGTCACTGGAAGAGATAATCGCGATGAACATGTTCTGGACGGCCCTCTTATAGCAGCGCCCAACACGGCGCGCGCTGTTCTCATGGGGCGCAAACCTGAGTCGACTGGCATACGTCAGGCAGTTATAAGTAACTTATGACTAATTTCATCATCGCAGCCGACTCGGAGCCACGGTGACTCTACCGCAGACAGCTCGATTCACAGCTCGGAAGAGATGCAACCACCTGTCGCAGTCCCAGTTCCCAGATCATGTTCGTCGAAACAAAACACAAATGCCGCTTGGCTGGATCGAACAACCGACCTTGTCATCACCTCGCGGGTACGAGTGACACGCACTACCACTGTGCTAAAGCGGCGATGCAACGTCGCCCCGGGCAATGTATAACATCGGTGAGCCGCCGCTGGGTGGTTTACCCATACAATATTATTATAACATGTACAGGAACATATACGGATTACCACTTTCCTGCATTCAGCTGGACTGCGCGCCCCTGCCTTCCCTGGCCTCCATCTCGAGGAACCTCTCCCACTCACCGGGATCCATCGCATAGCTGTGGTCCTCTACTGAGGGGAAGCTTCGGTCGCGCACGGCCTCTCTGTACGCCTCGACACCCCTTTTCACCTCACTCCTCACGTCCGCAAATCGGCGCACGAACCTGAAGTGACATAGATCAGCATGTTGGCACCGCTCCAACAACGCTGCGTACTTTGCTTTATGGCCCGACCAAGTTCCCATCACGTCGTCCCACACGAGCACCTGCCCGCTTGTCCTCGGGCCCGCACCAATCCCGATCGTCGGCACGCTCAAACGCTCCGTCACGTACTCCGCCAGCTGCCACGGCACGGCCTCTACTACGATCGCAAACGCGCCCGCCTCTTGCACCGCGAGTGCGTCGCGCACCACACGCGCCGCGGCAGCGGCCTCCTTCCCTTGCACACGGTATCCCGAGAGCGCGACGTGCCGCTGCGGCTGCAGACCAACGTGGCCCATGACCGGGATGCCCACTTCCGTCAGGCGGCGGACGGTACCCGCTAGCTCTGCTCCGCCCTCGAGCTTGACAGCCTCAACAGCGCTGCCTTCGCGCAGGAGGCGTACCGCGCTCCGTACAGCGTCTTCCGCACTAACATGGTATGTCCCAAACGGCATATCCGCCACCAAGAGAGGGGCTTTCGACCCGCGTGCGACCGCGCGACAGTGATGCAACATCTCGTCCAGCGTTAGCGCGGTGGTGGATGCGTAACCGAGGCAGACCTGAGCGAGCGAGTCGCCAACGAGGGTGATGTCGGCATCGTACGAGTCACACGCTAGTCCGGTGGGGTAGTCGTACGCGGTAAGCATAGTTATCGGCGTCTTCGAGCGCTTCATGGCATGTAGCTTGGCAATCGTCACCTTCTTACGAGGTTCTAAGGAGCATACGTGAGAGTTTGTATTGTCAGGATGGGATAGATCTGCTCACGCGACGATCCCGAAGGTGCCTCCTGGGGCCGCACACTCATCCATCGCCGCGAACATCCGAAGATCGTTCTTGTTACCGGTCGTCGTACACCAGCCAGCATCGTGAATCCGTCGCCGAGGGGAGCAGGTCAAAAAGCCGGGTATGCATTAGCCGATCATTCCATACGCTGAAAAATCAGTGAGGCGGGGATTTCCCACGGCGAGTGGGGTGAGTTGTGAGCGAGCTGGAACATCGGAGGTTCGCCCTGGGCTGCGCGTTCGACATGTTTGTCGCCGGTGGTCTGCGACGGCCGTGGTCGACGGCAGCGGACTGGTGAGGTTCCGAGAACGGCGGGAGCGCGGTCCCGCATATCATGAGGCGCGCTGCACGTGACGCGAACGCGTGTGCGGAGTCTCGGGCGTTGACTGAGTCTATGCGTTCCTCCCACCATCGCGCGCTGCAAATCCAATCCACTTCTGAGTCAAACAAATGGCGACAGCCACTCGCAAACGCGCCCGCAACCCGATCCGAGCTGAGGATGATCAACCGATGGCAGACGAGACAGGGCCCCGAGATGTCCAAGCGGATTCGTCTTTACCACCTTCATCCCCTCTTCCCACCTCCTCGGACCCCACTCCTCCCCAACACGAACAACCTGGGCTGCGTTCGCCTTCCGAGGATGACCCCTTTGGGTTTTTTGCCCTCGAGAAGAAACTTAAGCGCGAGCGCGAGCTAGCGCCACCCCGACCAGTGCTTCTCGCGCGTGACTCGTCCGTGCAATCCATACTAGCCACCACCGAGCACGAAGATGGCCGACTGTCATCTTCCGACGAGTCGATGAGCGACGACGAACCCATCGATCCCCTCGTCACCCCCCACAAACCCCATCGCAACCGCAAACGCAAGCCGCTCGCCTCGCCGTCGCTTTCGCGCTCTTCCTCGTTGTCGTCCCATCCATCCATACCTTCTTCTCCGTCTCCCGTGAAGGTTTCCGCCGGTGGCCCATCTCCTGCGCTCGTGTCGCCTTTCGTCTTCACTCGCGGTCGACCTAGCTTTCCGCAGGGGGCTACCTCGTCCGACGCGCCCCTAGCTACAACGGTCAAACGTCCCGCGCCAAAGCAAACTAGAAAGGGCAAGGAAAACCCTGAACCTTCGTTTCATGACGCGAAGAGGGCGCCGAGCCGAGTGGAGGTCTTACTCCCGAGGCGTGCCAGTAGGCGTGCCAACGCGGCTGCGGAGATAGCCCTGCCACCGACCGCAACGACCAAACCAAAGGTGAAGGGTAAAATCAACAACACTGCTCCCGCGTCGAAGAAAGAAAAGGCCCCTGCGCGTCGGAAGGCGCCCGCGCGGGCCGCCAAGCGTCGCCGAGCTGACCCCGATGAGCAAGTAGACGACGAGCAGCTTGGCGACGACGAGAAGGAGGGCAATGGAGATGACATGTTCGACGAGGTGCCCGAGGGACGCACCACGCGATCCAGAGCGAAAGTCAAGGCCGCCTCCGGAGCGCCTAAGCGTGCCCCCAAATCTCGCGCGGCGCCCAAGCCGCCCAGTCGCGCGCGTCCGGCCCGCACGCTTCGTCCCCGATCTGACGAAGGGCCATCATTTGTCCTCGACTCCGATGTTCGAGAGGTAAGCCTCATTCCCTGCGCATATATGTATGACTGCGGTGCTTACACGTAAACCAGGAGTTCGAGCAAGAGAAACAGAAACGGATCACATACTTCGAGAAACTGAAAAATTACCAGCTCGAGACGGAGGCCGTTTACGTTGTATGATTGCATGATTGAAGGCTGAGTGCTACGATGTATCGATAACTTCAGTGCGACGACGATGCTGTGTCATATGCTCCCCTGTATCATCCGTTGGAAATCGGCGCTCTTATATGCGCCCCCCAATTCCTTTTGCTTTGTGCTTCTCGGCTTTTAAAGTACATTATATATTGAGATACATTCATCTATCTATCTAACCGCGATGGCCTATTGCTATGCTACAACTAATGAGTGTGTGCGTGATGTACATTATCAAAATGCAGTTCGAGTAGTGAAGGATGGAACAGTCCAGGGTATATCAAGAGGTAACAGGTGTAACGGGTGTGGTGTGGTTCGCAGAACGACATAGGAGATGGGAAGGAAGTATAGCCAATGAACGGAGAGGCCGAATTAGGTTGATACGATGAGAATAGACAGAGCAGTGAGAGATAAACATGAAAAGAGAGGGCTCATGTGGTCGTGGAGAATTGGCAGATTCCGCACCCAGAGCCTTGCTGCAGGCCGGTTTGCTGCATCTGGCAGCTTTGCAGCGTCTGGCTGGAGCACACGCCTGACGGCGGGCTGCCGCCCAACGCCGTGTTGTTGCTCACGTCGAGCGTCGCGAGCGAGCCGGGGAGGTTGGGCAGAGTTCCCTGCAGCCCATTGGACGACAGGTCGAGGTCGGTGAGCGACGAGAACGACGCGATCGACGACGAAAGCGAGCCCGACAGCGACGCGGATGGAAGCGAGAGCAGCGTGAGCGAGCCCTGCAGCGAGGACGAGGACAGGACCGGGCTGAGCAGCGACGTCGCGGGCTGGTTCTTGACGACCAGGCTTCGCAATGGCAGCCCGGCAATCTCCTGCGGAAGGTTATCGCCCATTTTGCCGTTGTTGACGAGCGTGAGCGTGGTGAGGTTGCCCAGGGCCGACACGAGGGAGGAGCTCGGCGCGCTCAGTGCGCTATCCTCGATGTCGAGCGAGGTGAGTTGTGTGAGCGCGTTGAAGGAGGAGGGGAGAGAGCCGCCGGGAACTTCGCCGTTGCCGACAAGCGAGAGTCCACGGAGGCCCGTAAGGGCGCCAAACTCGTTCGGGATCGAGGCGGGGACGCCGGGGAACGTAAGGTTCCTGAAAAATACATTAGCACAATAATTCAAGCCGGGATCCTGGCAGAAAGGTCTCACAGTGAGGATACGCGACCGTAGGAATCGCAGTTGACCTGCTGCCACCCGCAGAACCCGGTGTCCTTCAGCCATCCCCAATTCGTGAAGCACGTCTGCCCGGCGTTGTCCGCATCGTCGAAGAGCGACTTCAGCCCGCAAAATTGGACGGCGTTCTGCACCTGTTGCGCGTCTTGCGGGGAAGATATGGAGAAGTTGAGGGGAACAGACTGCAGCGAGGACAGACACGTGGAGCAGGGGTACGAGGACGGGTTGCTGGGGGCGTCCACGGTGAACTGAGAGAGACACTGCTGAGCTGCAGCGGAGAGAGTGGCGGGAGACGTGGAGGAGGACGAGGTGGAAGAGGATGTGGAGGTCGAAGACGAAAAGAAGGATTTCTGCACAACGCGGACGTTGACAAACGCGAGGTCGCCGAGAATGAGAAGGCAGATGATGATGACTATGATCCGCCACATCCAACGCTTGCGCCGAGCCTGTTTCTTCTCTGCGGGGTTAAGGTATTCGTTGTGCACGGATATGTGGCGCCTGTCCGTGTACGAGTTGTCGTACGACTGCTGCTGCTTGTGCACGGTATACAGCGGCTTGGGCGCCCAAGGGGAATGTTGCATAGGCAGCTCGGGTTCCTTGCCCTTGCTGCTCCTGGAAGCTGGGGCGCTGGATCGCAGGTCGAACCAGACCCGGGCGACCTTCTCGCGCAGCGGCACACGCGGGGTGTGCGACCCGCTTGAATCGGCGCCAGCGCCACGTAGACCCGCCTCAAGATCGCGGCTCTGGCCTCGTCTCTTGGCTCGGAGGGGCATGGCGGACGATCCAGATGCCGCCGTGTCCTGAGGCGATACGGGAGAGAAACGAGACTTCTGCACGGGTGCGTCGCGCGGGGGAACAGCGATGTGCAGCGGGCGACGGTCCGGAACGTAGGACATGGTCGGAGTCCCCGGTGGCGTTCGGGGGGTGTCGAAAGAAACAGTAGGTGGGGCAGATGTCGGGGTGGAAGACCTAGATATAGGTGCGGGCGGGGGTGGCCTGTACGGAAAATCAAAGTAGGACATGGGGCGTGGCCTGGTCGTGGTAGTCGTGAGTTGTGGTCAAGAAGAAAGGGAGCACATATTCGGCCGCCCTGTGTTCTTTATGGACTGCAGGCGGAGGCATTGTGCTCGGCGACGCACAATTGCAGACGCAACAAGCACCTCGTCAAAGGGACAATACGATGTGGCGGTGCCCTTCCATTGTCCTTGGAGCGGGACCCCTGGGACCGTAATATGATCCACGGGGTCCTGTGGCCTACCCGCAGTGAGGCCACCTTAAGCTTGCACAGTTCTTAGGTGCATACGAGGGTATTTCTTCAGCCTGTCATTCGGAAGGTAGCAGTAGGTTAGTACCCGCAACAGATCCGCAACAGGGACTGAACCCGGTCGACGCGCTCCTGAGCTGCGCCACGTGAAAGTCCGAATTTGACGTGCAATTTGACTTCGTGCTACATTTTGCTGTTCCTCGAATATTTCTGGTGTTTAGTACTCCGTCTGTCTACTATCACCGCGGGCGACGATATGCTATCCGACAGCGAGTCAGAGCACGACGATCTCCAGATTACGATCAACGAGCACTACGCGAAAGCCTACGCTCACCGCAAGGAACGCGAGGAGCTACAGAAACGTCCGTTCTTCCTCCTTGTACCCAGGTCACGTTCTCTGATTGATATTTGGTCACTCCATAGTCAAGGACAAATACGGCTCAGACTTTGACGAGAACGAGCTTGAAGCTTCCGAAGATTCAGAGGACCTGGAGTCGGAGGACGAGGATGGCGAGGAACTCACCCCCGCGGTGGATGCTGCCATATTGCGCACTCTAGCAAGAATAAAAAAACGGGATCCTGCTATATACGGGAAGGATAACATATTTGAGGGTATGCACTACCATATATGTAATGTCTGCTGTACGCTAACTTCGTCTACGATCCTCAGAGGAACACAAGAAAACCCAGGACGTGTCCATTGGCAAACGGAAGAAAGAGAAGGTACTCGACAGTTCATCAGTGTTTGCGACAAGCACCGATCATGCTATGACATAGAATGCAAAGCCCCTTACCATCCGCCAACAAAACCTTGAATCCGCCCTGAACCCCACTTCCCGCTCCCCTTCCCCGCAGCCACTCACCCACGTACAAGAACAAAGCGCGCTCCGGGAAGAAATTGTTTCTGCCTTTCACACCGCTGTTGCCGATGATGCGAGCGAAGAGGAGAACGACCTGCTCGTGCCGCGAGAGAAGACAAAGGATGAGATTGAGAAGGATGAGGAGGACTATCGGGCGTGGCTGCAGAGGGAGGTCGGAGCGGACTTGAGGGAGCTGGTGACTGTCGAGCCTGGGGACGATGAAGTTGGGGAGGGACCTGTGGAAGAGGCTGAAGAGGAAGGCAAGAACAAGAAGAAAAACAAGAAGGATAAGAGCAAGAAGGATGGCGCTAGGAAGGTTGTGAAGGCGAAATCTGCGAGCAAGGAAGACGCTGATCAACAATTCCTCCTGGAGTACGTGCTGCACATCGCATGCCATCGTTTCCACTGTCTCATCAAGTTCATAGTTATATCCTCAACCGCGGCTGGATTGACCGCTCATCCCGCCGTGTCCCAACCTACAATGAAATCACGGGCGAAATATCCTCCTCGTCAAAGACGAATGGTATATCCAACGCCGCGGACGATACCCACGATGCGGATGCGGATCACCCGAATGGCAACGCGCTCTCGGAAGACGAATTCGAGGAAGTGGCTGAACAATTTGAGACGTCGTACAACTTCCGCTTTGAGGAACCGTACGTTTGCCTTGCTCGCATCTGGGCTGCTGATGATGACTCCTTGCTTACAGAGACGCGGGAACTATCAAAACATATCCTCGTAATCTAGCCTCCACCGTTCGGCGTGAAGACACGGCCCGCAAGGAAGCCCGTGAGAAGAGGAAGGCGCGCAAAGAAGAGGAGAAGCTCAAGAAGCGCGAGGAGGTGAAACGATTGAAGGCGCTCAAGATGAAAGAGCTCAAGGCGAAGTTGGAACTGATAGGCAAAGAGGCCGGGAGGACGTGGACGGAGGCAGAAGAGGAGCGAGGTCAGTGCGCTGCTTCATTCTGGTACAGAAGCTGAAGCAACATATCAGCATTACAAGCGTTGGATCTGGATGCAGATTGGGATCCGATAGCACACGAAAAACAGATGGGTGCACTGTACGGTCAGGAAGGCAGCGACGAGGACGGTGGCGACGTAGATGGGGAGAAGCCTACGTGGGACGACGACATCGACATCGACGATATTGCGCCCGATTGGAATCAGAACGAAGCTGGGCCCAGTCATCTGCACGACGGTGTGGATACGTCGCAGAAGAAGAAGAAAAAGAAGAAAAAGAAGAAGGATATGGAGGGTGGAGATGAAGTGGACGCAGGGGTGGACGTTGACATGATGGACGCCGAGAGAGTGGAAGAAGGTGGAGGATGGGACGATTTAGTATGGGATGGCACCGAGGAAATGAGGAAGAAGGTATGGGATAAATACATGGAGGAACTTGACGCGATGGAGTTCAACGATATGGCATGTCTACTCTTGCTTCGCTACGTATTAACGCTTACTGAATCGAGATATTCAGGTTGGTGACCTGCCCACCCGCTTCAAGTATACACCCGTTCAACCGGACAACTTCGGCCTCACGCCCGCCGAAATCCTTCTAGCCACCGACGCCGAACTCAATTCGTACGTCGGACTGAAGAAATTCGCACCGTACCGCACGAAGGCAGCGAGGAGGTGGGACAACAAGCGGAACGAACGTCTGCAGGAGCTGCGGAAAGGGCTAAAGGAGCGCGGAGCGTACAGCATCATCGAGGGCATGGGCTCTCGAGATCGAGATGAGGACGGAGAGAAGAAGAAGAAGAGGAAGGGTAAGAAGGAGCGAATGAAGGCGAAAGCAGATGCAGAAGGCGGAGAAGATGAATCAGAGGAGAAGCTGCTGGGGAAGCGGAAAAGCCTGGAGCTAGATGCAGGTGCAGAGGAGGCTGCTTCGACGGAGAGTAAAAAGCGGAGAAGGCGGCATAAGAAAGCTGCTGCTGAGTGATACTTGCGCATGGCTTACGGCGCGCAATGTGTGCTGCGTCTATATACCACGGAGAGGTTCGCTGGTGCATGCATTGATCTGATGGGCAACAACTTGGGTGAAACGATAGCAGGAAGCTTGTGTTGTTGTATGGGTAACAGAGCACAGTGGCCGCCGAGACGAAGTTGTGCTAGGAGTACCCCATCTGCTTCTGCATTGACTAGGTAGTGCTCTTAGTAGCCCAGTATAATCTGGAGGTTAAATGAGCACTGCTTCCTCTAGTACGCAGAAATAACATACCGAGGGAGATTCAGGTGCACAGTGTCGTCGTACGTTGGAACAGTTTCTGTCGTGAGGAGGTCTTGCAAGCTGGGCAGATTATCTGTAGGAGATAACCAAGCGGTATCTGCCGGGGGCGGAGGCGCAGGTGGTGGACAGCGTGCCCGAGACGAGATTTTGATAGGCGCATAACAGTCCAATATGTTCCTGAAGCCAGCGACGGGCACCCGAATGTAAATGTAGTGCTGTGCGCTCTATGTTCAACCCACGATCTTATACTGAATTTCCCACTCACCTTCAATGTTACTCTTTCAGTCTCAAATGACGGAGTGCACTTGAAGGACATGGCCGCGTCGAAGGTGACAGAGCGTTCGTAAACGAGTTTGCCTTCCTCATTGCCTGTGCCAGCGGCTGGGACCCATTGCGGTTCGTCGATGGTGATACTGATACTTCCAGGCGTGCCAGAACGCGATTTGCCAAAGCCTGCTAAATTTCGGGTCACGGTCTCCGCGCTCCAATTTTCTGCTGTTATCGTAGATCCTGCTATCCAATGGGTTTCCTGCACCAGTCGCATGGTAATCGCAGAAGGATCTGTAGGAGGAGCAGGGAAGAGCGTAATCGGAACCTTCGGAGCTCTCCCACAAACGGTCTTGATGGGTTTGGTTCTTGTTGTGATCTTCAATCGAAAAGGAGCACTCGTTGTCGTGGTCGGAAACGAGTGTACGTCGGGCAGAACGATCTGGAACTCCATGAGAAAGGCAGTCCAAGCAGATCGTTGACGATTAGAAAGTACCTCCGCATGCACAGTCGAATGCCGTCCCCATATACCTCGCCTTACGAGTCTCTTGAACTTGACCGATTTCGAGCTCTCTGTCAAGCTCTGACCTAGGGTACCGTCGACATCGACGTCCATGGGCGATATTTGCGGGTACACGGCGAATGGCAGATGGACGCGACAAGAAGGCTTGGATTGTCCTTCGCGCAACCCGGATACCTCAACACCGTAAACTACCGCAGCAAAAGTGCCGACATGCCCGACCCTGTGCGAAGGTGGTAGGTCCTGCGGTAATTGAGCGCGGAAATGCACGCGCTCGAGACCGGACGTCGTTGGAGATGCGGACGACGCCGTCCATACGCGTTCGCTATGGCGGAAAAGGGGATTCTTCGTTTCCCACACGGTATGGGAGTTGATAGACGTGTCTCGAGAGATCCTCCTGTGAATTGGTGAAGTGATACAAACTTTGGAAACACCAGTGAGGCGTACGAAGTAACTAGGCCAGCCAGGTTGATCTCAATGGCGTCGATCTGCCGCTTCAACACACGAGGAACGTTGATGTCCACGAAGCATTCCACATATTCGCCGGCGACGAGAAGACCACGTCCCGAGCGATCAACGACATGCAAGGCCAGAGGACCAGCGGCGGCCGTTCGCACCAGCCCAGCTGCAGGCATAGTACCGGTTGCCATCTCCTAGTCCCTGGCAAACGAGATAGAATATTCGCACTTCAGACGGGTGCAGGCGGACATTCTCGTTATATAAGTAGTCCGATGTTCCCAGATTATGTAGCTTGAGTCGCTGCCAAAGCCGCGTGCCTGTCGATTAGCGCCGGTACCGGCATACGCAGCCTCGCCTATGATTCGTTGACAGAGTGAACTCGGCCTGTGTAATAGGTATGGCCCGGAAGAAAGCGGGAAGGCGGGGCGAGGCGAAGCAGACACCACACAACTATCGTGGTCCGTATTGCATGGAGAGGTAGAAGAACCCAGGACAACCATGTGACACGTTGGTGCATTACTTACGGTGTGAGGGCACGATGCAAGAGACTAAAGTATCCAGCGCTATGTCATTTTTTGTATCAGGGGGAGTTTGTCAGAGTTCGTTCTTGACTACTTGACAACAATCGTATTCCAGTAACAAGTCAAAATTTCTCCTTCTCGGCTTTCTCCGCGCAGTCTTTCTCGTCTTTCTCGTCGCTATAATGACATTCATTGTCCCAGTACGATCTGAATCGGGTGAGGGTGAGATCAATTGATATCTGGCGGACGAGATAACACGCTCACGGCGGCAGATCGAGGTTCGTTATTTCGTCATAGTCTGGAGCGCTTTGCTGAAGGTCGAGCGACGAGTATGCGGGCAAAACGGAAACCTGCAGCTGTGCTGGAGGCGCAGGAGGAGGAAGTGGACAATGAGCTCTAGATGAAATTTCAACTGGCACATAGCATTTCAGGTCGTTCTTGAGCCCCGGCACGGGCACGCATATGTGGACGTAATACTGCGAGCGGAATGTCTCGTCTTTGTAGTGAACGTGTGCGTGGTTTGGCTCACCTTGCATGAAGTTCCACCAGCTTTGAAGGTAGGGGTACAGTTGAATGCCATAGTCGCGTCGAACGTGACTGTTCGTACGCAGACGAGCTTGCCATCCGTTGTGTTATCGGTCGGCATCCATTGCGGTTCGCTCACACTGATCTTCGTGCTCCCAGGCGTGCTGGATGGCGATATACCGAAGCCAGCTAGATGTGGAATGGTCGTCCTCGTGAACGAGTCCGTCTCCTCGCGCACGGTTCCTGCTGTGAACTTGACGTGTTGTTCCAGTCGCAAGGTGATGGCAGAGGGGTCCGTGGGCGGGGGAGGGAAGAGCCCCGTTTGAACCTTCGAAGTCATTTCATCGGCACCGTTGTCCTTGATGGGTTTAGTTCGCGTAACGACCTTCAACCTGAATGGTATGTTCGTCGTCGTTGGAAGAGCAGGTATGTCAGGTAGCGATATCTGGTATCCTATCAGGAAGGCATTTCTAGCGAAACGTATTTGGAAAAAATACCTCCGCCTGGACGTGCGAATAGTCTCCCCACAGTCCTTGCCTGACTGCCTTCTCGAACTTCCGCGTTATCCAACCCATCTTCCATCCCTCGCCTAATGTCCTACTGGCGTCGATAACCTCTGGTGTCCCTTGTGGGTGCACTGCAAATGGCACACGAGCCTGGCAACGAGGTCTGGCTTTCCCTGAGCGCAGCCCGAATACTTCGATACCGTAGATCACTGCAGTATTGTGGCCCGATCTCCCTCCCTTATACGAGGGAGGAAGGTCTGTAGGTAGTTGCGAGCGAACAATGAAGCGCAGGTAGCCAGACGGCGCGGGAGAAGCGGAAGATGCTGCTGTCCACAAGCAAGTTCTTTTGCTGAAAATCGGTACCTTAGATTGATACAGAGTATCGACATTGGGATGGTGTTGACGGGAGATTTTCCTATCGGGCTTGAGCCGAGATAACACAGAACAGTAGAACTAGCGAGACTCACGACTCTACGTAACCAGTAACGTCAACCTCGACAGTGTCGATCCGTTGCTTCAATGCTTGAGGGACATGAATCTCCACATAACCTTCGATGACTTCGCCAGAGACTCGTACATCACGACCTGAACGGTCCACAAGGTACACGGTGAGCGGACCAGAGGAGGCGGAACGAGTTGCTGCCATATGCTACAAGTCGAACAGGCAGGATACCGATGCTTGAGGCCCTTGTCCATGGCCGCTGTGTACAAATATGGTCACTGTCCTCATTATGAAGGCGTGCGATAAGCACTGGTTTGCGTCGTGCGAAAAGGCGCTTTCACCGTGACTTGCGTGCTGCAACGGCACAAGCTATGCAATCTGGTTCGCGTTTGAAGATCCGTTGACAGAACGTGTAAACTGGCAGCGCCCTCTGGACAGAATGAACCTCTCTGAAGCTCGAGACTTTCTCCGCAAAGAATCTCTCGATATATTCAACCGCCTCCATTCGATAGATCACGACGTGCGGTTCGTGCAACAGGTACATGATAGGTATCATGACGTACCTCTGGTTCGTGAGTCATGCTGGTTTGCTCTGCCTGCGGCAAACGAAGAGACTGACACATCGTGGCCAGCAAATCTCAGATGCGGAGCTTGGTACGCGGATCCTCGGAGAGTGCGCTATCCCACAACTCGAGTTACCTATCCAGCACAACTGAGCGACCCGCGGCTTCCGTAGGCGAGCATCGTGCCAGCGTACTTCAAATCGACGGATGGACACACCAACAATTGGAATTTCAACTTGAGGAGGCCTAATTTGCATCTCCTGCCACTTATTCAGGAACATACTGGGTGCGTCCAGTTTTCCTCGCCGAAATGTTCATATGCTTGACAGTCCATGGAACTTATAGGATAATTGTTGTGGATTCCACTCGATCAGGAAAGCGTATGCCAGACGCGTTGTCCAAGACCGTGCCTATCTGGTGTGCAGTGATCAATAGGGCCCTTCTTCCTTCGCAATCCGGTAAGCAGAACGATAACTGGGACACGAACCTATACACGCCCCCGGGCGTCGTCAGCCCTTCCGAACATAGCCACATCGAGGCGTTACTCGACGGATGGGCAGAATCTCTACGGGCCTCGTCATACGAGCTGCACAAGCTTAGGCTCCCCCTGCGGCCCATCTGGATCACACCATCGACCTCTGTTTTCCCTGATATCGCTATTGGAGAAGGCGCGCCGTTTTCCCCGGTCATCTGCGTCTCGGCTTCCCAGTATGTAATTGACGGCGTAGAACGACGCGGGCTAGGATTTTCCTATGTTCAGGGATCCGGGGACGACCACGAACTTTGGGGACAAGGTCTTACTCCCAGCATGTTCTGGGCACATAAGGAGGATATTCTATCCAAAGCGCGTTCGGAGCTTAATGAAGTCGTGCGAAATATCGTGAAGCGATCGGCGCCATACGGACCACAACGTACGATGCGTTCCCCTACGCCTATCGCCAGGGTCCAGGGTCGTATACTCCTGTGTGCGCTCTCTGATCTCCCAGAAGTACCCACGACGGAGTCTTCACCAAAAAGCGAAGAATTGTGCTACGTGATAATCGACCGTCTTGACGCATCCGACTTGAAGACGGAAGCTTCGACCCAATGTCTCCGCATCACAGCCCGCCCCGGGAAACCCGGACAAGCCGGATTTCTGCGGAAAGTTCTACCGCAGTCGACCACGTTCGTCGGGGAAAAGCTACGAGCCGGACTTCGCATCTGCATATGCTGTGAAAGCGGCCGAGACCTCAGCGTCGGCGTCGCTCTCGCGGCAATCCAACTCTTTTTCGACGACAACGGCCAATTGATTACTGTCGGGCAGCAATCTTGCTGTGAGTCATCCACGTCATAATGCGGCCTCTACCTCATACCATCTCAAGGCACCAAGAAGACCATCAAAACACGATTAGAATGGATTATCGCCAGCCGAGCCGAAGCCAACCCCTCTCGTGCCACCCTTCAACGCGTGAACGAGTTTCTTCTATCCCCTCCATCTTTCTGGCAGTTTGAGAAGATGGCATCTCATCCGGTCTAGTCGTCTATGCTAGGAGTTACGCACATCTCTGAAGACGTTGTGAAAACTGGGCCGACGTTATCTCATAGAGATCCTTGTGATAGGCGCCGTGGCATACACAATTATCCGGAATGTCCCTTCGACGCCACGGTCGTACGTCGATGGAACTAGCCAATACGTGCCCGCCGGTACTGTAGTCGATGGGAGTAGCACACCGCATGTCGCGTCGGAGTAGGGTCCCGAGGTCGCGATATGTCGCGACAACGTTTGACTCGACGTCGCAGGAAAGAGCGTCAAGTTGAGCGGGACAGGGGGCGCTGCTATGAGGAGCTGCAAACGAGCACTGCGAGCGATTATTAGGCGGGAAGGCGACGGAGGCATGGTGCACATTACTAACCTCAACTGGGTGGTCGCGCTGAGATAAATCTCACACTTCGGATTAGATCCATACATAGGACTGTTCGGGCCTCCGCCAGCAGAGTCTCCAGCCCTGATCCGAACTGGTCAGCCCTCGAAGACGATCAATGCGCACTGCTCCATACCATTCCCCTCGGACCACTTTGGAATACATTCCTGCTCCTTCTTGGGGTATTGGTTCGAGGCGCACGTTCTCCGAGCATTCCACCAAGAGCGTAAAATGACCGAGGTGCTGCGGTTCAAAGGCAGAAACGATCACGGTATAGTCTCCAGCTGTAGGATCGAGCTTTTAGACAGACATAAACATGACGGACGGAGCACCTACGTTGCAACGACCTGCAAAGGCGAGCGAAACCGTACGAGTACGAACCGGACGTTGCTACAATATCGCTTTGCGTCAATCTGCGTGCACGGAGATCAGCCCCATATGCCGTACGAGCATCGCCCAAACGACTTACTCGAATACCCGAGATCCTCCACTCCATACAATGGTGATATTCATCGGCATCGACTTTTGGGCTGATAGTGTAAGGATTACATTTGCCGATAGACTGGTTGATTCTGTTTTGGAAGGGAATACTCTCGGGACTCGTAGATGATATTGTGGATTCAACATGAACGTGGGATGCAAATTACTTCCTCCAGCGTTCTTCGCCGTGAGTTCGCCGTTGATCTACAAAATGAGACACCAACACCATAGTCGGAGGACCTTGACTCACAGTTTCTTCATATGGAGTGGTGTGTTCGTCTTGAACCCAATCCATGGGAGGATGGGAATATACGGCAAGTGTGAAAGAAACGTCGTTCGATTCTCCGTCGTAGAGAGCAAATACGTTCAATGTGCCGCTTGCAGGAAAGATTGTCTTTGCCTGTGAGTGCATCCGATGTGAGTTGGAAGATCGTTCTGTCCGCTGCGTACGCACCAAAACATGTGGACTATTGGTGAAGGTGAGCTAAGAATGAACTGATGATGAGCGAGGAAGAAATGTGAACTAGTGCAAAGTAGTAGTGACCTGTTGCGTGATTTCATGAATATGTGCACTATCCAATGCGATGTCGTCCTTTCCCAACACACGCAGGGCAATGTAGTCAGACTTGCGTTTTGTGTCCGACACATGTCGAGTCAAAAGTATCCACACTTCGTCGGATTGAGCGTGCGTATCTCTAGTGGGGCGTGCAGCACTTAGGCGACGCTTTAGTCGGTGATACGAGCCTGTGATGTCTGATCAACAAGAGCGCCGAATATTGAGATAGAATCAGTTGCCTCGAAGACCCCTTCTTGTCGCACTGCCCGCTGGTTTTCGCCACGAACTATAATCGGTTTGAATATGTCAACGCACATCTCGTTTGCGCAAGCTTCCCACAGACATACCCATGAAAGAATAGTTCATGCTCAAACATAGAAGACTTCCAACTGGCGTACACGCTATGAAATGTTGCGCAGACGCTTTCCCATGACATTTCGAAAGATCCTGTTCGAACGATTCAATCTATGTTCGAAAAGTAGCTTACTGTAGAGACTGAGCACTCACGAGAATGCCATCCCGAGTGCAGCTCTTGGGCATCCGCATCGTGTACACGTTCCGGCATCCACGAGTCTAGTAGGGTAAAGACCCGCTCCCCACCTTCCTCACGCACGTCTATTTATAGCGTCAGTTGAAGCTTACAAATGAGCTGAACGTTATTGACCGATAACGGCATAGCTGTGTGATGGAAGCAGCTCTTCTGCAGATCCCAAGGCACCCTCCAATGTATTCATGGAGAAAGGGCCTTGATCCTTCGGTGGACTACCAACGGTCAACATGCAGGTTCCTGCTTCCCAATGGCGTCCATGAGAGAATTATATGATTTTCCCATGACGGCGAAAAAGACATACCGGTCTTGAAGCCCTCCGATATCCGCTGCCAGGTCTTTTCTTGCCTAAATCCGGAGCTGGAAAGCGATCATCGACTGCTATCATTCTACAGTAAATCACGCATACCTTCGTATCTCGATATGCTCCGGTATCCACCCCGTAAGCATGCTATGGAGCAATATGTAGCCCATAGTTTCATCCTTGGAATAGCAGCACGTACTGAAGATCGATGCAAGAATCCCTGATGTAGGATACGCGGCATCAGCTGGGTATGAGCGTCACGAAGACGGCAAACATGATCATGGTACTGGATCGCCGATCCCATTCCTATGATCCACGGCGATAGAATGGGATGACTATTGATTCACTCACGAGCCGAGAAAATCATAGCCACCCATGAGCTTCATATACTGAGAAAAGAGCAATGCCGCAAGCGTGTGAGAGCTGCGACACTATATGCACGATGCTAAGATGAACGGCGAATTTGTAGCTGCGAACACATCGACGGGCGATCCGTTGTGTCGTAGTGACGGAATCTGCAATGCAATGCATGGCAGTAAAGGTAACTCACCGCTTTCTCAATTAAGGCAGGCCATATTTCTCCTCTCTCGGAGAACATACCCATCAATCGAGCGTGCACCATCGAATCGTCTGGATCTGCGCTTTGATTCGTCGTCGATTCCGATTGATTGCTTTCATCAGCATCGTATGAGAGGCAAGGGAGGAAATCATCGAGTGCTGCATATCACCAGTGCATCGTATCAGTCAAGGATCAGCCATATCGACGAGGTGCGTACTGATCTGCGAGGACGACGATTAATGTGAAATGGTCACTCGGTCGGTCAGTCCGATTCGAAGAGCAACCTGTAGATGTAGGAACTTGGTTGACTCACTCGTCTCCATCCCCCATTGAACAGCACGCGAAAGTCATGCCGGCCATTATGACCTGATGTCGTTGACTGCACCAGAGTAGGGAGTAGCTAGAATGATGTTCAGATTGGATTCATCGCATCAAGCGCAGATTGTATTGGCAAAGAGGAGATCGGTGTAGAGGGTGTCTGCAGTATTGCGATGTGTGGGGAAACACGCTGACTCACATCCGAAGAGAACATTCGCCAATGCTGAATGATGACAGCAAGTGAAGCGACAAGGGAACAATCCTCTATGGTCGATTGCATCACATGTTCAGGGGATATTGGCTTGCTGAGTCCAATCGCATCCTCGTTCGTGTATCTATTCCTAGACGTTGTTTGGATAGAATGCCGGGCTTGTTCTCCTGGGAACATTTAGAAAACAAGTGACTCGCCAAGCAATAGCACACACCAGAGTACCGGGAGAGTTCAGTTGCACGCAGCCAAGAAACACCTCGGCCAAGCTGTGACTGTGATAAAGACGGAAGACCGTCTGGATCCCTGCGTGAAAGAAGGTAAGGATACAGTGAGCCAAGTTCAAATACGGGGATAGAACGGGAGACGTTTGAGCCCCGATAGGATGTCAAGAGGGTCATTCAAATCCTCCCATCGTTGATAGGAACTACTACCTACACGAATCCACCGTCCCCAGATTTCAAGCTCGTGGATTGGTCGGTCCAAAGGGGATAACGCAGGCCGTTGATGCGCGAGGATTGAACTAATACTCGGTATTGTTCGGCTAAAAATTACATGATTAATCATGGTGCAACTGAAAAAAGTGATATACTTGCCCTCTTCATACACGTTCCGTATGACCGGCTTGAGCTCATTCGAGGGGCGGCTGGCCTTTATCCGCTCGGCTCGATCCAGGCAGCGTTTCGCCTCTTGTTTGCACTTGTCTCTAACTTGTATATCTTTACCTGTGATCGAGGCGTTTGTGGCCGATGAGTGCGTGAAGGTGCGGCTCAGATGTAGATATGCCTGCGCCGCATTGATATAAAGCCGGAGCGCTTGATCGTAATCTCTCGCTAACTCGGCTTTAGCGCCTTTGGCATACGTTGCCTGCGATGGGTCAGAGAGGTCACGATGGTGGAAACGAGTTGTATATACCTCTGCTTCCTGCAGCGACATGTGAGTTGATAGTCGCCCGCAATATTTTGGGGTTGTCGGTGGTACAAGTCAAGTAGCAAAGGGTCAGTGCCACAATGCGGTCCGGCATATTACCACGCTATTACTCAACGGTCCGACTTCTCCGAAGCGAGAGGAAGCAGCGAAAGATGCTTCACGATTCGAGACCAGCCCCTAGCACAGCTAGCATGAAAACACGAAAGAGTACATTTTTATCTCGCTCAGTTATAATGCCTCGGCGAGGATAACATTTCCAAGCAGCCACAAGACGGCTGTCTACGACGAATTGATTAATAAGGTCACGACGAGTACATGACATGCGAGTCTATCGCCAACTCCAGCAACCGAAGGATGAGTCTATGTCATATATCATGCAGGAAGCTCAAACTTCTGGCCTTGAAGTACTCTGAAACACGACGTCAACTCTATGCGCGCCGAAACACGCCAGAACGCAACTCACTTTGTGAAGTATACGTAGAAGAAGTCGACGTAGAGGCCCGTTTGGACGAGGCCCGCCGTCACCGCTATGGGGTCGATGGTATCCTCTGTCCACCATCTATGCGATGACCAGTGGGTTGGTAAGGAACTCTCGCGAAGCGAAGGTCGTCGTACCGGTAAATCCAGTTCGGAATGTACAATGCCCTGTATGCTCCAAGCGCCGCGAGATAATGCGTGGTGATCGTCTCAGCCTCTCCTGTGCGCTGCAGCATGAACAGTTGCGGTAGGATCGCGACCGACTCCAGGAATATGGAGAATGACCATAGGATCTCCGCGAAGGTAAACCGGTAGTGAAAGATGAGACCCAAGATCAAGCACGGAGCAACCAGGTATTCGACCTTGAAGGTGTCGATAGACGGGTCATGGGTTGGCCTAAACATGCAAAATACACAACACGTCATCAATGAAACAAGAGGACGCAGAGACCGCAGGCGTACCGATACTGATACTTCATGAGGTAAAGGATGTAGCAGCTGCTGGCAATGAAGAAGAGCTTCATCAAGGTGTTGTACAGCGATATGTATGCGGTGAAGATGTCCAAGTAACGGGCGAGGAAGACGACGACATATAGGGCCTGAGTTTTGTACGAGATGCCTGGACGTGCACGTCAGTCACACGAGCGTGAAAGTAGCAGTGCACACACCTCTACATGACCGCGTCGTTTGAATCTTGTGCAGCAAGATTAGAATTGACGCCAAATGCGACAAGTCGCCTAGTAGAGTTGCGGAATGTCAAAACCAGAAGTCGCCACGGTGATTAGGCCTGAACGCCGCCAGCGTACCGAGAAACCGAAAGATATTCATTCTGTGGCACCAAAAGGCTCTGCCGTTTGCTCGACGTCTCCAGATCTGCAGGCAAAGTAATAGTCGCGAAAGAGCAGCAGGCACGCACACCTACGCAAGACGCAGCGCAGACGTGGAGGAGAACCGGACCCCCCTGCGACGCCTAAGTAAAGAAGGGGTCGGTTAATGTGGGAATGCTCCTAAAATAGGGGACCACCCCGAGACTCCTCCACCTCGTTGCCCATGGCGACCTCTGCGGCCGAAGCGCAACAAGCAATATAATCCTCCGGAGCGAACGATGCCAGCTCAGCCTCGTCGACGTCCCTCGTCGTTCGTCAGGAGCCTCCACCGCCCGGTTCGGTTTTCTCTTCTCGTCGCTCCTTTCATCTTTCTTTCGCGGCGCGGTCCGTTGGGTAGCTGGCCTATCCACTAGTCATCCAATCCATCCGAACCCGCACGCATTGTAAATCAACGGAAGAGCTGGCCACCACCACGGAATGCATGCGGCGCATGCTCTGATACATGTCTACGCGTGCGCCTTGTACTTGACCATCCGCGCCAGCGCCCTGCCTCTCGTGAGCGTAGCATTGGTGCCTCGCAGAGACGCTATCATCAATGTCCTCCCGGACGGAAATGTGACCGTCTTCAACCCGGACACCCAACTGCCAATACCCCAAGGACCGGCTACCGACGGCGCTGGGGTGGATTTCTCGGTCCCCGCGGTGCTTTGGATTGCATTTTCTGCGATTATTGGCGCTCCACTGGCACTTGCAGGTGTTAGGTTGGCGAGGTTCACTACCGGATGTGCCCTCGGGTTGGCGGGCGTTGTGTGTTGTGAGTTCTCTCCCTCGCGGGTCATGCCCTAGTGTCTGCGCTTATGTTGTCCGTCGATAGCGTGGGCTGCAGTGGTGAACACCATTGCTGCGAATGGTGTGGCCGATCTTACTCTCACCCTCATCGTCTTCGCTTTTTTCGCGGTGCTATTCTCCCTCGGACTGCTGTCGCGCTTCCGCGCGGCGTCTCTTGCGGTGCTTGCCATCGTAGGCGGATTGTCCCTCGGAGTGCGAATCGCTCTCCTAAGACCTGGACTTCTGGTGCCCATATATGCGGTGAATTGGGCTATAATCGCTTTACTCGGCGCAGTAGGAGGTTTACTGATGATCTTCAAGCATCGAGTATCCGTTGTGAGTCATTGAAATCAATACTAGGATAAGGTTGTGCTGAGAAGAAACCGCTTTCCCGAGGTGCTTTCCTCTGCCGCCACGGGCACCTTCTTGATAGCGCTTGGAGTCGATCTTGTCCTCAACAAGCAGGATGGCATGAGTCGCGGCCTTCGCTTTCTATTCGACAGAAACACGTCTCATTTAGCGGTGAGCTTTCACCATAGTATTTCGTACATATCTGCGAGTGCCGCTAGAACATCGAGGTGCTGATCTATTGCTTTCGTAGGATGTGTTCGAACATGACTACAAACCGCGGCCAAATACCCAGATTATCTTGGCCGCATCGCTGGCAGCTGTGTACGTGAGCATTCTCCACGTTCGCGAAGCACCTTAGCGAATGCGCGTGGCAGTCCCCTCCTCGCTCTCATGCAGCACAAGATCTTCCCGCAGCCTTTTTGGAAACCCAACGATCAAGACATCGGCGAACTTGCTTGGATACGCCGCAGCATGCTCAGTGACAAGGAGAAAGGTGCCGGTGAGCCTCCATGTCCCACCATGCTCGAGTCTGCAAAGCTGATTTCGGTCGGCTGTACGAAGTATCTACGCCAACGGAGGCAGCTGTGTCGAACCGCCATTGGAGTACAGTGCTGGGGGACACAATGCGCGGATATAGGCAAAAATTACCCAGTAGATTCAGTATGTGAAACATCGTGTGTCGCCGCATGTCAGTGAAAGAAGCCATCCACGTGATCGTCACTTTGGTGATGTTATGGGGATGATCGGCGCGGATCGCTTAAAAAGAGAGAGCATATATAAACAGGAAGTCCGCCACACACTTCCGCTGTTTTCCAACCCTGCCCCATCTCTCCGCCCCTCTATCGTAGACACCATGGGTGTGCTACACATGGATCCCAAAGATACCGAGGACAACCAAGGCAGGACTGCCAGTGGGTTTGCTTCCAGCAGAATGAGCCCTGAAGCAAGGAAGATCCTCAAAGGTCAGTGGCCCAGGTCATACATGCACCTTCACGTGTCAAGGCAAAGGCTCAATATTCCACTTGCAGACTTTTTCGCCCACAAGCCGTATCCAACGACTGTCGAGAAGCAAGAACTACTCAAGCTCATAAATCCATATCATCCACATTACACTACAGCAAACATATCACAATGGTTCAATGCCACACGACGGAAGAAACGAAAGGAAGGCGAGGGACGTGGGGAACAAGCAATAGCTTCCTCTTCCAAGCAACCGCGTACGTTGTCGTCACTCTGAACCTTCGACATACACTTCACCGATGCCACATGCCAGCAACCGCTTCGGGTCTTTCGCCGGAAAGCATAGCCATTCTCGACACACTAATCCGAGCTACCCCAAACCCAACGGTGCAGGAGCTCACCGCGTGGGCGAATGGCATAAAAGCTTCACCCGGGGATGTATTTGCATACTTTGCCACGAGGGGAGCACTGCCACCGAATTCCAAAATGTCTCCCAGCTCGGAGCTACCTTTCCGCCTCCCTACGCCTGCATCATCAACTTCACCAGAGCCAACAAGAGTCAATAGTCCATCTCCCCTCAGGGATATCAAGTCAGAACCATCACAGCCTAATACCCCTACCTTACCCGATTCCCCATTTAATGGAACATACCAATGGCCTTATACAGAAACACCCGAGCACACACCGCCAACGGAAAAGACCTGTCATGAACGCTTAGTAATGACACGCAGAATAGAGTAGAACCTTGTAGAAGGCGCTGGAATGCGCCTGAAGGTTCTAGGACTTGTAGTGACTCAGGTTATGACTCGACTGTGACTCATAAGGAACATTGTAGAATAGTATAGAACGTTATGGTAGGTACTGGAAGGTTCTAGTACAGTACTTGTATAGTAGTATATAAGACGCTAGCTGAAGTCGATGGACTTCAGCTCGTCCATCTGTTATACACGCCCTTAGCGCTATAACGATTGACGGTTCGGTTACGGCCTCTCAGTACTAAGACTAAGACACCGCGACCACAACAACAACCCCCACTCGACCTAGTGCGCCTAGAGTCTTAACTCTCACGCCTAAGTCACACGACACAGCCTAGACTACAACGACAGACTTTACGCCAAGTCTAACAACCACGACGGTTCGGTACCCGCCTAAGGTACCACGATCTAGGGGTTCTTACACTTGGACGAGCTCTTACGCTTGTCTACTCTGTGTCCTTGAAACAAGACGGATCGAGGATTTGAATTTGAGAAGGGAGAGACGATCTTCAGGGAAGAAGGAGGGTTACAAGAAGAATACGCGAACCCGAGTTTCACGTGGGTCACGAAGAGGATCACTGAAAGGTTACGCCCCGGTCTTAGATACGATACCAGAAGAAAACTCTTCTGCATCGAATTTAAAGACTCGACAACAGCCTATCTCGCGATCCGGATCCGAGACAACCAACCAGTCGCAGAATACCAATACGAAAAGGAGAGCGGTTTACTCACCGTCGCTAGAGCAA